CGAGATAAAGGTATGTTTGCATTTCATGGAATGTTGAAGAGAGTTGTGAAGGTATGTGAATGATCAACAATCAGTGTTATTGGCAGAAATAGAGGGCCCCAAAATCCAAGGGTCCAACTGAGGCGTGAGCTGGCTCTGCAACAACTATTAGTTGAAATATAATAGAATATAATTCACAAAGATAAACCTATCGAATAGAGTTGATGTGACTGTTTTTAGAGCGTCAACAAATATTTAAAACCTAAACATCACTCCAGAGAAAAATTATTGAAATTGCTGTAATCCCATTCAAAGCTCCTCTAAATGGTTTTAGCTGGTTATGAAACAAACTAAGATGAACGCCTGTGTCCCTTTTTGTAAAAACAAGTCAATTAGCAAGAGGACTGATTACTTTTATTTTCTTATTTTTAACCCCCTTTTTTTTTTACATTTCGCACAGCAAAGATTCCAAGTGGATGGACTTACTTTGAATTTGATGAATTAGGATGAACCTTTTGAACCTACATAAGGAGCAGGTTAACTTCCACAAAGGCCACCGTCTTCCAGCACCATGTTTACAGAAAGAGGAAAATAGTGACAATCAAATATGTTGTTTAGAAGCCAGTGGAGGATCATGCATCACAGCAGCATCAGGATCTGATTTCACCAACATGAGGGGTGAGCGAGGGAGGGAGCCTCACAATCAATAATCTGACTGTTAGACATCACTAAGTTCCCTTTTTCATACACTGTGCCTTGAAAATAACTTTTACAAACATTAATACAAACTTTTAGTGATTTTCAAACATCTTTTCTTTAGCAAAGCCTCAAAATGTGCATGAAATTCTGCCAATGGACATTTATCTGTTGATATTTGACCAGAAAATGCTCAGAGCCTTGTATGCTAGCCAATCATCAACCTACTGATAACGCTGTCAATGACTGCTGTCCTTTGTTGAGAAAAGAGCATCTTTGAAGTCTCTGGTCTCACTTGCTTCAGACATGACCCCACCTGACATACAGAAGACATGTCCCTGAGCTCACATTTTTGTTCTCCTTTTGCACCCTTGGGTGTTTACAATTTTTATAGCTGCTGCCTGCCATCATGCCTTAAAAGTTGAATATAGTGTTGGCAGCTTGTTATTGAGTCAAAGCCACATCAAGAGTAAACCAGACTGCCCTGACTGGTTAGCCGTTTGTTTCAGGAGTAAGACCTGAGGGGAAAACAAGCACAAGCTCAAAACACTGTTATTGCAAGCAGAGGTGAAGATTTCTTTTTAAATAGCCTTGTGTGTTAAGACAAACATGATCGAAGCATTACATAAATAGTCGCAACATGCAGCGGCATGTTTTGAAAGTCAGCTTTCCATGAGACTGGAGCAAAAGATCGAGTTGTAAATGAAGATGTGATCTAGCCTCAGTCCTTAAAAGAAGTCCTGATCAAGCAGTTTAAAATGTCATAGTTTCTAATGAAGCATCTTTAAGGGTTGGTGGAGAACATATTCAAGTGCGCCATGTTTAGTCCTCCTTTGAAAATAGAAAGTGATCTTTTAAAGTGATGAAGCCCTGTCTTTATAAGTTTGAGTCCACATGCCAAAATCAAGGTTGTTTTGGAACCAAATTCACCTCTTTGCAAATGCTGTAAGATATACAGCAACAGAATTACATTACCCAACACTCAATAGACGATGTGACTGTTCTTTTTCTCTTTCTAAACCATGTTAATGTCTTCTGTGTATTGGATGGTGTATATGTCTGTAAGTCAGATGATGAGCTCAAATAAACTGAAGATTTCTCTTATTTTGTGTCTTTGTTGAAATGAACCAACATCTTCACTAAGATGGAAGGAAATAAAACACCTATGATTTTTTATTTTTTTACTTTACACTCAATACATAGGTGTACTTAAGCTTCACATAATATTAAAGGGATATTCGGGCGCAAGATTAAGTAAGGGTCAAACACATCGTAACACCAAGTTAAACACTCTGTCGGTCCATGAATGTTGCTGACCGCTTGCTTCTCCAGTTATACCGACTTTAGTAACGACCGCAGATAGCAATACACAGCGGTCTCAGGAGCCACACGCTCAACCAAAACACTTCTCTATAGCTACAAATAATGCTCAGAACAGCACCTAACTTCATCAACAGTACATATAGGGTCCCAGCCATAGCACTAGCCACCAAACATCTTTTAAGCTTTGCCTGATTTCTTTCGTAAAGAGACAAAACACAACCTACCCACTCTCTTCCAGCAGCAGCTTGTTTGTAGCGAGACTTCCAGGCCAGTCTATTATGGACTACAGTGGGGTGATGCAGCTCAAAGAAGAACATTTATGATCATTTCTTTATCATTTCCTTGCAGTAATAATCATCATATTAATCATTTTGCACTGCAGACGCGGTAGTTCTTCTGCCTTAGCGTCTTGGTCTGATTGCATTTCCATGAAGAAATGATCATAAATGTTCTTCCTTGAGCTGCGTCACCCCGCTGTAGTCCGTAATGGACTGGCCTGAGGTCTCGCTACAAACAAGCGGCTGCTGGAAGAGAGTGGGTGAGTTGTGTTTTGTTTCTTTGCTAAAGAAATGAGTCAAAACTAAAAAGATGTTTGGTGGCTAGTGCTGTGGCCAGGACCCTGTATGTACTGTTGATGAAGTTAGGTGCTGTTCTGAGCATTATCCGTAATGTCCCTTTAATTTTAATTAAGAAACCAATTTTTAAAGCAGATGTGATGTTTTTAATATTTGAAATTTTGTTGATTTCACTTGTGGAGAAAACATTTTCCAAGCAAGTCAAACATCATAACAGTGTGATATATTGAATGTTTTGTCCCCGTTAATGTAAGCTTACCTCTGTTAATTAAAATATCTATCAGAACCAGTGGACTGAAACACATCCTCTGTTTGAAACCCCCAATTTTTTGATGTTTTTTACTGTGTTAGTTAGGGCCTGTGTCCACCAACAACAATGTTCTGTGCTAGTGGTTCCTAAAACTTAAGAACAACACTGACCACTGATAGTTTATGCTTATTGTATCATTTAACATCAATGCAGATTAAACTGGACGTGTAAACATATTGAATACGAATATCAGAGGTCATGTCCCTTCTTGATTTTGATAGGTTGTTGGTGTAGGATGATGTTGACATGCCCAGTGGTGTGACAAAAGTTGAGTTATTTTCAACTGTGAGTGCAGAAATAAAACAACATCTGATAACATCGAGATTTTGCTAAAACGAAACAAACAGCTGTAAAATATAACACAGTAAAACAATAACAACATAACCCTGGTTTTGTCATTGTCATTTCCAGCGTTTATTATTTGGGCTGATGTGAACTTGAATGAACTTGACAGTGCAATGAAAGAGAGCTTCCTCTTTTTTTATTTTTAAATGATCAAACTTCACCTCAGAACAGAGGCAGCAGCGCATCTTTGGGAGGGTTGTGAGTTTTTGGTGGAGTACGTGACATATATTCAGCGAGAAACCACAGACTGCTTTGCTCTCGCGCAACAAAGCAAACATCCTGTTCTCAGATGTGTTGTTTACACGTCATAAATATCCAAAGTTATTACTTATTCAATATTTGAGTTATTTAAATTACTACCAATGCCTTGATAAGTAGAGTAACAGTTACTTTTTTATCTGCTGATACTATTTTTTATGATTGACACAATCTGAGGGAATGTAAAAAAACAACCACAGTAAATAAAGTCAGACAGACAATGTGAATCAGTTAAATTTCATGCATCAAATTTGTGTTTGTATGCCTCAAGCACAGTATAAGTTTTAACCGTTTCACTTTGAAATGAAAGCTTTTTATTCCCACAGTTGGCTGCTGCTTCATAAGCTCTCGACCTGACTAAGTGGAATCATTTTAACCCACAAAACTGGTGTAAAGCAGTGTCTTACCCACAACCCAAAGGAACATATAGATGACGCAGTTGTGCAAGCAGAGACCATGACCTTTGTACACAAATCGTGAAAAACCCCATTCCTTTAAGACGCACACTAAAGACCTCATTTGTTTTCTCATCAATACTTTTATCTTAAAACTCCGATTAGCTGTTTGCCTAGTCAGAAGTAAGACTCACTAGTATGTTAATATCAGCTGTTTGAGGGCTTGTGTTGCAACAGTCTGCTGTTTCTATGCATTTCAATTATTTTCTGCAGGAGAGAAAGTTTTTAAGCCCCCGTATCTCTCAACATACACCCTGTCATTTACATCTAATGCCAATATACACCAAACACACTATCAGAGATGCCAAATCTTTTGAATAATTTGTACAAGTGTGCATAAAACGTGACATTTTGTAACAAAGAAAGTGTGAAACCAACAACTCACATGAGCAGAGACTGTTTAAAGTGATGCATGTGTTTATTGTGTGGGCAGTCCACCATTGATGGAAGTGAAACCAAGAATAAGGTTTGACCAAGTTTTAAGGTTTGTTGTGTTAAACTCAGTTTGTTTTGTGAAAGAATCGATTTAATATCAAACTTTTTATTGTCGGACTAACATACATGATTAATGTGTGTACAGCTCAATCGCACTGAAACTGGTCTGAGTGTTCTACGCAATCTCCAGTGTTCGCACGCCAGACTTCGAGCCAGAAGTTGAATGACATGGATGCAGACGATAAAAGACTAGACAGACGATAAAAAGACGTAAAAAAAAAAAGATGAAACTTTCCTATTGAAACGAACAGTACAGAGTCATAAAAGTGAGGATGTTTTTATTGTATGTTGTTTCACCAGTAAACCTCTTGCTTACGTATTTTGACAATTAATGAGTAAGAGGACAACCAGAAGATGCCCACAAAGGTCGTTTCCAACATTAGTCATATCTCTGATGGAACAAATAGCCAACAATAGTTTTAAATTCTAAGTGAGATAGCTATTCAAATTTCAAGGGGGACCAGTGTCTGGTCTGACTCCCCGGCCCCATTTGAACACGCCCCTGTTATCAATGACACACATTTGCTGTTGTTGGAGATTAGTGGAGACAAAGAGTAAATAAGTGCACTCATCTATGTGTGCAGGTGCACAGCCACCCAACACGATTGTGGTGACAAGAAAGGGAACGAATGTAGCCTGAAAATTTCTACTGAACTCACATGAGATTCTCTCTCATTACTGAACATGTGGGGTTATTCCCACGTGCTTCAAACTGCATCGGTCTGGTTTTTGACTGATATACTGATATGACTGGGCTGATGTCAAAGGGAGGTGACGCGCGCAGTGATAGATCCACGGAACTGTAAACAACTTTAGGGTGTACAGAGTTTAAGATGAACTGAAACAGAGACTTTGTGGCCTCTAACACCAATGCAGTGTGGTTTTTCTTCACTGGCTCAGACAGACAGCTCAGTATTCAAATGAAGCGCAGAGGAGGAGCTGACTTGAGTGGCCCTGTGAAGAAGAGGCTTCCCTGTCAGTTGGGAGTGTGACAACGACGAGAAGTGCAGGTCGTAGTCTCGGAGCATTACTGGCAAACCATAACAACCAGACTGGTGATAATTTCACTGTGGGTTTTAGTGCTTTTACTCGGGATTGGGCGGAATACGAAGTTAGACTTCTATGCGTAAAAGTGACATTTTGTGCGCCATGGATTGGCTTGCTGCTGGAAAACCTGGTGAGCGCGCATTAATGGAAAGTGTCACAACTTCGGAAGCGAAAGAGGAACCTTTGCTCGGTGTGAAACAGTGAAAAGACTCAGTTGAAGAGGTCCCTGCAGATATGAACTCCACGGCAGCCACGGGAAGATTCCAGCCCCCCACCATCCCGGCGATCATGTTCATTTTCGGGGTGGTGGGGAATGTCATTGCCATCGTGGTTCTGCGGATTTCACGAAAGGAACAAAAGGAGACAACTTTTTACACCCTGGTCTGTGGCCTGGCGGTGACAGACCTCCTGGGTACCCTGCTGGCCAGCCCGGTCACCATCGCTACCTACATGAAGGGCGCGTGGCCAGGCGGGGAGCCTTTGTGCCAATACGCCGGCTTCATCCTGCTCTTCTTCTTCTTGGTGCAGCTCAGCATCGTATTCGCGATGTCGGTGGAGAGATTCTTGGCAATCAACCACGCGTATTTCTATAACGAGTACGTAAACCAGAAACTCGCTGCGCTCACTCTTGTGGGCATTTACATTTCCAACATCGTGTTCTGCGCGATGCCCAGCATGGGGATCGGCCAGGTGAGGCGGCAGAAGCCAGGGACGTGGTGCTTCATAGACTGGCATAATAACGACACAACAGTGGAGACCTTTAACCTGATGTACGCAGGTATTAATTCAGTTATTGTTCTCGCTACTGTCATATGTAACGTGATGGTGTGTGGAGCTCTGATCCTGATGCACAAACGCTTCATCCGGCGCACATCTCTGGGCACAGACCGAAGGCGCATCGCGGAGCTCAGGCGCAGGCGGAGTTTTGGACGTTTAGCTGCTGCAGAGATCCAGATGGTGATTCTGCTTATTGCTACCTCCGCTGTGGTTCTCATCTGCTCCATACCTTTAGTGGTAAGTACTAAAAAAATGAATCCAGCCACGTTTTAAGGGGGAGTGTGCATGCGTAAAGGTTGTTCGTAAGAGCTGAGTAGATTTTCCCAAATGAGCCACTAAAGAAGATTATAAATCAGTCAAACATAAAAACTCAGTGAGAGATAATGCAACGCTTGTTTGCTTACAATAACAACAACGGATCAAAACAGGCTTCCCCTCTGCTGGGGGTGGATAATCATAAAAACATGCCACATGAACTTTGTGTTCTAGTTATCGGTGTTTGTGGTTTGATGGCGCATTCCTCCGCAACGCACGAGAGATTGTGAACTCCCTTAGCAGAATTTGCATACTTTCAGAGCTGACCTAGAAGGGAAGTTGGCTCTTATAGTGGATTTGTGCCATCCATCACGTTTTTTTTATGTGCAAGCAGTCCGGGGGTTCGAGGAGTTGACTCACTTTTGCTCTCGTCACCGGACTCCAGGGTTCAGTTTGAGATCTGAGGGACCGTGAGATTTCTCCCATGTGTCTTGCAGACTCTCATGCATGCATAGGGCCAACTTGTGAGCAAATTAAGGTCCTATAGGGGACCAATATAAACATTTTTAACGTTGTTTTTATTTCAAAATATATAAATGTAGATGTCAAAGTCCCCAGTCTGGATAGAAATGATTCTTAAATATAAATGAAGGTATCTGTCTTTTAAATGTGAAGCTGTTTAGTGCAAAAGCAGATTCAGAGAATTTGGGACTTTTGGTGGAACTATAATCTTTATCCTCACATAGAAATGTAAGATAAGGAGAAATGCTGCTTAAGCGTGGAAATTGTTTTCAGACAGACTTGGAAAAAATGCATTAAGTTCCTTTAATCACTTCCATTTATGACAAATGTCAAACATAATTGAGACTTTGACACTCTGGCTTTGTGAAAAGAGCGCTGTTGATTAGCTAATTTCGGGGGAAGCACAATTGCCAAAGGCTTCATATCTGCACTGCTGTGGTTACACTCACAAGTTACACTCAGCCAAGCCCCTTTTTTTAAGACTGGAAAATAAACATTATTGTACTCCTGTAAAATGAATACAGATATGTTTGGACATGTTTGAAATCACTGTGTTTGCATTTGAAAGTGCCATTTCACCCTCCATAACAGAATCTGTGCCTCTTTTTTGACTTCATTGTGTCCATTGTTTTCTTCCAGTTGAGGATCTTTGTAAACCAGCTGTACAGGAACCAGAAAGAAGAGCCTTTAGGGTTGAACCAAGACCTGCTTGCAATCCGCATGGCCTCTGTCAACCCCATCTTGGACCCTTGGATCTACATCCTGCTCAGAAAGACAGTGGTCCTCACGCTGATGGAGAAAATCAAGTATCTGTTCTGTAAAATGGGCGGACGGGGAGGGAGAAACGGCGGGCAGTTCCGCTGTGCCGATGGACACCTCTCCTCCTCCATCATCTCCAGGGATACTCCCTCTATGATGTCACATGAAATGCCGGAGATAGTGACCACCTCACAGACTTTCTTGTACCCGTCAGAGGGGAATACAGGCAGGTTAGAGTCACTTCAAGAACTGGCGCCAAATGCGCGGACATTACAGGGCTCACGAGAGGTCGATGGAGCTCGGACGGGGCTTTTACAGACTGAATCGGAGGACACAAAACCAGGAGAGACTCTAAAAGAGCTTCCAGTGTGCAACAAAGACCCAGCTATGTATGTGGCACTGACAGACAAGACTGCAAACACAGTAGAGAAGTGTATATAACAGTCTGCATGATCTCCAAAAACTGATGATTGCACTGCAAAGACATGAGAATATTAGACAAACGTCTCAAGACTGAATACTCATCAATCACTGTGTAGATATCTCTTTGCCTGCTGGGAAAAAAATGTTTTAAAATTGATTTGAATGTCTGTTTTGGATGTATTAAACCTCCATCATCATTTTAACACAAAGACTAAATCTGTAAAATATGAAACAATCACACATTTGCTGACTAAATCAAACAGTATGATGTTGCTGAGGAGCCTTTTTTGTTGCACTTTCTGGATTCTAAGACCACTGCTATGTTGTCTGTTATGTTCCTTTTGTGAAGCATATCGACAACCTGTGCAATGACTGCAAAGAATCCATGTTAAAATGTGAACCATTATGATTATTTATTCTGTTATTCTTCTCTGTGAGAAGGTTCCGGATTGTTTAGAGCCATTTTTAATCAGTACCAAATGAATATGTTTATAGTGTTTTTTCTTTGGTTTCACAGAAACACATCTTTGAATAATTAGGTCCAACTGGTGACTTCAAAGCTAGAATCATCCCATTTCCTGCATTTCACAATAAAGGGCAGCTACACGTTGGCTTTTCCACAACACAGACACTGGAGGGTGGTAGGAGGCTCCAAAGGGAATTGGGATACAATAAATGTCTTCATCTACTCTTTTCCCAGGCCATTACTTTTACGGATTAATCCAAGAGTATCTGCCTTAATGTTGTGTGAAAAACCCTCTTATATCAGAGTTTATTGAGCAGTTAAGAAGGAAAATGCAAACCTTATGATAAAGTTGAATGGTTTTGCATTTTCTTTTATGGATTCCTCGGTGTCACACTTTGTTAATGTTTTTGTTGCTGTAAAGATAAATATGAATATTGTACTCCAGTTTTGTTTGGTTGACAGCCAGTGATGAAACTTTCCAAAATGTGTGCACCTTCATGACTGTTGTTGTACCAATCTCATGAATAAGTGAAATTAAAAGTTAGTGAACATTCCTATAAATCTGCAAGTTTGTGTGACTTTTTTTTAACCAAGAAACTGTTGAAAGTAAGTTCCAGTACAGAAGTCAAGTTTATAAAATGAACTGAATGATATGAAGCTGAAATGCCTGAAAAAGAATTACGGAAGAATGCTATAGGAGAGGATGACCAGATTTATTTTGGGGGGTTCAGGGTCTATAAAGTGTGAATATGAACAAAAAAGTTAAAGACAAATGTATTAACCCTTTAATGCCTTTTGTATCATATTTGATACATACTTTTATATACTTCTATCAAATTAATATGATCAACAAATTACTACAAAAACACCTGAATACAGTCCGATAAATGATAAAAATGTCCTGTTGTAGTTTATTAGTTTCCAAAAACATCTAATGTATCAAACGAGATAAATAAAGATATTTGTTCAATTTTAAGGACATTTTGATTTTTTTGGTTTTCAGTAGTAAGTGAAATAAACATTTCAGCTCCCAAAAAACTGTGAATTTTCTGGCCATAATTTGTGGTGTCAGGCATTAAAGGGTTAAGTTAACTTTTTGCAGCAGTGATCTAACATTTTCACAAATTAGAGTTCTTTATATGTGTGGACTTGCTATTTTTTATTGTTTAAAATCAACTTCTGTACCATTTTAAACAGCTTCTATGACAGACAGTCTGATGTTTGTTGGAGGAAGTGAAGAACAGAGAAATGGACAGGCTCATAGCCTGACCAGTTCATTTATTGATTTTTTGTTTGGAGGTAAAATTTTACAGTTTTTACACAACTTTTGGCACCTTTATTGTATGAGTTGGCTGCTTCTACTTACATGGGAGGTAAAATAAATCTTTTTATAATTTAATTATAATCAATTTACAACTGAATAATGTGAAAAAAATCTGAAAAAGTTAATTGTCTTTGAAAATATAACGAGTTAGTGGTAGCTAAAAGAGTCCTGATAAGATTAAATAATAATAATAATTAATAAATTCAGTGTTGATAGCTTGGTATATGCTTGACTGAAAAAATGATATGTAAACACTTGCTTCATACTTACGTATCAAAACCCTGATTGATAACATTTACAGATGTAGAAATGAAGATAAGTGTCCTGCATTAATATTATCTTACTTAGTGCATCTGTTATTTGGTTCCAACCAATCTCCCCTCAGATAAATAAAACAAATTTCTGACTCACAGCAAGTCCAGGTGATATGATATTATTGATCGACAGTCAAATGCTTTCTTCACCCAGAGTGTTTCCAGGGCAAAAGTGGCTGCTGCCAAGAGTCTTCCAGTATCACTTAAAACCTCATCTGGGAACTAGATCCCATTAAAACAAAGCTGTGACCTCAGACTGCAAAATCTATTCGAGCTGCAGAATCTGTTAAAGCTGCAAAAATCACTCGTAAATGATCGACTAAACAGTCATGATAGAGCTTTAACAGAGGAGAGAAGGAAAAATGGTTGGAAACTTGTCCCATCTTTCCTGAACTCATCATCTAACACCAGTAAGAGAGTAAAGCATATGTGACATTTGACCCCAGCATGAGGATCAAGAGTCTGTGAAAGTAATCATCTGTTCAAAGATGGCACTGGAGGAGCAGTGAGTGTTAGTGATCGAGCACTGGGATGTGAGTAAGAGCTACTGGGAATTCCTGGAAATTCAGCATGTTTACGTTTGAATATTTGCGCAGCTGACGGTTGTGCCAACATGCAAAGTGCTCAAGATAAAAACAACATGATAACACTCAACACTCAATATAAAAGTGGCAACCATGAGCCAGTGAGAACATGCAAAAATACTGCAGTTCCTGGAGTGACCACCTGAGGCTGTGTCCAAAACCAAAAGAATCTCAATTAAAGGGATATTTCGGCGTAAAATTAATTTAAGGTCAAACACACTGTAAAAATGAGAGGACACCCTCTCGAGAGATGAATGTTGCCGACTGCTTGCTTCTGTAGTTATACCAACTTTAGTAACGACTGCACGATAGCAATATAGAGAGCCACGCACTCAACCAAACATCATTTTAACTTTGCCTGATTTCTTTAGCAAAGAGACTAAACACAACTCACCTGCTCTCTTCCAGCAGCTGCTTGTTTGTAGTGAGACCTCAGGGCGAGTCCATCAACTGCAGCAGGGTGACGCAGCTCAAGGAAGAACATTTATGATCATTTCTTTATCATTTTTCTTGAAGTAATAATCACCAGCGTCTCAGTCTGATTGCATTTCCATGAAGAAATGATCATAAATGTTCTTCCTTGAGCTGCGTCACCCCGCTGCAGTCCGTAATGGACTGGCACGAGGTCTCGCTACAAACAAGCGGCTGCTGGAAGAGAGTAGGTGAGTTGTGTTTTGTCTCTTTGCTAAAGAAATTAGGCGAAGCTAAAAAGATGTTTGGTGGCTAGTGCTGTGGCTAGGACCCTATATGTACTGTTGATGAAGTTAGGTGCTGATCTGAGCATTATTTGTGGCTATAGAGTGGCTTTTTGGTTGAGGTTTTGTTTATGGCTCCTGAGACTGCTGTGTATTGCTATCCTGCAGCCATTACTAAAATTGGTTTAACTAGAGAAGCAAGCGGTCACCAACATTCATCTCTTGAGGGGGTGTATAACTCGGTTTTACAGTGTGTTTGACCCTAAATTAATTTTACGTTGGAATATCCATTTAAGCCCTGTATCAAAACGCCCAGCTCTCAAGCAGAATTAAACATGTTAATAGGCTGTTTAAAGCAGGCTGAAGGCTCGACTATAACCAGATGATCAAACTATTGTATAAAAATGATAACAGTATAGTCTGTCTCTGACCGTAACAACAAGGTTCAGAAGCATTGTATAGAGAAAAATGATCAACAGTTCATTAAAATCAACCTGAAGTGTTGTCTTTGTTTCCTCAAGGGTTCAGTAAACTTGTCATAGATTTGTTTGTTTCAACTCACAAAAAACGTTAACAAAGAAATAACTTACTAGCTGTTGGACCATTTACACAAACGTGTATTTAACCTAAAACCACTTGGCACACCCTGAACACACACACACAGGCCACCTCTATCTATCTTATTATGCAACATCGAAAACCAACAGCTGCAGCTGCAGCAGCAGCGATGATCTGGGTGTGTCCTCCGCCCAGAGTAATCATGTTCCTTTTTGTTTTATATATTTGTTTTAGATCTAAATCAATTTGTAGACACCTTTTCTCTTTGTCTAAAGCACACTGACCAAAGCTGAACTTTCACTGACAACCCTATAAATACTTTTCAGCAGCTCTGTCAGCCGTTACCTGTGTAAATCTTGAGTCCATTTTGCTTTCTTTTTGCATTGAATTTTTGCATTAATCTACTCATCTGATGAAAAGATTGTAAATCATTTTCACATATTAAGAGATAACGATGTGGTATTATTAAGAACTACACCGAATTTGAAATGACCTCCCAGTTTTTTCCATATTTAGTTTATGATTAGATTCAAATCGTTTAACCGACACCGAGGCTGCTTATTCTTAGAACTTTCTGGCCCTTTTGTAGAAAGTCATCTAGCTTTAATTTGATGCTATCTTACAAAACTGAAGAGAACCAAGTGTTTCAAAAACCAAGCTGAGAAAGATTTAACAATGTCCCAAAATTGTCCATCATAGTTGTTATTAAGTTATGAAATACACAAACACGGCAAAACAGGATTAAACTCAGCCTCTCCAATTTGCTGTACTTTTAGAGCACTTCAAAGACATTGCAACACACTGTCAGTGTGGCTTTCCCTATAAATCAAGAGTACAGTATTTATGTATTTGTAAGATATAAATAGATGCTTCAGTCTTATAAAAATCTATCACCAAATTTATTGAATATCTTTAGTTTTCGGTTAAATTTTGGTGTCACGGCCAAAGATACAATCTCATGTTCACATATAACATGTAAAAACATGCAAAAACTCTAAATTTAACAAGTGTTTCTGTCTTATTTTACAGTGAAATTAGTCCTATTACACTTAATATAAGCCACATTAACATTACAATGCAAAAAATGTCTTATTCAAAGCCATGACAAGCCAGAAATAAGAAATGACTTGTTTGTAATGATTTTTTTAAAAAGTGCCAATAGAACAAAAAAAAAAAGCTTATTTCAATAGGAGTTAAGATCCTTAAAATAAGAGTAAATTCTTAATTCACAAAACTCCAAAAATATCAACACAAACTCATCTACAAACTAACAAAACTCAGTCACTCAGTACATACAAATACATGCATGGTCATGACTAGTTTGCCAATTCTGAGCTATTGCAGACACATGGCAGTGTGAGACCTGCCTACCTGAATTTAAACAAACCAGTGAGTATTGTATTCCTCATCTGTTCTGCTCAACGCCTCCAAGTATCACACACTGCACCTTTATATGGTTTGATTCATTGTTCTGTATCAACCGAGCGTGACTTAATAAAACATCTAATACTGCACACTTAAAAGGATGGAAAATATAAGACGGCATATCTGGGTTGTTTAGCTTATATTTCATTTAGCAGTTTACAAACCATCCCCAGTAGTTTAGGCTATCATGTCTGCCTCTGAGTGGTTTCTGAATTACAAAGACGGACTGAAAATTTTAACCAAGACAATCAATTCATGCTGAGACCACTTCAAAGTCCTCTTGCTTTGACAAATTGTTCCTCTGATAGTGTTTCTGTATCCTCTGACCCCCCTTCCCCAGTGAGGACATTTTTGATATTCCCCTCAGAATCCATGACCACGGCGGTCCGCTTCAGCTCTTCGTAACGTGTCTGTCTCTCGGCAACAGCCTCGCAGGCGGCCAGCACCTCATCCGACTCAAAATCAAAGTCCTGCTCCAGCTCAGGAGCATGGAGGATCTGCTTTTTGGTCTCCTCCTCTTGCCGTATTTTCTCCTTGGTTGCTAAGTGTTGCTTCTGTAACTTACACGCCCACGCCAGGTCTTCCTGCCACAGAGTGGGCTCTGAAGGGCACAGGTGGATCGCAACTTGGAAAGATTTCACAGCCTGTAGAGATAGTAGAGCAGGATTAAAAGTGGTGGGCATGAAAGAAAGGAGTTTTTCTCAAACCCAGACATTCCTGCCGCTCTACTGCATCCAAATTTATGGTTTCATTAAAAAGACATCAATATCTCTGAGCTGAGTGTGCAGGTGTCGATCGATGTGAAGTTATAGCTCGATTTAACAGAAATACAAGCGGCCCCCTGATTCTTAATGGATGATGAAGTCAACCTCAGACTGTGGAGATTTGCTGCCTGTGAAATTATCAAATAAATCTGTAGCCTGCTATGAATGTACTAACACACCTCTGTCAATAAAGATCCATTCAGACTTAAAAAGTTGAACGCCTCATGATGTCTGGGAAACTGGGATTATTCTTTTTAAATAAATCCATAATAATAAAATCAAGCCTCACTTAGAAATTGTTAACCTAATTTTGTAAACCATGATGAAAGCATTAAATAGATAACAATTCCTACAATTTTATATTTTAAGAATTATCATAAAAAGACTTAAAATTATAAACAACTGCAATCTAGGTGTACAGTGGAATAGTCTTAAGTGCGACTACACCACAGGGGAACATTTGCTTTGCAGCATGGCAAACATTAAATACCTCAAATCAGCTAAAACTTAAGCTCTCTCCATGCAGGTACGCAAATGTCCTACTTTTTAGTCACGTAGATATTCCCAGATATCTGCTGAGGACTCCATCAGTCAGGTAGGTACCAAATAACGTGCGTGTGAACACGTTTCATTGTTGACTGACAACAGCACAAAGTTGTTGAACAGCCTAAAATTTCATATCTAGGCCAAACCGTTGTGGTTGTTTTTTGTCTATTGTTGATAGTCTCTGTGGTTAATAATTCTTCATCAATATTTAAGTAGAGACTAACATGTAGTTATTTGCAGTGACACCTTATGGAGGAATGTGCCATACTCTGAATCACAAGAGCCAAAACATTTTAGTGGCATTTAACAGCTGTCGATTTCCAACCCAGAAGTCGTTGAACCACTTTTTCAGGTCACCAAAATAACTGGTGAGAGTTTATAGTCAAAACTGTTTCAGTGAAATATTGATGAACTGGCTTGGTATTCAGGATAAGAATGACTTATCTTTAATGACATCAATACCATTATCAAGCTGTCTCAACAAGTTTGAATATATTCAAGAATCAACACTTTCATATCATTTGCTGGGCAGATAAAACAAAAGTCGCCTCCTTCATTTTGATGTAATCTGATGCAATATGTATGCTGACATGCTTGGCCACGCATGTGTTGGGCATCCCCCTTTCAATAAATTATGTTGTCCCGTACAGGAAATTGCATTTCACTTCCTCCTTATCGTCTGATTTGGACTTCAGTCTTCCTTGAACTTTCCAGAAGTCGTCTTCTTGTAGTTTAGGACCTGTTCCCTCCTCAGCGTAGTCTTGAGGAACAGCTACACCCACATTACATAGATAGAGTACTCTATATGCGTCATCCACAAAAGAAATGACATATCTATCTTATGTGCTCACGTGTAAATAAAAGGAGCTCACTCTTGAGTGGCACCTGTTTCTAGTCGCACAGTGAGCCACACCTGTTATAAAAACTCAACCGCAGTCAGATTGATTTGTGGAAAAAGAAAGGGAGAAAAAGTGTCTGTGAGGCATCAAACATGAAGAATTTAAATATATCAGGATGAATCCAAACTCAGGCTGTCCATCAAAAGCCTATCTTGGCTCAGAATAACAATTTCAAAACGATAAACAGAAAGAATAAAACAAGACAAAACATGTTTTTCATTAAAAAAAAAATTTGAAGGATTTTCTTTTGAAACAGTAAAAATAAACTGCTATGAATCTTATTGTTGCTGAGCCGTCATGTCAAGCTCTTAATGAGGACTTCACGTCATGCCAACTTTCATTACAACTTGTTCTGAAATGTTCCCTACATGTTATATAAATAACCTGCCCTGTTAAGTTCTCCTGAAAAGAAGTCTTTGACAAAATTCCTGTCACTGTTAAGTTTTTTTCTGCTTCATTAAATGAAACCGTCTGGGTCCAAAACAACATCTCAAGTTCAATCTTGAACAGACCTGTATCTCAACTCCTCTTTATTTTGAAAGTAATCCCTCAAAGGAAAAAAACACCACGGTGGGCAGATAAACCGGCTTCTGGTGGAAAATTACAGCCAAAAGAGACGTTAATGATAATAATGGGAAGATTAATGGCAACTGAGCTGTCATGCTGCACAGCACCTCGATGTCTGTTTTTAGAGCACCCAGAATTTGACAAAAAAGATTAAATCAAAAAGCTTCATGTTTGTTCAGTGCGGGTGCTTTCATCTCTGAGGGAGAAAGCGAGGCACGGCAATCAAAGGAAGGATTTATTTAAGAGAAAACGGGGAATCTCTGCGTTCACTTTTTGCACAAACAGGCAATACTCAAACATGTTGATGCACACAAAGCTCCTGAACTTGACTCGACAAGTCTCGCTAAAAATAACCCATCAACTTTTTTTCTCCTCTTCCTTCCCAATAGCTTGATTACACAAAGAGGTGTGTCTATATTTGGTTTAGTTTTTTTGCCCGACCAACTTTCAACACTTCCTATTGTTGTTTTTTTGCGCCGTAAGACAGGTCTCTCCATCAAAGAGACATGCGGTGCCTTGAGCTGAAGGCTTCCTGAGCTTACCCCCCTGTTTTTTTTGCTTGCCTCCAAATGGGCCAACAGCGTAACTGTGATATGCAGGTTTCATACAGCCACAGGTCTCGGCCTGTTCTGGGGCAATTTAAGCAATCATTCAAGCCGGAGGCGCCTGGGTGTACTTTGAAAGACGGACTTCTTCTCAAGGAAAAGGATCTGTCAACAAGTCGTAAACATGACAAATGGCATATCTTTGCAGCCGTTCAAAAGGAGAGCAAATCTGATTTATAGTCACATAAATATGAGGTATAGCTCACTGCAAATGAGCAGGGGTATTCCTCTGAACATCATTAATGACTGACCGAGCAGGAAGCTTTGGTACTTAGGCAACACAAAGGTTGTCTTGTGTTTGCAGAATGGCACCTTTTTGACTCTGAATAACTTCTAACTTACATAAAAATCACTGCAGGATTCAGTTTTAGCTACCTGTAACCTAAAGTCATCTGTTATAAATAAACAATGGGATGTTCAGGTTCTGTTGTCTCCTCCTACTGTGACTCACTCATTTGTTTACGGCCCTGAATCGAGGGCAGTCAGGCAGCATTTGTGAACACATCGTACTCTTCTTTGTTTTTTTTTGGTGGGATTGTTCTGCGAGCTGAACTCACCAGCTCCACCTCTCCCAAGTTGAGCTGGGCACGGCCTAGAGTCTGCCAGCCCTCCCACCACAGGGGGCGGAGCTTCACTGCCATCTCTGCTGCTTTAACTGCTGGAAACACCTCCTGCAAAATGGTCAGCACCTGGGGAGAAAAAAAAAAAAGATGTCAGGTTGATGCTGTAAAATTTGCCTGTTAGGGAGGAACCCTTTACAAAGAACAAAGAGTGATTTCCATTGTTAGCAGTATAGGCAAGGTAAAGAACTTGAATTTCATGATGTAATGACTGGCTTTGGTAAATTTGGGCTCAATCTCCTGTAGATCAATCTCTCCATCTATCCATGTCTAGACAGTAGGGCTGGGTGATATGGGAAAAAGTTTATTACGATATATTTCTTTCATATCAGTCAGCATCAATATCACAATATAAAAAATGAAATTTAACAGTGTTTATTGGTAGCATGTCTTCACTGCGTCTGTGAAGTTTTTGTGTCTCTTCGACGTTTTGTCATAGCGCTGGAGAGGGCGGACTGAATGATCGGCTGTTTCGGCTGCACAGGCGCCATGGGCTCCTTGAGGTATTCCTAGACTTTGCGAGAACATGTCACGTGTTAAAGTGCTATGGTTGTGTGTAGCTGCAGCCTGCTATGACGCAGTTGTTTGCTACTTTGTTTTAAATTAGCACATGATTGGTTCAGCGCAAAGCGGACCTGGAGCAACTCCCCTTTTCATTGGCTTTTCATATAGTCCACCTAAACATGGCAGAATGCTGACTATTGAAAAGGACATTGACCATATTTTATATTGATATTAAGGGGAAACTAATTTTCGATATAAATCTTTATCATTTTATCGCCCAGCCCTAACAGTAGCTGAGATATCAAGAACTGGCTGAGGTAGTCCACAAATTTAAAGACCTCCCCTCCACCCATATTATTAATGTTACTCATCATCTTTATTAATATTGAATGTTGTTGTTCTTCTTCTTCTTATTATTATTATTATTGATATTATTCTTCTATTATAATTTTCATTTGCTTGTCTGACAATTGTAATATTCTTTATCATTATTATTCATATATATACATACACACACACACACACACACACACACACACACACACACACACACACACACACACACACACAAAACCACAAATGCTGTTGTTTGTTGTTTGTTGTCTGTCTTGCATTGTCACTGTAATAAAAAATAAAAAAATAAAAAAAACTGGCTGTAAAAAAAATAAACAAAGATGACTTCTTCTTTTATGTTATTTATTTTTCAGACAAATGTGGCCAAATAAACCCTGTTTTCACCTCCTCCAGTGTGGCTACTTCTGATTCAATCCTAGCTTATATTTCCCTTAGATTCTGGTGCCACACATAGTTTTCATTATTCTGCACAAGCCGACTAACAACCTCAGCAATAAATCAACAGGTTAATCTTTGATGAAACATTTAGTTGAAGCCCTGCTGATGTGACTCATTCGCCGCATGAACACGCAGTGCAGTACAGCGCAGAACAATGCCCAGTCATAGTCACAAGATGGCTCTATAATTTACTTATCCGTGTTAACATTAAACAGACTTGTACTGACCTCGTTAAGCCTGAGTCATCTTTTAGATGGACATTAAACAGAGAAGTACTGTATATGCAGTTTTGAAGTGATAGTTCAGTCATTCAGGAGACAAACTGTCCACAAGCTTCTGCATACTCAAAAATAAAACACAGTTATTGGCTAGACATGCTGATTCTTAGCTGTGCCGCAGAGTACTGTGGTTTTTATTCACTCTGTAGAAATGCATTTTTAACCACAGAACTAAAATGAGTGGGGAACGCTATCTTCCATTTACATGGTGTGGTTGGAGCACTTGAGCGAGAAATTAAGAAGCAAGAGTATCAGCGCCACATGAAGAAATTCTATTCAAAGGGATGCACTGAGCTCCAACCAGGTCTGGCATCTGCAGGGAATTTAATAATTGGTTTAATATTCATAGTTGATACAAAGACACATCCAGGGAAAAGCCACTAATATGAGAAGTTGTCTGAGAACTGAAACACAAAGTTAAAGTGTAAAAAGAGAGGATGAAAGCAATACAGCGATTAAAATACAGATGCATTGACTTACATCATGGACTTCATAAAAATGTATCGCGCAACAGCTTCCCAAAAGTGAAGCCAAAAGTACCAAGTCATCATTGACCTGGCCTCCTCCATACTAGCAGATGGGTCAAACTTAAATTTTCTGAGTCATGGTTAATATGGCGGCCTCTATGCATGGTGCATTTCTAACCTGTAAACAGACACTGGTTTTTAGAGGTGATTTTGCAGCCCATGCAGTGATTTCTACTACAGACTAGCCACCAAACATCTTTTTAACTTTGCCTGATTTCTTTAGCAAAGAGACAAAACACAAATCACCTACTCTCTTCCAGCAGCCGCTTGTTTGTATGGAGACCTCAGACGAGTCCATTACCGCAGCGGGGGACGCAGCTCAAGGAAGAACATTTATGATCATTTTTTATCATTTCCTTGAAGTAATAATCACCATGTTAATCATTTTGCACTGCAGCTTCTCAGTCTGATTGCATTTCCATGAAGAAATGATCATAAATGTTCTTCCTTGAGCTGCGTCAGTCCGCAGCAGTCCATAATGGACTGGCCTGAGGTCTCCCTACAAACAAGCGGCTGCTGGAAGAGAGGAGGTGAGTTGTGTTTTGTCTCTTTGCTTAAGAAATTAGGCAAAGCTAAAAAGACGTGTGGTGGCTAGTGCTATGACTGGGACCCTATATGTACTGTTGATGAAGTTAGGTGCTGTTCTGAGCATTATTTGTGGCTATAGAGTGGCGTTTTGGTTGAGTGTGTGGCTCCTGGGACCGCTGTGTATTGCTATGTGCGGTCATTATTAAAGTTGGTATAACTAGAGAAGCAAGCAGTCGGCAACATTCATCTCTCGACGGGGAGTGTAACTTAGTGTTATGGTGTGTTTGGCCCTAAATTAAATTTTACGCCGGAATATCCCTTTAACTCATGCAGTTTCCCGTGAGACCCTGCTTCTCTAAAATGCCCTTAATCTAATTCAGCCCAAAGAGCCGATTCCTACCGATAGAGACTGTGACTCTAAGTGTGCAATATTTCTGAGTTTGTTGTAGGAGCTGCTTTGGCATCACTGTATACATCGCTGTATGCAGTCAGTGGTTCAAATTTAAACAGTCATAAAAATACCAAAAGACATTACTGGAACAGGAAAAAACCCAATTAGCCTCACAAGTTTACAACAACATCTACAACGGCTTTATTGACCAAAGTTTCAAATATCATCATAAAGCCGGAGAGATGTGGTGACATCTTAACAAACGGATCCAATTTCCTCCAGCGCACAGTACAGTCACAGTCAGACGTATCAGTTAGATGCTGATTGAGTTAAGAAGGAAGAAAGCAATTGGGGGGAAGTGAAAGACCAGATTCCCCGTAAGTCTCCTCATCATCTGGGGCTACTACTGGGAATACGCTGAGGTCGGTCCTGCTTATTTTCAGTGACTTTAATGAAGCAAAAACGGAAGTCTGTGCTAATGTCATGTTTTGAGTAACCAAAGGCATCGAGGGGAAAGACGCTTTTTTTTCAGTGGTATTTTCCAGGCCTGGACAATAATGACTTCCTCCTCAAATATCCTATCATGATAATAACATTTCAGCCACACGTGATGTGAATCCTTATGGCTATAGGAAGAGACTTTTTATTGGGTTGTGGTCAAATGAATATTCAATAATGTAGAGGGGTCTGTCTACCTCCTCTGGCTGCTCCACTTCTGCTTAATATGCTGCGGCGATTATTCACAGGATGCATTTATGAGAAGCTGCAGTGGAGATACAATACAAACATACATTACAGCAGTATGGTCCCACAGGAAGCCGAGGGGGGAAAGGAAGGAGTAAATTGAGAAAAAACACACTGATGCTGTTAGGAAAGCTGCAGAATTTAGGTGGAGTCATAAACGCGCTGTTATCACGTGGCTTAAAAGCAAAGTCACAGGATGTGTTTTGTGATGTTGGCTGATAAAAAAAAAATAAAATAAGTCTCACACGAGCAGAGATGTGTAGATGTGCATGCAGAGCATTTTGGTGGTCAGGATTACTTTCAAACCAAGAGACACAAACAAAACTGAGTTTTATGATTTTCTAAATGGAAGAAAAAGTTACATACATGTTTTTAATATGATGTAACTGCACCCCTACAACTCTGACTGCAGCTGTTCAAGTGAATAACACTTTAAGCATGCTTGAACAGTCATGTACCAGGAAACAGCAGTAACCTGCCATGTGTCTGTCATACGATAGAGGGCTAGATCAACCACATCCCCCACACAGTGGATTTTTCAGGGAGAGTTTAGCATTTTTCAAGTCCATATTCATACAATCACCAGAGTTCCATATGTAGAGAGGCATCCTAACACCAGAATTTAGAGCATGGGATACAATACCAGAAAAAAATCAAAAGATATCAACAAAAAATGTACCCCAGAGCACCTAAATAATAACAAGAACAGATAATGTAGAACTGAAACGACATGTTCCCGCTGAATGATCAACCATAATGCAGAGGAAGTCTGAACTCTGTCAGTCTTATTGTGACATTTAAGGGGCGTATTCTTTTGTGCAGAAGTGTTGTGCTCACAACATGAGTTGTGATTGTGAAATGATTAATTTAAAGATACCAGGTGACATCTCTCTCTCTCTTTTTTTTAACCGAGCCTGTCTCCAACAGATATAAATAGAGACTTTTAAAGGACTTTTAAAAAACATGTGTATTTGCTGACTTGTGAATAATGACGGTAAGAAATAGAGAGGTTGTAACTTGCACTTGGGACACAGGAATGTGAGTAATGATGTAGTCTTTAGCAGCAGTTGAAGTATGTCTCTACTACTACTCTCTGTCTTTATCACAGCCATAATTTCCTCTCTCTCCTTTGATCACAGAATCTCTGGGTGGGAATTAAAACAGTAAACCAGAATTTTATGTCCTTTTGTGCCTCCAGAGAAGTAGATCTGATAAACATCCTTGAATTAAGTCACTTGGGGAAATATTTCTTCAGAACTACGGGACTTTAAGGCATAATGAATTCACCTTGGGGAAAAAGTCTGCTCAGTTTTTCTGAATTAACAAGATAATTATGTCGTTTTAATCTCTTGTGTAGGATATTTTTAATCTCTACAAGGCTGTCCTGGTCAAATAAATTTAAATACATACAGAAATAAAATGGTTGTGGTCTCAATAGCAATCTTATTAATTTGTACATACTGTACGGGTTTTGAATCTCTGAATAACTTAGATAAAGGCTAAGAGTCGCCCAGGAGAAGATATAACTAAGAGCGGCTGATTTGACTGACAGGAGAGTACTTGAAAGCAGTTGGCAAAGACACTCCAGGTCCACCTCAACTCCACCTTTTTGTTGAATTTCAAATATTGTTACTGTTCTTTGCTCCTCTTTAAAGAACAGTGAGTGACATCCTTGAGACAAGAACCATAATTTATACAGTTTCTGTATCACAGAGGAAAAAAATGTATTTCTGTTTTTGCCACTCCATCCTTTTTCCATACACTGTACGTAATGAATCTGATGGTCTTTGAGCTCAATTAAGTTATGGAAATGTCAGAGCCTTCCATTGGGGAAAAAAGGTCTGACATGTGACAGGTATTCTGAGTAAAAAAGCAGACGATTGATTGAGATATGACATATACCTGTGACTTCATTTCATAGAGGTCTGGGTTGTCTGGAGTAAGATGAATGGCATCGTCCCACTTCTTTACAGCCTCCCAGTGCCTGAGGAAAACACACACACACAGTGGTTAAAAAATTTATTGTAGAACAGGGGAGGGTTGCATCATAAAAAGCACTAATTGCACAATAAACAATTATCTGGCAGAAACTGGTTTATTCTTGGGAAGCTTAACAATTTGATTTACATTTTAACAGCCATTCGTGTGAATTATGCATCAATGAATGTTTGCTGGCTTAGGCTACAAGCCATCAACACCCAACACATTGGTATTGCACAACATCAACTTAAGCATAGCTTGATATTGACTTTGGGTGATGAAGCTCTAACACATGACAGATTCAAACAGAGGATCACGTATCCCACTGTAATCGGACACTCGCTTCCATTGTCTCCACATTGAGTTTGATCAACATTACGTAACTTCGGACAGGCCCACATATTTGTTAAGCAGGTATCAAACAGCTTGTTACCGTAGTTATTTCCAAATAAAAAGAAGTCTTCCGCCAATCTTTCAGAGATAACTCCGTCTACGCAAAATGTGGCTTAGTTTAAAGCTCGTGTGAGGAGTTTATCACGTAATCACCAGCCACAAAATACACAAGAAAAAATAGTCATGGCTTTTTGTGACCCACTAAAGCAAATGAGACCATCAGCCACAAAACAATTTGAATGACACATTTCACTTGGGGGACACTGGGCATCAGTGAGTAAGCAAAATGATCTAGGAATGATTGCACAACACATGGGCACTGTGTTGGCACTTTTTTTACATTACACTGCATTAACAGTGTAACACTTGTACAGAAGTAGAAACAGAAGCTGAATTTCACAGATTAAGCATTTTGGAGATATTTTTTTCCTTCAAGTGGTGGCTTCAGAGCACACAAGTGTGACAGGTCAGCATGTATTTTAATACTTAATTTTAAAAGCCAAGTTCAAAAAGTTCATTTGAATGCATTACTTTGAAGCCTGGATCAAGACACCGATAAAGACGTCCTTATTTCGTTAATGCAGACTTAAAAACTTCTTTTAGAATGCAAAATAGTTACATTTTAAATTTGCATTTTATTGTGATTAACTACGTATTAATTCTGTGATAAATTGAAATCTTAAAAATGATTTCACAGCCCATATTTTCACACAAACAAAAGGTATTTTGGTAGTTATTTTTTGATCCATGTTCCCAGGACACTATGCTAAACTGGCTTCTTGTTTCTATAAAGTCTCGTGCTTCCTTCACGTTTCCTCCTTCTTGACACAATGGGAGTACAAAATATACAACAAGCTGAATAAACACACAAGTTCACTGAGGTGTATATGGAGATCACAAATCAAACTATTAAGAGGAAAGCATTAGACCGTAGCCTTATTTGTCTAAGCCAGCAAGACATCACGACTATTGACTATCTGTTTTTGTACATAAGTAATATAGAGGTAGGCAGAAGTCCCATGAAGCCCTGCTGCTGACTCTTTTGAGCTGTGGCCATCATTGTGTTTGTGTTTTGCGTATATTTGTTTACCAGGGTTCACATGTAAAAATCTTTTTGGTGTGCAAATCTTATTATTTTTATACACTTAGAGGATGCATGCGATCATGCTAACTTCAACAACCCTCTCCTCCTTAAGTCAATATTGACTTTCAGATCACTTCAATTGCCTGAACAAGACAAAAGCTCTTAAAGATTATGAGTTGAAATCCTGGGTTTGACAAACAATATGTCAGTCTATCAGTCTGCTTCTTTTATGTCTTTATAAAGAAGGATATCCTGAAAATATGAGGAAACACAATGAATGAGGCCATTTGCACCGATCGGTTTCAGAACTTGGATTACAGCCTGAACTAGGATCAAGACTGTGATAACAAATGCAATGGTTATTTACGAGTTAGAAAGAGGAGTGAGGAAATGGGACTTGAGCAGTGTGGAAATCATACCATGAGATTAACCAAAGGACAAAGACAGATAGTTTGAGGAAGTTAAGCAATATGGGCTCCGAGTCCGACATATGAAGCCTGGGGGCTAAAAATGAAACCTGTGCTGTTATTACAACCCTGTTCATCGGTCAAAGAAAGGGAAGAGAGAGAGGAAGGGAGGACTGGAAACTGGGTTAATTCAGGCATTAAGTAATTTAATTTTGGAGATAACTTAACAAACACTAACGCAAGAGTTATTGACCTTTCCATTACTGGGGGCATCTACTTAAAATCAACATAAAAATCGAATGGCTGGAGGGATCTTTGATGGTGCATTAGCTCCACCGCTGACAAAATGAAGGTGTGGGATACGCTTGTGAGTGCGGTATAAAATGGTTTAAGATAATATCTTCATCATTGTTTTAACAATGTGGGACTCTACACCGCATAACAAGTGATGTTTTTAGATGACACTGGATATTTCAGATCGCCTCAAAGAGCCAAATTGTAACTTGCAAACTCAGTTTTTCTTGTGATTAGACACTGACTCAGCAAGGCAGCTGGAAGGAGGACAAACCAGTAAACTATGTCAAGTATTTGGATGATAATGGGACTTGCTGCCTCCTGCAGCTCTAAAATAACTGATAAAACATCTGTTTTAGTAATAACTTAAGGCATAATTCTGCAACTGCATTCTCTCTAGACAAGAAGGTGTATGTTTGCTGAGGAACTGTCCGGTTGTTCAGGTTTGAACTAAAGTCTACAATCAAGGTGTAAATTCTACATAACTTTTGAAGAAAGTTGCTGCTGTGTGGCTTTCAACACATGTTTATAAGCCTGCTGATTCATCCTCTCCTTTAGTTAACTCAAGGCTCTGAAAGATTAATATGCAATCTGCATCTGTATTTTATTTTGTTTGTTTGTTCAACCAAATAGCTTTCCAGCCTTCCACCCATCACTGCTGCTCATGATTGAAAGTTTACACCCAGCTAATTCATGAATAAAAAGAAGTGACAGTTCAGTCTGTGATTCCTATTTGATCATTTTCACAGCAAGAGAAGATACTGCAGAATACATCTGGTGTCCTGCTGTGTTAACACTAACGGGATTTTTTGTTGTAATCATAACGAACTCAGTGAAGTCGAGCTTAACATTTACTTTGAAAGAAAAAATCTTGAAATTTAGGTCATGTTTGCGAACCAATTTACACAAGAAATCATTTGTTGAAACAAATTAATGCCAGAGGCAACTACCTGCGACTACATGGCCCCACCTATCACCACACAACGTGACTCAGGATAAGATTAGAGGAGCTCCTCAATGACATCAGGAGCATCTGAACCCTGGTAATGACCAACTGACCCAACCAGACACCGACTCAAACCTCTGAACAGCCATTATGGAGCACCATGAAAAGATATCATTTCCCCAGCAAAATCCACTTTCCCCCCTGAAGATGTGATTACCAGCATCACTGAGGGGAACAACATTAGCTCTTCTTGTACTGCAGTGTTCACAAAGTACTGGTTACTCAGCTGAAAAGGTCAATTACTTTGAAGCACATTGGACTGCAGTCCCAGAAGGAGGTCAAGTTTTTTGTTTTTTCTGTTCTTACATCTGTATCTATCTAACAAAAGGAACTCCATACAAAGGCAGCAGAGATTTTGATTAAAGCTAAACAAGAGCAGTCCTGGAAATATATATATTTTTTAAAAAGCAGGCAGAGAAATTTCATTTTTCTTATTCAGCTGGCTATAATCATTTAACTTTACATAAGCTCTCCACAAGTCCAGGGTGCCAGAGGAGATTGTAGGGACAGTTTATCACTCTATGTTTGACATATTTTATAAAATAATGGCTCCAAACCTCATTTTTACCCTGAATGTTAAATAAAAGTTGACAGGACTGAAGAAAAGCCTCTCCAAAGACAAAAAGAAAGAAATTACTGTTGTACATTTATTTTACTGACCTCATCCTGAGAGAATTGCGGCTCCTGGCCCTGAACCAGACACCAATTCAAATTTTGAGAATAATTACTAAAAAGGAAATTTTATGCCTGTATGTCGACTGTGCCTTTGAAATACAATATGTGCCGTATGTTCTCAGTCTCTTAACAAGAAAGAGGCATGAGGGAAACTACTCGCTGTGCACTGGCGCCATCCCTTGGTGACTTTGTAGTATTATATGTTCTCTGTTCTATATTTTTTTTAACAAAAGGAAACTTCGAAGAACTTGTCCACTTGTTTCAAAAGCTAATGGATTTTTAAACAAAGCAAACAAAGCCCTTTCTTCTACAATGTTTTGCATGAATCTGCATGTAGGCCCTCACTCTCTGTCCCTCACTATCTGTATCCCTGATTGACATCTTTAGCTTGAACATGTTACTAAAAATAAAAAAGAGTAGTTAAAAGTAAAACAAGAATAATAAGAAGAGAGCAAACATTGAAAAATCATAATTTATATACCCAAAAATGAGTAGAAAGAAGTAATTTTTTATCTAATCCTATCCCTTTATTAATTTGTGCAAGTGCAATTCATCTAGACACACAGTTATTCATAAACAAAACCATAGTCCTGCTTATACGTCCCTATACAATCATACAACCAATGATAACATTGGCACAGAGCAACACTATAACAGCATATTAATGCAAATAAACCTCTATTGATTATCCAATACCTTTCCTTTCCCTATACCTCATGAGGATCATTCCTCTATACTTCTACTTTAACTGGTTTCTTCTTGTCCACTGCAGTACTTCTGAATTCTGGCCACTCCATAATTTCACTCAGCAGATTGAAATACAGAAACCTTTGTGTTTTGCTAAAGCTATAACCCCCCTCTTTAAAGCACATCCTCTGAATATAACCTGGAATTTTAACACTGAAAAAAAAAGGTTGTAGTTTTGCCCCCTCCTTTCTCCCTATTTTCATCTATCCAATTATTCTTCACACAAAAGGCAGCTGGTGCTTTGGCTGGGATAGCCATCCCTCGATCTGTCTTGACAAGTGCATCATCAAAATGACAGGAGGTAGGAAAAAGTTGGATTCAGGTTATTATCCTGCTTGAAATGAAACTGGCAAAGAGATCGGAAAATGTTTTTCAAATGAAATAATAGAGGATGAGTTAGACTTGTTTGCTCAGCAGTGGTCCTTTTAACAGAGCAACAGGTGAGCAAATATTCCGTACCTGACTGACAACTGCACAGGATTTTTATAATGACTGCAAACTAAAACAGCCACCCACACAAACATGTGGATTAACCCTAGAACACTATCGCCGGGTGATTTTCCAAACATGTTTACGTGATTTTTATTATGTTGCGTTTGTCTGAGTGTCATGGGTCCCTGGGTAGCTTCAGCATTACCTTTGACATCTTTGAAGACATATTTGTTTCCGTGATCCAAAACCTGCTTTTTCCTACAGGCACGTGTTTGGGTGATTTTAACCCAGCAATAGTGATAGAGCAGGGGTGGGCAATCATGTGCCATGGAGGGCCGAGAGGCTGGAGGTTTTCTTTCCAACCCAAAACTCCACCAGGTGATTTCACTGATTAGTCCCTGCTCTCTGCTTGGAGGTAAGGTAATCAGTGAAATCACCTGGTGGAGTTTTGGGTTGGAAAGAAAACCTGCAGCCTCTCGGCTCTTCATGGCACATGATTGCCCACCCTTGTGATAGAGGGTTAGTAGGTTTAGGTGGATTTGATAGCTGCATGTAGGGCAGTGGTTCTCAAGTCCAGTCCTCGAGGCCCACTGTCCTGCATATTTTGGATGTTTCCCTGCTCCAACACATTCAAATGATTAGCTCATTATTAAGGCATTACTGAGCTTGATAACGAGCTGATCATTTGAATCAGGTGTGTTGGAGCAGGGAAACATCCAATCTCTCGCTCTCTCTCTCTCTCTCTCAGACGAGCTTCCATCAGTCTCCAAAGAGCTTTCGGCCCCTGCATCCTTCTTCAGGACGTCCACATATGTTAAGGCTGAACGTCCTTGTGAATGGTGCCCGTGTGTTGGTTCCCATAGAACCAGCCTGCTGGCCAGGAGCTCCTGATGTCTATGGCAGTGGCCAGCCAGCCTCATCCTCCTACATGCTACCTTCTTGCTAAGCCTCGGCAGTTGCCCTTGCAGGTCCTTGTTGGTAATGTGGATGTTCTAGTCCACATTCAGAACAACTTGTAGCATTCTGGTGTAGCACCCATCCAGGGACTTCTGCAGGGTGGGTGTCAGGGTCCAGCTTTCGCAGCCATACAGGAGGACGGACTCCACAGTGGCGTGGAAAAGGGTTCAGCTTTATGTGTCTGGAGAAATTCGTGTTTATTTATTTATTTTGTTTATGAATGCCTAATGGTCCCCTCATGGCACTTTTTCTTCTCCCTTGGGACATTGCACAGTTGAAAATAAAAGAAAACTACTTTAGTTTGCCATGTATTGTTCTATTTTGATGATGTACTTTTTCTTGGGTATATTATTTCGGGTAAAAATCACCCAGCCATAGTGACGGTGTTACTAATTTTAGGACTGCTTTGTTTGATACACATAGAGCATGCACAGACACCTCAGTTCCCTCACCTGCCTTGCTCAGCCAGCAGCGCCCCCTCATCCTTCAGCCTCTTGCTCTTCTCGGCACAGTCCTCCAGCAGGACCTCCCGCCGGCGTTTAATGGCGTGCAGCCAGTCCACCTCCTCCCCCTGACCTGCTCCTTCACCTCCAGCCTCCTCATCGGCCTCAAACTGCTGCACCACCGACTTTGAAACCTTCTCACCTGCTTTCCTCTTCCAGCCAAATGAAGCCATCCTGCAGGGGCGAAAAGGCCGAGATGTTGTTGGTCAGATTTTAAACTCAAAAAGCATTTTAAACTCAAACGGTGCTTGCAGCTTATTAATAAATCTAACCAACGCAGTCATAAAGGTGAAAGCAATATTTTAGAGAGTTTCTGAGGGCAGTATTCGCAAAGACTTACAGATTATTGACGTCCGTGAGCAAATTTAGACGCTAACGGAAGCTAACAGGATGCCATATTTGGTGACCCGGAAGTAGTAGAAATGTTTACGTCGTTTCTTAAAGAAACATCAATGGGTTTTTTTTTATTTTTTTATTTCTAATTCGAGACAAAGACATTTTATAGGTTATAAATTTTCTATTTTTTTGTAATCGAAATTAAATGTGTGTGTATATATATATATATATATATATATATATAGCACAGTTCAACTTCTGTCCTAGTTTACCCTTTATTGCCTTTTGTATCATATTTAATACATACTTTTATATACTTCTATTCTCAATAGGATCAACAAATTACTAAAAAAACACCTGAATACAGTCCGATAAATGATAAAAATGTCCTCTTGTAGTTTATTAGTTTCCAAAAACATCTCATGTATCAAACGAGATACATAAATATATCTGTTAAATTTTAAGGACATTTTGATTTTTGGGGGGGGGTTTCATTAATAAGTGAAATAAACATTTCAGCTCTAAAAAAAAAAGTGAATTTTCTGGCCATAATTTGTGGTGTCAGGCAGTAAAGGGTTAAAGGCCTGTTTCTTTGCATGCTTTATTCACATAAAAGTATAATTTAATTTAATTTAATACATCCAAGTATCTAATTAATATATCATATCATAATATCAAGTAATGTTCAGTTCTTGGAATGAATAAAAAAGCTGCAGTCGAAGAGTAATACTGAGCATTGAAATAAGCATTACGTCAGCCTATAAGGCATTAGATATAAAGTTCCCTCTATTTATAATTAATGGTGTTCACCCATGCAGAGCGTTCTTGACTCAATAATAGGTGTCTTTGAGCACCTTTAAAAGTGCGTTATAAATAAAATTTATTTTTAAATTCATTATAACAATAGAAATAAGAGCACCATTGTAAATCTGACGTTAAAACCGCATCTCTTTTCTTGTGATGAATGCAGTTTATTTTAGAGGGGACCCTCATGGGTGAATTCTATGCTATGATAAGAATATGCCAACCCCGAGTTCTGAAAATATTCAATTTTGTTTGATGATGTAGGGTTTGAAGTGTGAATTCTTCTATCATATATAAGCCAAGATTACTTATTCATGTAAAAATTCCCAAAGTTGCCAAATGTTTCATTTCTTTTCTGTTAAATGTGATTATGAGGGAACTCAAGCTCGAATTTTCACATGCTTTCATAAAAGTTACAACAACTGTAATGCCTGATTTGTTTTAAAAGGGGAAAGGCATGAATTTCCTGCAATCAAAAAAAGTGTTTACATTTTTTTTCTAGCACCTCATAACATTATTTTTATTTAAATCACTATAGATAGAATATTAATCAAAATGACTTTATTTCACAGCAGTAAAATGACTGGAAACTTGCAGAAATTTGTGTGCAATTTAGCAGTTTATTAGGCAGTTGTGTATACAAATGATTTAAACACTGTCCATTCAGATTTACACTGGTCGATCTGCTAGGGTCCCTTTACATCAAACAAAAATAGAACAATATTTCTTTAAAGCAGTTCAGACAGACTGACAGAATTCAACTGCTTAGAGTCCACTTTACCATCCCAAAAGCTGTCAAATAATGTCACTCCTCACACATTCATCTTTCCTACAAAACCTATCATGACACCCATGAAAAGTTATGTAAACAGTACTTGCAACTGCCCCTTAAAACCAAAAGCATTTAGTTTTAATAATATCTCTCCATGACCATAGTGTGTCTTTAGCATGATCACTGAAGTTCAAAACTCTGGTTCATTTCAGTCCAACCCTGCCTCTTAAGACAAGAAAAACAAGATGATCACAAATATTGTCACTCAGTTTGGATGTAATAGATCTCTAAGATGTAAAATTGTTCACACAGATGAAATATTTGAGATTTTTAAAGCTGTTGAGAGCTAAACACTGGAAACCCCGACCCCAGCAACTACAGCCACCTACTAATAATAAATAGGATGTGTCTCATTGTACAATAAGAACATGCAAAGCTCCTAAAAACCTGGCTTATATGACTATAGATGGTAGCGATTGACGAAATAAGAAACCATGTATGCTCTCTTTGTTTATTCATATTTCTTAAATTAAAAGGTGGCAGCAGTCACTGAGGTCTACTAAAGTTTGGCAACAAAACGATCAGATGTTTAAGCTTTGTGATAAGGATCTTTTTTTTTTCTTTGTAATGCTGACAATTAAGTCATCTTTAAATCCACTGAAAACAATAATTATGACTCAACATTGAAAAAATCATTTGAACTTGAGCTTGCAAAAGGTCCCTATAACTGACCAGAACTGAGTTCCAACATTATGGACATAAAAACCGATTGACAGTACTGATAATGATAAGGCAGCCAAACAACAGACACCATTCAAAACTTTAAGACTGGACAGGAAATGGAGGGAGAGGCATCAAAGCTGTGATTAAAAGACACTGACTCAGACTTTGTGAGCTTGCAAGTATCAGGTTCTGTTGAACATTTTTATATCAAATATAAAACCAGACACACATTTATGATCAAATCTTGTGATGTTATGTACTCTTTATCGGAGTTGTTATTGAGCCATGAGAACCATTCCAAGCTCACAAGTCTGCTCCAACAAACATACTCTTCGTAAACCTTTTTTTTTTAAAGGTTAACCTTCAAGGGAATGTGTCTCAACATAAACATATCTAGAAAATTTGAGATATATTCTCCTACCAATTAGAATTGTCCATGCACTGCATGTATTTGTATTCATTTTCAGATTGGGCGCTGAGGCCTGTACATTTAAAATGGATTGGCATTTTAAAACTAAAAGGAGACAAAAGGCATCTCACCCAGGTATCACACTCAAATCCTAACTCCTAATCTAAAAAACAAATAGAGAAAATGCAACAAAATAAGTCAAAATCAACTCGTCATTTTAATATGCGACACTGAAAATGATATATTTCTAGATTTTGACTGTCATGGCAAAATACCTCTTGAACGGTAAAGCAGGTCATGTTTATCTGGAAAGACAATCAAGTATCAGAATAGTTGTGATTGAAGAAAACAAAACTGTGATATTGATTTAAAAACCAGACAGTAAAAAAGGAAAATATATACCATCCAGCAATAGATCTTAATGCAATAAAGAAAACAAACAATTCCATTTCCAATAGAACCAACACGGCGTCCACTTAACGCACTGATAAATATATTCACGTCTTTATATATAAAAATGTAGGGGACAGACAAATTCAAACAAATTTTTTACAACAAGGACAAAACCATGAAAATTTAGTCTGACAACTCAGTTTCACAACAAAATGAAAACCAAAACAGAAATCTGATGAAGCAATCTTTTGTCCCCAACACAAGACAGAAACAACATGGGTCATTGCACTTCTTCAGAGTCAAATGAATGGGATGGGCATGACAACCCCCTAGTTATAGCCGGTGCAGCACTCCGATATATCTGCACCACCTGATCCCCACTGAGAGAAATACAAGAGCAGCAGGAAATTAAAGATACTTGTGCAAAAGTGTTTCCTGCCTCCCATATGACTGCCACCTTAAAACATCAACGTGGATGTGTGGCTTTTTTTCTGTGGGCAGGAACTTGATTTTGTTCTCTAGACTGGAAAGTAGAGCTCCCTGGCTACAGTACAGGAAATTCAGTGTAATCACTTGCATGTTTACTATGTTAAGTTGGGATGTGGACTGTTCAACTGATCAGAAATTTTTTAAAAACCCCTTTCTTGAATGTTGTTCTGTCCTTGCTGTTAAGTAGCTTGGTCGCTCATCTTTCCCACTGACCTCCTTACATTCCCTGCCAGCTCAGTAACATCTCTTCCACATAGGGAACGCTAACCTGCATCAGTGCCATGGAACAATCACTTCATCCTCAGCTGGGATGAACTGAGCCATGAATCGCTTGCATGCTTATTGCTGTAAAGACACTCGGAGAGAAAAAAAGGCTAGCGATTGTTTTGCAAGCTATCGTGCAAGTAGTTTAATAAGATTCGCACACATTTCGAAGAACTCGATGGTGTGGCTTCCCGGTCGAGGGACAGCCATGTTGTCTCCCCCTCCCGTTGAATCAATGGATGAGGTCAGTGATGAAGCTAAGGAGCCCTCTGCAGCCTTGGTAGGGAGCACGGCGCTGGATGTAGCCGGAGCGTCTGCGCCATCTACATCGTTCTTAATTGTGGTGCGGTAGTTGCCCACAGAGCCAGAGCGGAGAGGGGTAGCAGTTCCAGATTTTGTCTCCAACATATCATCTGAATGAGAAAAGAAGAGAGAACATTTGATTATAGCAACAGCTATATTTGGGATTATGGCACCTCTGTATTCAGGCTAAAACATGAGAAATTATTAGAAAGCACTTATGATAATCAGAAGTGCAGCTTAGCAAATCTGTGCATTTTTCTGACCTCTCTAGTTAAACCCCTGGTTGCATAACAGGGCTGCACAGTAAATAAATGACTTTTCTTTGCTATCCCGGGTTTGACAGTGCGACAGTTTCACTCGCATTTGCGACTAAAAATAGATGTTTGCGAATTGTAAAATGTATTTAGAGGCACATGTGCCCATGAAAAATAATTAGCAGAGACAAAAGTGTGTTCTGATATAAATACGGTGGTGAAGTTAGTTTTAGGATGGAAATTAGACGGACACATTATTTAATTTATTTTGATTTATTTGATTATTTGATCAATTTTCATTGTGCCCCTAAAGTTCTTTGTCTGCTCCTTACACGTGACCCTTGTGGAAAAAAAAGTTAGTGTCAAGACCTGCTATTTCTATATGAGCATTTACAACTGACACCAATTGTTACAATTTTGGAGAAACATGTTGAAGACACAGGGATTGTGCAAAATATAAAGGACATCAAATGATAAAAACTGCAAGTTATAGCATTTGCACTTTTTGTATGTAAAGTTTTAGCATTTACTTATCTTATGTCTCCAGTCTTAATACTAAAAAAAATTGCTAAATGTTTTCTGTCAAGCATGACAAGAGGTACTTCAACTAACACACTATGTATTACATCCAAGATATCAAACAAGTGGATTTTAATAGAGAAGATAAAGTTTCAGTATTATTCCCCGGAGTTATCTGTTCCAACTGCAGCCAAACACAAACACCGCGGCAGTCTCCGCTGAAGTCTGCAGACAAAGTGTCATCTCATACCCTCTAAACTGCATGCCTGAGCTGCGTGAATGGCCTATAACAACACTCTTATCTCATAGTTTCCTCTGCGGTACTGACGCACACCTACACAGACAGAGCAAAACCGAGCTCTAAACCCTGAGTCAATCATTTATGAGGTCTGCGCTGATGCAGCTTACGACAGGACAGACTTCAGATAAACACTAACAGGACGAAGGGAGCTGAAATCATTGTGGGCTAAGTTCACATGGAGAAAATACTTCAAGACTGACTGGGATTATCTTGGATTGTCCATCACATACTAGGTATTAGGTTTGTCAAATAAACACACACGCACACACACATACACTCTTAAAAAACTGTTGGTGAGACTCACCATCTATGCTACGGAAGTCTAGGAGGTAGGTTCTACTGTCCACCTGGTAGAGTTGAAGGCTCATTTTGGTTTGCATGCCTGTAATCGGATTCTTCCTTCTCACACGTAGATAATATGGATTCACAACCTGGAAAAGTTCAAAAGAACATATATTTAATATTTCTATTGATGAATGTGTTGTATCTGAAGCAAAGAAAGCATTTCATACACATTTTTCTCTTGCATTTCCTTACCTTCCATTCATAATCCAGCTGTTTCATGGCACGGCACACTTCAGACATGATGTCATTTGGTCTGCTCTGACTGCGGATACCCAGGTGCCACTTGGCTCGTCTTACGCCCTGGTGCTTTGACTTCTGAGGGTTCAGTTCATCCAGAGTGTGACGAGGCCGAGGCAGAGTCTCCGCTACGAGGAAGGGTACCCTCTCGGGGTGAGGCTTCACGACGCCGGTAACAGCCGCGCCGGATGTGGTCAAGTGTTGGTCATCGAGGAAGCTGTCCGGAGGGCTGGACGCCAGGTAGAAATCCTTGGCTTCGCTCATGATGCGGCGATTGTCAATGATGAGGTGGTAGGCGACGGCCAGAGGATCCTGATGGTTGCGGCTGTATATGCAGGAGAGGACCTCCTCTTCTGTGCACTCAAACTTGTCGCACACTTCCTTCAGGGCCTCGTCGTCAATCATGTTGTTGCTGTAGGAGGGGTCCTCAGGAAACAAGTACTTGGGTAGATCCTCTTTAAACCAGTCGTCCTCTCTGTGGGGATGGGAACTCTTTCAGTTAGTTTATAAAAGCAGTGTTTTTTTGTATCTTTGTCTTTGAAAATCCAAACTTAAAAATAATCTGGACCACAAAACAACGGGCTGGACAGAAACTGTTTGACTGATGGATCTCACCTGATCTCTTTGATGGTGGCTCTTTTCATGGGGTCCACCTGCAGCATGTGTTTAAGGAGGCTTATTACAGATGGGTTCAGATACTGTGGGGTGAAAAAGATCCCATCGCAGATCTTCTTAAAGAGCGTTGGCACGTGATCGTCATCGAAGGGAAGCGTCCCACACAACAAGGCATAGAGAATGACCCCACTGCTCCAGATATCGACCTCTGGACCAGCATATAACCTGCAAAAAAAAAAATCCAGTAAGCATAAAAACTACATTTTAGCAAGCTTGCAGATACAACTCGTACCCATTTACTGCCAGAGAGAGTAGTGTGCTACAACTTTAATGATGACAAAAGCATTACCTTCCTGAGATGACCTCAGGAGCAGCATAGTTTGGAGAACCACAGCTTGTCCGCAGAAACTCCCCGTCTGACATCATGTTTGATAAACCTGCACACAGTTCCATTTAGGACATCGTAAAGCACAAACACACATCTAAAAACTTTTGGTGTTCAGCTTCAAATTCTGAAATGTTTTCTGGGGGGGGCAGCATAGAGGAAACGCAAGAAGTTACAGTCACTGGTTCAGATTATTATGGCAAAACTGTTCGCAGTGAAGCTGAGGCAAGCTAGCCAGGTGATAAAACTTGATCAAACTTGATTCACCTGTTTGAGTAACCTCTTTCACCCTGTTCTTACACGATAGTTTAAAACAATGTCACTAAAAATAATAAAATATAACTGCCTCACATATTGTGCATACACAGCAATAAAACATGCCATGATTTGATGGATGGTTTACTATATGAGGGGTACAGGCATTCCTGGTTTCAGGTTAATCTAAAAAACTCCTACTTAAAGACGTATCTGGAATAAATTGTTTTAAAGTTAAAAAAGTAAAAATAAAGAGTCGATATGAAGAAGTGAGCTCCTCCACTTTGCTGGTGGCAGAGCCATTAATCTTCAGTGAGTGAAACTTTCTTTAAAGCAGATCAAGCAGTGATAGATTTAGACCCTTTCTCATTGTGTCCGCTTTATTTCTCTTTCTACAGCTGCTGCATTTCAAGTTGCCCTGCAAGAGTTTCAGGAAAAATACAAAGGGAACGGATTCAGAGTGTACAGATAAACGGGCCAAATTAGGATCCAAAATCATAATGTGGACAAAAAAAAAAACATGATGATGCAAACTGAGTGAGGAGAAAATACAACAACAAACAGCACTTTTTACAACAAATATTCCTGTGTGTGGAAATGAGTTGTGCATATATGTTTAGAAAGACAGTGTTTCTGACCTTTAGGCAAAGCAAACATTTGCGTACATTTTCTCACTCATAAAACATTTGAAGAATTCTTGGAAAGATATTTCTGACAATATTGCTTTGGGTTTGTTTTTGTTTACAAGCTGCCTTCACTGACAAATGACTATGTTCCTTTGGATATCTTATCTATCGCAACCAACTGTTCAGTGGAGCCGAGTTTAACCATCAAACAATATGTGTTTCTTTCTTTGTGTGCATCCATTTACACCACAATGTCAGCCTTGAAACTTTTGTTAATTTAGAGAGCGCTCACTTAACCAGGAGCATTCCTTTTCCCAAAGATCAAATCTGTGTGTTTTAGACTGAGGAGTGTACTGAAATTATAATCTGAAGGTAAAATGAGGTCAAGGAAGTTGTGGCAGTAAACAGATTCTGCAAGCCTCATAAACGTAGAGTGTTACACTTAAAGGAGACGACACAAGCAGGGAAACTATGCAGATGAGGACATTGCTGCATTGATAGGGTTTTAAAACAGCTACTTGCCCAAAATGCCCCTGAATCCCTGTGACCTGCATTGATTTCCATGTTTTAGATTGAGACACACTTACCAAAATCTGCGATCTTGGCATTCATGTGCGCATCAAGCAGCACATTTTCAGGCTTGAGGTCTCGATGCACCACCATGTGCCTGTGACAGTAGTCGACCGCGGAGATAATCTGCTGGAACAGCCGACGACTCTCCTTTTCGTCCAACTGTCGAGGCAAAAATTATCTACTAGGTGAGATCTTCTCTGTGACTCAATTAGCACATCAGAGCTGACTAAGAAGCATTTCCTGTGGTGTTTTAAAATAGTCTGCGCTGCAGCTGCTTTCAACATTTGGTTCACAGGTTCATGTATCTGCATAGATAAAAACACAATCCTCTGTTCCTGCCCCTTAGCTTTGAATGTTTTGTACAACACCAGCGGTACATGCTGTGGAGGAAATCTGGAATGTTATCATCTCAATATCAAAAAAACATTACCTTTCCATTTTTGCAGATGTAATCGAAGAGCTCTCCTCCTGAGACATACTCCATCACCATGAAGATATCTGTGGGGGTGCTAATAACCTGATACCTGCAGGAATCAGCGCAAAGCCAAAGAATCAGTAGTAAGCAGTTTGTGTACAGCTAAAATAAAAACACTTATTTCTTTATTTATCAGGTGATGTGCTTAAACATCTTCAGGATTTGTTATTGACTCTGAAACATTTTAAAAAAGCCAAATAGGTCAGCGGTCGCCACGTCTCTCCAGAACAATCACAAGACTTATCTAGACCACAGACTGTCTGATACATAGATGCTGCCTCAGTGACATCATACATCGGTTTCTGAAGCTGAGTTTTGAAGCCTTTTGGGAAAGCTGACTCAACATAACTTTTGATCAGTATGAAGTAACCATGAACTCTAGACATCCCCTTTTTTTGCTGTAAATATGGACTTTTTTGAATGGGTGTGTATGCGGCATTTGGTCATCAACTTTCTTTCTTGAGGCTTCAGGAATCAGGTTGCTGCATGAGTTGGGCCTATGGCTTGTGGGTGTGTGTGTGAATGTGTCTGTCACTTGTCAAACTTGTGTTCATTGCACAATGTCGGACATGCCCTTCCTCTACCCTGCCCTCAATCATCGGTCAGCCGTGAGTTTATTGTTCATAAATTAAATTCCAAGTAACTCTGACTGGGGAAGGGTGAGAGATCAAGGTTGGCTTCCGGTTGTGTCACTTTCCTGTCTTCCTCTCTTTTCTGTCATCATTTTTCATTTGATCATGTTTCGTTTTGGCATAAACTGAAACTCAAAATCCTTTTGCTGGTCATGAAAAAATCATCCGTACTTGCAAAATGAACTAACTGCAGTTGTGAAAACACCTTAGAGAGCTTCAGTTTTTAAACAATCAAGACTTAATACTCCCCAAAAAACAAACACTTTGTTTTCATGACTAATATCACAGGTGAATCATCTACATCCATGACACACAGCTACATCTGATTATACTTAACTGGATGTGTGGCTGGCTATGCTGTATTTCTCCCTGTGACTGCCATATCCAACATCGAGCAAAAGGAAAAATAAACAGAAACTCTGATGTCTGTCAGCAGGACAGAAAACATATTGTAACCCCTGCAGCTCTAAGCCCACATATTTCAAAATGCCAGAAGCAGTTTAATCCTACATCAGCCCTTTCTTTAATCCACCAACTCTCATCCACACATCACTAAATTTCTTGTCTGCAGCTAATTGCAACTGCGATTGTGTTCCAGTCGATTGAGTCCAGCAAATGACTCTAAATGCAAAAGAAGTCACTCTTAGAAGATCAAAGTTGTGAACTAACTGCTAATCTCATGAGTCACAGTTGCAGAAACATCCTCCAAGAAGTAAAATTTGTGTAATCTTGCTCCTCTTTTCTTCAGAGACTTTTTTTTTCCAGACTAAACAGGCAATGCAATGCCCTCTACCCCAGTGTTTGTCCACCCTGTCGAAGATTGGATCTCTCTCTCTCTCTCTCTCTCTCTCTCTCACACACACACAAAACAGAGTTTACATTCTTGTGCATGCATGACATGGGGCTGGTATTTCAGGCAATTAGCCACACCTCCTGGGCAGTAATGACCCTCTAGCTGCGGCCTTCACTACAGTCAGTGAACCTCACTGAGCAGGAAGTACCTACACAACCTCCTGACTTTATTTTTAGATGACTGACTTTTTGAGCAACAGTGTCGCAGGACAGCATTTTGTGGAGACTTTCATTACTTCCAAATGCACGCGTACGACAATTAAACAACAACAGTGTGCTGAGATGACCTCTGGTTGGTGCGAAGACAGTTCAGACATGACAAGTCAAACAATGACTCATACAAAAATACGCAACTCTCTGCATCATAAACTGAGCAAAAGATGACAGAAAAAGTGGGACAAAAGGCTGCTTGTCTGCTGTGTTCAGACTTTAATGCTAACTTTAGAGGACTGGATCTAAGCAGAAGGGGTGGATAGCGAGGTGTCATAAAAGACAGAGATGAAACACTTTCTCACATTATAATGAAAGGTCAACAGAGGGGAAAAACCATAACAGGCAATAAAGCCGAGGATTGGAGGGAGAGGACAGACTGGCTCAGACTGATATTGTCCTAGATGGATGTATTCTAAAACACGCTATTAGAGCCTGGAAATAGCTCAGTGGGTGGCATTAATGTGGCGACGGCGGGGGGGATTACGGAAACAGCGAGCAGGGTGTAATCTAGGACTTACAGTTTAATTATGTGAGGATGCCTGAAAAGCTTGAGGTTCTGGATCTCCCGCCGGATCTTTCCCACCACATCCAAACTGCGGATCTTCTGCCTGTTCAGGATCTTTACCGCCACTTGGTGTTTGGTCAGCTCATGTTGGCCCACTGCAGGAGAAAACAAAATGAGTGCTTCAGAGTCAAACCAGAAAGAAGAGTAACATTAGAGATAGTACTTTTCTTTTCTAAACTAACACGAGGCCACTGTAGCGTTAAGTTTTGTTAACGCCGAAATGCAAACTTTCAAAAAGGAAGAAACTGACAGGCTCAGCAGAAGCCGCATCAATAGAGTCAGGTTACCACCTCATAAAGCTGCTATCACACACATTAGCAGGCAGTGACTTTGGCATTTACAGAGCATTTGTCTGTGGCTGCTCACCTAATGAATCTAAGCCCAATTTATTTACCCTTCCCCCAGTCCAATTCCTGCCTCAACCAAGCCTGTGTGTTGAGTTAGGATGCAAAGTCCACACGAAACTATACATGGGAAGTAGTTGAGTTGGAAGTAGTTATGTTGTGTCAATATTTGATTACACCATGTGGATGTAAGGTTACCTTAACTAGTAAAATATTGTTGAAGAAAACATGTTTTCACTCCATTTGGCCAATCAGTGAAAAGCTTTTCTTTTTCTTAAAGAAGTGTTTATTTAAGTGCCTGTTAACCTCTTTTTTACGGCACACAGCTAACAAAAAAGCTGCCACAGTTTACTCCCATTTATCAACAAACAAGAACGTCATGGTATGTAAAGTATAACAAAGCACAAGTGATAGGGCAATCTTTCATAACAATGCACTATTGCAACTATTGTTCTACTGAGGACTTTACATCTACTCAGAGCTAGGTGTAAAATTTAAGTCGTAACTTGAGCTTACGGTTCAACTATCTCAGCTGGTACAACTCCTGAGGGGTTACTTGAGTGTTAATGCTTGAAATAGAATTCAAACTATGCTATATTTGAACTGACTGGTTCAACCAAGTGCTGGCTATTTAGCTTCTGATTACTCCCATATAAGATCAACAATTTATCTGTTTGCAGTTCTTTTCAAAACAGGCAGAATACAGAAGAAAGTAGGGGTGGGAGAAAAAAATCGATACAGCATAGTATCGTGATGTTTTTTCTGGCGATTTATCGTATCATCTCATTTACCAAATATCGATTTTTTTCAAATTAATTGCCAATAAGAAGTCAAATTTACGATAATGAAAAAATAAAATCAACTGATTGTCTAGTGAGTTGACATTATAGAGCAGGAGAAAGTGAGTACGACAAATATATATAAGGTGTGCAAGATGTAGCACATGAAAATAAAATACAGCGTAAATAAGACAAACATAAAGGAAAGACAAATGCTAAATTAGCTAAACAGTTGAAAAAAATTGTTAAAATCGCAATATATTGTTTCGCAATACTCACTGTTTTGCAAAATGTTAAATATCACAATCATATCGGATCTTGGCCCAAGTATCGTGATAACATCGTATCATGGCTCAAGTATTGTGATAATGTCATATCGTGGCCCAAGTATAATAATATTATTGTATCGTGGTTCAAGTATCGTGATATCTTATCATGGCTCAAGTATCGTGATAACAGCATATCATGGCTCAAGTATTGTGATAATATTGTATCGTGATAATATTGTATAATGGCTCAAGTATCGTGATAATATTGTATAACAGCTCAAGTATCGTGATACCATATCATGGCCCAAGTATCGTGATAATATTGTATTGTGGTTCAAGTATCGTGATAATATTGTATCGTGGCCCAAGTATCGTCATAATATCGTAATGTGGTTCAAGTATCATGATAATATTGTATCATGGCTCAAGTATCGTGATAATATCGTATCCTGGCCCAAGTATCGTGATAATATTGTATCTTGGTTCAAGTATCATGATAATATTGTATCCTGGTTCAAGTATCGTGATAATATTGTATCATGGCTCAAGTATCGTGAAAATATCGTATTGTGGCCCAAGTATCGTGGTAATGTCGTATCGTGGGACCACCAGTGATTCCCACCTCTAGAAGAAAGCTGTTCTAAATACAGCAAAACTGGTATTTTGTGGACCAGGATATCAAAATAGTGCTAAAAGCTGTTAAAAATGTTGAAATGCCTGGTTACTATGAGAGAAACTGCTGGTTCTTATCTTTGAGATATCATTGTATCCTTTGTTTAGACATTGGTTTTTGCACAGGGTCCTCAAACCAAAAGGTCAAAAAGTTATCTAAAAGCATAAACATTATAATCATACTAAACGAAACAAAAACACGACTTAAGTTGCACATGAAAGTGATATTTAACTGCAGGGGCCAAAGGAGAAAAGTATGCAAACATATCAGAACACATCTGCCATGAGGAGAAAAAGCTATAAGATCTGAGAGCACAGTGGGTTCCCAGCACACTTGCACGGGAGTGTTCACCAACAAACACTATTGATTTACCAGTTGTGCTGGTAGTGAACGATTAACCACATCTCCGGCTATCAAGACCATAACAATCACAAAATCCAGCACACTGTGCTTCTCTGTCTTCCCCTGACATTATAAAGAAAAGCAGGGGGATGACTCACTGGGAAATAACTATAAACAAAACTGGTGGTTGTTTTTGAAAAGGGTTGGGTTGTTGCACTTCATTTGGGTATATTTGGCTATAATCGTGTGTTCCCAGGAGACAAAAAGCACTACAGGATGAAACAGACGAGGAGTTTGCAGACAAGGTTTCTGCTTTTTAACCAGCACATCAAAGACGACGAGGCATATATCTGAAAAGACCATGTAGGCAAATAGAAATAGATGTTTTTCTGGGATCCTAGGTACTGGTACCTGTTGGTACAAGCTTAACTGTATATTGACATACTTCTCCTACCGCCCTCTGGACTGACAAGACAACACTGGGCGTAAGTTGGACTGGATTTGCCCCACTCTCCCCATACATAGACTGACAATTCATAACATTATATATTAGCAATCTGTTGCAGCCCAATACAAAAGGACAGAGACCCTAAAAACCTTATTTTATGTCTGATATGTGTGTATGAACTGTATAGATTAGTGATATACTACTTTATTAATGTGTTTAGTTTTTGTATTAGTCATTTTCTTTGTCTTTTCCCTCTACAGCACATTATATTTCAGTATATCTGTTTTTTTCCTTTAATAAAGTAGGGGGTTTCATTTGGTATTCATAACGTTGTTGCAGGTGAGTGTACATGTAAACAGTAATCACTCTTACTGTGGTGGAAACAGCAACTCAATGGAAAGAATGAGACGAAGTTCAGTTCCGGGGGACGCAACTTTCCATTAAACGTCTCTTAAGTTAAAAGAGACAAAACAGGGCGAAGGAGGGCCACCAAATACTCCCCAGCGGAAGGTTTTTACTTCCCGGTGTCTGTCTTGACAGGCGACTTGTGGCTTTCTGGCTAGCTCGCGCTGACTGATATATAAGTGACTGCACACAAGCTAATGCCATAAATCTTGCACTGTGAGGCTGTTAAAGGAAACTCCAGACGATGTTGGCCTCATTAAACCAACGTTGTATCAGTCGCAAACAAGTTGAGGCAAGTAGCTGGACAACAAGTGTGTTACCGTCCTGGCGTTGCCATCAACGGTTGCTTGCAACGTTAGCAGGCTAAGTTAGCAGCTAGGCTAATAGCTTTCATTGCCACCGTCTTTCACTTGGCAGGATGCAGGAGCGTCAAGACAGCCACACGTACCTTTAACCTTTCCGAATGTCCCCACTCCAAGCGTGTCTCCGAGAATGTAGTGTCCGATTTTAACTCTTCCTTCATGTTTCTGTTTGTCTGTCGCCATCTTCCCGCAGTGGCCTTGCTGCGGGGTTAGCTAGCTGCGGACAGAGATGGAGTGAACTCCGCTGTGTGCGTCTCCACTCTAGCGGCTCTGCTCGGCACGGAGGGAGGGAGGCGCCCCGGCTCCTGCGCGATTCGTCAGAAGCGTAAGCAACGTAGTATGTTGCCTTCAGGGCCCCTCGTAAACTTTAGCGGAAATTTAGGAGCGAATGCCAACTTGTTATAATGTTATGATAAAATGTAAAGTGAGGGATATTCATTGAGGGTCAAACACACCGTAACACCGAGTTATACACCCCGTCAAGAGATGAATGTTGCTTCTCTAGTTATACCAACTTACCAACAAGTAACGACGCAGTCTGAGGAGCCATAAACAAACCTCAACCAAAGCACTAGCCACCAAACATCTTTTTAAATTTGCCTAATTTCTTAAGCAAAGAGACTAAATACAACTCACCTACTGTCTTCCAGCAGCTGCTCGGGCCTTATGATCAATTCTTCATGGAAACGCAATCAGACCGAGACGCTAAGGCGGAAGAACTACCGCGTCTGCACTGCAAAATGATTAATGTGGTGATTATTACTTTAAGGAAATGATAAAGTCATGATCATAAATGTTCTTCCTTGAGCTGCGTCACCCCGCAGTAGTCAATGATGGACGAGTTAGAAGGTCTCGCAACAAACAAGGAGCTGCTGGAAGAGAGTAGGTGATATGTGTTTAGTCTCTTTGCAAAAGAAATTAGGCAAAGTTAAAAAGAAGTTTGGTGGCTAGTACCGTGGCTAGGACCCTATATGTACAGTGGATGAAGTTAGATGCTGTTCTGAGCATTATTTGTGGCTATAGAGTGGCGTTTCGGTTGAGGATTGTTTATGGCTCCTCAGACTGCTGTGTATTGCTATATTGCAGTCGTTATAACTAGAGAAGCAAGCGTTCAGCAACATTAGTCTCTCGACGGGGTGTCTGACTCAGTGTTACGGTGTGTTTGACCCTAAATTGATTTTATGCCGGAATATCCCTTTAATAGGAGGATAAAAACCAAAGTAGTCATGGAGGTGAGAGGTATTTTGTCAAGTAACTAAGGTAGTTGCTTAAATGAAAAAAGTAGCAGATTAAGCTATTGATACAAAAATGTATGGTGGCGGAGAACCGCCACTGCTGCAATTAAAGAAAAATGCAAAAAAAGGAGCCACAATAGAAGTTATTGATGAAAAAAAAAGAAACGAAAGCCTGCTGCAAATAAAAAAGGAACGGTGCAGAAAAAAAGCCCTTTTTTATTTGCATCTTTTTATTTTCGCAGTAAGTAACTTTTTTTTCCTATCATATCTTTTTTTTTTTTTTTTGCATCGTTAACTTCCGTTGTGGCTTTTTTTTTTAAATCTGCACCATTTCCTTTTTATTTGCAGCAGGCTTTTTTGCATCAGTAACTTCTGTTGTGACTTTTTTTTTTCTTGCATTTTTTTTTATTTGCAGCAGTGGCGGTTCTCGACCACAGCAAACGAGACAAATTAAGATTGGGAGAAAATAGCTGATATTAATTTGTTACCACTGAAAAACAGAGTAAATAAATGTATCCCACAAAACCATTAAAGGCATTCCGTCTTGGGAACAGAGACTTTAGACTGGAAAAAAATAAACAATGCAATAAATAGAACCACAAAAGGGGGATTTGTGTTGTCCAAGCACTGTGGGAACTTGCGAGCAACTCTGCCCTGTAGTGCTACCTATGGGGTCTGATGGATGTGAGATAAACACATGACATTTAGAGTATAACAAAGTCAAACTGTATAGCTGTGGGAAAGGGAAATGCATTTATCATCCAACATGAACATGCGAAACATTATGCAACTCTGGTGCTTTCTATTTAGCGAAGTCTGTCTCCTGTGGGCCCTGACTTGTCATCATTTGAATTCTTGATCTTATCAATCCTTGAATTTACTAAGTGATATGATCACAAACTTATGTAACTGTTCAAGTCAAGGGTTTTTGGTTACCTACTGTAGATGAGTGCTCTCAAATATAATAACCAAGTTGCTTTGGAGTAGAAAGGTGTAGCTCCAGGATTAGTTAGTTTGCTGCAAACTCAATGCTACAAGCACAAAGGAATGCTGAAAATCACCAAAATTGATCTAAATGATCTGAGCCTTTTGATCAGTAAATCTCTTTCTTTTAAGAGTTTAGTGGCTGTAGTGTTATAATATTTCTCCTCCTGCTGCTGCTGTTGGTTTTCAAAAACTTTGTGAGTAGGCAAAAGTGTCTTGGGCACATGTTCATCATTTTGACAAAACTCATAATATTCAAGGAAAACAGTCAGATATTGGAAATCATCAGATTGATTTATGCTGAAGAGTCACACTCTTAGTCAAAATGAATGGTTGGTATGTGTAACAAGCTTTCCCATCTGTCTTGTCACACTGGTGAAACTCAACAAATAAAAGCTCATTGTGAAGGCCAAGTTGTCTTTCACACAATACACAAGGTTTAAGAATGAAAGCTTAAAAGGTTTTCAAAATATCCATTTAAGATTAATGTCCATCCTAGAAGACAATAATATGATACTGAGACCTAGGAGGATCTGCTGATCAGGATATGGAGAGCAGGTCGGTGGTTCTTCGGCAGTAGTGCAAGACAAAACACTAAAGCGTCACAAATTATCCCTCAAAGCACAACAAAAAACAGTGTCTCACCCTCCATGATAAAGCACAGAAAAATAACTTCATTTCTTTATTTTTTTTTACTAAACACACCATTTAAAAACAGACTGAGTGAATAAATGCAGAGTTCAGTCTGTCAGTAAGCAATCATTAAAGAAAGACCCGGCTAGTGAACAGTTACCATGACTCCCCAGAGAGGGCTGCTAGGAATTAACAGTTAGAACAAAAGTCCCTGTCAATTACATTTGGTGTATGTTTATGTGTGCCTGTTTTGGGGGTGTTTTTTTGTGTCGTCTCTTTACACTTTCAGATGAGAAGATGGGGTGTTGCTGGCGCTAACAGCTAAAGCATGTGCAGACACTATTATCCTCATTGCAGTAGTTGATGGTTCAGCACCCAAGCACAACTCTTTGCTGCACGTCCTCCCCCACTCTCCAGTCTCTGTTCTGCTTTAGTAACAATACAAGACAAAATGCTTTAAAATAACTGAAAAAGATGCTCTTGAAAATGTTTCACCTTGTAGTGTTTTCGATCTCTTTTGCTTTTATTTATTAGGTTTAAGATTAAGGAGTGAGGCTCATGAGTCTACCTTGCATTTGCCATACAAAAAGCCAAGCTGTGAGAAATAGATAGAGAGGAGCTGCTCATTTAGAACCACTTCAAAGTATTTGTATTCAAAGTGATGGAACAGTTCTTTATTTGCTTGTACTTAAGGATGTAGGTCAAAAATTATGGGAGGATTTGAAGTTAAAAAAGAGCTTATGAGTCAGATGAGACAGAAAAAAAAAACACTATCCAGGTTAAAACACACTTGCTGTTTGAGATGTAGGTCAAAGGTCGTATTCTCTCCTCTCTTATCCTTTTCTTTTCTTGCTGTGTTCCTGACTTGCCCCTTACTATCCCTTTATACACCCTACACAATCAACGCATGGCCTGTTCTCATCAGTCAGCTAGAGTCCCACTTGAACCACAAACTTTGTCACAATGAGAGGGAGCAGTCCTAGCCTGGCTTTTGTTTCCTTTTAAGGAGTTTTATTTCATCATTTCATTGCTCAAACGAAGGGGTGAGGACAGCATTTTATTCCCATCTCACATGAGAGTCTCTAGACTGGATTTTGACCCAGAACTATTTCACTATGAGGGCAGTTCTTACCACCATACTACTGGCTTTTCTTCCTGGATTACAAACGCTCAAAAAGACAAATGAGACATCAGCGTGAGGAAGTTTTATTCCTGTGTTACATGGAAACCTCTTAGATTTGAAACTGAGTACTATTTCACAGAAGATGACAGCGCTTACCACCACACTACGGGCCTGCCTGGTCATGATTGGTCTTCTGTGTTTGTTTTCTTTTGTAGCTTTTCCACTTCATTATGATCTTTTTCAAGGTTTCACTGAAAGCTGCTTTCCTGGCCATTCAACCATAGACAGGCGTGGTTGTGTTTGCTTTTTGAGGTGTTTTATTTTCACATTTTCATGATCATAGTTCAGAACATGAGTCAGAGCACACTGTCAGAAAAGCATTTAATTTCTTCAACATGGGGAAAGCCCCTGTCCAGGATTTCAACCCCCTGAAAGGCAGTGTTACTTATCACCTCACGAAAGATTCAGCTAACAATACACATTCTTAAGGTCTATTGATTTTTAAGTACCTTGTCGAAGCATAAAAAACCCGGTGCACTTTCCTTAGAAAGCCATTTACAGAATCGAAATGCTTTTTCCATTTTCCTTTTGCAGGACTTTACAGCTCCACACAAGAAAGAACAAGACAGGATGAGGAATCAGAGCCTACTTGCTATGATCCATCTTTGCTTACTCCCACTATAATGCACTACCAAGCTGGGCTTACTCTTTTATATCTATCTAATTTCCTGCAAATTTTGGGAATTAAAAAGCAAGGTGTGTCCAAAAGATTCTAGCTTCACAAGGAAAAGCCTCGGCCAGGACTCAATCCTGGAACCAGCTATCTGTGAAGTGACAGTTTTAACAGCTACACCATTGTGGACTCTCGCCCTGCTTGTCCATTCAAGCCTATTTATTTCCAGGATATTGTAGGAATTTAAAAGTGTGCTCTATCTAAATTCAGAGTTATGTTCTTAACACGTGTACAAGGAAATCAAGCATAAAACATCCAAGATAGATTAGGAAATCTGATATCATTCTTAATCTTTGTGAGATTTGCACAGCTTCTTTTTAACAAAAGTAAATAAATTAAAGCCAGTTCTATGGAAGTAAATCTGTGCCATCTGATTTTGAATTTGAATTTCCAGAGCTGAAATTTGTTGCATCAAGATCAGACTTTGGATTTCAAAACCATCGAATTTCAAGCACGCATTTTTATTTCTGACACTAATTTTTTTTTCACAATGATGGAATTTTTGACTTAACTTGACTTGAAAAATGTAAAAAAAAAATTAAGTGTCAAATAATTCAGTGTCAAAAAATTCAGTGTAAAAGAGACCGACTCAACATCCAGGTAACCAGGATTTTGACACTGAATGTTTTTTTAATGTTGAATTTTTTTTACAGTTTTTTTAAGTCAAATTTTTACAAAACGAATATTTTTGAGAGACCTTTTTTTTTTAAATTCCAAACTTATTTCATCATTGTGAAAAAAAAATAGTGTCAGAAATAATAATGCGTGCTTGAAATTCGATGGTTTTTAAATTCAAACTCTAATTTTAAGGCCAAAAAAAATTCTGCTTTTGAAATTCAAAATCAGATGGCACAGATTTACTTCCATACAATTCCCTCAAACAATGTGCCGCTTGTACTTTACATTGTTATTGTGTACCACCTGGTTGCAGATTCTGATCATAATGAAGAGGACACTCTTTTTATTAAATCAACTCACTGCAGTCAGTTTGTGCAGTGGTCCTACCTTGTGACCACTAGATGGTAGTATTTGTTCAAGAAGGAAATACCGAGGGGAACGAATGCGCTGCAGTATTGGATTCATTATTCTCCTGTCAGCCACTGATCATAAATTACCATCAGTGCGGAACAATACATCTTTTGAAATAGGACTTCACTCAGCAATAAGTACCAATTAAATCCAAACAACCAGAGAGCCAATGACCAGAGCAAATACACAAAGATGTAATGTTCTCAACACCCACACACTGATTAAACACTGAAATTTGGACGTTTATGAATGTAAGTGAAGGGAGAAAAGCTAACAGTTCAGCATGTTTTCTTTTTTTTTTACTCATGTCCTAGCCTAATATTCTTTTGCCTACATAAGCTCCAGATAGTGTACAGCATGCAACACCAATTGCTGTTTTAATTACAGAAGTGCTTAATATAGAACCACCTTATTGGCTGTCAGTGAGCTTGTTAAAGTATTGCTCACACACTCAGGCACCTGCTCCCCCTCCTGAAATAGGAAACAAACTACCTTTCATGTGCAGAAAATGAGACAAACAAGGATAAGCAGCTTTTTACTTTTCATGGAAACATTTTATTGCTCAAGAAAAGTTTGTATTCATACAGCTGCACGGACAACATGGAGAGTGAGTGAGGAAAAAATATGGAATGAAAGCACTGTTACAAAGAGTGACAAACTAGTCAAATATTCCCACACACCATTTATTACTGCTTACTGAAAGATGCAACACTCGCTTTTATGCATAGGTTTGATCTATGTGTGTATCAGCACTGGTGGTCAAAGATGTGTCGCAGACGCAGACGTGTTGTTAGACGTGGATTTTTTAATGCACACACCTAACGTCATGACTGCAGTGATTTCTAAATCCAAGTGAAAAAAAAAAATTACAAAAACACAAGCAGCTTTAAAACTACACATTGTTACTGCATTTATCTCCCTGTCAGTGTAATATGTCATCTTTAAGTGGAAATATGTGCTGAATTCACACTGGGGTCAACAGTGGATTAAAAAAATTCTACTTCATGGTTTTAAAATATGTTCAAGATGTCATTTTCAACCAAGCTTAATTAAGAGTAAATCATGAATTGAAAAAATCTGCGCAACCACAAGAACAAATTGAAAAATTAGCAGGCCAGTGTCAGAAGAAATTTAATTCCTTTGGTGTCTGCATAAAATGCATCTTGATAACATTAATATACCTGCCAGGCTGAAAAAAAATAAGTATCACAACAGTTTGAAACATCTTAAGTGGGTTAAAAAGACTACTTAAGTACCATATTCACAGTATAAAGCGCAACTTACAGGAAACTTCAGAACAGAGGCACAAATTACAGAATTCACAGGACAATGAACCCAGTTAAAACAGAGTGGAATGGCTGGTTGGTTAAAGATTAAAGGGTATACAGAGGAATGAATGACACAAATATGAACAAATAAAGGGCAACCTAAAGGTCCAAATTACCCTACAAACAGGTGAAACTCTCGCTGGTTTGTAAAAAAATCATGATAAGAAAAAGGGAAAACACATAAAAGCTACATTTAAAAAAATCCACCACTTGTGAACACTCAGAATATTGTGGAAACGCCACCTTATTGTAATTCAATAAACATCATTAAATCTATCTCAGAGACAAAGACCATTGTTTTTCTGAATGAGCTAAGACTGTGCACTCCCTCTTTTTTCAATCTGCATGTTTAAGCTCTACAGTATCTGCATGTTGAGGCACTTGGAAAGAACATGATTGTACTGTGTGTATTATAGTATGTACATTTTTATGCTTGTGTGCCTGTAAATCACACTCCTTCCAAAACTAACATGTGCTTAACCTTACAGATCTAAAAACTAAGTCTGGTTTGTAGTTCTTGACTCAACATGAACTCCTCTCATCTACTGTGGGTGACTATCTAAAACACAAAGCGGTTTAGTCATCAACAAAAAATTTACTCAGACCACGTGTTGGCTGTGATAACCTTAGTTACTGATTCCAGATCAGTGTTCCCGCTCCAAAAGGGCCAACGACTTCCACCCGGATGGAAAATAAGGGCTGGGCCAGTAATCTCTGGCACCAGATCTGAAGCGAGAGGCTGACCAAGATTAACCTGGCAGGAATCCATCCAAGACCACTGAGGACAGTGCAAAAATGTGTTCAAAAACGGCTTCTTTTCATTTTAAAGCATCCTACTCTCACATTGTTAAAACTCATGCAACCAAAAACTGAACAAACAAAAGGATAAAAAAAAAATCTGGAGCATTTTGAGTCTTCCCTTCATTATATGACCATAATACAGTGACTACAAAATTTTAACTTATCAGGTGGTTTATGTGTACAACTATTAATGCTACATCTTATTTAAGGAAAAGAAACATGAATGATAATATTCACAGTCAAACATCATTTAGTGAGTTGTGGGCTCCGTCTTCCAAATAACAGACACCTTATACGCACCGTGTTTATCACAAAATAACATCCTTTATCACTGGTTCCAAACTAATACAACACTCCACATGTTAAGAGAACGACTCGATTTTGATGCAACCACTGGTGGTCCCTCTGTGCCGCGTGAATTCTGGAGGCGATGTCTACGCTTATGGCAGGCTGGCGATGTCCCGCTTTGGAGGGGGGCCTGCTGGTTTGCAGGGAGAGCCGTTGGCTTTGTCCTCGAAGATCAAGACACTGTGGAAAGAGAGAAAGTAGGATGTCAAATTATTTGTCTATATCAATAAACTGGGGTTTCCAGTGGCAGAACTACTAAAAATGTGAGTTTTAATAACCAAAACTTGGGCTGAGTTTAGCACTAAGGCACTGGTTTGATTAAAAGGTTCCTCAATTCAAGACAACAAGTGACTAGCAGAGATTGGTCGTGCAACTCTGGTTTGTCTCATTGAGATCCAAGATCTCTTTTGCAAGAGAGACCTGGCCAAGAATGGCAGAACATACAGTTTCAATGCATAATTACATTAATCATAAACAACACAAAGAATACAAATAATAATTGAATTTTCAAAATTAGTTCAAAGAATTTACAAGATTAGTCAAACATTTGCACTCAAATAAAACATTTGCACTCCTAAAGCCTGGATGTAATGGAATTTATCATGGATTTGAAGACATTCAGAGATACCAGACTTTGGAGTTTCAGGTCTGATTGCAAGATGGTCCGGGTACTCGGAGCAGGAAATCTAAAGGCTTTCTTCCCCATTTCTGTTCTGACCATAGGAACAGTAAAATGATAAAAGTCCTAGGAGCAGAGACTGTAGGCCCAATTATTCAAGATTAAAAGGGATGATAAATAAGATGCAGTCATCTGAAGAATAGCCTTATAAATCAACACATATCAATGGCTGAGCCGGCGCACATGTAAAGATGGCCGATTTACTTAACTGTATAAGACAATGATGAATATTACTACAGGCTGGGTTCAACTACCACACTAGCAGGTATTAGGATTATGAATTCCACATAGCCAGAACAGATAGTAACTAGAAGAGCTACACAGCTGCACAGACACTGCATAAAAATAAATAAAGTCAATAAAAATGATGTGAACTTATCCAAATGTCACAGGAATCATCACACAGCAAGGCAGTTCAAACCCTTTCCCTCAAAGACTGTCCAATTATCTGTATTTGTATTATTGATAATACACTAAATCTTAGCTATATAAGGTTAGAGGAAACGTTTAATTCTTCAAATCCAAAAATCAGTCACTAAACAGACATTTCATAACTATTACTACTATATAACAAAAACAGCAAATGTTTGCAGGTAAAAAAAAACTGGTTGATTTTTTTTTTTTTTTTTGGAAAAATTCAAAAAATCAGATAAATTATACAGATATCATGGTTAACATTGTGTCATACCACTAAATCATTCAGCTGAGATCCTTTTACCAGACAGAGATAAAATCAAAACAGGTGTAATGAGCTTCAGCACCATGGACAGTGACATAACAACAGTCATGAGCAGATCAGGAAAACAGGAGGTAAATGAAGTGAACAGGTGTGTGGTGTGTTAGAGAAGTTGGATCATTATCTCGCAGTGTAGCAGTCACAGCTGGGGTAGGAACTGACCAAGCTGCAAGTGAAAGAAAAAGACTGAAAGGAAACCACAAAGGGGACTGACTGAGGGGAATCGTGTTTAAGCCTGTGCACACGCAGGAGAGTGAGCCCTCTGATGGGAGCTATTCAGAGTGAGTGTCTGTCTTTAATTTCCTTTTTTGGAAAACTCTGCAAAGCTCCACTAAGCCCATAAGGAGCAATGATCCAAGGGAGGAAACAAGCACTCAGCAACTCAGGCGACTGTTCTTAACCCCACTTTCACTTCATTCTGCTGACAGAAGGTTAATACGCACAAAGACAAGCTTGTCTTTTTATGAATGTTCCCACTAAAAGTGTAAATAAATGAGTGTGAAACATGTACGATGAATCTTTTTCAAGTAGACCCGAGCGCTAAAGTGGTTAAGAGACTGGCTGACTTAATCTTGTTATAGTGTACAGACTAAACTGATATAATCAAAAATCCTGTGGAGTAGAAATCCAAGTTGTACAAATCTTAGCTGTGAAGATTCCTTACCCAACATCTATGATAAAAAAAAAACATCTCAGTATCACAAACAAGTAACATATGCTGTAACATAAAGCAAACACACAATCACGCAATCTAACCTCATTATCATTTCACCGTCACTGTGACAAAATCATCTGTACAGCGAAGGCTCTGAATAATACCACAGCAGGTTTGCACAACCCCCACTATAGAGACAAAAGGAGAGCACTCAAGAGGGGCGTTGCAGACCGTTTGAGATAACAGACAGTGAAGAGCAACACATGACAGATAAAAAAACAGAAAGACCCTCATTTGTCATTGCCAAATGTCAGCAGCTACTATCAGCACAAAACATTATTCACACTCAAAGTGTCAATCATCAGAATAGCTATTGTCTGCCCATGCATCATTTCTCAAACTCGAGATGTCTTCTTTTCCTTTTGTTGTTTCATTCTAATTTTTATATATCATTCTGTATTGTTAATGTCAATAGTATAACAGCGTGATCTGCAGGGGTGTTTCAACACACATCTCTGAAAACAGCAAGTAAAAAAGGCTTTCTATAATGCGTATAAGCCAGATGTTTCAAAAAGACTTACTTCATGGAGGTTAAAACTGAAATTCAAAACTCTAACTCACTGATCAGTTTAAAAGGTTAAAAAAATAAGACAAAACTGAGACAGAGTGTGGCTAACATAAGTCACCATATTGGAAAAAGACAATAAAATGATGATGTCGATTAGCAAAACACTGCACAGTGGAGCTTAGGATTTAACAGGGGGGAGCAAAATCCGTTGGTGAAATACTGACCCAGTTTGCGTTTTTGTTAAATGGGCCCTTAGGAGTTGAGATTTCATCATCAGTTAGGTTTTGCTCGTTCACCATGTTAAAAACTAAACGTGATCACAACAATGCAAAAAAATGAGTTTCCCTCGAATACCAAGGCTATCTTCCTCAAATGCAGCCAAGTCGTCAAGGAAGACCGGGAAGCGTGACACATTTATAAATAGCCACAGGGGGGATTATGGACTACACACATTAGAAAAACAACTGCGGGCTGTGGAGGAAAAGTTATGCATTTCCTCTGCTTGCTATTGGTGGGAATCGTGGGATTATGAGATTTGTCATTAAAGGGTCCAGCCAAGTTAAGTCCAGCAGAGCTGACATGCAGCAGCCAGCACACACTTACAGAATGACCCACTGCAAGGCCTCTTTATGAGCTTACACCACCTACACGACAGCAGGAATATAGACCTTCATCCACCACAGACCACTAAATGTAATAATGTACATTTTGTTTTGAGAGGGATGACTTTTACTGTTGTTCTCAGCATAATCTGACAGCCAGCGGTTAATCATCCCGTAATCAATTATCTAAGCACATGATCCCAGCTAAAGATAACGATAGGTTGACTTTGGATAGGCTTAATAGACAGGTTTTGTTGCCAAGCGGCATGCGGCGAATGACATCATCTCTTGTCATCCCACAACCAAGTGCTGCTGGATGAAAAAAATTGGCTGACACAGCACAAGATTTATCCTCCCTCTCTGACACGTGGAAACGCAGAGGAGGAGCGGTTGTTTTTGTAGACTTAATTAACTCGGTATCCATGTATAAACAATGAAATGAGGCGGTGCTGTTTGTGTCTGCTCAGGGGTTTACTTACAGTTTGAGCACAGCTGAGCGCTTGCCCAGCATCATCTTGACAAAGTCCCTGTAGTTGATGGTGTTGCTGCTGCCGCCCGTCACCTCCACGATCATTTTTTTCAACTCCAGGTGGGTTTTGGGGACCCCGAGTTTCTCCATCATCCGCTTCAGACCCATCAGATCTAACCAAAGGAACAGTGTGGGTCAGCTTTACTTCTTATGAAAGGCATGTTCTCATCAAAAATTCAGGTATAGGGCTGGGCGATATGGCCTCAAATCAATATCGCGATATATTGAGCAGTTCACCTCGATAACACTAAATGGACAATAACTACTCCACTCCACAAACTCCACATTTATACAGCCGCTTTATTTCATTTGAATTTGTTTGTTCATAGTTTTGAAAACCGCGATGAGGGTTCGGAGGAATAAAAAATAGCCATCTTATAGGCTAATAAAGCTTAATAAAGCGATTGGATTCATGCTCTGATCTTGCAACGTGCTTTGTGAGGAAAGTAAACAATGACGGAGGCAGAGAGCAGCTTCAGAGGAGAGGCATCCAGCAGTGTGAACAACCTCTTTTATATTGAGGTCTTTGGCTCGTACTATCTGCGTTTTCTGTGAGTGTTGCATGACTTTGGGTGAGCACAGACATTTAGTGCTGCTTTTGTACTGGCACTATACTAGGGCAGCTATACCCTTTCAACACTATTTTTTATATTTAAATTTGGATTGAATGGACACTTTATCATGACTGCCACTTGTTTTACAGAAAGCAAACTGTTTGTTATTCTCCAGTGCACAGTTATTACTTTTATTTATACAGCTGCTTTATTTCATTTGAGTTTGTTTGTTCAAAGTGTATCCAGAGTAGAGTCTTGAAGTCAAGACATCACGGGCTTCTGATTTAATTCTGATCATCGTTTTGAATCTGACTGCAATTTGACACACTGGCCACAAAATCATTTGGATTCACATTTCAGGATCTGTTATGTGACTTTATCCCAAACAGACGATTCCCCATCTCCTCCTGTTGTTGTAATTCACTCAAAGTGGAATCCAAAGTTATTTCCCTGCATTATGCAGTGGAGCCGCAGGGGCTTGGAAATAAGCTAGGAGGAAATGCTTGTGAGATTGCTCGGCAGAAGCTAACCAAAAGACAGGGTAACAGAAGCTGAATGTTTTTGGCCATCTGCGTGACTGAAAAAGTGTCATGTGAGAGTTTCTTTGCTTTATGCGGTTTTCCTCACACATCTGTGGGATTTACACGTGGGCACTCCTGCCAGTAATATCATGCAAACAATGGCTCACAAAGCTCACATGCTGATCTTGAGCAGCACTGATGGTAAATGCACTGTGCTGATAAAAGTGTTTTTTCAAGTTTTTGACCCCTCAGCACTTTTACATGACATGTCAGCCATTCACGCTAGGACTGTCAGGATGTGGGAATTTTCCCTGAGGTGATTCAGAGTGGCTCCATACAGCGCTATTGCTCACTTCTGTTTGTCTGTTAGTAGTTCATGATTGGTCCTATTTTCTTATAACTATTAGCTAACATGGACATTAATTTAACAATGATTACCTCTGTTTTGTTATCATTTATGACTTCACTGTAGGGGCGCAGCACTGTGGCAGCATACAGTATCTACGCTCATGTGGGGTGTGTCAGTCGCCTGAGACTGGTATGAGAGATAAAAGAGGTAGAATTCCCCTCACCAACAGCATTTACGCTGAGGTTACCTGAGTTTACCTGAGAAAAGAAGGATTTTTAAGAAATAGTTTCAATGTAAGTATCATTGTCTGGAGCAGTGGTTCTCAACCGGTGGGTCCTGACCCAAAAGTGGGCCGCGGACACGCTCTGGATGGGTCACAAACAGCTGGTCAAAAAAGAAAATATTTAATGCACATCTGATGTTTGACATGTCTTTTTTTATTTTGAAAAATAGCTGATTTTGTGAAATTTGATATTTGATATTTTCTGTATATGCAACTTCAGTAGTTGTCATCCTCAGTTCATGTGCTCTGAAATGCACTAATAAATAAAAAACGGGTGTATTTGTGTATGAGATTTGACTCTTTGAAGGTTTTTTTGTTATGAAAAATAAATATGTTTGGTTTGAATTCTATAAAAGTGGGTCGTGACTTGAGGACCGTTGGAAATGTGGGTCCCAGAGTGAGACCAGTTGAGAACCACTGGTCTAGAGGACCAGATTAGATACCTTTAACGAGCAGTGGTGTGTTTGTGTCCTTAAAACTACTGTATGTTGCTAATATGGCTAAAAAAACATTGCATCTTCTTTCAAGCCCTTAAAGACAGATATCACCTGCTGTCTGTTTCCCACACTACATTTCGCCCCACACCTGTTCGTGACCTTTATTATCGTCGTACAGTGCCGTCTCACTTTACATACAGGACACAAACATGACACATGAGCCTGCTGAAGCCTGAATGTGCTCACAGCGGTCAGACAATACACAAGAGTATTAATTACTGTTCCCTCAAGGTTACGCAGGTCGGCTAACAGTTGTTACCCAGAGTGCAGTTGGTGTTTTTCTGCTGCCTTTACTCACCGATCTCTCCTTGGTCATTCAGATCAAACTCAGAGTATTTATCTGTAGGACAAACAAACAGAAGAAATCGTTACTTACAGTGGTAGTTAATTCTGAGTTCATACACACCACATGTCTTGATGCAACATTTAGAGGGACACAAATCACATGCTTGCATCTAGCGTGTCAGCACAACTGAAACACACACTGTCACACTGTCTGGAGATTACACCGTCTTACATTTGGTCAACAGCTGACCTGGTGAAAGGAGAAGACGCAAACAGCTGATAATGACAGGTGTGCTGCTTTTGAGAGTGTTTAGGCTTTCTGTCAGCGGGGTCAGGCGGAGCACAGACAGCGGAGTGGGAACGACATGTGAAACAGATTAAAGTGAACACGCCAGGAAGTCAAAAGGGGATGAAAAAGTTTGAAACCTAAAAGTCAGGAAGGAAAATAACAGAGTTTTCCTCTAGAGGGGCTTAGTCAGGTTGAATCAGATCCCTTTGGCTTAACAAAACACAGAAAAGAGAAGCAAAGGAAGAGAAAGCATTTTCTGTATAAAAGGCATTGTAGGTAACTATTTACGTTTAAAAGAATAGCTTAGATATCTGTAAACATATGTGGATAGTAAGGTTGGCAGTTTATTTTTCTATTTTGTTATTTTGTCACTTTTGGTGTGCTGTAGCGCTGTCTTTCTGCTTCATGTTGCCACCACATTGGAGTCAATTTAGCATTTTCATGAACTGATTTTGTGTTACTGTGAGCAGGAAAAGCTTTTTTCAGTCTTTGTTTTTATTATCAGTTTGGTTTTTGACATCGTTTTCCATTTGTACCTCAAAGAAACCAACAAAAATTTAATCTACAATATTGAAAATCAAACAAAAAGCATATGAAAATGGTTTGATGTGGCAGTGTTCAACATATGTTAACATTTTTTTTTATCTGGTTCCTTAACAGCAAATATATGATCAATCTCTGAGGCTTTGATTTAATCCTAAATTATTTATAACCTTATCTTAAACTGTCAGACACCAAACCTAAATAGCTTTGACAGCTTTAAATTCTATCATTGGATTTGACTAATGTCATACTGTGAAAATCAAACTCAAGCGGGTGACGTAAATGTCCTTCTATAGGGTTACTCAGCTCTCAGTTCCAGCCACGTGTGAGTTTCTTGTCCGATCATTTTGGGATAAGATTAACTTTGTAACAGAGAGCTAACCAGTTGTGCCTCTCCAGGTCCTGTATAGTGGTTAAATGAAATCAAATATGAACATCCTCATGCAGCTGCTGCTAAAATAAACATCAAAGTGGACCATTTCCGGCGTCTTCCTAAAATTCCCCTTTCTCCACTTTCCAGAAGAAGACTCTTTTGGTCAGATTACACTCGCTATCTCAGTCTCACAGTGGAGCCTCTGTGTGTGTGTGGAGGGGGGGAGAGGGAGCTGTGTTAACTGTGTGACAACCCATGGGGAGCGGGACAGGACAATGGATACCCTGTTCGTAAACCCCAAGGAGAGGGCCTCCACACACACACACACAAGTACACACACACAGAGCTATTCTTGCGTAGACCACTTGTCGTAGAGCAGCCTGTTGATCATCTGCAACCACAGAGAACATAACTCCGGTCTTCTCCAGTGTTTCCTCCTGACCCACTTTAGCAGCTGATGTGACAAAACGACTGCTGTTTTCTGCCTTTATTCTCTTTGGTGTTTCTCTAGGCGGTGTGGGATTTGAGTTTGATTTGTGTTAAAATGTTATAATGGTGAGTTTGTCTGCTTTCCCTTGAAGGCAGCTATCATCTTTAAGGGGGTTTTCCGTTGTATAAAACAACCCTGCAGATAAAATAGTTGAACGTACGATGACTTCCCCCCTGTCACTTTGCCAACAGATGAACAAGGAATTTTTTCATCATCCTTTCAGTAGATACCCACAGACCTTGGGGGCAGACAAACATCTCCGTTCATTAAAACAAAACAAAAACAAACAGCTGAACTTATGTACTCTTAATATCAGTCTAAAGACAAACAAAACAAAATCAGTGTTGTTTTCTTCAAAAGCTAGACTTTGAAACACTAGAGTTAGGGCTGGGCGATAAAACGATAACGATATATATTAAAAATAGATTTCCTTCAATATCAATATAAAACATGGTCAATATCCTTTTCAATAGTTAACATTCTGCCATGTTTTGGTAGACTATATGAATAGCCAATGAAAAGGAGAGTTGCTCCGGATCCGTTTCACGCTGAACCAATCATGTGCTGAATTAAAACTAAGTAGCAAACAACTGCATAGTAGCAGGCTGCAGCTACACACAACCTTTACACTTTAACACGTTCAGCCCAGAGCAAAAAAGGGAAATGAGTGCTACCCACGGCGGAAATGCAGATGAAGGCTCAACAGATGATGACATTGTCGACAACACTGGCACGAAAACACTGGTGTGGAGGTATTTTGGTTTTTTTGAGGTCGGACATGAAGCAGAGTAATGTGCACTGCAAATAATGTCAAGTATATGTTCTTGCAAAATCGGGAAATACCTCAAATCTTTTTCACCACCTGAAGCAGTGCTACGTGGCTCGGGGCAGTTACAAACCCTGAGCAGAGCAAGGAGCCCATAGCACCTGTGCAGTCCGCTTTCTCTAGCACAACGCTTTACGACAAAACGTCCGAGAGACACAAAGACCTCACAGATGCAGTGGCTTGTTGTATTGCAAAAGACATGCAACCCATAAGCACTGTTAAATTTCATTTTTTATATCATGATATTTATCGACTGATATGAAAAAAAATATTGTGATTAACTTTTTCCCATATCGCCCAGCCCTAACAAGAGTATGTACCAAAAGTGTCTCTTTGGGTTAAAGCCTGATACAGAAACAGTTCTCTTAAGCACAGCATCTGTAAGACAGGACTGTTACACTTCACTGTCTGTATGAAAGGCACAGAGGTGGATTGACAGGGAGTAGTCGCCTTGCCACTAAGCTAGCACCAAAGAGGGAACATAGGTGAAACAAGTTGTGGATACAGCACTGAGTTAGGTGTAGCTTGCTTTATTTATTCACTGTAGGTGTAAATATTATACTTGTTCGTCAATGTACTCTCTCACTGTAGCTCTTCTATAGAAAATAAGCATAAAATTGCTTTTAATTAACTTTTAAGCACTCGTATTTTAGATGTTCTTAGATAAACTGGTTTAGAGGCAGTAAGCAGTCATGATTGCAACAAAATCCACCGTTGATGAAAGTTTAAAGAAGCTGTTAAAACTTTCTTGACAGTCAACTTCTGGACAAAATGTCTTGTCTCTTTGCCTGTGCACGCATAGGTCGTACCCTCCTCCTGCTCGCTCTCTTTCTTCAGTCACTCACTGCTCACTGTAATACTTATCCTTGTAAACTGATTTGTCGGATACTAACCTGCCAACACGAGGTTACAGGAGTTCAAAATAACGGTGTGAAAACAGCCAATCATTTAGCTGATTTTCCAGTTTACTCATAGTGGCGATCAATGATTGATGGAGACTATTTGATAACCGATTACAAACTCTTCACAGAAAGCTTAACTTTACACTGACCTGATAGCGACTTCTATTGCGTAATCGATCTCCATGTGGTGATTACAGACTTACTCCAGGCTGACCTGCAGAGCTGTAAACATCAGCACCTCTCTGTGATTGATCAGAATGTTTGTCCCTGCTTTCGACAAGAAAAACATAATTCGCTGACTTCATTTCCGGATGTTTTATTTCAATTAGGGGTGGGAGAAAAAAAATCAATACAGCATAGTATCATGATATTTTGTCTGGTGATATATCATATCGTCTCTTACCAAGTATTGATTTTTCAAATTAATCGCTAATATGAAGTCAAATCTATGATAATGGAAAATAAATCAACTGATTGTTCAGAGGGGTGACATCATAGAGCAGCAGAAAGTTAGTGTAATAAAAAAGGTTTGCAAATGTGCTACATGGAAATAAAATACTGTGTAAATAGGACAAACATAAAGGAAAGCCAAATGCTAAATTAGCTAAACAGTTGAAAAAATTGTATGAATCGCAATATGTTGTATCGCAATACTCACTGTATTGCAAAATGCTAAAAATCGCAATAATATCGTATCGTGACCCAAGTATCGTGATAATACCGTAACCGTAGTGATTCCCACCCCTTATTTCAATACTGCAAGGCGAATGTGCAATATGGTTCACAAATCCCAGCTGGCAACACGGCTTCAATAAAAAGTTAAAATCTCTGATATAGATCTGGCTGCACGACCTCTTGTCCCAGCATTAACGTCACTATACATGCACATGCAATATCCAGAATGCAGGGATCGTGTGGGCGCATGGTTCAAATCTACCAAAACAAGTCATGATCCTATTACTGTACTTCCTGATGAAGACATGCAAGGTTTCTGATTGACAAGAAGTCTATCTGACATGACAGGTGCAGTCTGTTTTGTGATTCTTTGTCCTTTCTTGAAAGCCGTCCACTGAGGAAAGTCAGCGGAGCCAAGTTGAGACTGATCCGCTGTAGTATTCAAGTGTAACATTGTGGGACAGGCCAATCTAGTAATACTGTTCTTTTCTGGATAGTATGAAGTCTGTTTTGGGTATAATAAAGCTTCTTTGGTGGATGAGTCACATTGGTGTAGACTGGTTGGTGTTATAGAAGACATTTCTGTTATGTGACCCCTGGGTTACTAGGACTAGAAAGAAAAAGGAGGGAAAAGAGCCGTCTCAGGGTGTCAGGCCCTCTTTCCGTTTATATATTGCTGCTCTATTTCCTCCAGCGAGCATAGATTGTAAGTAGGACATGGCAGTATGTTTCCCATCTCAAGACTTATGCTTGCTATCAGAGTAAACAGCCTTTTGTTATTCTGTCTGCACAACCACAGAGGAAAGAAAACACAAGACTTCATACACACCCCGAGCTGCATGTTTAAGTCTGCGCAATGTGGAGGAGGTTTCTTTCTTATTTTTTTTGTGAAGTCATTTTGTTCCCATTATTAGCTCCTAGTAGCAATGTTTTATCTGCTCCCAGGAGCAAAGAGTTCTGAATATTATAACAAGAAGAAGAAGAGGAACGCCCCGGCACATTCCTCCACATTCCTCCCTCGCCGCTGTGGACTTGGCCTTGCGAAACTCTCAGAAATCACAGCAGTCTGTCTTTCCCACAGAGAAAAACAAAGTGCTACGGACTTATATATACATAGATTTGTATATATATGTGTGTGTATGTGTGTCTGTGTGCAGACTGCCAACAAACAAACAAATACTGAAGCCAGGACAAAAGTTAGGAACACGCCCGCGTACTTGCACATACTGAGGGGAGGGGTGCATTTGCTTACTTTTGAGACTTTCCAGCTTTTCAGGCAGGTCCTCCTCATCCCTGTATTTCTGGTCTTCCATGTATTCCTGAGGAGGAGGAAGAGGGGGAACAAAGGGGAAGGGGATTAGAAAAAACACATCCTGAAAGTCAACAGTAGAACCAGTTTTGGCCCTTTTCTAAACTTTATTGGCAAACTTGGTGCAGTCCAATGAGAAAAGAAAAAAAAGGGAATCCAGGTCTAAATGGGAGCACTTATGATTCGGATTTTCAAGCGTTACAAAACTTCCAGCCTTTGAAGGATGACTTACAATTTCAAGATGTTTCCCTCAATACTTATCTTTGTATTCACTAAATGGGACATCCCACAAGGGTGCCGAGGAAATGAGCCTGAAGGGTGCTATTCTAATGAAATTATAATGACGCAATCTGCCACGTGGGAGTCAGCTTCAAAGCTTCAATCTATGTCGCATTAGAGAGAGCATGTGAGGCTGAGGGTGAGTTCGTTCCCTGCGCTGACCTCCACAAGTCCGTTTGGGCCTGTAATTAAGGATGAAGAGGCCAAACAGCACAACTGGCTGTTTATCAAGGCAGCATGACTCAGGCCTGCTGAATCACCACTCCAAACCTCCCCCAACACACAGGAATGTCCGCTCTTAGTCTGAGTTTATCGCACAAAAATGAAAATATTTGAACGAGTGCTGACTGAACAATAAGGCGGTGAATATAGGTCAGTAAAACAATTCCACAATACAGAGGTCAGATCCGGACTAGTGTACCGTTTCTGTGCGAGCTCAAGGCTGAGATTTGATAAGGTAAGTAGAAAGCAGGTTGTGATGGCAGTGTCAGCATGTATGCTTTGAAAACACAATATAGACATAAATTGAGAAAGAGGTGCTTTAACATTGTCTTCAAAAACAGACTTAAGAAGGTGAAAACTCTTTTTTTTTACTTTACAGACTCTGGAAGCTAAATTAAAGACAGGCCACTGAAACATGCAATTGTAGTTGTCATTTTGTGTCGCAAATATTTGATTTTTTGGGAGAAATCACACTGTAGATTATACTTTACTGACTACTAATCATCCATTTAGCATCTTTCATTTATATTGCGTGTAAGCAGGGTTGCGCAGTGTATCTAAGGTGATATAATTGTTGGTTTAACGACCTATGAAATGGCAGTAATGGGTGTGTCCTTCATTTTGTAAACACCAATCTTAACACGCCCTGAGAGTCCTTACACTTTATTGAATATGATCAAGTTAAACTAGCATAACGCCCACATGGTTTCAGTGAATAAATTAACCATCTCTGTGCATCCCCACATGCATAGAGATGGTTTGGCCTTGAAACAACAAATGTTGCTCAAAAGGTGCCAATCTGCAGAATTTGTAGGAAGGCAATAGCTGTTTAAGACAACTTAAAGACAACTAACATGTTTCATCATCTGCTGGTGAACCACGCCACAGAATAGGATGAATATGAAAGCCTTTAGGAGACAGGTGTCAACCCTGACCAACCAGGTGAGGCACCAAAAAAACAAAAATGCACATAGCAAACTTTTAAGATGATTTCATGATAGTTTTTGTCAGTCCTTGTGAAATCTTTAACAAATCAAACCCTGAGGACCGCTCTGAAATGGTTTACCCATAATTACACTGTTTAATGTCTTGTAGGTTTTTTTTACATGGTAAAGAGCTCTTTCTTATCTGTTCACTTAATATTATTTTCTTGTTCATCAGGTTTTATTCTTTCTTTTTACAATTTTATTTTTTATCTTTATCTCCAGTGTTTTTCTTCACGTAATGTCACGGTGTCAGGCCATGACTCTTAAACAATATATCTTAAATTCTCCTACTGTGTGCGCTTGGGTGTGTGTGGGTCCATGGGTGGGTGTGTGGGTGGGAGGCTCAGGTTTTATTGTTGTTAATAGTTGTTTTTAGCCTCTGTGAGGCACTTTGAACTGCATTTTTTATCTGAAAGGTGCCATAAAAATAAAGTTGAACTTGAATTCAGCCACTAAAACTATACCATGCCCTATCCCACTGTGCAATAGACGGCTATTAGACCTAACCAAAATACTTATGATAGCTGTTGAGCAATATACAGTGTAGTATAGATATAGCCCAGATTTAGACCTGGTCTAAATCTAAAAAACTTTAATTTATAGATCTGTGGTAGCCTGATTTTAGACCAGTCGCCTAGGCTACATTTGGACATCTATTAGACCTCTTTGAGACCAAAAAATGCTCAGTGGGATGGTACTTAGTATTTGTTTAGGGTTAGGGTAATCATTTTTCCCTTTGTACAAATGAGGGACATCAAAAGTAGACTAATCTAGGAATCTCTGCACTAAGTGTTTGAAACAGGGATGTCACGGACGCACCTACTTCTTGTCACGACCTGCTTTTCATAGAGTGGGCGCTGATGACAGGCTGCAGGCCAACATAGAGGTGTAGAACAGAGATTAGACAGACATGTGGTTTAATCTGTGGGAACCACAACAGAGGAATCTGACCAAGCGAGGCCTAAATGTTAGACAAAGGGCTCATTCAGTACACCTGTTTTCCCAGCCACACAGTGAGCACTGCGAACACGGAGGCGGCTACAAATCACGCTTCAAAATGCGTGTTGTTAACCAGGACCAACACATTGATGTAACGATGTCAGAGGGTGTACACTGAAATAAACCTTTCACCTCTGTGTGACAGCATGCACCCGTTCAACAAGTGCCACGAGACAGAAGGGGGAAATCGATGAAATGCATTAACAGCGACTGAGTGAGTGAGTGAGTGAGTGAGTGAGTGAGTGAGTGTGGCATTTGGGAGGGAATTCATTATTCATCATAACAATACTACAGGGACTGATCAACACAACAGAGCTGAATTAGGACTGCATGTTCAAGGAACAAGGCCAATGCCGAGTCAGGTGTGTGCCTACACATGAACAAATAACAGCAGAAAACATGGATTACCTTGTTTATCTCCTCCAGTTTTTGCTTTTGCTGTTCCTTTAATACTCCAAAGGCTTTTCCTCCTACAAAGAGAAAATCATGTTATTGTAGTAGCGAGCCGGTTAATATGTACAGGGGCTTACTTAGCCTGAACATCGGCCTGCTGATGCTCTATTGTAAGGACTCTGAGCTCTCAGCGAGCGGCAGACACATGAAGATACCCGGAGAAGTGCACGGTGTAGTCAGCTGTTTTATTATTTAGTACCTTGGAGATTTTTTTCCGACGGCATCCTGGAGTTTATCTGCGTGATATAAATCCAGAAAAATGAAAAAAAGCCAAGCCAGAGGGCTGCCGCAAGTGTCCACCCGGACTATACTCCTGCTCTCAGTCACAGATTGGGTTCAGAGTGGACCAGTCGGCTCTGGGATGAAGAGAAATACAGTTACAAAGGGAACATCCGGTCAGAACTTTCAAAATAAAGTCCTGGTTGGACTCTATAAAGAATGGACAGAGTCTGCCTCCTCGCTGGGTGAAGCCATTCCGAGAACAGCACCCTCTGTTGATGGGCTGCAGTATAGATCATAAATCCCGCCTCCGCCAGCAAAGCTTATGGAGCTGTGGACCAATTTAAGAAATTTATTGCACAGAACATAAAATTTTCTCCCCCCCTGCTTGTGATGTTGACATGTAGTTACTGTCAGTCTGGTTTGTGTTCAAGTCCTTCTTTTTCTGTGAAGCTCCGTTTTTAAAATTTATTAGGGGTTTCATATTTTCTATGATTGACACCTGATACAGCCTATGGGCGTTCAGGGATTGCGTAGCTCACTCGGGGGATACGCTGTTTGAGCCGAGCGTCATCACAGCGACTCTCTGCAGCTGCGCGGCCGAATGCACGCATTGCTACTGCGCAGCGCTGGTTTCAGGAAATGAAGAAAAATCCTGGAAATACCGAGAGCTTTTTGGCTTCAAATCCGTATACAGGCGGTAGGCGGAACCAAGTCATCCATAGTACATGAGGACGGCAACTACTGAAGTTGCATATACAGAAAATATTAAATAACTATCAAATTACACAAAATAAGCTATTTTTCATAATAAAAGACATGTCAAATATCAGATGCGCATTAAATATTTTCTTTTTTGACCAGCTGTTTGCGTCCTATCCAAAGCGTGTCTGCAGCCCACTTTTGGGTCGGGACCCACCAGTTGAGAACCACTGACATAAGATTGTCACATTTCTGTATCTCAGAAATGTGATAATAATGTGATAATCGGCAGTTTCAGAATCGTTCTTTTTCTGATTATTATTTTTAATCTAAACCTTCTATTGTTGGTTTCTCTTATAATCTTATAATTCTAAATGATCAAAACAAAGATTTTTCATATCATTTTTTAGGAGGAGTTCAATATAGGAAGTAGGCCTACTACAGCGTAGATATAAAAAAAAAAATTATATCAGAGACATATTAGGAGTCATTAGATGTGCAGTTGAAAAAGCAGAGGTAACAAACCCATTTTTAAAAAATCTATTATATTTTATTATTTGTGACAGAATCATTTACTTTATCAATACATTACAGAGAAAGGGAGAAAGGTCCCTGAATTCCTTATTGTGAAATCAGTATAATAAATAGAATATAGAAATATAAATAAATATAAATAATGATAAATGAATAAAAAAATAGTATATTTAAAGTAATTAGCCCTCTGTATTATGTTAAAAACTACTTGAGTTGACATGGGCATTCATTCTGCTTGCTTAAACCTGTGTCCATTAAGAGAAACATGCTGTAAACACAGTAACTATGCAGTTTAAAATCACATTTTAAAGGCATATATGACAAATAAATGCGCTGCTGATAGAATAAAGTCAGTTCATGGTGCGAAATCAAAAACCAACACAACTTAAACTTAACACACCCCACATACACGGTAAAGAAGTCTCTTATTTTGAAAACGAATGAACAATAATTTCCGGTCACAGTCAGCAGACGGACCGTGCTTTTTCGTGAATGGTGCTCCCGGAGTAAAGTAGGTCGCCCACCATCATGTGGTGTTAAAGGAAACTGCAACATAATGATGGTATACCCGCGGCAACGCAGGCTGTATGTTGAATAAATCAAGAGCTTGTTAAGATGACATAATGGATTTTAAATGTGAAGATACAGAAGTCAAAACAATACGTGAAAACAAGGCGTGACAGCTATTAAGATCATGCCAACGACCTACAATATGTACACAATTATAAAAGTCTGTTAGGGTGCATTACTGAAAAGTGGTTTTTTTTTTCATATGAATTAACGACTATTTTGTTTAGAATCTGTCCACAATAACCATCCTACTTTGCAACTATACATAAATGTACCTCTTTATATACTTTTTTCTTTTGTTTTTATCATGTCATTTATTTATGCAACTATAATAGCATGATGATATAATGAAAAGAAAAAGATCTTGGCTTTCATGCGTACTTAATTAACACTGACAGGATATAGTAATTTTATTCGACAAATGATCACATTTTACAAATTCTTGTTTTTTTATGTTGCATTTCTGTTTTAAATTATAAATATATTCGTAGTTGACCAAATGTGATTAATTAGTGCCATAACCCAAATTATTCCTGTACCAATAATATAGTTTGTCTCCCCCTGGTGGTAATTTACCATAAAAGCCTCCATTTGTTCACTTATCAAAAGTTTTAAAACAAAAAAAATATTTTGTACTAAAATTTTGCTACATTTTGCTGAAAAAAGAAAAAGAAAAAAAGAAATTCAGCCTGAGTTTTTCTTAGGTGAAAAATGTTGCCCATAAATATTATGGGCGGCAGTAGCTCAGGAAACAGAGTGGTCATCCAATAATCGGAAGTGTGGCGATTCAACTCCCCCCTATCCTGAGTCTGTCCGCTGTGTCCTTGGGCAAGAAACTTAACCCACCTTGCTCCCAGTGTGTGTCCTCCCCTGGTGTGTGATTGTGAGTGTTGTGTGGTGGTGGTCAGAGAGACCGTGGGCGAAAACTCGTCCCAGAGCAGCTGTGACTACTAAATTAGTTTACCACCACCAAGGTGTGACTGTGTGAGCAAATGAATCATGTATCCAATGTAAAGCGCTTTGAGGGTCTCTGATAAAGCACTATATAAAATTTGATGCATTATATTAAAAACACAGAGGGCTACCCATGGTGGAAGGTAGAATACATACAACCTTTCAAATACCATACTTTAGAGGCTCTCTTATCCAGCACATCCCCACATCGCTTTAAGTGGACTGCACATTGGTACTCCAGATTTTCCTTGTTCACCTGATGGAAGGTAAAAAGAAAAAAAAAAGAGCTAAAAATCTTGACCGTTGTTTTTGCGTTTTTATTTCTTCGCCATGAACTTCCGAAATCAAAAAACAAATGATCAAAAATACAATATAAACTTCTGAAAATCAATACACTGAATATCTTTTTATTTTCTTACACATGGCAAAAAACACTGAGCAAAGACAGAGTCCGGGTGGGTTAGTGCCTCTGCTTAGTCCTCTTTGCTTTTTTTTCTAGATCGCAGAATATGGTGTTTCACAAACGTTGAGCCTCCCCCCACTGTTATCCCCGATCATATACAGTTCACTAGTTTGGCGTTTGCCACAGACGTACAGTGCCCATTAACAGGTCCTGGAGCTAACAACTGTGTTGAAATTTTCAATCAAGCACGACTGCATTCCACCACTTTGTACACAATGTACACGTCCCCCCCTAGGATTCGACTCCCCCCTGTGAACTAAAGTCAGTAGAGATTGTAAGTGTACAGACGTACTGGAAGGCAGAAAAAAAACATAAAAAAAGGGAGATGAAACCTGGAGAGTCAAGGCAAGTTGTTGTCAAATCAGTGCATAAGTTCTCAGGATCAGTAATGCCAGAAAGTCTCAGACACCCTAAGATCCAATGGCAGAAAAAGTTTAGAATCCATCAGTTGAACCCAAACTGCTGCACTCTTCCATTATTTTCGGTTTTACTGAGAAAATAGAAATGTTTCTTTATTATAACTCATGACATTGCCCCACATAACACAGTAAATCATTTGTGTTCAGCTTTTCATTTCATCTGAACACAGAGCATATGAATCTTTTCTTCCACTTCTCCACTCTAACTATGAAATACACACGAGAGGACACACATGATGTGTTTAAAACAAAACAAAAAAAACCTGGCATTTATAAGTACAACTAAAAACTGAACGTTTGGCTAAAACTAGAAAAATAACTGTCCGTAGATGGATGTGGTTGTGTCTCTGATTTGGCCAAAATAAAAACAAAAACAAACAAAAAAACCTAGAAAAAAGTGTACCCTGATGAGGGGGAACTTGAGTACAGGGAGGGTCTTTGTGCCCCAGTTGGTGGGGGAAGTGGTGCGGTGCAATCCTCTCTCTTAACCCCTTGTTGTTGTTTTTTTTATCTACCACTCTTTCTTCTTCTCATCCATGGACACTCCTCCAGGTCCCAGCGCCACCACCAGCAGCAAACCGCCAATGACCGAGGTGGTCTGGAAGAAGTCGTACTTGAGGAAGTCGTGCATGGGCTTGTAGGCGGGGATGGTCCAGAAAGCGTTGAAGTAGACATTGATCGCCAGGAGCCAAACGACGAGGGTCAGTGCAGCTAGCTTGGTTTTGAAGCCGATGGCCACGAGGATGATGAGGGCAGTCCCAACCATGTTCTGCAGGATCTGTGAAAGGGTGAACATGTTATAACACAGCAATTTTCTGAACAGAGGCTATCATTGTACAAATGAATAGACCTCATATGCTTCACACATGCTGCTGACACTGGTTTGAATCAGGTTCTGGGAAACTCCAAGTAGTCCAAGTAGAGCCTTGAACTTCTTGTTATTTCAGGCCACTACTACCTTTTATTGCACTGTAGTTCAAATCTGATGCCTATGGAAGTAAATCTGTGCCACCTGATTTTGAATTTCTAAAGCTGAATTTTTCTGCATCAAAACCAGACTGAAATTTAAAACCATTGAATTTCAAGCACACATTTTTATTTCTGACACTAAGTTTTTTCAAGACGAAATAATTTCAGTGTAAAAAAAAAAAATCAGTCTCTCAAAATATTTGTTTAGTAAAAGTTCGACTTAAAAAAACAGTGCAAAAAAATGTCAACATAAAAAAATTCTGTATCAAATAATTCAGTGTCAAATAATTCAGCATAAAAGAGACCGACTCAACATTCGGGTAACCAGGGAAAAGCAATCGATTGGATTCAATCTTCTACTGGGGTCTGTGTCACATGACCAATCTAGCATTAATTGATTGGCTGGACGATGGATGATTGAGCCAGGAATCGATTGCTTCTCCTTGGTTACCCGGATGTTGAGTCGGTCTCTTTTACACTGATTTTTTTTTTTACTCTGAATTATTTGACACTGAATATTTTTTTATGTTGAATTTTTTTTACAGTTTTTTTTTTTATAGAATTTTTACTTAACAAATTTTTTTGAGAGACCTTTTTTTACACTGAATTTATTTCATCATTGTGAAAAAACAGTGTCAGAAATAAAAATGCGTGCTTGAAATTCAAAGGTTTTGAATTTCAAAGTCTGATTTTAATGCAAAAAAAAAAAATCAGCTTTAGAAATTCAAATTCAAAATCAGATGGCACAAATTTACTTCCATAGATGCCTATTAAAATGCACCGTCTGTGGTGGACGGAGGTCGGTATCGGCATCTTGAAGGATCTGTTACTATGCAGCCTGTGTGTTGTGACACCATTCTATCAGAACTCGTCAAAACTTCCAGAAAGTTGAGTTTTATTAGCTTCTCTGTAGGACCACACCTTTGATCCCCACAAATATCAGACAGACTTTGCAGCCCATGACCCCACCACACGTGGAGAGGGGAGAGAAGTGAGAAGAGGTAGGTTTGTACAAATGTATCTCTGGGTGCATGTATCTGATAAAGCTCAGTGACGGTGAAAACACGAGGATGAAGAGACTGTGGCAATCTTCAGCATGAGCAATAAGTCAGGCTCAATAGTGCAATTAATCCATATCATGATCAAATATAGTTCTGATGTTAGAAAGATTCAGGCTTGAGAAAGCTGAATGATATCTCTGAACAGCAGCTTGTGATAAAATTCAGGTTTTGGTCTGTTAGCTTTCAGTTTAAAATACCTCAATTTTTGTCACTTCTTTATTCCCAAAAAATACTAATCAAAAAGGCGCAGGATTTCCAATTTCAACTTTTTGAACGTCTCCCTTCAGGGGACCATGCTTGTTTTTCAAGGTGCAATTTCCAGGGTCTCTGGCTGTTGCTAATGACCCTATAACTATGAATTACTTTACATTATCTTAAAAAGGAATTCAATGGAAGCAAAGGGGGAAGCATACAGAGCATTTTAAAATAGACTGAGTCACTACCAAGGGGAAGCTGAAGTCCTCTTTCACAACTTCCACAACCTGCTCATTCTGAAATTGGGCTCAATGACACTGACAGTGCTAAAAGAAAAACTCAGTTGTTGACACAGTCTCTAAATCATTGGATTCGCTTATCTACAACAAGAGTTGGAAGGAGTGTCCTTCACCTTCACCTGTTTGTAGTCACAATGACTTGGCTGATAAGTGCTTATTTTCAGAAGTTATGAGCAGATCTTTAATGTCTTCACTCGTGTCACCACATTTGTCTGAAGTTTACGATGAGTCATACAGACTGATGACGTCAGTACTCACAGAGAAGAAGTTGGAGTCAAAGTGAAGCAAAGTCATGAACATGAGGACCAGCAGTACCCGACCACCCAGCTGCATGTACTGCTTCGGCGAACTCTCCCCCATGGAGGGGACTCCGGCAAACATACTCTTTCCTTCCGAACGAGACTCGGCCAGTAGCAGGAGCAGACCGCCACCTAGGGCGAGGTTTCTTGGAGAAAGAAAGGGGATGATTATTTCTCATTCATCAACTCCAACACAGACAGCGTGGAGTCAAATATATCTTCACAGATCACTTCTAGGAATTATCTCATTATTATGGTTTACCCTAACAGCACACAAATGCAAATACATAAAAATTCTGTTGCACTGTATTCAACAGCCTTTGTCTCATCTGGCCTACTAATGTGTATACAAATCACATCTTGTGCGATGTAATTACTCCGAATTGTTGGTGTCTGCTTGACAACTCTGATCCCTTCTTATCTACTACCAAATCAAATATGCAGCAAAAGTACATTTAAGATCAACTAATCATCATCTATAATCCTTCACAGAAATGTTCAACTTCTGCATTGTGTCTTACATGTTTTATGCCACAAATTTGTCTTGATGTCTATAGTGAGAGTAACTTACCTCATCAAAAACTTAAGGTCCCATAAAATGCTGTATGCAACCGTCTGTTGGGATAAAAACAAAATGTATTTCAGACCAAATCAATAACATGTGATCAAAAAGTGTGATCTTATATTGAAGTTCTCACCTGTAGAGCTATGATGCCAAACAGTCCAAAGCAGGCATACTGTACAAAATTTCTACTGAGGATGAGGACACAACCACCTGTTTGGAAAAACATAGAGAAATTATAATTTTTTATGATGATACCAGGGCTGGGAAATTTATCGTGTTTCAATTTCAACTTTAATTTTGTCTCCCCAGGATCATGAAAACAAGCGGATTGAGATTAAATGATGAGTGTGGATCTTTTTTTTGTCCTGTGTGGTGAATGTAGTGCATCCTCCCTCCCTTCACTGAACAGTGTACGCTCTGCCTTTGCACCCACATGGATCTCATTTCAATTTGTAGTGAAGAGCTGGCAGGTTGTAGTAAATGATCAGTAGCTCAGGTCCATGGGCAACAAAATTTGAGAATGTGATGGAGTTGCAGATGTCACAAAGTTTTCAACAGATGCACGCGATGTAGATGCCGTCACATAAACAAGTAATCATGTTATTTTCCATTTTCTTTTATGATCACAAATGCAACAGTAAGCTTTGATTTGTGTTTTTACTAAAAAAAAAAAATCATAACTATTCATGTCATTAAAACACTTAAACGCACTATGTAAAATTCTGTCACTGGAGTAAAATGTTAGCAGATCAGTGTGTAGATTTGCACATCAAAAACTTACAATAGACTCATAGCTCAAAACGGATGTCCCAGAACTTCCTCTATCTAAATCATGATTAAACACAAGTCCTTGTCCTTGTTCTTGGTCAAGCCTTTACATCGAACCCCTTAACAGCAATCTCTAAACCCCAGTGAAGAATCTCTGTCTTCTATTCGCCCAGCAGGTGAATTTTGAACCTCACATAATCAACTCGACTGGGAAAGTTTCAAAATCTTATCAATCACCTACAAAGCCCCGCATGGCCTTGTTCCCTCTTACATAACTGAATTACTGAGCTCTCTCCCTAGAAGCCATCACATTAGGTCATCTGATCAGGGCCTTTTTATCTGCGCCTGCACATTTCAAATACAGAGGTGATAGTACCTTTCCAGCAACAGCCTCTAAACTCTGGAAAAGAACATCAGGTCGGCTGATTCTGTGGCCTTATTTATGTTTGTACACATGCTTTGATTGCTGTGCATGGATTTATGTTTATATGTATTCCTGGCTGACTTATAAACGTCCGACACAGGTGACCGCAAATTCCACCAGGGGGAGTCTCTACCTCACAACCTACAATCACAGTAAAAGTGGACCAACATGCATTCATGATTTTTTTTTGTCTGAAAAAATATGATACACATGAAGTTATTGCTCATTTTTTCACATTTCACTTGGGATCTTGTGTCACTTGTTTAAAGAAGTAGAAAAGTAAATAGGTTCAAGCCAATAATCAGTTCACATCATGTTACAGGTGCTTCTTGATCATGTAAAGCAGTGGTTCTCAAGTCCAGTCCTCGAGGCCCACTGTCCTGCATGTTTTGGATGTTTCCCTGCTCCAACACACCTGATTCAAATGATTAGCTCGTTATTAAGCCATTACAGAGCTTGGTAACGAGCTGATCATTTGAATCAGGTGTGTTGGAGCAGGGAAACAACCAGAACATGCACGACTGTGGGCCTCGAGGACTGGACTTGAGAATCACTGATGTAAAGACTCAGGATTTATACACTCCTGAAAAACTCTGAGTGTTTGGTCCAGTATTTCTACAAAGCACATGACTTTCATCACAAACTTCCCAGTGTCCTGTCACATTTTGGTGGTTACAGCCTGCGCCGATTTTAGTTTCGTCTTCTGTCCATCACATGAGAAACTTGACTTCTACTTGTCACTTTCCCTGCTATGTTTTTTTTGATGATGCCGTCATCGGTGTGCAGTATGCAAACTTCTTCCTCACAGCTCGTCTGCTTCGAAGTTTGAGTAGCTTGGGGATGTAGTTTCACTTCCACTCCAGTCTAATTATCTTGCTGTTAAAAATGGGTGCTGCTTTTCTGTCCTTCAACAAGTTTCTCCTGCATCCTCTAATCAGTAAGGTGGTTTACAGCACAGAAGTAAAGTTCACTGTGTAATTATTGTACAACTATCTGCAAACTGTACACACAACTGGTCTTAAAAACACAATTCCCACTTCTAAATTTTTCTGCATTTAAACTGCATTTAAAGTTTCAACATTTTATCACCTTTATTTTACTAACTCCTCTTAAAGAAGTTACCAGAGTTCGATACTAAGTGAAACAAAAAGTATTAAATGTGACCTGTTAAGAGTAGGCATGTGCCGATATGAAAAATATGATATCACGATACTGGTGGCCCAAAATATCACGATTCACGATATTGTCACGATATCAGCGCACTGCTTTTCACGTTATTAAAAATGGCAAAAAACAGAGAAATCACTTCTCTGTGCACAGCGTGACACGCGCAAACAATATGAGCAAGCAACCAAATGAAAACCAAAAAGTGTGAAAAAGTGGCGCCACTAGATTGGTCTGCCTCAATATGTACCCAGCATGCTTTGTGCATCAAATCGATCGTTGTTTCTTTGAGTGACATCTTCATCATCTTTAAGTGCCATCAATACCGTAACAGAACAGAATATCTGTCTACATTTTACACTAGTATACTGGACGTACCCATCTGCAGATTAAAAAAAAATTACTTTATGGATGACAAAAACGTATCAAAAGTGCTTGGACTCTAACCCAACCATTCACTCACCCAGCTGTCCTATGAGGTTAAGCAGCACGAAGCATGTAGCCAGGAAATAGCCACAGCTCCAAGTAGCCTCAATGTAGTCTCTCTGCTCGTTCCACTGGAACCACATACGGATACCGTCCTCCAGGAAGGTGCTGATGAGACAAAGACGCGCCAGGTGGGGCAGGTACTGTTTGGTTACCCGCAAGAACTGTATAACAGAGGAAGAAGAGAGGAAATGACTGAAAGAAAGATCACAGGATGTGGTTTCAACGAAGATGTTGTTTTCTTAGAAGGTATATTTAATAACCAAACTACAACTTCTGTTACACGACTGTTACAATCTTGACTATTTATTCTGCTCTGCTTCTGCTCAGATATATAAAAAGGAAAAGAAGTCAATCATATTTACATCGACAACCAACAAGTCACACAAGCACAGCTCTTAATCTTAGTTATTTAGAGATTTGCTGCTTTGGATAAACTTTGTGTTTAAGTTTATTTTTTCCTTGGAAATAATGAAGACAGTAAAGTAGGAGAAAGGGTAACTCCTGCCTGAGGCAATGGCAAGAGTTGTGCTAGTTGTCAATCAAGTTTGACTTTTTGCCTGAAAAAGTAAACTTAATGTAGTAGATAAGTAATATATATATATATATATATATATATATATATATATATATATATATATTTGTCATTTTTTGTGTTTGTATCTCCTTGTAAGTCTTGTTTATTTACTTAGCTTCAATCAAACATCAAATCTTGTGTATCTTGAGGCAAATACAACTGAAATTACAACATTCATAAAATATTGAGGAAGTCCAAGATAACAGTGACACTTGTTCTCTTTTTATGATCAGTTTTGAAAAGCTACAACGAGTGACTGACTGATCATATGACTGGTTTGCAAAAGAAGAAATTGAAGAGTTTATATGCATGAAAACCAAAAATGTTTTGAACATCTCATGACAATAACAAGTCTGTCTCTCTGTCACAGCCCCAAATGGCCTGTTTAAGTGTGTGTAGCAAAAGTACACAGTATGCTAAAACTAAAGAATTGACACACTAAATTTGTCACTCAAGCAGAATCTCTATAGACAAGACCCTCAGACACTATAGTGACACAGGAGTAGAGAAGCAGGGACCTGCCCCCTTCCCTTCCCCGCCTACTCTGCAGTCCACATCAGCACTGTCAGACCTCAGCAGCCTATCAGCGTCCACCAACTCCCACTACGACTGTTATGTGGGACATGAATGGACTAAGTTGGAGCCAATCCGAAGAAGCCCAAGGTTACCGCAACAGCCTAGAAATAGACCATTTTGTAGGGTAACATTTAAGTAACATGTTCAAGATCCTTAGGGAGAGATGTCAGCAGAAAATGATAAAAGGAGGAAGTGTTTAAGACGTTACAGGTTCCCTTTTCTTTTGGACAACACAGGTAACTTATAATAGGAACTGTGTCAATCATTGGTACTCTCTCAATGGGAAGGCCAATAGTGAAAGTCCAGCTTGTCCTGTTCAAACACAAGGCACTAAACACTGTGGTAAACATGCCTCTTATCAAACTAACAATAACTCTAAGGGACACTGAAAAGGAAACAAGAGCAAATCTCTGGGGTAGTCCAAGTTCAGAGTAACTTGAGTCAAGGGAGATCTGAAATCTGATCATGACACCTCAGCCTAGCTCCTACAGATATTTGCACTCATTGAAGTCACAGAGGAACAGAAAACCCCTGTTTAACTAGTGACGATAACAAAAGAGAAGCTGTTGGTTAAGCAGCAAAGTAAAGGTTCATATGCAGCTTTGGTGTGCAATAAGACCTCTTTATCCAAGCCTCATATAAACTTACTTCAACACATTAAGACTTCAATAATACCAAATGTTAGCCTGTAAAATTATAATATGACTAACAGTGTTACCATGTAACTTTGAGGCTAAGCTCAGTGATTTCACAATAATGACTGGCACTGTCTACCTTGTCTAATACTCACAGTAATGCTATTATGAACGGCGTTGATACAAATCGACAGGGTTGCAAATCTATATATACCTGTCATATACCTTAAAGGCTGTCCGTCACCAGTTTCACTTAATAGTGTGTGACTAAATAATGCTAACTATCTAATCTACCAGGGTACACATGTCAGCACCACACGTTTTATCGATTTTTCAGGCTAATTAAAACCCATAATAACCGACTTAAAGCGGTGTCATGTCAGTTAACGTTGGTATTTATAAACGGTCACGCGAAACACCAGAATGTTATCAGAAAACGCTCGCGAGTCTGAAGAGTTAGCAGCTAAGATGCTAACAGCGGCTGCCGTTATCAACCGCCGTGCTTCAATTGAACTTACCTGGTCTGCCACGTCTTCGGCTGTGTTCATGAGATCCTCCTGCCCCATATTTGTGAAGAAATAAGTGTTATTAGTTGTTAAGGCTAAGCGCAACACAGTATTGATGTGTTGGGTTCGTCGCTCGCGCTGTTCCTCCCCCCGTTAACGTTATTTACTTGAAGAGAGAAAAGGCCGCCTCCGCCCCACAATGCCCCGCGATTTGACGAAAGACACACGGAGCCCCCCTACATGGTACTGCAACCGCTGTATGCCACGTATGCTGATCCGTCCAGGGGCTTGACAGAGACACTCAGACTTGTTTACGGCTATGACACATGTAAACAAAACACTAATTTATACCCTCTACGCCACCCGTATTCATTTATCTTTAACTGAAAGACACCATCGTATCGACGTCTCACAAGACCACACAGACCGATTTAACCGGACATATGCATCCGTCTATCATAGCAACTTCTGCCAGTAGAGAAACCTTTACGTTTAACATCAGACTGGAAAACTATTCCATTAGAAACAAAAATGTAAACAAAATTAAATTACTCCACACAGCAGGCTAAAATCATAAATTTATTTAAATGTTAAAAAGAAACAAACTATAAAACCCAAATAAGTCTCAAATTTAGTACAAGAGTGAAATAAAATATCTTTTTCACATGTAAGATTTTTACGTCTTAAAATTTCACAAAAATTACAACTCAAACTGCAAGATAATGATGGGATGACTTACTGTCTGCAGCCAGGGGTGTGTCCAAAGGGCTAGCCAGGGGTGGCACTGCCCCCCTTGAAATAAGGGGTCAAAATCCTAAACTGTAATAAACTTTTTTTTGGCCAAGGGTAGGATAAATATTAAAACGCTGAAGAGTTTTTGATGTACATGAAATAAACCCTTTCATTTTACACACAAATGATTTACAAAAAAATAATTGCACTGCCAGAAATCTGGGGGCACCAAAATTTACGCAAACCAAAGTTCCTCATATGAGTTTTAGAGGTAACTATTTGGGATTTCTTAACAAGCTAGCAGTAGCTTTCTTTTTATTAAAACATAACATTTATTTTGTTAGTGTCCTTACTTGAGGCTTGATATGAGCAAACATACAAAATAAACAATTTTTTTGGCCAAGGGTAGGATAAATATTAAAACGCTGAAGAGTTTTTGATGTACATTAAATAAATCCTTTCATTTTACACACAAATGATTTACAAAAAAAATGAGTTGACTGCCAGGAATCAGGGGGCAGTTAGAGGTAACTATTTGGGATGTCTTAAAAGGCGAGCAGTAGCTTTCTCAACATTTATTTTGTTAGTGTCCTTACTTGAGGCTTGATATGAGTAAACATACAAAATAAACAATTTTTTCGGTCAAGGGTAGGATAAATATTAAAACGCTGAAGAGTTTTTGATGTACATGAAATAAACCCTTTCATTTTACACACAAATGATTTACAAAAAATGAGTCGACTGCCAGAAATCAGGGGGCACCAAAATTTACTCAAACCAAAGTTCCTCGTACAAGTTTTAGAGGTTACTATTTATGATGTCTTAACAGGCGAGCAGTAGCTTTCTCTTAACATTTATTTTGTTAGTGTCCTTACTTGAGGCTTGATATGAGCAAACATACAAAATAAACAATTTTTTCGGTCAAGGGTAGGATAAATATTAAAACGCTGAAGAGTTTTTGATGTACATGAAATAAACCCTTTCATTTTACACACAAATGATTTACAAAAAAATGAGTTGACTGCCAGGAATCAGGGGGCAGTTAGAGGTAACTATTTGGGATGTCTTAAAAGGCGAGCAGTAGCTTTCTCAACATTTATTTTGTTAGTGTCCTTACTTGAGGCTTGATATGAGTAAACATACATCTTTTCAAGCCCTTAAAGAATTTAAATTTATTTATGTGCAACCACACTGTTGTGTTTTTGAATTTAGAAAAATATACACTGGAACATCCATGTGATACTTCAGTCTTTAGTTGCTGGATGATGAAGACAGACAGGGTTAATTTATTGTGTGTGCGTGTGCGCACATACCCCAGTACCCCCTGCTTATAGTTGTAAGTTATAGTTATAGTTGTCAATCTACATACCTACCGACCTACAAATTTGTACAATATTTACACACACTTTTGTAGCTTGTTAAAGTGGACTATACTCTTTATCATTGTCATGTAATAAGTGGCTGTAAGGACTACTCCTGCTAGAAGGATGCTGTGCAGAAGTTTGTAAGAAGAAAATGGGATTGAGGTGAAAAAGGGGACACAGTTAACACGTGGCTTGTCAAGACCAAGTACTAATAAGAAGGGGGGGGGTCTTAAAACTCTTAAACATGTTCACTTCCTGCCAACTGAAAAAAAAAACATGGTATTTTAACAAGCAAGTGGTCAACGTTCCAGATGCTTTTAAATGCACAGCAATCAACAAGGCAAACATTACAGCGCCTGCTAGGAGAGTTTTGATGGTAAAGAAACAGAGAAAAACTAATAGTGATGACATGACCCCTCAAAAAAGTGAACAGGACCATCAAGAACAAGAGTGACTTTTTCAGTCAGCTTAATTTTATGTCTCTAATCAGTAGCAAGGGGGAGGTGTCCTATCAAGTGAAAATTTGGCACTGCTGACAGCCTCTTTTCAAACGTGATACATTTGATTTGAAAAAGTGAGATTAAATTCTTCATTATAGGACACATCACTAGTATACAGTACAAAATCCATGAAAACCGCTTTGTCCATATGGAGTACAAAAAAAAAAAAGTATGACTTACTCATGAGTTGATGTTATGTTATGGGCATGGATTGACAGAAGTAAACACAGGCACAGGTTGCAAGTCAATTTTCAGTTTAGTAGTTATCCACAACAGTATATCCAGATATACACATTTTTTGGTCAAAATGATGAGTTTAATGCCTCAAACACATTTCCCATTTTACAATTACCAGCCTTATTTGAGACTTTACAACCTTTCATTTGCAGAGAGTACGAATAATCTAAGGGATGGTACTGGTACAAAAGTTCAGGCTGGCTCAGACATGGGAAAACACCTGAAACTGGGAGTGAAGAGACAAATCACCTGGTATAAAATTACTGAAATTTTATGTTTTAATGTTTCACTTTTCACTTTGTGCTTTCCCTTGTTTTTTACGCCCTTTTTTCCAGTGGTTATTCCTGAATTTCTTCTGAAACCCACCACCCTGGACCTGAGAAAAAAAGGGGGGAAAATTACTGCATAAAGCCAGGTCAAGTAAATATCAACACTGTTACACAGGGGAACAGGTACTCAAGATTTATACTGACCTTTTTTCGTTTCTGCTGCACCTGCTTGTCTGTCTCCATTTCCTCTTCTTCATCTGTTTGGAAGTCATCTTCCTCCTCATCCTTACCACCCTCCATGCTCTCTTCTGTTGGGTTTTTTAAACTGAATATAGAGGCTGGGGGATTACATCAAAGTGTTGAGCAAAGTTAAGTTGCAACCAAAAAGAGAGTGCATAAATACATCTGCAGTGTGCATACTGACGAGGGTAGAGGTCACTCATGCTGTCTTCTGAGTCACTATGACTCTCGTCACTGGATGAGGGTTCCCACTGCACGCTTCCCTGTTTTGGCGCTCTCCCCCGACTGCCATCCTCTCCTCTGTCTTTGGGCCTTTTCTGTCTGAGTCTGGCTGGTGTATATTCAATCCCTTGCTTGGCACACTCTTCATCTGGAACAGGAATGAAGACTGTTACTTTAGCGATGAAGACGGAGTGAGCAGTACTGTGAAAAACTGAACCAATATAAACTTCCATGCTGGTCTTCCATGATGATCCCATCCCTCTTTTTTCCTGTTGCTGTGTTTCATTCTTTTTTTCTTGTGTTTCAAAGTAATAATAATAATAATAATAATAATACATTTTATTTGAAGGCGCCTTTCTGACACTCAAGGTCACCATACAAATCACATTAAAAACAGCACAAAACATTTAAAACATATTTAAGAACAGCATCAAAAAAATAAGTAAATAAATAAATAAATAGGGAAAAACAAAAGAGACAGAGAAATGGACAATATGGTGGATAGGCAGTTCTGAACAGATGTGTTTTAAGTCTTGATTTGAAAAGGATGAAAGAGTTAGTGTTCCTGAGATCGGGTGGTAATGAGTTCCAAAGCCGGGGAGCAGAGCGGCTGAATGCTCTGCTCCCCATGGTGTTGAGGTGGGCGGGGGGGACAGACAGGTGTATGGAGGAAGAGTTGTTATGTGGAGGAGATCAGACAGATATGAAGGGGCGAGGTTGTGGGTGGCCTTTAATGTATGGAGGAGAACTTTGAACTGGATGCAGAACTGGACCGGGAGCAAGTGGAGCTGTTGGAGGACTGGAGTGATGTGGTGGATGGAGGGGGTACAGGTTATGATGCGGGCAGCTGAATTCTGGACCAGTTGGAGTTTATGGAGGGTTTTTTGAGGGAGGCCGAAAAGGAGAGAGTTGCAATAATCCAGGCCAAAGTAAATATATAATTTATGTTTCAGTTTTATGTCCTGAGTAAGTATGGAATAAAATAAGTGTTTTCCAAAAACACAGACACTTTTCCCTCAAGCTTTAACACCAGATATCTTTGATATCCCTCCAAAATGATGACTGCCAAACCAAACCTACACATAACTTTAAATTAAATGATCTAAACTGCTCAAAAAGTCAGCATTAACCCTTAAAACAGAATATAGCCAGTGTATAAATATGTTAAGTGCGTAAATAAGCGCTCCACTTACATTTTGAGAGAGCTTTCTTGAAGCGTTTCCCGTTGACATGTCTTAATACATGATGTGGCTGCTTGTTGAGGTGTCTGAGGGTCAGCTTACAGAAAAGCTGATTACTGAAAAATATAAAGGTAGCAACAGACAACACATTACAACATAAACTGTTTAAGACATTTATCTGTATTTGACAACTGTGTGGTTCATCTTCCAATACCGCACATAAAATTAAGTGTTTCTCTTGAAAACTAAGATTCAAAGGTCTGCTTACGGTTGTTTAGTGCTTGGCACAATGTGTGGTTCATACTGGCTGTAGTTGAAATCTGCTGCAGCACTCAGTTTCTCGTATTTCTTCCCCTGAGTGAACTTTTGAAGCTCGGACAGGTTGCATGGAAACTCGTGGCCATTTAGAGTGCATTTGATCTAAAGGGGGAAAACAGCAACAAAACACTCAGGACACATTGCTTATGGTGCATTATGGTACATTTACTCGTGTAGCTTTGCTTGGTGCAGCAATAAAACTGGTAATCATTGACAAGTTCCCAGCCTCGGTCAACACATCCAGCCATCAAAACACTTGACAGTGCATGGCTCATTTGCTATGTTAGCAATGCAGCTAGCATCACAGCATGTAAAGCAGTGCCGTGTACTGTGGTGTAGTTAGCTCTCTCACCTTTTTGCCGTCTGTAAGCTGGAGAAATGGGTGGTTCGGAAGAAATGCTCTGAGATCATCAGCTAATTCATCCATAACTTACACCACTTCAAAACCAGTAGCTTAAAAGTGACTTGAGCAGACCAGCCCCTTTCAGGAACTATACACACGTGGTTTGAATGCGCCGACTCAGTGTGGCCATAATGTTATATGGTATTTTGGCGCCATCCTATGATCAACGTGAAGAAATGCAACTTTAACGAAGAATTTACAGCTCCTCATTCAACTTTTTACATGGCATTTATGGAGGGTCACTTTTGAAAGAGGAGGCAATTAGGCTTTAATTGTCTGGGCAAGTTTCAGTAACAAGGTACGGTGGCCGAAAACCGCCACTGCTGCAAATAAAAAACGGAATAAAAAAAAAAAAAAAGGTCACCACTGCTGCAAATAAGAAAGAATGCAAAAAAAAAAAAAAAAGAAACCACAACAGAAGGTACTGATGCAAAAAAAGGGAAAGAAAAAGAAACCAAAGCCCGCTGCAAATAAAAAAAAAAGAAATGGTGCAGATAAAAATAATTAAAAGAAAAAACACAATGGAAGTTAATGACGCGAAAAAAAAAGTTACTGCGAAAATAAAAGGATGCAAATAAATAAAGCCATAATGGAAGTGAGCTGCCAGGGACCAATAATAATGATGCACCAGTGTTTTACGCTCTAGGCACAGAAGACGAGCAAAGAAGTAAGTGGAAAGGTTATTGTTTAATTTCGCTTCCTAAACTTTTCAATGTGTCCTTTGGTTAGGCCATGTTGCACCTGAGTTGATATTAAGGTTGAACTGAAGGACGCCGGTGTAGTGTTATCTTCAGTTCAACTTCATATCGACTCAGGTGCAACATGGCCTAACCAATGGACACATTGAAAAGTTTACGAAGCAAAATTAAACAATAACCTTTCCACGTACTTCTTTGCTTGTCTTTTTGCCGTCGTCTTCTGTGCCTAGATTGTAAAACATCGTCATAATTGGTCTCCGGCAGCTCACTTCCGTTGTGGCTTTTTTTATTTGCATCCATTTATTTTCGCAGTAAGTAGTTTTTTTTTCCATCGCCACTTTTTTTTTTTTTTTTCATCGTTAACTTCCATTGTGGCTTTTTTTAAAATCTGCATCATTCCTTTTATTATTATCAGCAGGCTTTTGTTTCATTTTTATTTTGCATCAGTAACTTCCATTGTGACTTTTTTTTTTTTTTTTGCATTCCTTTTTTTTATTATTTGCAGCAGTGGCGGTTCTCGGCCCCAGTAAAATAACATTGTTGAACTGCATCGTGTAAAGATAATATTATTACATGGACGAGATAGTGTACTTTATTTATCTGGGCAAGTTTTAGTGACAATAAATATCCTGCTAGGGGCTTCAGTATCTCAATAAATGATGTGGTTTCAGTCAGGTGTTTGCAGTGTATCTAATGAGCTGACTGACAAAATCCATTAATTCATAAACAAGCGAAGAAAACTAAAGATATCCCACTCTGTTAAAATTTTCAGAAAACCATATTGATCAACAAATGCCGGAGAAACATCATATGAAAAACCTATACGTGGTCGAAAACAGGCACTGATACATGATAATATTCTATTTAAAATAAATAAATAAAAGAGCCGAGTTGGAAACAATTCACTCAAATATCCATTCGGTAATAAATATTGAGTGAGCTATATCGTTCTCTTAAGCGAAACGATCTTTGGCGAGAACGTCAAAGTCCCGCCCACACTTCCGGTAAACAGATCCCTGACGTCTAGCTGTGACAGCTTAAGCTAGTGTTAGCTAACCAGCTGTACTGAAGATCTTCTCTACGCATTTGATATATTCAGATACTCTAAAAATAAACAAACACTTGACGTTTCGACGTACAAAATTTGCTGGTTTTAATTAGCCGAGTGTTGGTTTGCTCATGCTGTTCAGCTGGTAATACAGCTAGTTTTATAGTAACGCTAGCCCGGCGAGTACTCTTATTACAGCTGAAAACGTAAATAATAAATCCAAGCAATGTCCGGACCAAACGGAGACCCAAACATCTCTATCGATGAGGGTATCATCAACGACGATGATGACTTTGGCGACGAAGAAGGTAATGGAGTCAAGATTTCATTTATGTTATCGATGTTATTTACATCATTAAAAAGTGAAGAGGTTATTTCTGGGGGGAAAAATTATTGAATTTTTATTCTTAAAATAAAACAGCAAATTCTGAACCCTTTGACTGGAAGCGATTTTGTAAAATAGACGCCTTCTCGAGTAAGTGTCAGGTCAGGTGCATGGTCACATGATGTCTCAATGGGATATTAAAGCGAAGCAAATGAATTCAAAAGTTTGACTAAGTCTGTTTAAGTTATATCCACAGGTCATATAATGTCATTTAGCAGAACCAAGAGTTGTTTTTGCATGTTGAGTCAAGTTGAGTCTGATCGACAGGACCAAGTACTCGAGGCCACGTAAACCTTGAAGGCTAGCTGGTCATCAATCACGACACCCAGATTTAAACTTAGTGTGCGTTGGTTTATTTGATCCATAATGGATATTGATCTGTGGTTTTACAGTGGGACTGACAGGTTGAGCAGAGGGTGATGTTCCCTCATCTATTTTGAAATATCAGCAAGGCAGGATGAGATTTCAAGCTGAGACAGTTGTGTTGTCAGGAAAAGCCATGAGGGCAGATGATTGCACCAAGTAATGTGTTGTATATTGAGAAAAGGAGGGGACCAAGCACTGATCCTTGAGGCACCCCTGTTAATAAGCAGTGCATATAGGACACTATTCCCCCCCGTGATACTCTTAAAGATCTCCCTGTAAGGTAGGGCTTGAACCATTGGAGGAGAGGCCCTGAGATACCAAGAGAAGAGAGGGGGATTTGTTGGTTTTCTGTGTCAAAGTTAGCAGACAGATCCCTCCACCAACACTGCTTTGAGTTAAAAGAAATGACTCAGTACTTAAAGTAAAAGTCAAATAAACTTCATTTTGCTTTTACTTGAGTAGATTAATGAATTTTTGGTTTAATAAAATGCAATACAACTTTTACTTGTGTAACCATAGTTTTACTTACTTACCACTCTATTCACCTAATCTTTTTCACTTAATCTAGTTCTGTCTCTGACTGTAATTGGCAGTTAGTGTTTTAAAATGCAAAACCAGTCCAGAATATTTATTTGATTTCTTAGATTTATCATCTTTTTTGAAATTTAGTTATTTAATTAGCTGTATTGTTACTAGAATTAAGGTGTCCGGCGTCTGATTCAAGTTAGGACATGCTCTGCTTTTGTCTGCCTGTTCTCGCTAGTTATCCTTGAACTATTACAGTAAGTGTCCAAGACAAAAGGCATAATCTTAGATACTTTTATCTATGATAGAAGCTTTTCATCCTGCCTGAGAGAAAGACTGATCTATGCTGCTTATCTCCAGAGTATGAAGCGATCAACTCCATGCTGGATCAGATCAACTCCTATCTTGATGACCTAGAAGAGCGCAATGATTCACTCAATGACAAACTGCATGAACTGATGGAGTCGAACCGACAAGCCCGGCTGGATTTCAGGGCACAGCTCATGGGCTGTCCGAACAAGGAAAGTCCTGCAGACGGGGACAAGTCCTCGCCTGATAAAGGAGACGAGAAGGAGGACGAGGGGGACAGCAAATGAGAGAAGCTGGACTAGGAATATTTATGAAAGATAACCTCAGACCTCCTGTGATCCTTGGATCTGCTTAGTTCATACCTGTGTGATTCATCTGTGAACTGAATGAATTTAGGAATCCCTCAGCAGACGTGTACTGAACTTATTCCACCTGTCCTCTTTGTTAAACCGAGGTGTGCTGATGTTTGGTTTTTGAAACATATCCACCTGGCCTCAAAACTTGATTTGATGACATCTAGAGACATTGGTGTAAAGTCAAACTTCGGCATCATAAAAACAAATTCTGAGGTCAGAATTACGCTTGATAAAAAGATAAAACTCCAAAGAGTGTAATTGAAGCAACTCAAAACTACAAGATCATGCTTGCGCATTTTGAGATTTCCAGTATTTGTCTTGAAAGTGAAACTTCAGTGTGCTGTGTTGATTCATTAGGTGTGCATATTCAGCTTCTTGAAATATTGTGTGTTTTTGTTCATATCATCCCTGTAAGTCAACATATTACATTCCAGTTGTCTACCATTGTATTAAAATCTTGAACCAGCAGCATGGCTGTAAATCCTACTGTGCTTTACTATTTTCTATTTACTATCTTCTGGAGTTACTATAGATAGGATAAGTGATGCGATGTGAAATACATTTGTTTGTTTGTTTCTGTGATTTGTTTGAAGAAAAAAAAGTCAACAAAGAAAGGGAATTATCAGACATTTTAATATAAATTAAAACGACCCCCAAACAGAAAAGAGACATCCAAAAATACATTAAACTTCCAGCAGTTAGAAAACAAACTGTCTGTTCTTCTCAATTTTGTCAGTAGCTGAATAAAAATACAATAAGAAACATACAGCTTTGTTTGAAATTATATTTTACACACCATTTATCTTCTCCTGCTTGCTGCTGTTTCAGAAACAGAAGACACTTTTTTTCCCATCATGTCTTTCCTTCAGACGGATCACGGTGGCTTTCACGTGACAATCACCACCATGACTACAAGAGCTGCTACATGTGTCATCAAACCTGCCACGAGGTTTAAAATATCCTTCTCAAATAACAGAGGATGAAATGTTTCCAGACTTTGTTGTGAAATACAGAAGTAATGAATCATATTTACGTCTTGTGGCAAATGAAAAAAGGACCCAACATTGAATATTTGTAATAATTTAGAACAGGGACTATCTGAATTAGGTAAAAGGTGCTTAAAGTCAGAGTAAGCGAGAATAATCTGCTACATTAAATCGATGTTCCTTATTTCTCCAACTGTGATTTTATCCATCCAGTGTAAAGCAAAGAAAACATAACTTAAAAACAAACAAACATTATTGCAGTAAAGAAAAAGAAAATGAGCAACTACTGACATGAAAAGCATTCACAAATGCTTTTCTCTTGATCGCTCACGGGCTCAAAGTCAGACTTTTGTGTCCTCTAAGGAATTAGGTGAACAACTTTACAGTTTTTTTAGACTTCAAACAACACAAAAACTCCTTCACTGATAGTTTTACAGATTTAAAATTAAAGGAAGAAGCAGCTTTTCGCAAACAGCAGAAACATCTCATTGATGAAGCTGCATCCTGGTATTAGAGTTCCTTTAAAAGCTTAGTTTTCATGATTTCAAATTCATTTTTGGATTCCTTCAATTCTTCTTTAAATGAATAACGAGTTGTTAAATATGGAAATGTGCAGGACTGTTTCAAGAAGAAGGGCAAAGCTGCTGTTTACATTTCCCCTCAAACAAAGAATCAACTCAACTCTTAATGTGAAAAAAAAGCAGAGATGGTAACTAAGATGACAAAATGCCCTACACAAAGCTTTGATCAGTATCATAATTCAGGATTTCTCAACACTCCAGTCACTCAAGTACCACTTGAACACTTTTTAAAAACAGAAGTTTCCACCTCTTCAAACACTAAATGTGGTTAAATTCTACATTTCAGGTCGCTAGAAGCATTTGCTGCATGGTTAGCAATGTCGAAAAATGTTCCCCCGTGAGTTAAATGAAGTGAACGACAATTCACCGAGCAAGCTGGAGAATTAGCAAAAGCTAACAGTCAGTTTTCATTGACCTCTGGGACACTGCAGGGTGGGAAATTAACATCAGCAGCAGGCTTCAGGGAGCGCTGGTGGGAGCATGTGCAGATCACAAGGACACAGTTTGGGGATCAGAGGTGACTACATTCACTAGAATAAAAATAATGTCTGCCCAACAGATTGAAAAAATGTCCACACTTTTACAATATTACAGATATAAATTTGCATACAGCCTCTGTGATTTAAATCTTCCAATTCCATTCTCCTTATACACGGTAGATGTTAAAGACTTTGGACAAAATAGCAGCTTTGTGAGGCTGTGCACTGACCCTCTTCCCAGAACCAAATCCTGCTCGGGTCGTATTTTAGTCTTATAAAAATATACTAACCAGATGAGACACAGCTTAACCGTGCCCTGTCTCATCTGGAGGAACCTGGGGTTTATGTGAGGATCATGTTCTTTGACTTTTCAAGTGCATTCAACACCATCCAACCCACCATACTATAAGATAAGCTCACAGAGATGAGAGTGGATCCTTCCTGTATTTCTTGGATCGCAGATTACCTGACAGGAAGGGGGAACTGTGTTTCTGGGACATTAATGAGCAGTACAGGGGCTCCACAAGGAACAGTGCTGGCTTCATATCTGTTCACACTGTATAAATCAGACTTAAAATACAGCTCTGAGTCCTGTCACATACAGAAATACTCAGATGACACTGTCCAGAAATGGACAAGAAGCCAAATACAAGGATCTGATAAGAGCCTTCAGTGGCTGGAGTCACAAAAACTCCTTAAAACTACTCAACGCCTCAAAGACAAAAGAAGCCAGTGAACATCTGTGGCGTGGACACTGAGGTGGTGTCATCGTATAAATACTTAGGTGTTCATCTGGATAATAAGTTGGACTGGTCTAAAAACGTTGACTTCATCTACAGAAAGGGGCAGAGCCACCTCTTTTGCCTGAGAAGACTCCGATCAGTAGACATCTGTAGTACGATGCTGCAGATGTTTTATCAGTCTGTGGTGTCTACAGTGTTCTGTTCTACGCTGCAGTCTGCTAGGGGGGTGGAAGCATCAAACAAGGATGCAAGGCGTCTGAACAAACTGGTGAAAAAAGCTGGTTCTGTGGTTGGAATAAAGTTGGACTCAGTGGAGGATGTGGTGGAGAGATCTACACTAAGGAAGGTGAAGGTAGGTATTCATGTGATGCTTTAACTTCAGGGTAACTGGTCGAAGGGGCTTCTCTCTTCTACATAAAACAATGTTAATTTCATTTCAGGCAACATCAACAGTTTTGATGGCTGTTATTAAACAGAAAAGGCAGTTGGATGGTGGAAATCTCATGATTAGGAGGGAGCTTTGAATGTCCTTCTCTAAAAAGGAGCAGGTATAAAGATACTTACCAGCTTTCACAGATTTTACCTGTATTTGAAAACTGGGACGGTGTTAATTTCCCACCCTGACAGAAGTACTCCAATAGAAGTCATGTTGCACTGTGACTCACCATCATTCAAACTCTCTATTTATTGGTGTGCCTGTTCAGTCTCCAAGAGACCGACACAGACAGAGGCAGGGTTGTTTGGTTCTTGGTCTCTGTTTAATGAAAGCACCTGGCCAAAGGTTTCTCTTGTACCTGGTTTCCTCCTTGTTCACATCTCTCAGCGTCTGTTTGTGGCCCTCCCTGACCTGCGTTTCGATGTGTTTTTTGCCTTCCCTGTGCCGTTCTTTTTCCCTGTTTCAGCAGCAGCAGCTTCGTTTTCCTCCGCCTCCTCCTCACCGGCAGAGGCTGGCTTTGCATCTTCATCCTCTCTGGACTCTGTGGGACTCCAGAGAAGTTCTGTAGGAGCTACAGAATCCTGCTGTGAAGCGGTCTCTTCCTCTCTGCTGTGAAGTCCGAGTTCTTGGTCTGTGCTGTCTGTGCTGGTTGCTGAGGTGGAGGTGAAGTCTTGTGAGGTTGAGTTGGGCCTCACTTCCTCTCTGTGTTGCTGGTTTTCTGTCTTGGTCTGTTGGGCGAGTTTAACAGTGGGCTGTTTTGAGTTTGAGTCTGTCAGTGAACCAGAGTCGTCAAACAAACAGTGCGTTGTGGTTTCAGTTTCAGGTCTTAGGCTGTCTGCTGCTTGAAGAGATTCAGCAGCTTCATCCTTTTTGCTCAGAAATTCCTTGTGCCTCTAAAGGAACAGAAGAAAGCATAAAAAGCACTGTGACGTTGAAGCTTAGCAACAAATCTGGACACAAATAACCACATAATATTGATTGTATATATAATACCTCATGGTAGATTTTTAAAAAGATAAAAATGATAACACCACAGTAATTCAATCTTGCCAATAGGTCACTTTTCATCCACTAGATGGCAGGAGTGAGAGAGGTGAAGCCAACAAACACAAACCTTCAGGTTCTCAAAGTGCTTCAGTGACTTGCAATGGCTGTGAAGAGCAGATGACTCAAAGTGGTAAAACTTGTTGCACAGTCTGCAGATGAAACCTGCAACTGGGACAAAAAAACTGGACCCTACAGACAAAGGAGATGAAAAGAAATAACTTTACCCAAATGTTATCTTATGTAGTTATCATGAATCTTATGACGAGAGCTAGCCAGTCACTCACCATAGACCGTATCAGGGTCATACTGCTCATCACCGGACATATTCTTCAGAGTTACTTCGTTGGAGGAGGTCCAGCCATCCTGCACCAGGAGACCAAAAAAAAGGAGAAGAAGAAATTCACAGACTATGAGCTGATGATAGAGTTTGGTATGTAGTAACAGTTTAACATCAACCTGTCAGTTTATGCCGTTTCCTCTAGGGCCCGACCCGACCTCTAGGGCCCATTTGAGACTAATCGGTAATCGCCCAAAACTCGCAGATTTTTGCCGATATTATCAGAAATAAAATGCGGAGAATAAGATTCGGTTTCACTTCGAAAATGTTCCGCCATTTGAAAAGTTCCCCGACTTATAGTAAGTCAACAAGTTTCAGTTCAACCCACTTCACGATGTTCCCTGCTGTGCTGGTCTCGGTCACGCCGAGTTAACGGTGAAGGATCAAGTAAGCTAAAGTTAGAGTTAGCCATCTGCTATTAGCCTTGCTACACTGTTAGCCGTGCCAGTAACAGTAAAATAAACAACAGTACACGTTACGGGATCGAGCTACTTCTCTTACTGAGGCAGCTGCATGTCGCCAGATAAGACTGGACTGGAAATGAGTAAAGTGAGTTAAGACGCGGAGGCACTGATCGGCGCTGGGTTGAAAACGCTTTTCTGGTCCGAGTTTGACCAGTCGCTCTTCCTGTCAGCGTGAAGAGCAGTAGCCTACAGTATATATTTATTTTTTATTACAAAATCTGCCAATTAATTGGTAATCGGATTTTTTCAGATTCATTCAAAACAGCCATGACTCTGCAGTGGAAATCACTGCACAGGCTCAATGTTACAACTGAAATTCATCGTCTCTGAACACTGCTTGACAAAACCATTCCATGCAAAGAGGAAACCCTGAATATACATAGTCGGTGAATGCCAGCACCTTCTCTAGGCCCATTTCAGATGGACTGACATGAGGTGGAAAACTGTCAGGCAGATCAAAATCTAACATTCTTTCTGGAAATCATGGACGCAGCATCCATGACCACCCTCTATTTAAGGAGCACTGATAAGACTGTTGATAAACTGTGAAGGTATGGGGATGCATAAGTGCCCGTGCATAATTATGCTCTTTATTTCCACAGAACATGGGTAACTTATACATCTGGGTAGGCACCATTAATACCACAAAGTTCAGATACAGGTTTTGGAGCCCAAAGACCTTACAAATTAAAGCAAAAAGATGCCAAAACTGCACTATTTTTTTTTCCATAAAGTAAATGTGAGGTAGTGTTTTTGTTGATCATAACAATGGATGAAGTGTATAACAGGAAAATTAACACTCTGGTTATTTCAGGATGCTGAGAACAGCCAAACTAAATCGAGCCAGCTCTTCAAATGCAAATAGTGTCCATTGTGTCGTCTGGTGGAACCACAAACAAAAACAAATACCATGCAAATCACCTGTTTCTCAGAGCCTTCTTGGTCTCCTTCATCCCCATGTGTTTCCTCTCCCTCCTCTTCCACTTCACTGCCCTCCACCTCATCTAGATTAAAGCCGTCTGTATCCATGGCGGTTAGGTTGCCCAATGCCTCACAGCCTTCCTGCTCCTGGAGCTGAAGAGCAGCAGCGATTACAGTCGTTATCTTAACTAACACTTCTGGTTTAATTGATCTTCTAAATACAGAATATAAACACAGATACCTTCTCCACTTTCTGCCTGTGCTCGAGGGACTGTAAGTGTTCCACAAAGATCTGGGAGGTCCTGAAGTGTTTCTTGCAGACCGTGCATGAGGAGACTGCTGCCCTGCTAGCAAGCTGAAGGGAGAGACAGACGACACCACATCATTACTTTTTATTCCCAAAGAGTAGTTTCAACAATATCACTTATTTACACTGTGTCAATGGGCTCATCTATGAAGTGTGCAGCTGATTACTTTGTGCTCCTTGGTGCGACGGTGGTCTGTAATACTACTGGTGAAGTGGATGTGACAGGTTGCACACCAGTGCTTCTTGTCTGCTTTCTTCTCACTGCGAATATTAAAATTAGATGATACATAACTGTTTCTAACTAGTTGAGGCCTTTCGAAGAAGACAAAATGCCTGATGGTGTGTTTTTAAACAGACCCGTCTTTGATTGCTCCCTGTAGGGACTCCTGCACACGTGGCAGCAGGGTGACCAGACAAGCGTTGCTCATATGTTGGATTTCCATCATCCTCTGCTGGTGAGACATACTGTTCATATGACTCCTGAAGTTCTGCAAAAACAAAACAAAAACAAACAAAAAAGGAACAGTTTACTCGATCAGATAACATTTTAACAAAAGAGGATTAGGGCCACAAGAAGAGAAAAAAAACAATTACAGGAAGAAGATTTTTTAAGTCTTCATTTCGAGATGAAAGTAACATTTTTTTAAAAAGTCAAAATGAAATGCGGTATGGCTTAAATTTGTCGTAGCCATCCATATGCCAGAGCGCATTGGGTCCTCAGCTTCGGTTATGCCTGTGCCTCAGACGCCGGGGTTGTCAGGATCAATCAACTTGATCAGTTGTCTTATTGTAATTTGTGATACAACATATAGCCTCCCTGTATAGCACGCAGGTGTAACAACGATAACCCTGCATCAGCATCATAATCTTCAACAGATTTTTTTTTTTTTAGAGTCTGAAAAACTTATGACCACACTGTGTTTGTGTGCTAAAGAACAAGGATTTACTCGTTACTAAATCCAATTTAAAAGTACAGCTTTACAAACTGTTCTGCAGTGGACGTGTTGTTGAGTGACGAGCGACAATGCTGTTGATTCATTAATCTCAACATTACAACTTTATTCATGAAATCCCATCTTTATTTGCATCGGCTTTAATCTCGTAATTTCGATTGTAATCTCGAAATTTTGATTTATTTCACAAAATCTCGACTTTATTTATGCCGACTTTCATTTCAAAATTTCGACATTAATCTCGAAATTTCAACTTTAATCTCATCACTATAATTTTTTTTTTTTTTCATGTGGCCCTAATCCTCTTTCACACATTTTACATTCAGATATGTAGCTGTGTGATGTTCCACGTCATCACTCCCTAGTCTCCGCCTCCCTCTGTTGCCCAGCCGGGAAAGCACCATGCCTAACGCTGTGGGTTGTGGACCCACAGGAATCTGGCTCCAGTGGGTGCTGCATTGGGCTGTGTTCAAGTATCTTGGGGTATTGTTTACAAGTGAGGGTAAAACAGATTGTGAGACTGACAGGCAGGTTGGTGCTGCACTAGCTTTCGACTTTTGTTTTACCAGGACAAAGCTTCAGATTTACCGATCAATCTATGCTCTGACTCTCACCTGTGGTTAGTGTTGGGCAGTATGAACGAAATCTTATATCGCAGTATGGGTAATTTCATAATTTTTTATGCCGTCACACGGTATAAACCGTCATACTGCCCATCACTCCCTGTGGTTATAAGCTCTAAGCAGTGATTAAAACATTGAGATTTCGGATACAAGCAGCTGACAGATGTAGAGAGTTTTCCAGGCCTGTATGACACCCCAGAGCTGGAAGTCTAGATCATCTTGCTGCATGGATTGATGTTAATGTGTGTGCATGTTCAACCTACTTGCTGGTTGTGGCAGGTAATCCCGCAGAGGTAGCAGTAGAACTTGTTGGCTCCGTCTGCCACGTTCTCGTCTCCTTCTTCTTGATTGTCTGGTGAAGCCAAAGGAGCATCTTTGACTCCTGGCATCTCCTCCACAGGCAGATCCACCTGCTGGTCCTCTTCACTCAGCCTCACAGATGGGGATGGCACTGACAAAGCGATCACCTCGGCAGCTCTGCTCACCTCCAACCCTTCGACAACATCTGATCCCGCTGTGGAGCCTCCTTCCTCCATCATGATGCAGTCTGGGAAAAAAAGGCCAGATGCATGAGGCTTTTATCTCAACTTCACTTTGATACAATGAGCACTTCAAGAGCCTCTACTCTACATTTCTGTTTGGTTTACCTCCAGGCTGGCTGTCATCTGTGTTGCTATTAGACTCTGAAGAAAGAACATCACCATCCGTATCAGGAATAGCAACAGTCTCAACGACGCACTGTCCTTTAGGCTCCTCCGACCTGAGACACACATGCCGAGAGTTTAGGAACAGAAAGAGAAAAGAAAAGCTGAGTAGTTAAATTTCCAAAACTTTCTCTTCAATTGTTTTCTGCTTTTCTGTGAGGGCGGTTTGTTACCCTTCAACTCATGATGTGATGTAAGGGCATGATTTCTTAGCACATCTACATTCACAGCAAAGTAAGAAAGGTTCTCTCTACCCTTCTGTCCTCAGCTTCTTCAGTACAGGTTCTCCAAGTTGCTCCTCAGATGGTTGTGTGGATCCATCTGCTCCTCCCACTGCACCATCTGTGGCTAGAAAAAGGCAAAACCAAAGACAGGATTAGAAGAGGACACACATTACCTACAATCACATTCTTCCCATTGATATTTTACTTTTAAGATGAAGGTTGCAAAAGCAAAAAAGCAAAATGTTTCAGTGCTAGTTCAGGCACTCATCTACCTGTTTCAGTCTTCTCACTGCTGTCGTTGGTGCTGCTTGTTGCTGTTTGGTCGTCTGAGCTCCCTGCTGCCATCTGCTCACTGTCTCTCTTCCTGTCTGGCTGACGAGCTGCATCCTAAACAAACAGGAAGAGGACAGGTTTGCAAATATGCCGCACATGCAGAGATCCGATGTGTGACTTGTGAATATTGACACAGAGATATAGAGTGATGACGATACAGTAATGTCTGGATATGAAACACTAGCAAAAGAACATAAATAAGAAAATTTGAATTGATTTTTAAAAGCTGCAACAGAGTAGGATTCAGACAAATTTGTGGCACAGACTTATTTAACTTCTTCTATGGTTACTACTTATTATCAAGAGAAAAGAAATTCACTATTAAAGGACAGCTGGTTGAAATTGTTTAAGGGGAAAAACGTACAGGACAAAATACAGCTGCTTTGTCCACATGAAAACTGAAGCCGGGGTTCTTTCAAGTCAAGTTTACAGCTTTTTCAGAACCTTTTAAAAGCTCAACAATAACAAATTAGACCTCAAAAACATCAAAGCAGCTTCTTTAAAAGAGATTTGATCTTTGAAGATCGCTCAATTTGCCACTCCACGAGCCAATTCTGAATGATTTGTGCAGCTACCAACAATCTGTAACAAAGCTCTACTCTGAGTTCAATACACCTCCAATTAAAGTAAGACTCATCAATCTACGAGGAAAGCACAACACTCAGATTCAACGTCCTTTACCTTAGTATCTATAACACACATGGAAACAATCAAGTAATCCACACAGAGGGGAGGTTCTACCGACTTTATAATTATAATTATAATTAAGTCAGAGAAAAACTCCTCAAGCCAAGATGTGGAACATCACAGAGTTTCACTTGCTATAATATTACGAGTTTTAATGAAGGCAGATAATCACTGACTGTCAAATTGAATACAGGACAATCTAATAGCAATCTAAAAGGCTTGTTATATCTTACAGGTACTCAGATATTACAGTAATATATATAAAATAGTATCAGTGCATACATCCTTTCCTAGTTACAAGTCAACTATAAAAATAAACATGTTAAGAAACTTGAGTTAATGAGGTTTTATAAGTTAAGTGTCCAAATGATCCTAGAAAACTATAACATAATTTAAGGAATATTGATCATTCAAATTTTGTTCTCGTAAATAACAGAGTATGTAATCATTTGACAACAAAATCTGACCTGAATTCTTACCAAATTTACAACAAGCAGTCATCCTTAAAAGACCAAAATCAACACAGAAAGTGCTGCAATAATTTACATTGATCCAGAAGATCTAAAAAAAGCTTAGGGCTGCACATTCAAATATCTCATTTACATATAATTTTTCCACAACAGTCCAAACAAGTGTACAAAGCCAAACAAAAATATAGGTTTCTTCTGTTTTTGTTTATAATGAACCTACCTCTTATTGAGCCTCTTTACACAAAAATAGCCATGTAGATACTTCTGGCATATTTGTTTCTGTAAATTTGTAACTTGTCTAACAACGAGTCAGAAACACTGTTTTTTTTGGTCCCGTTAAATCACTCTCTGTGACATTTCCACTGCCTCTGTTAGAGGGCTATACTGTCAGACCACAAACAGCAGAAGCTCAGTGTGGTTTAAGACGTGTACTGTAAATGTCAATGGTGGTCATTAAAATGTTGTAATTACCGTGGTTGTGGAGGAGGAGGAGAAAGAGGCGGAGGAGGCTGCTGTAGCGTTATTATGGAAGCGGGCATGCGGATGGAACATTCGAGCAGCTGGGAAACCCATCATGGGGGTCTTGATGGCCATGCCCATTGGAACAGGTCCAAGCAGAGATGACCGGGTTCCGGCTGTGAAGAACTGCCGAAACTGCTGCCCACCCATCCCAAAACCACGCATTTTACCTGAGTAAAAGCAGAGGCAAAAGAAAGGGAAATAAGAAAATCATAAAATCAAATAATCACTTTTGAAGACTGTTGCTTTTGTCTTTTTCCAGATACTGTTGTCTTTAAAAATGAAGCAAAGTTTTACCCTGCATTTGCTGCATCAGCAAAGCGCCCTGCAGCATGGGATTTGGGGCGATGATGGTGGTCTGGGTGGTCTGACATAGGTTGACCATCCTGGGAGGAGGAGCTGTCTGGGGAGGAACTGGAATGGCCCTAAGCAAAAAAAAAAAAAAAGACATGACTTAGAAAAACATGCAGCATGAACTGGGCCTGGAAGTATTCTCAAACATGTGCAATGTTCTCTTCTTATCCTGTCGTAAAAAAGTATAAAAAAAACCTGCAAACAACAAGTCCTCTTTCAAAGTACAGCTGGAAGCCAACCATGACATTTTTTCATGACTAGGATGAAAATTTAAGTAATCCTTTGTACCCACTGAGGCTTGTGTTCTGACCCTGCTTTGGCCTAGACACTTTTTATAGAGTATGATTGCAAAGTATTTCCCCATAAGCTTCTTAAAATTATGTTTGAAAACACTGGTTATTCACGCTCAGAGGTTTAACTCCTAACAGTGTAACTTGAAGTCAGACTGACAAGGGAAGTAAAACTGTAAGAGAAAAATAGGCATGTTATCAGAATTAAGTTAAAAACAAAAATCACCACATACCAGTAGGGGAGAGTGGGGTAAGATGAGACATTTTTCATATGTCGGATCACTACATCAAGGCAATCATAATTTTGTCTCTTACTAAAGAATCTGCATATATTTCAGGATGTTTTAAATCCCTGCAAACAGAATGAGTGTAAACATAACTGTGTTGATAATATAGCATGCCAAAAAAAAGTGGTCTCCTATGGTCAACTTACCCCGTGTATGGGTAAGTTGAACCGTATCCCTACTGCACCCCCACTCGAATATAGACCGCAAAATTACGAAATAGTCAGAGGTGAATTTTGACGCGCCTGACTATACACATCAAGCCCGATGCGATTCTGCGACTTTCTGGGGGGGGAGACGCATCCCGGGGAACACTTTTCCCAGAGAAAGTCCCGCCTCCTTCGCCTCTGATTGGCTAGAAAAGCTGAAAACTTCATCACACGCTCAAGCCAAACAGTCAGCACTTACAGCCAATCAGAGGCCATAAGATAAGTACACGAAACTATGGTAACAACCGTTAGCATACATTAGCACAGATGAAAGTTAAAACAAAGGCGTTCAAATATAATCCATAAACGTAAGGTAATAACCGAGACCTAATGGTGCTGTGACAGCAACGCGATTGAGTTTGAGACAGTGAAAATACATATGGTATGTTGTACCTGAACAGGTTAGCTTACGAGCTAAAGTTACTTAGCACAGATGAAAGTTAAAACAATGACATTTAGCAAACTGTTAAAGCACACAAACCATCGTCATATGAGAAATATGACGCTATGTTGTCCTTCAGGTGGTTATCTTGGTAATGTTTGTGTCTTTGTGTCTTTATCAAAAAGCACTCTGATCTCAGACATGTAAACAATCAGCCAGTCGGCCATGTTGGATATACCGGTGAATCAGACGTCGCAACAACACGCTATCTTATTGGTAAGAAGTGGACACACAGTATGCGAAACTGCAATATTGCAGGACGGGAAAACGTCGCTGATGTGAATGCTTGTATTGACATCCGAAATAAATGCACAAAAAAAACGCTCCCGGCGTGAAAGGACCTTAACCCTTTGGCTCAACTGACCCCACTCTCCCCTAATATGACAGAAATTTACAGTCTACATTATGCTTTGACAGAACTAATTTGATCAAAATTAACTTTAATTTGGTGTTTTTGAGAAGTGCCAGGGCAGGACGAATGTTTTCAATCAACATTTACAGTCTGTAGTCCCATAATATCACTGTCTGTCACCTACAATCTAACCATCATATCTGTAGACAGGATAGACAACAGAGTCTGGGAGAAGTCCAACACATAAGCAATTATGTGATATAGAAAGACAGGGTAGTTTTGGTTGGACTTGAACATTTTTGTGTCACATTAGTAAAAATGTTGCAAGATAAGGACAAACAAGACAAGCTTTTTACCTGTAGTTTTCTCAATTTAATCCCAACCACCAGAGCCCAAGCTGCCAAAATACACCACTTAAATCAAAATGCTATTCATTTATATACGGCTAAACACTTTGAGCCACTCTAGAGTAGTACAGTCTGCTATTTGATGTTTGCCAGACGCTCATATCTCACACGGAGGGCCCTGCCCCGATCCACGGGCTCGAGGTGGCGAACTTACCGGGGCGTCTGAGGGTGGTGATGGGCGACATGGTGCCCCGGAGGCGGTTGCGGCGGAGGTGGGGGCGGGGGCTGCTGCTGGAAAAGTTGTTGTAGCTGCCGCAGGTGCTGGTGAAACTGCTGCTGCTGCTGTTGTTGTTGTTGCTGCTGCTGCTGATGGATGTGAGGATTGAACATTGTGGGCTTTTATTTCCTCCTCCTCCGGTGCACTGAGAGCAGACAGACGAGCTGCCGTGGTGCGGGGGTCAATATTTTCACACCCTTTATGATGAAATGCTCCTGGGTTGAATGAGAGTTTTAAAAAGGTTGTGTTAATTACGTGCTCTTCTATAAAAACAAACTTTTCTCTCCAGTAAAAAATGATTTCAGACAGTGCGCACCTTTGCGAGACAACAGGTCGCTCTAATGTTTCATGATGCTAGTGCTAACAGGTAAGCTAACAATCATTCACTTCTTGGTGTGTTTCGTTCACTTGAAATCCCATTTATGGGTAGATGAGGTTAGCATTTAACACATTTCTATCACAAAACTTGCGCAAAATAGAAATCTCGGATGACTAAAGTATCGAGCTACACCTGCCATAAAATGAACGAAGCTAGCTAGCGTTAGCCAGTGCTCAATTATTAAACCCAACAAGTAAGCTCAGCAAACCAGCAGACAAACCACACTTCACCTCCTAGATGACTAAATTATATCTTAGGCCTTTAATATATACTTCGACTTACTTCTCAAAGACTGTGTCGATGATGTTCGATGGTTATGAAGCTAAAAATCCTCATACAGGGTGAAACACTTACTGTCTCTACACCGGTGCAACTCGCATAAAGCACAGACCCAAAACATTGAAATGAGTGCAGATTGTCGCCTCCCAGTGGCTGTCTGGAGTACTGCATCGGCATCATTGCATATTAAAAGGGGCGTTGAAATTGATAGACCTTAAAGGGACATTCCGGTGTAAATTAAGTTAGGGTCAAACACACCATAACACCGAGTTAGACACCCCCTCGAGAGATGAATGTTGCCAACCCCTTGCTTCTCTAGTTATACCAACTGTAACGACCGCAGATAGCAATACAGAGAGCCACGTGCTGAACCAAACAGCCACTCTATAGCTACAAATAATGCTATGAACAGCACCTAACTTTATCAGCAGCACATAAAGGGTCCCAGTCATAGCACTAGCCACCAAACATCTTTTTAAATTTGCCTAATTTCTTTAGCAAAGAGACTAAACACAACTCACCTACTCTCCTCCAGCAGCCGCTTTGGAGCTCTCCGGGCGAGTCCATTGACTGCAGCGGGGGGGTGAGCTCAAGGAAGAACATTTATGATCATTACAGGAGGTCTCCATACAAACAAGCGGCTGCTGGAAGAGAGTGGGTGAGTTGTGTTTAGGTTGGTTAGGTAGGTTGTGTTTTGGTTGAGCGTGTGGCTCTCTGTATTGGTATCATGCAGTCATTACTACAGTTGGCAACATTAATCTCTGGAGGGGGTGTCTAACTCAGTGTTATGGTGTGTTTGACCCTAAATTAATTTTATGCCAGAATATAGGACTATTGGTGTTTCCATCTGAAATCCAACCACCACTGATAAGAATGTAAAAATTGTTTACATAGGAGTCATCTTATAACTTACAAACGAGTCAATACTAGTAATCAATTGAAAAAAGTGTAACATCTTTATTGTTCAAACTAAATTGTATTGGTCCAATTCTGTTTTTAAAAGTAGGCTTTAGAAAACCAAACCATTTCACTTTCACTCATGCTCAGATCTGAAGACTTATCGGACACAGATTACATAGTCTCAGAGAGTTTTAAAAACAAAGTTTCAGATTTTTTTAATCTTTGTACTATTTTTGAAATTGTTAAAAAAAAGGTCATTTTTTCAGTAAACACCACATTGTGCAGGTCCTGACCCCGAGTCTCTTTATCCAGACTCTTCAGATTTGGACTAGATAGACAGACTTTCGAAGCGGAGTCCCAAATTTTCTTAACCTTTATTCTGTTTTTGAAAAAGAAAAAAAGTGATAAATGTTCAGTTTTTTAATCACCTCAAGACCACATTGGACATGGTCACAAAAGTAAAACTTAAATTTACACTGAATTATCACTGTGTTTCGAACACGATATACTCTAGATGTGACAAGTATTCAGCGCCTGGTCTAGAGATAAAAACAAATCTATGTTGACTTATTTGAGTTTAAAGTTTTACAAACTTGAGACTGTATTTTTAAAAGTCAGTGGCCTCTCTGAAATAATCAAGTCCAGGTCTGACAAGTCTAAAGTATAAACGAGTAGTTCTAGATAATATTACAGAGTCAAAAACTTCAAATCAGATGCAGACCTCTGAGCAATATAAAAGTTCATGTAGGCGTGCATGATGTACAGGTGACGTTAAATATGTATGACCATATATGGTGACTATATGCTTGGAAAAGTACTGATGTTTTTAAATATAATTGTTTTTATATTCAATCATCTAAACTCTTACTTCAGTTGTATATTTTTTTGTATTCTTGTTAAATCCAGCCTACAAAATGCATAAATAATCTAGATTTTTCCCATTAACGATATAATGTCTCACCAAAATCATTTTCATTTTCAAAAATTTCTTTCAAAAACTTTTACTCTTGACCATTACACGACAAAAATATATTCAGAATGAACAAAGACCTGCAGTTCTCTTTCCATGCAGATTCAGCACCTTGGACAGCTCTTCAAATTATGTAGACGTTTGTTCAGGCTCCAAAAGATTTGCCAAAAATGCTCTCTTTTTGCTGTTCACAGTTTTAATGAGCTCTAACTGTAAGTGTCAACAAAATTATTAATTTCTTGCTGTAGGAAATGCTCGATTTGACATGCATTACAATAAACGTACATCGGTATTTTGGAAGTAATTCTGTGATTTTGAATTTGAATTTCTAAAGCTGAATTTTTGTGGCATTAAAATCAGACTTTGAATTTCAAAACCATCGAATTTCAAGCACGCATTTTTATTTCTGACACAAATTTTTTTCACAATGATGAGGGCGGCACAGTGGTGCAGTGGATAGCACTGTCGCCTCACAGCAAGAAGGTTTGTGCTCCGTTTCGAAAAATTCTTAGGGGATTCATGTTTTCTATGATTGACACTTGCGAGACCAAGTAAATATTTACAAAGTTGACCCAGCAATTTTACATCAGTTGGAGAGGCAGAAATGTTCTTTAGTTTCAACATAACTTAAACTGCACATGACTTCCAAACTGTTTGGTTTGTTAAAAACATCTAAAATGGCAACATGGCAGAAATTTATATTTAAAAATAGATATTTATATATGTTTTTGCTTTATGATATTAAAGTTATCCCTATAATATAAATATTACTACTACAACATGCATAATCCATTGAGCGTTTATATATATATATATATATATATATATATATATATATATATATATATATATTTATGCTAGCGACATCACAGCAACTCTCTGCGACTTTCCTGCCAAATGCGTATAACGCTACTGCGCAATGTTGGTTTCAGGAAGTGGAGAAAAAACGCGGAATTACCGAGAGCTTTTTGGCTTCAGAAAGCGGAACCAAGTTGTTCATAGTATATATGGTCTATGGATGGCACAGACTTACTTCCATACAGTATCACCACCTAGCGGCAGATTAGATGAGCTGCAGGGATCTCCTGAGAAAATACAAGAGCTCATCCTCCACCCCCCCTGCGGTGCTCGGTGGAGAGGAGTGTTCATGCTCGGTGCTGGTCTGGAGAGAGTCCTGCTAACTGAGGTGATCTGGCACACCGAGGAGACGCAGTCAATGAGGGAGCAAAACTGAGAGGTGACCCGGTGTGTTCACGAACCAAAAACACCCTCAGGAGTCGAGGGTGAAAAAAAAAAGGGAAAAGACGACGCTAATCCACTCCCTGCCCCCTGACAAGGAATCCACACTGCAAAGATGGGGAACCGGGGGATGGAGGATCTGATTCCTCTGGTGAACCGCATGCAGGATGCCTTCTCCGCCATCGGGCAAAACGCAAACCTGGACCTGCCGCAGATCGCCGTGGTGGGCGGCCAGAGCGCGGGGAAAAGCTCGGTGCTGGAGAACTTCGTCGGGAAGTAAGTAGCTTTTCCTAGCTTCTGTTATGCATCCCGTTGCGGGGCCCAGTGCATCAGTCTGTCATGTTACACTTTACACACATCCTTATCCCATCCCCCTTCTTTTAAGGCATGTTTAAACCCTTTCACAGGCTTCTCGGAGACATGTCCAGTGATTTATCCCTCTGTCTTCTTCCATAGACACGACACCAGGGCGAGGAGATTATTTTGTTAGGCCTGTATAAATCCCCAGTGAAGTTTATCTGTTGACTGCTGCGTGATGCATTCAAGGAACCACTCTCTTCCACAGAAATAACAACCATGTATAGAGCAATGTATATAGAAAGTCCCCAAACAACAGGAATTTTGGTGCAAAATTACACAAAATCGTAGGTGTTCATGTTTGTTATTCCTCAGATTTATCTCATAGGTGAAGGGGTCAGCTCAGGTGTTCATGTCATGTACATCAGCTGCAGTAACAGGCAGGTTGTAGGTTGTTGTCACTGTGGAAGTGCTTTCCATTTAAGAGGCCTAAGGCTGTTTAATCCTGACCAGGCTGTGGTGCAAAATAATGCCATGCTTTACAAGTGTTGAGAGGTTACAGTCCTGCAAACATGCACATTTTCTGTCTGTCAGAGAGCTGATGACAGTACAAAACAAAATGAGGGGAACAAATCTGATCTGCTTGCTGCAGTATGACCTTGCAGAGAGGGAAAGAGAGAGAGAGAGAGAGAGAGAGAGAGAGAGAGAGAGAGAGAGAGAGAGAGAGAGAGAGAGAGAGAGAGAGTCCACCTGAGCTTTGAGCCCATCCAGCTCAGCTCATCCATCTGTCTGCCAGTGCTTATGCTGTAAGGGAAGCTTACTGCATGCAGACAACAGCAACACAAGTGGCGTTTGCGAACTTCTTTGCTTTGTATTTCACTTGTTCTAAAGAATTTTGTGCTCCATAGACTAATTCCTTGTGATTCTGGGTGCACAGAGAGTGTGATTCAGCACTATTTTATGCTTAAGCAAGGTCAGGTTGTGTGCGTACTGTGGCCACCGGCCAGCTCATCCCCCGACATTAAACAAAGCTTGGATACTCCACCACAAAATACTATACATCCCAAAGGACAGGCAGGGATCCATCTGTGCAGGAACTGATAATTGATTGATTGTAATTGAGCCATCACTCTCTGGTAGATCTGATTAAGTGTGAACACATTTTCCATTCTGAGCTCTTTCTCTCTGGTCTCTTTCATTTGTCTGGCAAGGCGAGTTTATTGAAAAAAAATATAAGATCAAGCAGAAAAAAGACATACGACATTAAACATAAATCAGACATTGAAACACAACTGTATTAAAGCTCCTGTAAGAAGTTCTCAGCTGGGTAAGAAACAGACTGAAATTTCCAGTGATGCCTTTTTATGAGGCAAACAAGACCATCAGAGACATGGTTGGAAATTTCCATATATTAATATTTTAGGTTTGTAACTTTTATAAGGGGATAGGTGTCTGCATTAATTTTTTTTTCGATAGAAAGTTTCACAGTGAGTAACACTTTTTGTCAAGAAATACAACTTTTAATACAAGTCAGCTGTTGCAATGTCATAAGATATACAAGAAAAGTTCTGAATGATGTAGCCATGAAGTGGACTCATTATGGTACTTTAATTTAGCATAACAACAATTACCATCCCGAATAATCTAATAACTCTTCTCTGCCAAAACTGATGCCAGAGTTGGTGCTTACAGGAATCACATTGTAACTTGGCCGTTTCTTATTGGTGGCTCGGGTTTGTTATGCTTGTTCTGGCCAATGTAACCTTATGATTCTGTCTACTTTCCAGCAGATATAAGAATTTTTAAGATCTCATTTTTGTAAACACGTGCCACATTTCACCTCCCACTTCTACTCCCACTCTCTTGTCACTTATGGCTCTTTTTAAAAGGCCTTTCTTCTTATATTAAGTTTTTTTTTTTGTTGGTAATTATTGCTGTTTAAACAGTCTCCTAACATTGAATAGTGGGGCTGGTTCTTCTGCGCTTACTCAGTTGTTGCCATAGAAACAGCTTGTGTCTAATTATTCCTCCTTACCCCGAGAGACCTGTGGGTTAAGCCCATCATGACAAGAGACAGATGAGGGAGAGAAATGGATTTTCTTACAAGGAATTAAACATATTTTTAGGGTAATAAAGATGTCGAGTGATTAGTTTGTCTGTGTCAGTCAAAGCTGGAGTCTCCACCCTCTCATTACACCGAGCAGACTGCTAAGTGACACACTGTCAAGCATCAGTTGTGTATGTTAATGTGTGCAGCTGCAGTGACGTCGCTCAGGTCCTCCCCTGAAGTGTGTCCATTGTGTTACCGCTTTGTTGCGTGCGTTATCTCCGAGCTACAACACGCACTTACAACACTTATGCATTGTGTGTTTCATGTGACAACACTCCTTTTCAGCATCTCTATCACAGACCCCCGACTCCTCATATTCAAAAACCCACATAGATGCCGCTCAGAAACCAGTTTAATGGGATGTTCCTCTCAGAAGAGTAATCTCTCCGGCTGTTATTAAGCCGCTTGCTTTTCAATGCTTTTTACTTTTAATAGAAACTGCCAGCAATGCTGCAAAATTTGGCAGTAATGTGGGAGTGATTATTTCCCTCACACAGCTCCAGGTCTGGCTTTCTTCCCCCTCTCCATTTGCTGCTTACAGTAAACACCAACGATCAATATCAGATTATTTGAGAGTTATAAATCCTTATGGAAGTACAGTTCCTGTTAAAGTTTGTTCTTACCTTATGATCAAACCAAATGAATCAGCATTTGTTAAGGTGCTTTAAGGTCAATATAATCACTGTTGGGAAGAACATATCATGTATTCACCCTGATGCCGCACTTATTTTTTATCTACAGGAAATGTAGAGGAGAGGAAATATTTGGAAATATTAAACAAACACATTAATAGAAGCGGAGTAATGAGCATTATAGAGGTTTAATTGATACTAAAAACAATAAATAATGTTTTCAAATATTACTTTTCACTGAAACTTCGTTGATACCTACAGGGACATTCAACCTTATGATGGGATTGGTTGTCATAGCATGACCAGCTGTCTTTAAAGAATAATAACATACACTATTTCACAAGAAGTAGAAGTGAGAAATATTTTAGTACAAGACCTCAAGCCTTAAAGGGATATTCCGGCGTAAAATTAATTTAGGGTCAAACACACCATAACACCAAGTTAGACACTCCCTTGAGAGATGGATGTTGTCGACCGCTTACTTCTCTAGTTAAACCAACTTTATTAACGACCGCACGATAGCAATACACAGCGGTCTGAGGAGACATAAACAAACCTCAACCAAAAAGCCACTCTATAGCCACAAATAATGCTCAGAACAGCACCTAACTTCATCAACAGTACATATAGGGTCCCAGCCACAGCACTAGCCACCAAACATCTTTTTAGCCTTGCCTAATTTCTTTAGCAAAGAGACTAAACACAACTCACCCACTCTCTTCCAGCAGCCGCTTGTTTGTAGCGAGACCTCAGGCCAGTCCATTACGGACTGCTGCGGGGTGACGCAGCTCAAGGAAGAACATTTACGATCATTTCTTCATGAAAATGCAATCAGACCGAGACACTAAGGCAGAAGAACTACCGTGTCTGCAGTACAAAATGGTTAATATGATTATTACTTAAAGGAAATGATAAAGAAATGATCACTAACTGGCTCATTGCTTAAAGAAAGCACTGAGAAAACAGTAAAAATTCAGCATAATTTATTTAATTTACTGAGTAATTAAAAGTAATAGCTGTCAAACAGTTTTGCCGAGTATAGATTCAGTTTTTAACACTGAAAACAGCATTCAGCCAGCAGAAATACAGATCAAAATCAATGTTTCAAAACACTTTTTGTCTTTAAATGATTTTCAATACCATGTCATATCAGTGTCAAAATTATTTTCTCATGTTAGTTAAATTCTCGTCCATTTTCATACAAAAGCCATGGATACTGTTCCCTATGGACTGTATATTTGTTCAGATTCACATTATACGACACATTTTAAATCATTTCTCATAGCAGAATGAACAATGTGCATGCTCAGTCACCTATAGACTGTGCATCTGCAGCATCTGCAACTATGAAGGCGGGCCCTGAAGGCTTACAAAGGGGGTGGTTATATAACAATAACAATAACATATACTGTAGTTACTCATCCAGGTGACTGATAGCAATAATTGTTAGACTCATTTGGCACCTGTTTGAGTCCAGGTCATGCACATCGATTTTTTTCAGTGGTGGCATTGAGACCATGCTTACTTTGATAAGGATTTTATTTGCTATATGTGAAAGACTTAATGATATGTGCATGAATGTGTGATTATTTTTGTGATTTCTGCAGGTGAAATATATCATCTAACCAGCATTTCAGGCATACAATATTTAAAGTTTAGATAACTTTTTGAAGAAAGTAGTAATTCTAGTCATAAAGAGCAAGGGTGATGACATTTAGTTGACTGAATGTGCACCTCTATAGAGCAGCTCCTGATAGTTTATCATGACTCTGTTCCTCTCAGGTGAATTACATTTTGATACCTTGCAGGCGGGACAAGGACAATAAACCTCCCGAGATATGCGGTGCTAATAGCATGAGGGAACATCTGAAGACACTAATCAAATCGATCCGTTCCACTTTATCGTCTGTCCTTCAGGGTTTTTCATCCTGATTTCATAACTTGCCCTCACAGGGAGTCTAATGTTGTCTCCGCTCAGCCTGCTCATTCCAGGCTCCTCTGTCTAACGCGCCTCTTAGAAACCTCAAAGGGGCTTTGTTACTGTGAAATATGAAAGTTCTCGACTTTCAAACAAAGACAGGAAAGTTGAATTATGATGAGAGGGATTCACCTGCTGTGATGATAGAAAAGAAACATCAATCAAGATCTTTTGTGATCATTTGGGAACTACTCTTTTCCTGTTTTCTTCTTTAACGAATACCAGATTTGTTTCCCAAAATATGGTATTTAAACCTCCTTAAGTCCACAATTATCAATTACTATTATTCTTTTTAAAAATCCCATATAATGGTATGGCAAAAACCATCACAAATGCATCTGCAGCTTCTCAGTTTATAACGTCATCACCAATGCAGAGACCTGAGTGGGTGGGGATGTCATGACAGTTTGGCGTTGCTCTGATTGGCTGCCTGAATGTTGTTTTAATGGGGGAGGTGCTGACAGATGCCGGGGGATTTATGAAGTCATGTTTTACCAGGTGGGTTACAGAAACAATGCAGAGGCTATTTTGTTCCCTCAGTCTCAAGGTTGCTCAGCTGGAGGATGAATAAAATATACCAGTTTATACTGTACAGAAATGGATATGTGTTTTTTATTCCATGAATGACAATGAAATGATTAATCAGTGTTAGTGAGAGCATTATTATTATTTTGGTGATTTTAGTTTTTTCTTTCATTATCACACCACTGGTTTGCTTGTGATCCTACAATGAGTAAGACATTTTCCCAGTCTGAATCAGAGCGCAACCCCCCGTTTCCCATCTGCATCTGTCAGCTGGTGTCTAATTTACTCTCCCATGAGTCCAATTATCAGAAACGAAGCAGGAGACTTCACTTCACTTCACTCCACTGCCTCATACAACCTGCTCAGGTGCAGAGGGGCGGCCATGTCACATGTTAGGAAAGGTTTTTTTAAGTCACTGTTGAAAGAACATGAGTAAGTCAAATCAAGCTCTTGTGGAGTTAAGAAAGGGAGTGTGTCGCTTTAAATGTCAATATAATGAAGATTTCTTATGGAACTATTTCTATTTTTCTTGAGTTGAGAGGAGTTTACACTTGTATTTAGAAGCAAAAATGAGACGTATGATATTGCACAGCCTTTCTCTGTTTGTCACTACAGTATTTAAAATATTGCTGATATTTTCATTTTACTTTGAAGGTCATGTGGAGCCATCAGTATAAGATTAAGACCTTTTCAAAATCAGTTCAAAACTCCTCTCAATGTCTGAACTGCATAGTTTTTACACAGCTCTCTTTCAGCACCACAGACAGCTCCTTTAAAACAGCAGATCCCAAAATAGCGTCGCAGCTGCTTCTCTTAACAGAACACAAAAACTTCATAAAACACAGATGATCACTTTCCTTTCGGAATTTCTGTCATGAAAAATATTCACAGTGTTGTGATCTGTGAACCTTGATCTACAGTTCACTGTTACCATGACGAAATACAGGATTAGACCACGGGGATTTATGAATTTCAGTTGGCAGTCTGCCTCAGTGTTGCTTCAAACACAAAGTAATTAATTTTTGTCTTTAGTTTGTAGGATTTGAGGTTGGCTTTTCTCGCTTGTACTGATATGCAACAAGAAAAAAATTCAAAAACAAACTTGATGACATTTTTCAGCGCTCAATCAGAAGTAGATGCTGCTGGTTGTTTGTCAAATCCAGGAACTACAACACCAACATTTCCTCTGCCTGCTGTTGTCTCCATTTCCACCCCCCACTCTGAGATTAAGTCAGTGATACACTGTATAGCTTCTTTCATGTATTACATAATGCAGACGAGGCTAGAGGCATTATGACGGGAAGCAGCAGCTTCACTCATGTGAGAGATGAGAACGGTAAAGTGCAGCATTAAAACCTTTATCCCTGAAATGAAAAAGAGATGCAGGAGGAGGAAGGAGTGCGAAAGAAAAGATGCTGCATTACAATAAACCACTTAAAATACAAATTAAATTCTGTAACAAATGCTGTGATCCTGGATTTTCAAAATGTCCTGTAAAAATCAATTAGGTAGCCTAAAAGATAACAAAAAGTCTAACCTAATAGGTCTAAGTAATTTGGTTGTACAGCACACTTCCTGGAAAATCAAGAGTATATCAGTTAATTATAGACCATATCATTTCTGGTCTTCTATTGTTTAATCAGATAGATGAAATAATACAGGTTTTAAACAAAAAATAACATAACTATATAATTTGGTGTTAATTTGTCAATATAAACAAATAAGTCAGTTACAAACAAATGACTACATTTTTTAAATGTCGTATTCATCCCTGCTTTTGCTTTTTAATTTATTTTTCCCTTTTTTTCCACATTTAGATTGATTGTTTGATATTACAAATTGAGAAGTAGTGGCCTGAAAATTTATCTTAATAAAAGAAGTGTTGCCAGCTGTAAATTAGTGCCAAATATGATTTTATTACAAAGAGTGATGTGATGTTAAATAATAAAAAAGAACATATTTCTACACAGGAAGTGTGTGAGGGGAGTCAGTTAGAGGCAGGGGGAGAGAGAAGTGCGTTTGACCAACAGAGGATTAACACTAATCTCTGTTTGGGCCTCATGCACTTCACCTGTAACATATTCTCCCATTGGCTCTTGTCTGATCTAGATGTCTGCCTTAAAGCAACCAGCCCTTTTATTGGCTTGACTGTTAAATGAAGCTGACATGTGAATGTAGGAATGAATTTCATCACGAAAAAAGCAGAATCATCCTACTGCTGAGGATGACAGAAGTTTCCTGGTTGTGCCTGTTCAGTGCTGCCAGACTTTTGATTACAGCTCAGCATATGAGCAGGATTAGACAAAGTTCAGAGTCAGCACAGTGCAGGGCTGAGAGCGAGTTAATTGTTACTTCCACATTTTAACAGGAGGTGTATAATGTGTCCAAGGGAGCATTCACGAACACAAATTTTAGATAAAAGCAGTAATCTTCTCACCAGGTAGGTTAGCACAAAAAAAATTAAATACTGATGGGAATTAATGTGTGTCTGTGAGTGAGTGAGTCTGTGTGTTTGTGTTCTTATTCTCATCGGCCTGTATTGTTTGAAAACCTTTTAACATGTACTCTTTAGTAGCCCTGCTCCACAGCAGCTGGTGCTCACTAGGTGTGTTTGTTTGTGTGCGCTGCTACAGATGAAAGAATGATTTAGAGGCTTAGGCTTTATTACACAATATGTCCTATTACTAGCCAAACTATATACTTAAAAAACCCAAAAACATATTGTAGATGGTGACATCAGCCTTTTATGCTATTTATTTGTGTATCAGGGTTCAAAAAGTGCCGGTATAGCTAAAACCATAGACTGTACATTCTATGGATGACTTGGTTCTGCCTTCTTCTGCCAGTGTACGGATTTGAAGCTCTTGGTATTTCCACGTTTTTTCTCCACTTCCTGAAACCAATAATGCGCAGTAGCGTTGTACGCACTACACCACTTGTGCAGTAGCATTGTGCACATTCGGCAGGAGAGTTGCCGAGAGTCACTGGCCCCGTTTTCATGGGTCCAAAAAGCCTATTTATAATCAGATTGAAAGGTCAATCAGATTCAAAATGTCTTATATAAACACCTTAGCCAATCTGATTCACCCGGATCTGATTGTATTTCGGGTCGGATTGTAAAATGTAGTCTACACCGATTGATAATCCGCTCCTTGCTCCATATATACGGCTGAGTGGAGCGGATTGGGTTTACGGAGAGGCTTGTTAGGTCTGCGCAGGCGCTCGGTAGTACGTAAGAGGCACGTAGTGACGTACGCAGAGCGCGCCCAAACGAAAACAAACATGGCGAACAAACAGAAAAACTGGACGGTGGAGTTGTGTTGTTTCGTGCGACTGAGGAACCGTACACTTCTTGCTGTGCAACCCGGCTGGATTTTACTTTTTATTAACACATAGGGTTCCGGTCTGGTAACTCCAGCGGTGTCACACACAAACACGTCCATGCGCAACTCTAAAACGGAACTAAAACAATGGTTGCTATTAACAATTCCCATTGATACAGTACAATCCAATTGGATTCAGCTGGGGCCATGAAAACGCGGACTGAACGTGGATCTCTTTACTTAAAGTTCATGTATACAGATGGAATCAGATTCACTTAATCCGATTGATTTCAATCAGATTGAGGAAAACTACTCATGTAAACGGGGCCAGTGTCTTATCTTTTCTCCCCCATGATAGTGTTTTAGAGGACAGGGACATATACTGTACAGGATGTGTGTCTGCATGGTCTTTTGGAGGATCTTTGTTGAGACAGTGTGATGGGAGGATGAAGAGTAGAGTGAGAGAAAACCTGCAGTTTAAGCCATCTGTCTTCTCTAGAAAAGCGTCCAAGTGGGGGAGAGGGACGGCCCCACACATGCACACACACACTAATGTTCAGACTGGCAGGGAGGTAGACAAGCAGATGGACAGACACACTTAAAAGCTAACAAAGAAAAGGATTGACTCTGTTCATAATATGATGCTCAGTATTGTTCACAGACCAGCAGGTGTGGAGAACTACAAACATTAGCTATGATGCACCAACTATCTCAAGGACTAACTGTCTGGCATTAAGTGACCTAAGGTATAGAAAAAATAAAGAAGAACTGATCTGTTAAAGAATATCAAATTTCAACATTAAAATGACATATAGCTAGGTTTAATGTTGATATTTGGCATAAAAGATACAAAAATAGAAATATTTCTGTACTGGTGTCACCAAATGTGCTTTTCAACTGAACCAAAACTTGCAACTAACAATTACTGATCCCTGTATGATATTTAGCGGAAGGATGCCTCAAATAAGTTGACGTTATATATTTTTTTGTTTGTTTTTTTGGGGAAAATTAGATTTGACACTAATCTTGTTCTTGAACTAAGATCAAGTAGTTAAACAGGGATGGACATTTTTACTAAAATGAAGAAAAGTAAACTGCTGAAAATGAAAAGTGGAGATTGAAAATTGTATAGATATGCCAGATATGCTCAGATGTGATCTAGTTATGCAAACTTAGTAGTATAAAGAATCTATATGTCATGATATGTTCTGTTGATGTAGTTTTTTTCATTGGTTTTGTTATTAGAGTATATTTTCTGTATGTTTTCTCCTAGTGTTCTGTTCCTTATTGTTCCTGTTCCCCTATAGTCCAGTCTTGTGAGTTTTCAGTTTGTGTTTGACCCTTTTTCCCTCCTGTTCTCTGTGTTTTATTCTTTAGATCAGTTTTCAGTGTTTCCTGTTTTATTTTGTAGTAGTTTATTCCTTTTGTTTCTCATCTGGTTTTACTTCCCTAGTTTTCCCTCCCTCGTTAATCACCCATGAGTTTCACCTGTGTCTCGTTAGCCTCACCTGTTGCCCGTTTACCTGTGTGTATAGTCCCCATTGTCTTTGTTTGTTCATTGTATGTCGATGTGTGTGTATGCTTGTGTCCCCAGTGTCTTTAGTTGGATTTTGTCTTTTGGATTTTTTGTGGTTGGACATTTGGAAGTAAGTTGTTGTTGCCATTTATCAATAAATCATTTTTTTATGCATTTGGGTCCTTTTCCCCCCATTGTTTAACCCTAGACTGTGACACTATATTTCAATGTCCTTAGCTAGCTGATAGTGAGGAAGCAGACATCTCTTCATATTTGGAGTGGGAGCTGAGTTTTTATGTCACTTTCACTCTTGTTCTGGTTGGGCCACGGTTTGGAGCAGGAGCAGTTTGGCCCTGATTAACTCTCAGCGTGTGACTCATAGATCCAAACAGCCTCAGGCTTTGCTTCGGGTTAAAACTCAGACTTCATCTATTTCTCATGGACCAAAGTTACTTAAGATTTTCTCCCCGTGTTTGCATACAAGTTTTTTGGTCTTTGGATGGGGGAATTTAGCTAACTCTGACTGAAATATATGCTGCAAAAACAAACCAAAAGACACACAATCACATCAACACACACCCGAGTAATAACAGTCCAGTCAGCTGGTGGAGGAGCACACAGTACCAGTGTCGGGCTGACGCTGATGTTGCATAAGCAGCTGAAGAAAACTGTTTTCTGTGTGGGGGAAAAAACAACAACATACAAACATGTTTGCCGACAGAAGAGCATGTGTGTGGACACGCTCTCATGAGCTCACAGGCATAGTTCTCACAACAGACACACAAGAACATTGTACTAGTCAATTACTGATGCAAAACATTTTATTTGTGTGGAAACGCACATGAAAACTTTTTAATTTGTTGTAGTTCTAATTATTCTCTTAATCATATTTTTATACCTGTTATTGACTCTCCTTCCCTTTCTTTGTGTTTCAGGGATTTCCTTCCCCGTGGCTCCGGCATTGTGACCCGTCGTCCTTTGGTTCTGCAGCTAATGAACTGTCCCACAGGTAAAAACAGCCCATCTATTACACCTGTGTCATGTTTACTTAGCTCACATTGTAAAACAAAATAGTCCCCTGAAGACTCTCAAATAGTTTGAGGAGATATTTTAGACTCTGTAGTAAAATGTATTTTAGGTTCTTCTCTTGTGTTTAATTTGGTGAGTTTGGTTGGAGACAGCATCAAGTGGATATTAGACTGTTTTTATTATTAAGGCACCTCTCTACCAATGTCAACACAACAAATATTAGTTCCAGTTTTGTGTGTGTTCTACACGAAAAAGTGAACGATTCAACAACTCTAATACCTTCCATTATCTAATGTTAAGGGCAAAACTTAAGTGAAGTGTCAGCATTTCTGAAACCTTTTTTCTCCTCACAGGGGATAAACATCAACCATCCGCACTGAAAATGACTTTTTTACTCTTCATTCGGTTGTTCCTTGCTAGCTTTTTTACCACGCTGTGTGAACCAAAGTTTAATCAAAGCTTATCTAACATTTGGGTGCTAGTTTAGCCTAGCTGGTAAGGCAGGCACAGAGTTTCTACACAGTTCAGTTGCCTGATTTTGGAGTCTTCGGTCTAAGCTGTCTTCTTTACCACTTTTCTACTTCTTCAGGTCTTCCTTCTTTTGTCTTAAAATGTACTTTTAGCAATATCCTTCTTCCATCTCTTTCAGAGTATGCTGAGTTCCTCCACTGTAAGGGCAAAAAGTTCACAGATTTTGATGAGGTCCGGCAGGAGATTGAGGCAGAAACTGATCGCATAACTGGAGCCAACAAGGGCATCTCCCCAGTGCCTATCAACCTGCGGGTCTACTCCCCTCATGGTAAGGATGACAAAACTCTGTTGTAAACAAAGGATACAGTTTTTCTGGGAAGCTCTGCAAGTCTGACATCAAAACCTTTTATACCATAAAGCTTTTTATTTTGCAGCAACCCATCAGATTAAGCTTTCTTGGCTTGTTTGCAGAGCTAAAGTGTCCTTCTGTCTCTTCACAGTGTTGAACCTGACTCTGGTGGACCTGCCCGGGATGACCAAGGTGCCGGTGGGAGACCAGCCGGCAGACATTGAGGCTCAGATCAGAGAGATGCTGTTTCAGTTTGTCACCAAAGAGAACTGCCTGATGCTGGCTGTGTCCCCGGCCAACTCTGATCTGGCCAACTCTGACGCTTTAAAGATTGCCAAAGAGGTCGACCCCCAGGGTGAGTGTATACATACACAACAGACACATACACACATAGGCACACACTCTGCAATCTCTCAGACATCAATAGAAGCAAGAGGAGGACGGTAACTACAGTATGAAAATACATTACTTGATAATAATACGGAAATACAATTTTTTTTTAACTACTGATGAAATAAATGGAAAGGATCGCTGATGTGTCTGTTTGACCTGCCTGAACAAACCAGACAACCAAGACAAAGATGGATGATTTCTACAGAGTTTCTATAGAGTTATTTCATCTGCCTGCAGCAGGCAAGGTGTCAGATAAGACACAACACTAACAGATTAGAGGTATCGCCCTGTACAAAAGCGGCACAAAAGTAACATAAACCTGAAGTTTCCCACAGAAGCCTAAAGAAAATATCATTCAGACTTCAGATTTTGATGATTATTGGTCACTGTTCTTATTAAAAATAGATCTAAAGTGAAACAGATCTAAGTAATTTCATCAATTCAGGTATGAGGACCATCGGTGTGATCACTAAGTTGGACCTGATGGACGAGGGGACAGATGCAAAGGAAATCCTGGAGAATAAGCTGCTTCCACTCAGAAGGGGTGAGTGCACGCGCACACACACACATACACACACACACACACACACACACACACACACACACACACACACACACACACACACACACACACACACACACACACACACACACACGCACGCAGCACTACTCCTTTCTTACAAGGGGCCCTTGAAGTGACCCACTGTTTCCCTCTTGTGGCAAAAAGGCATCTGCACTCAAATTCCCCCCCGACACAGTAAACTGAAAAAAAAGTAAAAGCAGAGAAAGGATGGGGGGATGGCAGTTAAAAAGAAAATAACTGAGTAAAGAAATCAAAAGGCAGATAGAAGAAGTAGAGGGAAATTTGGAAAGGAGAAAGAGGGAATGAGGGAAAGAGAAAAACAGTGTCTTGGAAAAGAGCTCGCATTCGTCTTGTGAGCTGCCCTTTAATGCAATGTGCTGATGCGATGATTTTCTTTTCCATTTGCACTTGGTTAGAACCCAGGCATGTGCTTTTGAATATTTTCCATGTCCTTTTGTTTTTCTATGTTTTTCCCCTCTCTCTTTTTTTCCCTCTCTCTCGCTCTCTCAGTCTAACACTGTGTGGATGTCCACATTTACTAGGCTGCTGGCTCGGCCTTGCATTAGTTATAGAGCATGAAACGGCCTTTAACTGAGTGCTGCATGAGAAAACTTCACTGGAGGTGAAACGGGATCTGCGTGACCTGAACTCTCCTGTTGTTTTTCTTTTTCTCACACATGCAGACATTTATTCTTTTAATTCCCTTTTTTATTTCCTTTCTTTCCCCTCAAATTTATACTTTTCTTTAATCCTTGAAATGTGGTTCTCCCCGAGTAAACATTATTAACACGGTTTTAAACGGTTTGGTCTAGGAGGGCTTGTACTTTTTTGGTTTGGCTGTTCAAATAAAGTATATTTGAATGAATAAAAATCTAATATAATCTCAATAATGGCTCCAGTGCAAAATATTTTACTTCTGCGCTGAAAGTCTTGAATCTGCTCCAGTCTGCTCTCAAATGTTCCAGGAAGTGATAAAAGAGTTGCATCTGGTTTCCTCCAAAACTCCAAGTGTTTCAGGATGTTTTATTAACATCTTTTGGTCTCCTGTTGTTGTTGTTTCCAGGTTATATCGGTGTGGTAAACAGAAGTCAGAAGGACATAGATGGAAAGAAGGATATTAATGCTGCTATGGCTGCTGAGAGGAAGTTCTTCCTCTCCCATCCTGCTTATAGACACCTGGCTGACCGTATGGGCACTCCCTACCTACAAAAAACTCTCAATCAGGTAAGAAAAAAAGTGCTCCTGTCATTTACCTATTTCTTATATTCTTCATGTTTAAGCCCTGCTCTCCAGTCATGCTGGGTCATTTTTACTTCAGTGCAGTTGCTACTGCAGAGTTTAGCTGCAGTGTTAATACTCACATCAAGACATTATACTTAGTCATAACATCCTGCCCTGACTCCAGCTGTATTATTCATTCATGGCTCACATTCTGCAACCTATATTTCTGTCTGAGTGTACATAATGATCACTTAAAAAACTAAATCATTAAATAAAGTTCATACATTATTCAGACCTCAAGTTTCCTCCATAAGGGAGTGCACCTTAGATATCAATGCACTAAATATTGCTAGAACCCTACTGGAATGCAATGATTATTTCTTTCTTTCCTTCTGTCCGTCATACTTTCATTCTTTCTTTCATAGTTTTATTTCTTTCATACTTTCATTCTTTCTTTCATAGTTTCTTTCTTTCATACTTTCATTTCATAGTTTCTTTCAGTTTCTTTCTTTCTTTCATGCTTTAATACTTTCTTTCATACTTTCATTCTTTCTTTCATGCTTTCTCATTTTCTTTTATACTTTCATTCTTTCTTTTATACTTTCATTCTTTTTTTCATACTTTCATTCTTTCTTTTATACTTTCTTTCTTTGTTTCTTTCTTTCTTTCCTTTGTTTCTTTTATACTTTAATACTTTCTTTTTTTCTTTCTTTCATACTTTCATTCTGCTTTCTTTTTTCTTTCTTTCATACTTCCTTTCTTTCATACTTTCATTCTTCTTTCTTTTTTCTTTCTTTCATACTTCCTTTCTTTCATACTTTCATTCTTCTTTCTTTTTTCTTTCTTTCATACTTTCTTTCTTTCTTTCTTTCTTTCTTTCTTTATTTCATGCTTTCTTACTCTCTTTCTTTCTTTTTTACTTTCTTTCTTTCTTTCTTTTATATTTAATTTTTTTTTCTTTCATACTTTCTTTTTTATACATTAATACTCTTTCTTATATACTTTAATCCTTTCTTTCTTTTATACCTTCATTCTTTTTTCTTTCATACTTTCTTACTTTTATACTTTCTTTTTTTATACTTTTTTACTCCCTTTCATACTTTTTATTCTTTCTTTCATACTTCCTTTCTTTCTGTTCTTGATTTATCTTGTGTCTTTCTTCTCTTTTTGTTGTCTCCAATTGTAAAATTTGACAGTTCACATGCTTGGTAGCTCTAACAAGCCCCTAAAACTCGCCCAGTCTTTGCACATGTGTGTTAAAAAATGACAAACTGCAAGTAACAGATATTTCAGATATTGAACATGCACTCTACTGTGACATCTCCCATATTTGTCCTGCATATTTGATTGTTTGAACGGCTCAAAGTTTTGTTCTATATTTTGTAGAGGCTCAAGTGATCTAACTCTCACCTTTGACCTTTACAGCAACTGACCAACCACATCCGGGACACTTTGCCAGCTCTGAGGGCCAAACTGCAGAGTCAGCTTCTGTCCATAGAGAAAGAAGTGGAGGAGTACAAGAACTTCAGACCTGATGACCCATCTCGCAAAACCAAAGCTCTGCTCCAGTGAGTAGAAACAATGAAAAGACACATGATGAGATATAATCAGGCTCACAGATACAGTGTTGTCTTTGTCTCTGCAGAATGGTGCAGCAGTTCTCTGTGGACTTTGAGAAGTGTATAGAGGGCTCTGGAGACCAGATTGACACAGCCGAGCTGTCTGGTGGTGCCAGGATCAATCGCATTTTCCATGAACGATTTCCCTTTGAGCTGGTCAAGGTGTGTGCCTCACGTTTCGTGATCTTCAGCCCTCAATATATGGTTGAAAGCAGATAATTCAAGTCATTTTGAGCAAGTTCCAGAAGGGGCAGTGTTTTTTTGCAGAGAGGAAGTACCTGTGGTGCGTTATCCTTTCCTAAAAACGTATTATTTGAACAACTTGGCAGAAAAAACAACTTGGATCACTTGAGAATTGCTTTGTCTTGCTTTTTCTTCCTTTTTATTCTCTCTCTTTTGATCATAAAAAATCATAAAAGTCATGAACAATAAGAGTTGACCTTTAGAAACTGCAAGAGTAAAAAAGTTTGTCCGCAATATGCAATAAAAAATGTCTGACTTTTGCCAACTTTGGCATGAGCTGTGAATCATAAACATGTCTGTTCAGAGCTGTAAATATTTAGACCCAAAAGATACAGACCCCAAATTCTTTGGAACATTTATCAGAGTTGTGGTTTCTCTTGTTTTGCTCTTTTGTTGTGTATTGATTGGTGGCATTACAACCCGTTTACTCAGCAGAAAAGGGATTTTTGAGTGTTTGTTTGACATAAAACATGTCGGTATTTTAGGGTTATGTGATTCATAGTGGCGGAGGATGTGGAGTGAGTAAATTTGATAATAATGAAGGAAGAGAAGTGTCATAAGTGGGAGGAATATCTTGCTTTTTCTCAGCCTCCATCTTTTATCTTTTCTTCACTTTCTCTCTCAGTTAGCACCGACCCTCTCTCTGTGTCCTCCTCTGTCCTCTCTCACCCTCCCTCTGAGGATATAAAACTTATTGCCTGTGACTGAAGCTTCAGAATAATTCAGTGTCTGTTTCATTCTGTGAGGACAGAGCAGATTGTTTCCTATCCAGATGATAGACAAATAAAACAGAAAAATCATAGGAATCTTAATCTTTATAAAACGTCATTTAAGGAAAATGTGTATCTTTGTCTGGGAAAGGTCGGATAAATGAGGTCTATAGTCTATATGTCATAGCTGCCCGTTTAGGGGCATGTCTCTGACCCTCACCTCCTCCCCAGAAATACATAATAATAATAATAATAATAATAAGTCGAAGTAAATAACATGAACTTCATTCCACTTTGTTAAAAGTTAGTGTCCCAGTTTGGACACCTTGGGCAAAAAAGGTCAGAATACACCCTTTAACATAATAAGGATTTTACCGTCGGGCCACTCCAGCGTAAAACAAACGGGCTGGCTGCAATATTCTGCAAAAAAAAAAAAAAAAAAAAAGAAATCATATCAGTTGATTGATACCAGTCCAAATTGTATCTGTTTATTTTAGTTTAAAGCAGGGAGAAAATCCAGCCTGGCAGGCCTGATGACAACCGCTATAGTATTTTACTGGTAATCACAGTAAATTGGGTTTATTTACACACATAGAAATAACAGGATTTATCATTTATACTGGGGTTTCAATATTTCCTGGCAGGGCACACTGACTTCTTTTTGACTCCCAGTTATGATTCCAGCCCGTCACACCACACAGCATGAATCAGATTCAGTGTTTTGTTTTTGTGAGGAAAAAAATTTTTTACGTTTAGTCAATTTTAGAGATGATTTTTAGCACATTTTTGGTATGATTGCCTAATGATCTTGCCAAGATTTTAGTTAAAACATCATAAAAGCGATCTTTTTCACAGAAGTTAGCAACAGGGAGCTATTTTATGAATGTGTTTGGAGCTCAGTGGACTAAATGATGGAGGACTCGAGGGAGAGAGATATTTAACTGATTTATGAATCTGTTAGAGATAAAAGTGTCTGTATTTAAACCTCCCTGTTGTTTCCGTCTGTCTGTTCGCAGATGGAGTTTGATGAGAAAGAGCTCCGCAAGGAGATCAGCTACGCCATCAAGAACATCCATGGAATCAGGCACGTACGCCCTCAAACTAACCCCTCTGTTCATCCCTGCCTCTCTCTATCTTTCCTTCCCGCCCTCCCTCTTTTCATCAGAGTCACCTCTGCCGGACAGAATGCATCTAAGTGACTTTGCTTATCTAATCACAAAGACCTCTATACTTTGATTACACCTTGTGGTGAATACTAATGACGTCAGTTTGGATCAGAAAGGGGACTATTTCATGTTCTTAGTTTATTTGCAGTCTGTTGATTTTTTTCCTGTTTTCCGTCCATAGAGATATTTAGCCTTTTTCTTAAATACTCCGATTCAAAGTGGATTAAATGCTGACAGTATTTTAAAATATTCCAATACCTATTCTAGTGTATGTGCTTACAAAAGAGGATTAGACAAGATAGATAGACAGATAGATAGACAGACAGACAGACAGACTTTATTGATCCCAAACTGGGAAATTCACATGTTTCAGCAGCAAAAAAATACAAAATAAAATTAAATATAAGAAGAAGTTAGTACAATACAGACTAAAAATACTAAGTATAAACAATAAATACAGACTAAATATACTAAACATCCTAAGAGAAAAAAGTGAGATATGAAGAAAGTGGGCTTTATTATTAAATAATATTAAAGCCACGTGAAGCAAAGAAGAAGCAAAAGCCACATGAAGCAAAAAAATAACAATTACAGGAACGAGATTAAAGTTGAAATTTCTAGATTAAAGTCGGAATTTTGTGAATAAAATTGAAATTTCAAGATTAGAGTCAAAATCCCCCCCCCCCCGCCCAAAGTCTCCCTTGAGTCGACTTTATTCGACTTTATTCATGTCAACTTCAATCTCGAAATTTCAACTTCAATCTCGTTTCTGTAATCATTTTTTTTCTCTTCATGTGGCCCTAATCCTCTTTTGTATGTACTTAAGTAAGAGCTGATACGGGGTTTCCCTCGAATTTTACATAACAATAACAATTAACAATAACAATATTTCAATCAGGGCCACTGTCGTCAAAGATAGTTAATTACTTGCATGCAAAAAGTTATATTTTGTGGCATGGCTCTGTTCTGAGACCTCATATATACATGTAAAGCCAAGGCAGGGGGAGCAGCAGCAAAGATCCCCCTGGTATAGGATAGAGCAGGCACCAATATACATATACAGTGGATATGACATGCACCAAGTCATACATCATGGCATTAAATCAGTTAAATGGGGGTAATGTCAATTTCATGCTGTATAACTGAGGCTGCATTTTAGATGGTATTAAAGAGTGACACAAAAACATAGTAATTGCATTGAGGTGAATGCTGAGTCAATCGATTTCTAACTTACGGTGGGCATAAGTCACTTAAATTACTTAATATTCACCTGATTTCTTTCATTCGAACTCTTTATGGTTTAACATGTGTTAATGTTTGGGGAAAAAAAATCAGTAATAGAGGATATTCCTTTTCAATTAACACTTTTCTCTCTACCCAACCTTCCTCCCTCCTTTTTTCTTTTTCTCCATCACCCTCCTCTTTCTTTTTTGGCCCCGTGGCTCGTTCTCTCTCTGTCGGGCAGAACTGGCCTCTTCACCCCGGACATGGCCTTTGAGACCATTGTGAAAAGGCAGATTGGGAAGATTAAAGAGCCTTGCACTAAATGTGTGGACATGGTCATTTCTGAGCTAGTCGGTACGGTTAGGCAGTGTACCAAGAAGGTAAAAACAACCAAAGTCAACAGTGGATAGCACTTCTTTTTTTTTTTTTTTTTTCAACCCTGAACTGCAAACTCCTTGTGCTGTTAATTCACTTTAACTGTAACCACCCGGCTCTCTCCAGCCCTCGCTGTTTTTCTGAACAGCTAGGGGACTCCTGGAGTGACAGGGTGGGCTGCGGTGTACCTGCCTGCCTTCCTACTGTACCGCTTTGGAAGGGTTTGGCTGGACAGGCTGGCCGTGGTAGAAATCTGTGCTTAAGAAAACCAGTGTGGAGGCTGAGGAGTCATCAAAAATATGGTTGCCTGGAAAGATTAAATGTCAAAGCAGCCTCAGGATATGTGTTTATGAATCTGATTAAAAGGCTTCTCTGCCAGTAACTCATTTTTGGAAAGAAGAAAGTGTCCACTGTTCTGCGCTTGAATTGACCAGCTTTTCTTACTTGTGTTCATTCAAAGTTGGCAAATCTGTGAAACATATTCAAAACATGTTCAGTACTTGATTACTCTTAATGATCACAAACATTAAAAATCAGGATTCACAGGGCTGCCTCAAGTCGGCTGTTTTGGCAAAGTAAGGAGACAAACTTTCTGCTGCATGAATGTTCCACTCTGTGTACCACCTTTATACAGTTAATGAGCAAAATATCATTGTCCTCCACTATTTTATACTTTTTTATTTATTGAATTTATTAAACAAATGCACTGACATACATCAAGCCTTTGCAGTTATCATATATACACAACCTGCTGTTTCATGTGTCAATATTTTGCACAGAAAAGCTACTTTTAGAGTTAAGTGATAGCATGTATCTTGTTTGCATAAGGAATGTAAGAGCCTGTCTGAAACTTTCAATTATATCTTGTTCCACTGAGATCTAATTTGTTGGACTAGCAACCTCTTTTAATACTCTTTTGAATTAGTTGTAACACTTTACTCGATGCCTATCTCTATAACACATAAATATATGTATCATGCGTTATAATCACGTTATAGCACTGTATAACTATAGTTATAAACACTCATAAATGATCATAATGCTTTATAACAATAATCATAACACATAAAGCATGACTTACACGGTCAGGTATTATAATGTGTAAACTGAGTGTTTATAATCATAGAAATACAAGTTTATAAGCAAATTATAACACATCATGTATATGTATGTATAATGCATTATCTATGTGGGCATTGTCAGTGAGTTGTGAACAGTAATAACACATTATAATACCTGACCTTGTCAGTCATGATAAAATGCTTTATAATGTGTTGTGATTATTGCCATAAAGCATTATGATCATTTATGAGTGTTTATAACTATATTTATACTGTGCTATTACATGATTATAATGCATTATACATATATTTATAATGCGTTATAGAGATAGGTGTCAGGTTATGTGTTACCAAATAAGTTATCTTGTTATTAGGGCTGTTGCAATATATCAGTTTTAATGATAAACATCCTCTAAAAAAATATTGAATACTAAAATTAGCATGTTATATATCTACTCTATAGTAGGGGGCAGTAGTAGCTGGCTGGTTTTTACCCAACTTGAAACAAGCTAGTTGTAGCAATAAAAAAATAGCACTTTAAAACTGATATCAGAGATTCAGAGTGAATCAAAAATTATACACACCTGCTCAGGGTTGCTGAAATATTAAAAATACTTCAAATTTTTTTTTATTATCTGTTATCAGTCATTCTATAACTAAATAGATTTTTGCACAGGTTAAAATCTTGTTTGTACAAAGAGTATCTTGAGATATGATGTGAACGCTTGCCTGCGTAGTGTGTATTTAGAGTGGAATTGGCATGTACTTAAAGTTTGAAAACATTTGACTCATGAGAGACTTTCTATAAATAATGTAAAGAAAGAGTATTCACACTTTTTTTTAATATTATCATTCTTTTTTACATACATCCAAATAATTAGAGTTATTTATAATCCCTGGCAGCCATATAGGATGACCTCAGCATCCAGACTTTTTTTGTGTGTGTGTGTGTGTGAGACTGCAGCCGTGCACCTGCAGCAGACGGGAGCCATGACAATTATGTTTTATCTCCTCTTCAGCAGACCTCGGGGACCTCTCTCTTAGCTACACAGGCTTGTGAGCGCAGCCAGAAAAAGAGCAGTAGTCTGTGTCCAAGTTGATCCTCTGTGACCAAACAATTTTAACAGTGGTTGGAGCTGAAACAACCTGGAGGCCTCGGGATAATAAATGTTATGATTACACTCCCACTAAAAGTCAGAGAGGAAGGAGGGACCGGTGGAGAAAAGGGTCAACGGCAGGAGGATTGGGGCTCCTTGGCTGAATGGTGGTGGTGCACAGCTGCAGTCTGAGAGTACATTGCTTGGAGTTTTTTGGCTGGTGGAGTTAAGCAGGCTGGGAGCTCCCTCTATTTCTTCCTCTTTCTCTCCTCTTTTCTCTCCTCACTGATAGAGAGATATTCCAGCTCTGTCCTGTTTAAGAATGGCTTCAGGGGAAATCAAATGTCTCACTTTTGCATTTTCTGCCTTCTGTGCTGTTTACCCCCAAACCTCCACTCCTTACCTTGTCTCTTTATCTTTGATCTGTTGTCCCTGTTTCTTTAAATCCTCATCTGTGTATTGCCCCTTACCCTTGTCATGTTTTCACTCCTTTTTTGTGTCTTCTACACTCACTTTCTTGTCTTTTCTCTTTCTCTTACAACTCTTTGGTGCTTTATTTCTCTCCCTTCCTATTTCTTTTTTCTTTCCTTTTTTTTCCTTTTTCTTTTTTTTTTCCCTCACTCCTCCTCTCTCCTCTGTGCCGCCTGCTTGTCCCTACAGGACGGGGCTCTTCACCCCTGACCTGGCTTTTGAAGCCATAGTGAAAAAGCAGATCCAAAAGCTGAAGGAGCCCACTCTGAAGTGTATAGATATGGTTGTGAGCGAACTCACCTCCACCATTCATAAGTGTAGTCAAAAGGTAACATGCTAAGGAGAACCAAGCTATTTTTTTTTTTACAGTTTTCTTTTAATCTCGCATGTAGGGGTTGACCAAAAGCTGGACATTATCAGTGATAGAAAAAATATACAATTCAGCTGCTTCTTTTAAATATTTTTGCACCTTTAAAAACTATTAAAGACAGAAAACTGAGAAACAATGACTGTGAAACTTTGAGGTTTTGGACATGTGTGCTTTAGGTAAAGTTTAGTTTTAACTATAGCGTTACTTTTGATCACTCTACGTGTCATGTGCAGTTTATTTTTCCTTTATTTCTTTTTTTTTATTTATCTAAAATTGTTAGTTTGGCTTCTATGAACCAACTAACCCATGTTAAATGCATCGAATTACTAAGAATAAAGGCTCGTCCTAATCCTTGGTGGGTATGTGGGTCACGTAATGAAGCTGTCCAGCATTTATAGATAAATAACTTCTGACTCAAAGCAGCAAGTATGGGTCTATCTTAATTTTAGATTTTTTAGTGCCTCAACAAAAGCTACAGTTCAAGTGAATAAAACTTTGCTATTTCATCATCAACAACAATTGAATAAGTTAGTGCCAAACAGCCTGCATGTTATATAAGCCTTTGTTAAATTTGAGCTCATAAGACCAGAGAGAGTTTTACTGAAGTTGTTGAAAGACTGTTTTTCTGTTTCTGTCAGTATGATTTAACACAACGGAGTGACTGATTGTGAAGTTCCACTCTCTGACAAATTAACGTTCTTCAAGCATCTCTTTGTTTCTCTTTTTTATTTTTTATTTTATCCTCTCCATCCTGTGATATTTCGAACCGGCTGCAAAACAGAGCGTGACCTCCTTTGGATTTCTCCTCTCTGTCGAACTTTTATCCTGATTTCAACTTTCAGAAACAAGTATTTAGTTTCTGTGTTATAACAAACAGGGGTTGGGAGAATCCACAAAGGGGTCAGTTTGAAGTCTCCTCCCATCATACTCTCTCCTTTCCTTATCTCCTTCCCTCTCTACCTTCCTGCATCTTTGCATTGCATGTCAGTCTGAATCTGAGTCCTGCCTGCAGCCTTGATTGTGAGGAAGAAAAAAACTTTTTCCTTAAGTTTGTATTTCTGTTTTAAATTTTAAGACACTAAACACGTTTTGAGATACTGACAGCCTCTGAGTGCCTTTGAGTTACAATGCACCTTTGCTATTTTTGGTGTTTTAATTTATAAAAAAAACAAAAAAAACAGATTGCCTTACACATGCGTGGACAAAAACATGCACTAATGCCAACCTACTGGTGGATTCTGAGCACAAGTTTACAACATATATTTTTGCTGCTGGTTAGCTAGTTAGTTTTAAATACAGAGCTGCCAAGCGTCACCCCTTGAGTGTGACAGTCACGCAGTTTTGACCCATTCTCACACCACATGCCACACTTGACATTTCTTACGCTTATTTTCCTCGATTTAATACTCTGTATTTATTTTTTTCATGATAATAAACTTGGCTTGCCGTAACTTTGATTGACTGACTGAGAAAACCAATCCCAGACCAATTCATCAGTCCTTTGTGCCTAATGCTGCGTTCGAGTTACCTAGGAAGTCAGAAGTCCGAGCTGAAAATGACGTCACACTCAAGTTACCAGCGTTTCAGCTACCAAGTCGGAAAAAAGCAAAATCGGAGGTGGAAACAAGATGGCTACATCTACGAAAGTTATTTTAGCGCTTGCTTTGTCCGAATATAAGGCAAGCGCTAAAATAACTTTCGTAGATGTAGCCATGTTTCAGGCCAACATTAAAAAAAGGCAACAAAAAAAATTGCCGGTCGAACACACAACACTAAAGTCCCACTCTTTAAGCAGAGTATGCTAATGTTTTCATCATACTAAAAGTCTGGGGCTGAAGGACGCTGAGGCAAAGCTAGCTATTTAGCTAGCTAGCTAACATATAAATCAAGAAAAAGCTATATTATAAATCTGAAGCTCTGTAAAATAAAACTCTTAACACTCCTGAATAGTTATTTTATTCAGAATAATTACACAATGGAGCACTCATTCCCTTAAATATTGTTATTCAGTCAGCCAGATGTGCAAACTTTTGGTGCCTTCAGCTGACAAACACATTAGTTTACACCCTCATGCTTTAGCTTTAGCTTTTGTGTCCTGGTCTGACAGGTAAATAAAAACCATCTGCCCCTTAAAACTCTTTGTATTCAGCCTCATGCACAGAGTTTCAGCACCTGCTGTGAGGTTGCAAAGGTATTATTTGCCAAATAATTTGCCTTTCATTTCTTATTTCCTTGGCAAAACTATTAGAAAACAACAGTTTTGGAAACGTTTACAGCTGGAAATGCTCATCCATCTTAACAGTGTATCCCATTATTAAAACACATTATTCTGGTTGTTTTCTGCTTTGTAATTGGATGAAACCCAGAGAGCAGTAAATCAAGGGGAAGTCTTCCACTTCCACACTAAACCCTGTCAGACATAGAAGATGCATTGTAACTTGAAAGAGAACCGTATATAATTTATCTGTCTTTCTCTCTCAGGCTGTGATTTTGGTTTTGATTTTTCTTCTTTCCTCACACTTTCCAAAATGTGTTTGTGTCACATTGGAAGCCCACCAATGTCTGCCTTTGTGGGTTTGCAATGAGCTCATGGAAAAAACGACCCAAATTGTGCTGGGAAGAAGCTCTCCTGCCAGTAACATTGTTTATTCTGTTTGTCTCGTACTATCACAGACTTAGCACTACTCCTCTGCACGTCTGTTATATTATCAACAAACTGTGGACATTATTATGGACCTGAAATTAATATCCACCCATTGTTGGGGCCGTGCAGAGACTAGAGCTGAGTCTGTGACAGAGTCCATAAAACATAACCTTTTCAGTTGTGTTTTTATTTTGTTGTATTAGTGGAACTGTGTGTGAACTGTGGATCAGTGAGTGACGTTACATGGTTGTTCTACTGAAGCTAATATGCTGTTTAGGTACTGTCTTGTGCGTGAGAGTGGGTATTTGTGTTTTTTGCTACCTGCCTACCTACTGTGCTCTGTGCCAACAGCTGGCCCAGTATCCACAGCTGAGAGAGGAGATGGAGAGAATCGTCACCCAGCACATTAGAGATCGGGAAAGCCGCACGAAAGATCAGGTATAACCGGAGGATGACAAAAAAAGGGCTTGGTTTTGTGGTGGATAAGAGGCCTGAGGCTGGGCAGCAGAATTACACTCATTTACGACTCCAGCTGAAGTATTAATACCCTTAAAAAAATAAATAAGAAGAGTTTACCAACCTCAGGAGGAAAATGTAAATGCTCAGAAATGGCCTACTGGTATACGGAAAAGATAGTTTGTCTTTGTTTGTAACCTTGAATAAATCTAACGTTAGATAAAAGTTAGCTATTGACATAGCATGTGTAAGTTTTAAAGCTAAAAGTGTTTCAAATTAAAAACCTAAAAAGCTAAACATAAGTGTCAAAAACTGACAAAAGTTTTTTGGCCCCACAAAATAATGATAATGAAAATGATAATGATAATAATAAAAATGATGATAATAATAATAATAATAATGATAATAATGAAAATGATAATAATAAAAATGATGATAATAATAATAATGATAAAAATGATAATGATAATGATAATAAAAATGATGATAATAATGATAATGATAATAAAAATGATGATAATAATAATAATAATAATGATAATAATAAAAATGATGATAATAATAATAATGATAATGATAATGATAATAATAATAATGACAATAATAATGATCATGATAATAATAATGATAATAATAACAATAATGATAACAATAATGATAATAATGATAAAAATAACAATGATAATAACAACAATAATAACAATCTTAATAATAATAATAATAACAACAATAACAATAACTCTAATAATAATAATAAAGATGAGGATGATAATGATAATGATGATAATAATAATAATAATGATAACAATAATTACAATAATATTGTTATATATATAAATATATATATATATATATATATATATATATATATATATATATATAATTTTTTAGAAACCTTTTCAACTCAGAGCACAGCAGAAATAATTAGAAAAAACTGATATTATGCCTTTTCCTCTAAATTGCATTTTATGTAGTTGCCTCAAGTGAAAATAATGCTGTCAATGGACATAGGCCCTGAGTTTTGCTTTGGCAACTGTTAATAAACATTGAATTTAAAATAAACACATACAAAAATATCAAACAACTTGTATGTCATCAGTAAATGGGCTTTATTGATAACAGCTTTTACTTTCTGTTTTTTTTTATGTTCAGGTGTTGCTGTTGATAGAAATTGAGTTGTCCTACATGAACACCAACCATGAGGACTTCATTGGATTTGCCAAGTGAGTTTGAAGAAAAGCTGGTCAACTTCCTAATTACTGAAGTTTTTAAGTTTGTGTTTAGTTTAAGACCAAAACCCCGTGATGTGTTTTGTTATGCAGTGCTCAGCAAAGGATCAGCCAGATGAACAAGAAGAAAGCATCTGGAAACCAGGTACTCTGATCACATATTGACATATCCTTCTACGTGTTGCAGGTTAGAATTCAGATCGAGTCATTCTCATGAAGCCGCAGGAATGTGTTCCCAGATATTCAGCATGAACCGTCTGTTTGCCAGAAACATGACATCTGAACTTCATAGAGTCTTTCCCCAAGGCTTCCTCCTGTTAGCACTCAGCTCTCTGTTTTACCCATGCTAAATGTAGCACAGCTATACAGTATTTTGTTACCCTGGGCAACAGTCCATATTCCACACAATGCAGCCCTGTACAGCTCTTTTACACACTAATTGACAACAGTTGCTGGATGTTGAAACAACTTGTTCTTTTGGTGAAAATCAGGGTGACGTCAGAACAAACCGAGGTCTGCTGCAGAATATCAGACTTCTTTTTTTTTTATAGAGGAGTTTGTGTTTGACAAAAACTATCATTGTATTAATATTAAAAAAGACAGCTCTCGGATTGCTCTGCAGGAGTCACACAGTCACTGCTCCTTGAAACATTCCTGAACAAAAGTCTTTCAAAAGTCATCTCAGCATTGAGAAATTGTCTTAAAACTTGAAGGTGTGTTCCCAAATGAATAGTTACATACATACATACATTTTTGCCACATTTTTTAACCTGTATGCTTAATGGCAATCAGATTGCATACTAAGAAGGACATTATGTAAGTTAGCCAAAACATGCAGGGCTTTCCTCCATGTGAACAGATGGGACATGACTCAAGCTTAAAATCGAAATGCAGGTTAAAAAACTTTTTTTCTCAGACATGTATTTTTTTGTACTAAAAGTTCTCGTCATGTTTATTTATGCTCAAGTCCTAAGTTTTCTTTAGAGTTTAGTTTAATTACGATATTTGGTGCTTAAAATGGGGGATAATAACACAACTGAGAAGACTTGGAAGGATCCAACAAAAGCTTACATGAGTCATTGAGGTTTCTATGACTGTAGATTCTTCAAACTGGCACAAGATCCTTTTCTCGGTTTAATATGTGTTTTTAGTAGTGTGCATGGTGGATCCTGAATTTTAGCGACTATGCCCAGATTATTTTTCCAAAACATATTCTTGATCCTCATTCAAGTTAAATTTGAACAGTGGTAAAAACTGGAGACATGTTGTTCACCTTTATATACAAAACATCACAATATCTAAGTTTGCATGTTAATGTCCTGTTTGGTTGTGCTCTTTACTCTCTTCTCTTCTGCTCTCGGTTTCGGGTTTCTATGTTTTTGTTTCCTCTTGGTTTTCTCCGAGTGATTCCTCTGTTTTCTCTGTGTTGTCTCCTTGTTTTCATCTCTGTGGCTTTTCTGCTCCAGGATGAGATCATGGTGAGTAGTCTGTGTGTATGTTTGAATAATGAGCGTGTGTGACTGCGTGCATGTATGAAAAAAAGAAGGCTTTCATGCGTGCGTGCCCATCTTTTCTTGAATGCTTATATGAGGATATGTACATGTGTGTTCACTCATGCCATTTAAGTGTGCTGAGTTATGACTGATTGTGGATTCATGAGTGTCTGTATGGATGTGTTCTTGTGTGCGAAATAAGCTTTGAACTAACCACCAGTAGATGAGCAGGTGGCTGTATCGGGGGATGCTTGGCTGCTTCCCTTTCCTCTCTTTTTCAGCCGCAGACACACAATTACACCCACACGCACACATTGACACAAGCATCGCAGAAAGATATTTTAAAAAGCAGTTTTTTGTTCTTGTTAAAAAGTTTAGTTCGAGATGCTCTAAGTGACTCAAGATTGCCTAGCAAAGAGACGCCCACTAGCAGCGGCTCAAACTAGATGGGAAGAAAGAGATGGTTTTGAAAGAAAGTGAAGACCAAGAAACAAAAACATCCTTTTTTTTCTACATATGTCATGAAACTTGTCCTCAACCCTGTGTTTTATATCCTGCCTCTCTCCCCACTGCATCCCATTTAGCAAAAGGCCAGAGGGAACCAAGACCAGACATATCTCACCCTCATAGTTAGCTACCAGTTGTCCTGGCAGCCACCCAGGTTAGAGGTCAAAGGTCAGGGGCACATTGTAAACAAAGTGATGATCTCTGCTTCCTGTTCGGAGATAAATGTAGAAAGCCCTGCAGCTTCTGTTCTTAATTGAACACCCTGTTAACCTCCAAGAAAATTGAGGTAGCCTAGAAGACAAAAGAGCTAAATGCAGCAGAGACAAATGATAGAAACTGTTTTAGAGTAAAAATTAGGAAAAAGTTAGTGAATACATATAAAAACAAATGATTAAAAAGATATTGATTTTAAGATAATATTTGTCCAACTTTTGAACTAAACTACTCATTACACCGCCTCAGTCCGTGCATATCTGTCCAGTAGATTTATTATTTTGTTTTCATTACCTTCTCTATTATATATTCTGTTTTGAGCTGAAAATGCGAAAAAAAAACAACTTATTTTTTTATTTTTTGGTTATACAGAAAAACAAATAAACAGAATATTGACTCGTTTTTTATGTTTTTGTTTGCTAGATTGAAAAGAATGATTGAATGGACGGATCATACATGGACCCGCCTAATTTTTATTAAACCATTTGATTGATTTGGTGGTGTTTAGATTGCGAGGACTCGAGAAGTCATGTTTTATCAAATGGTTGACATTTTAAAAATACCAAATAAAAGTAAATTTCATTTTTAACTGCATGTTTAAAACTCAATTATCTATGATGTACTGTTTGTAATGTTTCTAAAGCAGGTTTTAGGTCCATATAAATCATTTAAAGTCATTTTTACCTGTTTAAAAAAGTGTGTTTATCACATGAACGTGATGAAATGAACCTTCTGAATTCGTCTTTTATATTTGTTTTTGATTAAAATGCTGCCAAACCATGACATAGAGGCAGGAAACAGCTTCAAAGTGCTCACTCTTTGAAAAACTGTAGCTCAGATGTCACCTGCTGCTTGGCTACACCCTAATGCCTACAGTTCATAGGTGGTAGCTCAGCTTGGAGATGAACTTTGAATTAGTTTGACCCAAAATACATACTGTTCTTGACCTGTTAAGTCAACTGTCTGGGAGTCTTTTTAAAGTTAAATTAGCCATTTTAACCACAATGGTGTTGGTTCTCCCATTCTCTAGTGGTGGGGAGCAGGAATTGCAGCTACAGTGTGCCTAAAAGGACAAAAAAGCTTGCATTACGAAGAAGAGTATTAGTTAATATGGGATCTTAATAACATCCTGATGAATGCATTTATGCTGGCAGCCCTTTTCAAGACATTAGAAAACCATCATAACATTAGCAGATAAAGTTAAAGATTTCAACCCCTCAATTAAATGAAAAATAAAAAACACATTCAGGTTCCTGCATTTCCCTGCATGGTCTCAAAAAGATATGACATGGGCCACTCTTGTCGTAGCCCCCTCATCCCTCTCTGCCCCAGCCTGTCCTGCTTGCTGTCCCCTCGCTGCCATCCCAGCAGCCAGCTGTAATGAACCAACCATGTACTAAATGCCCCTAAATGCGCTGGCGTATAGCTCTGTAACCTTCTCTCCACATTCTCATTCAGCCGGAGAGAGGAGTTAACGATCGGTTCAAGGTAATTAAACACGCACACCATGTACAGTATATGTCTGTAGTTTTTCTGTTTATGGTGGAGAGATGAAGTACAAGAGAGAAAAGTAGGAAAAAAGACGTTTGAGGAATGTGTTTGGTCGTGTAGGTAAGCTGGTGTTTGTTGTTACTGTAGGTTCGTATGTGTGTTAAAGGACAGGATTACTAATACAGTGCTGTAGATGTGACTAACATGTGAAATAAAGTGCTGAAATTTGTGTTAATGACTTTTGTTTTATTTGTGTGTCTCTCAGGTGATCAGGAAGGGTTGGCTGACCATCAACAACATCGGCATCATGAAGGGAGGAGCCAAAGAGTACTGGTTCGTCCTCACCGCTGAGTCCCTGTCCTGGTACAAAGATGATGAGGTAAGATACTGACCTGGACACTTAACCAAGAGTGTTTGCACATGCATTGTTATGTTTTTGTACACTCCATTATTTTGGGGTGAGCTGGCTTGATGTCTGAGGTCAAAGTTTAAAAGCATCAGTCAAATTAACAACTGATTTTGATCGATTTATTTATTTACAGTGCTTGGCAGAAAAAAAGGGAAACAATTTGGAGTAAATTTCATCTTAAAACTTGAACGGTTTGCTCTGTGTTGAATGATGCTAACAGGTCATATCCAAAGTTTGTACATACGCAACACGAGAGCAAAATGCACGGTGCAGCAGAACTTCTGTGAGCGTGTTTTTGTTTGACATTCATCTGCGTTGTGGTGAAATTTCCTCTGGATGTCAGAAAACAGAGAAAAACTGCAGGCACAGTCTGTGTAAATGACAAACGTAATCCACTTTCAAAACTTTTAATAAAGTCCAAAATTGCAGTCGGAACACTTGTACTGCTCTACAATTCACAGCATGTACGCTCAGAAAAACAAATCATGGCATAGTTTATTTTTAAGTATTTACATCTACTTGATTTTATTTGAATTATTATATTTTTTGGAATTTATTTATTCAAATTTTTTTCTTTGTTTTTCTGTAAACAGTTCAATTTAATCTGTTAAAATGTATGAATATTGTTTAAATATGACAAGCTGTGGATGGACCAAGATTCATTTAGTTAAAATTTAAGAGAGAAACAAATTGGAGTTATCAATGATGAATACATAAATCTTCATTATTTATTCTGAACACATTTGGTTTAAAGGTATCATTACATAAATCTAATTCTTAATTGTTTCATTTACATTTGACTGACAAATATGCAGCACATCAAGTTTATTAGCCTGTTTATGTTAAATCGAAGTAATTCAAATGGATGCAAATTTTGTTTGCAATGAGGCCTAAATATTTCTGAGTGTACCATGTGATGTAAGTAACTGAAAGAAGGACATGCAAAAGTTGTTCTTTTCTACTCTCATATACTTTAATTATTGTGATAGGACCAAAATAAAGAGATTAAAAATTTAAAATTAAGTTTACGTGAACTTAATGTATCACATCATAGCTGAAGTCTGGTGGACTAAAAGAACGAATAAGATCATGACCTCCACTGGTCGCTCTTTGCAGCTGCAGGTGTGTTAACATCACCTGACAACCGAAGAAAAAGGAGATATGAAGAGATACTTATACAGCATTTGTGACACTATTTTTCAATCACTTCAAACAGCTAATTTATCGCCCCGGGAGGAACGCCTGACCTGACCCTCCAAAAATCATTCTTAAGTCTGGACCCTAGATATGAACCTCCCCCTCAATCTACACTTTTTATACCAGGACCTTCCTACACTTTTACGACACAATATGAGATATCTTTTCAGAAATGTGGATCCTATTTGAACAGCACTTTGTTTATAACAATTTCCACCAAATTACAGGACCAGGAAATTGTTCAATTTATTCCAGAGTATGTTTTCCACGCTCTGGTCCAAAAGGCAGAAATGAGTGTTTGTCCTCGGCACATTCGAGACCGTTTGACCCAGCGTGTTTTGTTACTGGACCGACTGGTCAAAGCGGTGTCCCATGATGCTTTGCAGAACTATTAGGAGCTAGCCACAGTCTCAGTGTCTCCAGGCCTTAGCCACAGCCGCACTGCTGCTCGCTGACATAAGTGTATGCATATTTGTGTGTGTGTGTGTGTGCATGTGTGTGTAGGACCTAGAGGGCCTTTTACAAAGAGTCAAGACCCCCCAGAATGTCAGACACCGAAGCTGGCACCCACATGTGCATACCAGAGCCCCCTGCCCTGTTCCCAATTACACACACACACGTACACACACAAATACACACACACACACACACAGCGGCTGCTTCTAATAAACTTACTTCATTTCAAAGAAGGGGTACAGAGCGAGAGCAGGCTGGGTTGTGAGGCAGGAGGCAGGAGTGTCTCTTGTTAGCTGGTTAGCAACAGGAGTAACAAGGAACATTTTAGGAGTGGGGGGAGTGTAGGGGAGAAATGGGTGAGGGTGGAGGTTTTGCTTTAATATCCTCCCTTCCTATCTTTTTCCTCTTCTCATTTCCCATCGCTCCCTCGTACATCCTCGAAGGTTTATCCCCCGAAAATCAGTGGAAACTCTTCTTCTTCTTCTTCTTCTTTTGGTTTTCCTCTCCTCATCTGTCACTCCCTCCTCTTTCTGTCTCATTCTTTCCTCCCCCCCCCTCCCCTCCGTCTCTCCCTCACCTCTTGTACTGTATATTTATTTGAACATGGAACAGCGAGGGTGCAGTGAGACCCAAAACCAACACAGGGTGCCAAGGCTGAAGGGAACTGCAGAGGACTTCACATTATGTTTTCTATCAAAGCTCAACATTTTTATTGTCGAGTCGCACACACACACACACACACACACACACACACACACACACACACACACACACACACACACACACACACACACACACACACTAACCCACACCAGAGGTTCTCATGAGGGCATATACACACATGTGCACCTGGGTAAACACATGCCAAGATACACACTGTTGATGAAAACTTGGAAACGGTTTTGTGTTTCAATTTAGGGGGAAAAATACGTCTGCTTGGAGTAAAAAAAAATGAGTGGAAAAAAAAGTTTTGTGTTCTTTTTGTCCAATTTTTAACTCTCACACACACACACACACACACACACACTCATATGTTTCTTTCCTCACAAAACAGTGCGGCACCGTTTTATTGACTGCCTCTCGTCATGGGGAAAACCCTCGCCGCAGCCTGGTTACACACGCAGAAACATACACACATGCACACACACCACCCCCAGACACTAATAATAACTTTCAACCCAACGAGTGGTGCCAGGATGTTTTGGTTAGAGTGCATGTGTGTGTTAATGTGTACGTGTGTGTAAATGTGTGTGTGTGTGTGTGTGTGTGTGTGTGTGTGTGTGTGCCTTGAAACCTTCTGGTCTGTATTACCACAGGACATGCCAATTCTTTGAATCAGGCTGCTCTGTTGCTCAAAACTTCCCAAAGCAGAGAAAGAGAGAGAGGAAGATATGAATCGAGAAAGAAGCTGATGAAAAGAGGTCCGCCATATATATATATATATATATATATTTTTTTTTTTTTTTATGTATATAATAGATATATATAAGATCATAATCAGGCTTTAACACTCAAAGAAAACACAGAAAAGTGAGTTTAAGAATGACTTTGATGTCCTTATAGTGGCAGCAGGGTGTGTTTTCTTTGGATGCCCCTTTTTGCCCTGTGTGTGTGTGTGTGTGTGTGTGTGTGTGTGTGTGTGTGTGTGTGTGTGTGTGTGTGTGTGTGTGTGTGTGTGTGTGTGTGTGTGTGTGTGTGTGTGTGTGTGTGTGTGTGTGCCCGGGTTTCCCTGCTCCTGCTGTAAAGCTGCCAGAAATCCAGACTCGCCTGGTGATCCCAGCTGTAAACATCCTGGGGGGGAGAAGGCAGGCTGCAGCTCACAGCGCACTCACCAGTCACACGTCTGCCATACCCTGTGTGTGTGTTTGCATGTGTGCTCATTTGGTTGGGCTTTTGTGTGTGCAACTTGGTGCCATCGGCTCTAAGCGAAAACCTTTTTTTTTTCCTGCTCCTGTTCCTGTCCCTGCCCTCTTTGTCTTTATTTTTTGTACTCCAGGAACTCGGGGGTTCTCGGTTGAGGCATTTTCTTTTTTAATCAAACTCAGGCGAACTTGAGGACAAACTGCTGGAAGATGGTTCGTCTAGCTAAACTTGTAACCCTCCACATGACGTCACCTACAAATTCAAAAACCACAAACAGTTTTCTTTTTTCTTCAGGGACAGTCACACAAAGAGTCATAAAAAAAACAGTGAATATTTTTGTACGGTGGCTTCCCGCCTCTCCGAGCATTACATGGTCATTTGAGGTAAAACCGCTGTAAGTGGAGCATGGAAGGCAGAGACCTAATTGTACAGTTCGAGCAGGCGTGCATGCAGAGCCATGCTGGGGGTTAACTCTGCGGTTTAGTTATCTTTTTGGGTAACTATGTTTTTTTTTTTTCCTTTGTGTGGTTGTTCCTCTGTTTTTTGTTTTTTTTACTGGTTCAGGTTTTTGGTGCGACTTTTGGGGTTTGGGAGGAAAATAAACAACATGATGTGAATGTCATGCAACCATCTGATTCTTTTTCATCCTTCAGTCTTGTGCTTGAATAAAGAAAAAACAGACACAACATCAAATAGATACACAAGCGTGTTTATTTCGGTGATTTTAAAACCATGGTTTACAGTTTTATAGTCAATAAATTTCACTTTTTGGCAAATGAAATGACACAAAGTAAAAAGTTTGGACTCATGTGTCCGTCGCTCATGAATCCAAAGTTTGGCCAGCTGTGGTGTGGTCTTTGGGTGCTTTATTTAGGTTGTGCCTCGGTTTGTCCACAAGGATGAAGGGTGGTGCTGCGTGTTCCCACAGCGTGGTGTGCCGGATGCTCCCTCTCTTGCTTTTTTGTACTCTTTCGAGTCATCCCGTGCTTCCCCGGCCAGCCTAACCAATGTGCAGACTACTGTACAACCACTACTTCCTGAACAGGTAGTCTGAACACTGGGCAGGCGGGCTGGGCGGCTGGAGGAGAAGCTCTGGAATTTTTTTTTAGATTCATTCATGAACGCTTTGATTTATACTCACTGTGATTCCACTATCAGACTCTGGAGCTCCTCTGCTGAGCTGCAAAGTGCTGATCAGGCTTCTTGTTGGGGCTGGAGGAGAAACAGCGTGTCAGGGATGGATGACGAGGCCGGCAGGAGGGGGGAGAAGAGGGGGACGAGGAGGGGGGGGAGAGGTTAGATGGATGTGAAAGCAGCTTATTGGTTGAATTAACAGCTTTCCCTCCTGCTGTGAAAGACAGGAACCCAGACCCTAACTCTGGAGGAAAAAGACAAGATAACGTTGATCATACTGGACACTTGACATGTCACGAAGAGATCTTGAGTATCAAAAATCTGCCTGAGAGAATCTCAATTTGCAGGGTTTATTTTCCGTATTTTTTAGGCTTATTATCGGTCCCTTTCCTTTTTTTTTCCAAATTTTTTTACCGTATTGCCCTCTAGGATTGTACTAATTGAGCACAAATGTATAAACACACACAGAGAGAGCAATAGTATATCCAGTTTGGAGCAATTTTGCACAATGTAAACTTGGTTTGCCCTCGCTGACCTCAGCTCCAAAAGTAAATAAATAAAAACCAGATGTGGAAAAGTTTCTCACTCTTACCCTCTCATGTTAAAGATGTTTGTGGATGAAAAATCCTAAATCCAGAAGCCAGGTTTATGGATCTTAAGGCCTCTCGATTAGAAAGTTGTGATTGAATATTTGCGGTCAGCTGAGATCAAACCAGTTCGATTCAACATCTCCTGATCCTGAAATATCTGAATCGACTATATTTTTGGCATACGCCCAAACTGTTGCTTTCAAATCTGCTTTAGGAGTCAGTACCTGTGATATGACAATTCCTCTTCTCCTCCGGACATCATGTTGTAACAGTGAATCATCTTCACCTCTCTTAAGTCTCTGCCTTGACTCGATTCATCTCCCCGGTGAGGTTACCAGGCCCAGAGTGTTTCCGTAAAGTTATCTCTTCTTCTGCGGCTTCCCCCCAGGAGTCAAAAAAGCGACCAAGATGGACCGGCTGGAGGCTTGACGTGGCAAACAACTGGCCACCAAGTTTCCCCTTCTAGAGACAGAAGAAGAAAAAGAAAGGAGAGAGAGAGGAGATATGGAGAGAGGAGGAGGAGGAGGAGCTCTCCGGCCCCCCATTTTTCCTCTCCTCTCTTCTTCCTCCCTCTTCCCCTCCTCTCTGTCTGGCTTTTTTCCCCTTCCCTCCCCTCCCCTCCCTCCTTTTTTCTGTCATCTTTTTTTCTCTCTCTGGATTTTTAGGAGAAAGTGGAAGGTCAAAGGTGAACAGGAAGTTTGGAAAGGGAGTGAAGGATTGGCTGTAGAGGGAGGGAACTACTTTTAGTGGAAGCGTATGTTGGTTAGATTTGAGGACGTCTACGTTTGCGTGCTCACGTGGAGGCTCGTACGTGTTTGGATGGCCCTTTTTTGCGTCCAGTGACTTAAGAGAGTATGTGCGGTTTTTCGGGTGATGGATGTGTGTGTGTAGGAGTGGGTCTGGAGGAGAGTGGAGGCTCCTCAGTCTTTGTAGCGAGGGCAGGAATGTCGGCGTTTTCTTGGCAAGCAGGAGGAAACCTTGTAATAACTCCAGATGTGCAGCCCTGTGGTCTCCATCGCTCTCCTGCTCCCTCTGTTTTTACTTCTAAAGCTGATTTCCTCTCCCTGTCCGATGTGAATAAAGAGCCCTTTATGCTGCCTTCACACACACATACACACACACAGATTGGGGAGGGGGGGGCTACTGGTGAAGGGTGACATACTACTGGTAAATCAGAACCAGAGCGAAAGACATAGCGTGTGTGTGTACGCAGAAAAAATGAAAAGTGCAGTTCAAAGTTGAGACATAAGTAGTAAAAGTTGCCTCCTTCACCTTCTTCATTTCACACACGCACACACACACATTTAGGTGCCTTTCTTACCGCTGGCAGACAGCAGTAATCACCCCTAGTGTTTCCAGGTGTATGGATATATGTGTGTGTGTCTTTGTGAGTGTGTGTGTGTGCAGTCGTGTGTTTGTTTTAGCTATGGTTTCTGAGCTCCAAATCAAAGCAGGCACAATCCCAGGAGAGACGAGTCAGCAGTACCGCCGCAGATGGAGGGATGTGGAGGGAAAGTAGGAGAGAGGAAAGTGAGGATGAAAGAAGGAAGCGACTAAAAAAAAAAAATAAAAAAAGGGAGGGAGGGAGAAAAGGGGGACTGAAATGATTCCCAGTGAGCAGGACAGAAAGAAAAGAAATGAAAAATGTAGCTGAGAAAGAAGCCAGAAAAGAGGATGAAGGAAATCAATCCTCATTATTGTTGCAGTGAAGTTCGGGGTTCAGGGATTGGAAGGAGTGAATTCTAATGGGTGGGTGGGGAGGGAGGGAGGGCGCTGCGGTCGCACCAACATTGTTTCCACTGTTTGGATGACCAGGCAGGCAAACTCTTAGTCAGAAAAGACAGGGAAACTAAGGAAGTATGCACACATATTTCCAAACACTTTCAGTATTTTTGCAAAAATCCCAGAGTTTCTGTTTCTTTAGTCGTTGAATTTCAAACTCAGACAGATTTCATAACTATACCTCTATGTTTTTCTTTTGTAATACTTGTGAACCCAAGGTGTGGATTAATACAAAAATGTGTGTAAAATCAAAGCCAAACCCACAAATTCAACCACCAAGCCGTGAACCACTTCATGTCATGCAAGTGTCATCAGTCGGCTTACAGTAGCCGTGAGATAGCATGTCAGTCCTTCATTACAATGTTTGGATAACACAAGTGTCAACCACATAATGACCTGGTGTTATTTACTCCATTCCTTATGATATAAAGTCATTATTTGTTGCCAAGGAAAACCGAGAAACTGTCCAACATATTGCATAGTGCTGTGATCAGCGGGCATTATTATTCTTAATTAAAGCTCATGTCAGGAACTTTAAGTTTAAGTTTGTTATGGCGCCCCCTATGGAGAAAGGCATACCTAACTTTTTCTGCTGATTTTACCCGTCTGTCAGAGTTTAACACCTCACTCACTCAGTACGTTGACATGACACTTGAGAAACTGAATTATTGCCTTACTCAGATTAAGACCAGACAAAAACACCAGAGAAGACGAGTAGCGTGCATCTTATCTGCAGTAAAAGTAGCGTGTACATCATGTACAACAAAAACAACAATGTACGATGCTCCATCTTCTTGCTCGTAAATGCCCAGCAGCAGTTGTAGCCACTTCTGATGTCCGGCACGCAATACTTTATTTTTGTAGGATGGTAGGATAAAGTCCCGCCTCCTTCGCCTCTGATTGGCTAGAAAAGCTGGAAACGTCATCACACGCTCAAACCAAACGCGGGTTGTCGGCTCTGTACATCAAACAGAACATTACAGAACATTATCGCACTTCTAAATCTCCTAACCCCAACCCTCATCCTAATCCCAGCCCTAACCCTTTCCCTAGCCCTAACCGGACAGATGATGACGTTTCACAGTCATTAGGAATAACCAATCGGAGCCCAGCACTTATAGCCTATCAGAGGCGAAGGAAGGCGGGACCTACCATCCTACAAAAAATATTTTGCGTCCGGAACAGACCCACTGTTGTTGTTGACAGTTGTATGGGGTCAGAAACAGCCCCGCTGAAAAGACCTATATCGCCCCCTAGTTTTGGGGAGGAGGACACGTTCACACCAATAATTTAATTTTCTCAGCTGCACGTATACGCGTACAAGGGGAAAAGTCCGACTCTTAATTGCCTCCTATGACACCTACCCATGTCGGCCTTTTCAGTCATATAAACAACAACAGTTAATCAGTCTAAAATAGTCTTGTTTGTTTTTGTTGGTCATGTAAAGCCATAAGTTTATATTTCAGTCAATTTAATAACCACATTTAAACTTCTTACAGGAGCTTTAACTAAACGTGACTACTGTAAAAGTTGGATGATTGTAAAGAATCAAAATAAAAAGAAAGGCTGTTAAACTCATTGAACTGTGGCTCATCTAAACAATTTAAATACAATTTGTCGAGCCAGTGGTGAAACTTTTACGTTTTATATGTAGGAAACTGGTTACAAGATAAATTTGCAGTGTCACGAGTGGACCAGGTTCTGCCAAAGACTTTTAAAAACACATTCTGGCTTTAGTCTGATATTTAAATTTATGTGAACACATTGAAAACACACCGTTATAAATAAAAAGACCTGGCCTAGTTATCTCCCCTGCTATTTGGATGATTTTAAGGAAAATATGACAGAGGGGTAGAGAGCAGTGATAACAAGTCCTCTAATATAATAAAGCTGTCTCTACACTGACCCTAACAGGCAATATTTCTGTAAGATAAACCTCTACATGGACTATTTGTGGGTATGTAATGCCCAGGTTTACTTGAACTGACTGGTTAGCATCGATTAGAACAGGTTCTTGAGTTTCTTTTGTCAGAGAGCTGAAGTTACAAACAAATTGGCCACTTGAAAGATCAGAATTAAAGATTGAAGTTGAAAATGTAAGCAGAAGAGAGTAAACTTGACGAGATGCGAAAACATTTAGAAAAAAATTATAAATAAGGAAAAATAAATGGCAAAGCAGAGGGCCTTGTTAAATAAAATATTTGTAATATTTCTGTGTAAGGAAGAATAAAAATGGGAAATTAAGGACTGTAAAAGAAACAAGAGTCGACTGTGGGCCATGTCGTGTCAGAGGGAGCAGAGGACGTACACAGGCTGGTCTGTGGATTATTAAACATTTACCCTGCCTGACTGATGAGATAAACCAAGAATGTACTGGATGTTGTTCTTCCTATAAATTATATTTCCCTCTTTGTTGTTGTTCAGAACATGATGTCTATTAAAAAGAAAAGAACAAAGCCTAGGAAAGGACCTAAAATGATACAGACCAGATAAGAGGAAAAACACACTTGTGCGCATAAGATCTCTCGGCATGTCGTAAACTAACTGCACATGATTGCCTGTTTGAGTTTTAATTTGGATGTGTGTGTGAGACTCCTCAGACTCTCTGTGTCCTTTGAAAGAGAACTGACAGACATGAAAAGACAACAGAAAAAATATAAGGCTTTTTTTTTCCTCGTAAAAGCTAGATTCAACATCTCCTGATCCTGAAACATCTTAATCTAAGCTACTTTATGAATGACTCTCACATGAGTCAATGATTGAGAAACAGTTGAATATTTGACCTTTAACATTTATGGGAGATTTTTCTGCCCATAAAATTTTTTAAGAGTAGATTTACTGTAAATGTGTGTTAAAAAAAAAAAAAGAAAAACTCCATCTCCACCCTTGGACTTGCCCACCATTGGCACAGTCATGCCATAAAAATACACTCAGTCCAAACACACCCTCTTTGTAGTACACAGAAGTTATATTTAGGAGTGAAAATATTGAATTATGTCAGTCACTTTCCTATAAAAAAGTACTTCAACATTTAATTTAGGTCTTACCGTAGATTACTTGTGCAGTTTTGATGATGAAATGACTGTAATATGTTTGAATATCGAGGACTTGTGTTAGGATTACGCCATCCTCCTACAACTGTTTGAGTGTTAGTACAACAATAATAGCTGTACATTAAACCCCTGACTGACTATGATCTCAACCGTCACACATAAAAGTCATTTTACAGAGAAGTGAAAGTAAGTACTAACTCTGGCTTGATTTAAGTGCTATATTTAAAACATTACCTAACTTAAAACATACAGGTTTTAACACACAGGTAGGTGATGAGAATCTAGAGGCAAAGCGCACATATCGAGACCGTTCTTACTCTGTGTTTGCCGGCTCGTACCTGCCAGTTTAGGATACCCAGGTGGTGCTGTGCCTGAGGTTGTGGCTCATTAGCAGCTGAGTCATGCTTAGTCTGGTCGGCTGCTGGTCTTTTGTTAGAATTTTTTTCCATTTTTGGAGAAGGTAGGCTGCTCGTTTTCAGCACAACCTTCTGATATATCGGTGTTTTTAATTGAAAGATGACCACAGTTTAAACTCTTTATGATATACGGTTTTATTTTGACTGAAGCAATGCTTGTTGTTTACACCAACAAGTAATGTTGGTGTAAACAGCTTCACAGCTTCACATTACAGTTTCATGTACAATTAAACATAATATAGACAAAAGTTCAGCTGTATGTTCTCATACATAGTTTTGATAGTTACAGACATCTTTTAAATGTTGACAAGGATGTACATAATTTATATTCTTCATCAAGTCCATTCCCTGACTTTACACCAATAACAGAAACACATCTGGATTTAACATTTGTTCTTACCTTACTATATATCAAAATGATCCAAACCTTTTAAATCATAATTCCTAACTCTTAGTTTAAAGAAGTTCTTAATACTTTTTGAAATTACATTGTTTTTAACTTTGTAAAGAATCTCTAATATTTTAATATCAACAATATCTCTCAGCTTTAATAAGAATAAACAAATTATCAGTTGGTTCACAATATCCTACCTTATTCACTATTCTTATAGCCATTTTTTGTCATTTAAATAAAGAGTCAATTCACTTTAAAAGTATGAAAATTGTATTAACTTACAAAGCAACATGTAATCCTCAATCCTTTAAAAGTCATTGTCACTACAAATGTTGTCAAATTTAAGTACGTATAGTTTTGATAATTGAGATTTAAAAGTTTAGATTTGTTCCTATAAAGTTCCCTGCTCTTGTTCCACCAGTTTGACCACAGCTATATCTCTCCGTCAGACAACAGTTGTAAGACCTGTGGGGATTTTCACGTGTTTATGTTGTCAGCAGCCCCCTCCTCCCGTCTTCTTTTCCTCTGTGGTGGTCAGCAGTGATTGATCACATGTCCCAGCTCGCCCCCTGGGTTGTTACACTGACCCTCTGCAGAAGTAAAACACCGAGCAGATAATTAACTGCTCAGCAATTAGCCGCTAAACAGGAAGGTATCACTGACCTGCCAGGATACTTGACAGGACTGCAGGCTGAATGTGTCATTGTCATGTGGACACCGCGTTTCCTTTTTGTGTGTTTATTTGTGTTGTTCCCACAGGAAGTGCTAAACAGAGCGCACTAACTGTTGCTGTTTCAGAGTCGGATGAGACTGTCAGTGTCAGGCGAGTTTAACCTCCTAAAGAAAAACATTTCATCTGTTAAAGTCCAAATTTTATGGTGAGAATTTATGATTTTGTTTGTGTGAAAGTCATTATTTGATGAGCAGGTAAAACTTTTTGGAGCTACTTGAGTGATTAGTACCTCCATTAATTAACAAAATACCGAGAGTGCCGGCTCTGGCCTGAGGTCATTTGTTATGGACACAACTGCTCAACCTTGTAGCTTAATGGGTCACCAACAGCTGTGCGTTTTTACACTTTGCACCAGAAGGAACTTTCTGTCCTAAATTATAATCCTCTCAGTTAAACTTTTGCTGATCCTGATTTTTATTGTGCCAACATGTGGTTTTACTTTAAAAACCTCCAAATGACATTAAGTGAAGTTAAGTTTCTCAGATGCTGCTTTTCAAAGAACCCTGTTACTCACAGGCCAAACAGATTTTTTTTGCATGCGTTAGTGGGATTTTAAATTAAATGTAGACTCAGCAATATCTGCCACTTGTTAAGAAGCACGATAAAAGCTCTGTTGAACTTCATTGAAGTGTTTAGACGCTAAACAAGCTTTCCACATTTCCTCTAAACCCAGCTAATGCCATCCTTTTTAATGTCTTTCCCTCTCCTCACCGTGTAAGAATCACAGAAATGTTCTGTGTTTCATTTTTTTCTTTAAAGACGGCGCTCAATAGGCCAATGGTAGAAGAATGAAGGGAAAGAAAAACGAAGGGAGGTGAGGAGGAGGGTTGTGAAAATTGCCATTGGCTGCCACCCAGGGCCCAGTCTTTGTGGTAATGAAGGGTTAGAGGCAACGTTATTGCTCCCAGATGCCGTGCGGCTTCTCCGCAGCCCTTTGATGCATGGCCCAAGTCACCAGGACTTTTCTATCAGGCTCCCTTCAACGTATATGCGCACACATACGCACACAGTCGCAGATATAGAGTCTCTTAAAACAACATGGATGCCATAAAAACTATCTTCCTGGTTTAGCCAATCAAACTGCTCCGATTCGTTACAAAGTGCTAATTTGATACGGTTTGTGTAGTGCCCCTAACAGTCCGTGTGTTTTTTGGTGTTTACACATGCTGTAGCTTTTTAGTGATTGGTGTGCGTGTCAAAGCCACTTCTGATCCAGGTTTCGACAGAGTGTGCGAGTCTGTGAGGCTTTTTATTGGACGGTATGTAGAGCGGTGAAGTGCCTTTATGAATCCAGAAGTGAACTTCCTCTGGCTTTTCATAATGAGGCGGCTATTACTCACAAGCAAAACAAAACCATGGAAAGTACTTTGCTCCAAACGCCACAGGTTGAATACACACCAAGAGCACTAGGTGTGTATGTGTGTGAGAAAGATGTTGGCTAAAAAAGAACCTCATTCTAAGTAATGTTATGCATGGATAGAATTAATTGAGAAAAGACAGAGCAGGTAACCTTAAAAGGTATTAGTAACGCTATCCCAGTTAAAAAGGCCAGATAACGGACATCACGGGTAGCTGTCAGACGTTTCTTCTGATCGACTTGGATTTTGTTGTTTTTTGAAACTCCTTCTGAGGATTTTTTTTGTCCTCTCATCAAAGAGACTGAAATTAATATTGATGCCCCCAACAGACCATCAACAAAGACTGGCCATCTTTATATAGTCATTCATATGCAGCGTTCCAGTTACCTCGGACGTCGGACGTCAGAGCTGGGAATGACGCTACACCCAAGTTGATGGTGTTACAGTTAACAACTTGGAAAACCAAGATGGACGCCTACAGTTACCCGTTGTTAGCTGTTGTTTTCAATTGTCAGCTGTCGTTAGCCGTTGGAAGCGGTTGTTAGTTGTTGTTAGCTATACTAGTTGTAAACAACACACAAAACAGTATTTCACTCTTACAAACACCATAGCACCGTGTTCACAGTTAGACGTTGGGCAGTAAAACATCAACCACTTATTTAATTTCACAGAAACAAAACAAAAGTACTAATGAATAATACATTACAAGAGCTTTCACTGTTACTCTTTACTGTTGATGCAGTGCGCTGCCATCTTGAATTATGACGTTGTCGTCAAGTTGGGGTTGGCGAGGATCGTCTGACTTACCGAGTCAGAAATCCGACTTCAAGGGGGTGTTTTTGATGAATTTTGGACTCTGAGCTCAGAAATACCGACTTCCAAGTACAACTGGAACGCAGCATTAATTAACAGTCGGCAGGAGTAGAATTAGGTTTAAACTAATTTGTTGCAATCAGTAACTTTAAGACGCACTTGCCCGCTCTGCCGCTGCTGTTGCCTGGATTGCAGGACAGGATCTGGCTCCACTTTGAATATTAGAGATGGTTTGGGTCCAGCAGCCCTCTGGCTGCTTTCATACCATGAATTTTAGACTATTTTGGAGCAGACCAAAGCCGTTACCACAAGGACTGTTGAAAACCTCCTCTATAAAGAGATTAAATTATTGACTTTGCCCCACAGGGATCAATAAAGTTCTTTCTTTTCTACCGTTTTAAGTATCTCCTGTAATCTAAAGGAGTTCGGGTCAAGAGTTAGGGTTAGATTTAAGTCACAGAAAAAAAGTGATTTAACTATCATGGACCCACACTTGATTGGTGGAGTGTTCACAAAGAACTGACTTCATTAAAAGTAAAACGCTGCAGATTAGGATCAAATATAGTGTGTGCTGCGTACACATGTAACTCATATAGCTTATGCATGACATGTGTGCATCAGAGTGTTTGTTTTCTCTTGAGTCTGTGTGTGTGTGTGTGTGTGTTTAATGTCTGAGATTTGTACGTTGGCCCGCTGTAGCTGCCTGGCTTTTATGGGAGCATATGTGAAAGCACTCAATTCCCAGAGACTTCTCTCAACACTACTACACACAAGTATAACACGCACACAAACACGCAAGATTGGCTGATTGACAGACAGGAAACATGCTGATGGGCTGACAGATGCGGGCAACCTGTATGTGATAAAACCTGCGTGAAAATGTGTTGTTTTCTTTTGCGACAAATTGTGAAAAAAATCACATTTCCTCATTTTCAGACACATTTTGAAATCACAACTAGCTTAGATGTTGATCGTACTGATCAGTTTTTGTTACTTTTGTTGAATTTCGCCGTTTCGTTCCAGGTTTACTTCACTGTCCCTGTACTTTCCCCACATCATGCACACACTCACCCCCCCAATCCTCCCCTCCTTTCCAACTCTCCTGACTGGATTTACTGGCCAGAGGAGAGGAAAATGTATGAATCAGTCCAAGGTTGCTCACTCCCAGGGAGAGGGAAAGCCAGAGAGCGAGGGAACAAGGGGAAAGAAGAAAAAAAAAAAGATGAAGAAAAGAAGGAGAAAGTTAAAGATAGAGAAGAGGCGAATAAACTTAGAGACGCAGGACGGAGACTTCTCTGCCCTTACCACCACTTTAAATGATGATGTCAGCGTTTAGCAGACTGGAGCGACTGCATGTTTAGTTTTTAAGTTTTTATAAAGTGGACACCTGGGTGTGCTGTTGCTGCCAAATGTGTGTGTGTTTACGTGCAAGTGTGTGTAAAAAAAGAGGGAGAGTTTTACATGCATTTAGGGGATACGACCATTTGGCTGCACAGGTCGTAAATCCTTTGATGAAGGAGTTTGGTCTCACACACACACACACAACCCCCTGTCTCGCTGCGTTTCTCTGTTACACACACACAAAAACTCTGTTCCTTTCATACACACAGAGACACACAGTCGTATACACACTGTGTCATACACTCATACACACTGGGTTGGGCAGGGCAGGCCCGTGGTTAGCCATCCAGATGGTTTTAAGGTTAGTTAGAGACTATGCTCAAAGGTGCTGTTTGCAACCAGAGTAGTGTGTTTACGTGTGTGTGTGTGTGTGTGTGTGTGTGTGTGTGTGCGTAAACTCGCTCACCCTGTACTATTTTTGGCTCCTCTTTATTTTTAAATAGCAGTTTTATTGTCTTTGTAAAACATTCACACACATCCAAATGCATCCTGGGTAAAGAAACTTCACTTTGAAACAATAGGCTTTGAGGAGTTAAACCGCAACATATGCGTGTGCGTGTTTATAAGGGTGAGTGTTTTTGTGTGTATGTGTCAAGAGAGCGAGAGATGCTGCGAAAGAGAGGGAGAGCACACGCTGGCATGAGTGCCTGAGCTGACTAACTTTGAGGTGCTCTGATTCATAAATAGTTGGATGTCTGGATGTCATATGTTGGATGTCGTTTACAAGTACAAGAGGGTTTTTACACAAGAACGCATCATTCTCTCTCTCTGTCTCTGTCTGTCTCTCTCTTTACCTCTCCTATTCCCCTCTCTCTCTTTCTCTCTCTCTCTTTAGTGTGTGTTTCTCATTTGTTGCTCGCCCCCCCTTTTTTGTAGTCTGCACAACTGTAATCAAAACCACAGACTTCAGATTGGGTACAACTTTCCCATTCCTCCTCTCCTCTCATTTTGTCTGCTATTAATATTTCTTTTGAGCGCTTACTGAAACTTCACATCCTCAATCTTTTCTATATCTTTTCATGTAGGCACTCTGATCGTTTCCCATACTACCACTAATGCTGCAGAGCATTTAAACATCAAAAACATAAACTACAAATAAACCGGATCAGCTCTAAATGATATACTGTACATTGTGCCAGTACAAATACTGTGAGGCTATTTCACAGTTATTCCTTTTCCACTGAGAGAAAGTCAGTCTCTCTTTTTTCCTTTTCTCCCTTTCAAGCATATAACCGCTGTGTCTCTCTGTCGCCCTCTGCAGGAGAAAGAGAAGAAGTACATGCTGCAGGTGGACAATCTGAAGCTGCGAGACGTGGAGAAAGGCTTCATGTCCAGCAAGCACATCTTTGCCCTCTTCAACACTGAACAAAGGTTAAAAAAAGGAAGAAAATATTGATTGAAATTGGACTGCAGTTGCTTTCTTTCTGCATGAAAATACATTTAGACAGACACAACTACAGATTTATTATAATTATTAGAATATGGTTGTTTTCAACCACTGGTGTAAAGAAAAAATAGCTGAAAACTTTTTGGTAAAACTATAACACATTAAACTTCATTAACTTTTTCTCTTTTCACAGGAATGTGTACAAAGACTACCGTCAGCTTGAGCTGGCCTGTGAGAGTCAGGAAGATGTGGATGCCTGGAAGGCCTCCTTCCTCAGAGCCGGAGTTTACCCTGAACGTGTCGTGGTACGATTGTGTACAGATCTTTTTCTGCATATTGTTTTAAGTCAAGCGTGAGAAAATAAAATTATAGCAGGTAAATATTCTCTATTGATGGTTAAGTTGATTAAAAAAAATATTTAAAAATCTTGGCTTTTCTACAAAAAGTTGACTCTGATATCTCATATATGAGTTTTCTGTATTGTTTTAAGTGTATTTGGAGTTTGTTTGAATGTTGTTAAGTCTCTTATGTGATGCTGTATCTGTCTGATTTCAATGTTTCAATCTTCATCACTGTCTCACCTTAAAGGATAAGGAAGGAAAGGTATGTCTTCATCCTACTTGTGCTTTTAATTCATCTGTCGGTTTTTACTTGTGAAGATTTATGTGTTTCAAATTGTGGCGCTTAAATCTTGTTTGAAAATATTGAGTCTATTGTCTTTCTAAACTCTCTGCGCTTTGCTCGCCACAGAGTGAAGGCGCTGATGAGAACGGCTCCGACAACTTAATGCACAGCATGGACCCTCAGCTGGAGCGACAAGTCGAGACCATCCGCAACCTGGTTGACTCCTACATGGCCATTGTCAACAAGACCGTCCGTGACCTGATGCCGAAGACCATCATGCACCTAATGATTAATAATGTGAGTCGTTTGACAGATTTATGCGTTTTTTCTGTGACGTCTCAGGATAGGAAGTGACAATACGATCAAGAAAACCGACAGAAATCGAATAAATCAGAACAGAGGTATCATCTCGGGATTACTGAGCAAATACTAAAATCTGAACGGGGAAAAACACATCGGGTTATATCTTCACTAAAGCGAAATATTTGATCATTTTATAAACACATTCAAGCACTTCCTATTTACATGAACTCCTAACTTACAACAGCTTTGAGTGTGCCTCTAGGTTAGAAATTTACTACCTGGCAAAGATAACGTAAGCTAACATAATTCAAGCTACTCTCATGCATACACAGTTTTATTTAACCTTTATTTAACCAGGTAAGAACCCGTTGAGATCAAGATCTCATTTACAAGGGTGACCTGGCCAAGAGGTCGGCAGCACACATCACAATAATAAATAATAATACAGAAGACGAAAATGACCTCTAGAAACATAATTAAAAACACAGGCACTGTTCCATGTTCTCCCAAAGTCTGTCATGTAAGATTGAACAAAATGCTCCCAGCGAAATTAATTCAGACAATTTCAGGTCAGTCTGTAGGATATTTCATATGGAAGTGGCAGCAAAACTGAACGCTTTTTCTGCAGTTAGCTGGCAAGTTTTTAGCATTTTCAGCTTGGAGTCCTTGTTCTGAGTTTTTGATGGCTGTACATCGGTCAGTTTGACTCTTACAAAAAAAAGGAAGCTTCTCCTCATTTTTGCCAAAAGTTGCAAATTCTTGGTGGATTAATATTGGACCACTCTAAACATCGAAGTAACCAATAGTGCTCTAATGTTCAGCTCACTAATAACTCTTGTTAAAATTTTGGCATTCAGATTAAAAAAAAAAAAGAGATTGATTGATTAAAACTAAAAATAAATGTCATCTCCTGGCTCGTCATACTGATGTAAAAAAGTAAACTCATTTAAAAGCACTTATTAACACCTTAACCATATTCTACAACTAATAAGCTGTAACAATTTGTTTTTCTTCAATAACCTCCTAAATAACGCTCAATAAAAGCAAGTAAGAAGGTTGTTGGAAGTTGATAACTATCTTCAAGGTTCCCAAGTTAGTATCTGATAAATCATCATCACCGCAATGATTTATAAGCAACTTAAAGGATAAATAACATCTGGCCACAATCTGGTATCACTTTGTACTGGGGAACACATGTGAACTATTAATTAGTATGTATATTAATAGGATGTTAGGCTTTGATCACTCATTATAGAGCACTCAACACCATGTTCTGCATATAAATTTTACACTGTAAAGAAGGGAGAGTGACTACTTTGTGATTTAACTGCTTTTTAGCATTTTAACAGAGCAGCAAAACATTAAGGCAGCATTTGATAACAGCCTCCCTCCCACCCTGAATGTGGTATCAGAACAAAATAATAATAATAACCGTGTGAGACACAGCATTAATCAAATTACTTCCCCTCCCTTGTTGTCTAGACTAAAGAGTTCATAAACGCTGACCTGTTGGCCCAGCTGTACTCGTGTGGCGACCAGAACACTCTGATGGAGGAGTCCCAGGAGCAGGCCCAGCACCGGGATGAGATGCTGAGGATGTACTTTGCTCTGAAGGAGGCCCTCAGCATCATTGGCGACATCAGCACATCCACCGTGAGCACGTCCATGCCGCCTCCAGTGGACGACTCCTGGCTGCAAGTGCAGCGTGGCGGTTCAGGAGGAAGGTAATGTACGAGGAGGATCGGCAGGGGAAGGCATTAGCCTGGATCACAAGTTTTACTGCAGTACTGTTGATACTTGATAACAATGGGATTTCATAAACATTGTAAAGACTTGACAAATCCCAAGCCTTGTTTTTGATTTGTATTTCAAAGTCATTTGCTCTTAAAGTTTTGCCCTTTTATAGGTGATGGATAGAATAGACAGAGAACATATATCTTTTTATTTCTACTTTTATTTATTTGGTTTTTATTCCACTACCACTCTACCTCCAGAGAGTGCAATATTACTCACCATGCTGCTATTTTACCCTTAGTTTTTATTGTTTTTATTTCTTTATATATATTAAATTAAACACCATCATGCTATGATATGGAAGCCAAGCAACAACATTTCTTTGCAGAGAGAAATCACTGCTGTGTTTTATTCTGTGCAATGACAAATAAAGAAATTCTAAGTCTAAGACAGGGTTGATGGGTAGGTTGAGCCTCCTGGTTGTCTGAGAATTCATTATTTGCCATGTAGGAGAAAGAATTGCTGTAAAATAGGTGTGTTTGATTTGATTATGAGGAGAAACGGTGTTCAGGCCATCAAGTTGAGGGGAAAAATCTCAGAAATCATCTAATCATCTACACCAGACCTGGGCATTTTACAGCCCGAGGGCCACATTGGCCCTTCGTGAGATCCGTCAATCAAATCATCAATACGCTATACAAGTGTGTTGCTTTTATTTTGAAAACCTAGCCGTTGTTTTATTTCCGTTTGGAAGCACGTATGTACATCCTAGATCTGCATTTGTGAACAGAGACAAGTTTAAACATCGGCAAAATATTCGTAGATGCCTTATAGTTGCCAAGTCCACTTATTATAAAAGACTTGAAGCTTGTTTCGCTCAGAAGTTGCTTGTAAAACTCGTGAGTCGCAGGTGTGCATTTTTTGGCTTGTTTTTAACTAGTAGTTGCTTATTTGGGTTTGCTTCTCTGGATGTGGGAACCGCCCTGATTTGAAGTTGAAGTTATTGTTGGTTCGGCCCTCCAACACACCTCAGGTTTCTCATGTGGCCCCATGTGAAAATGAATTGCCCACCCCTGATCAACACTAGATTATTCCACTCAGCTTCTCCTTCTCCTTCTCCTTTAGGTCCCCGGCCACCAGTCCTACTCCAAACCGCCGGGCTCCACCGGGACCACCAGGTCGCCCAGTCTCTCGTGGACCCCCACCTGGGCCTCCTCCTGCTGGGGGACCCCCTGTACCCTCCCGTCCAGGGGCTTCTCCTGACCCTTACGGCGGGCCGCCACCCACTGTTCCCTCTCGGCCTAACCGTGCACCTCCAAGTGTCCCCAGGTGAGTTGCAACATGGGTCAAATATCAACCGAACCTACAAGGACTTAAAAATCCAAACCACAGCTTATTATCTTAAATATTAGACCACATATCCAAGCTGAAGTCTGGGTATTTCTGTTACTAAGGGGGATGTGAAGAAACACCCGGATGAGGGGATACAGGAGGTAAATGTCAGTGAGAGAAAACTGGTTGTGATAGATTCTAGATTGATAGAAGAATAGATTGATAGTGACTCCCAAAATAGACGGATAGACTGTAATGTAACTCATAAATCTTGGACTAAATTTCCTCACTTTGGTTTGGGGAAAAAACCTGCTCCTACCTTTTTGCCACCACTTTTAACCATCCAACATGCTGTCGAACATCACCGACGGTAGCTACGACTCCATTTATCGCTTATTGCACTCACTCCACCGCTGTCCTCTTGTGACTTAGATATTTGTGACACTGTATTGAGCACAAGCGCACAAAAAAAGTGGCTTCTCTGTCCTCCATTTATATCTGCCTTCACTCCTTTTAAGTGTGCTTCGTACTTGCCTGTATCTGTGTGCTAGCGAACTTTTCCCGGGTCCACCGTCAGAGTAGCAGCTCGGCTCTTCTAACAGGAGAGACTCTAACGCTGCTGAGTACAGCCCTCACTGTTCATTCTCAGATCCTAAAATCCTCTTAATGTATTTTTTTTTTAATGTATCACAAATGAATCAGTGAGAGCTGAGCACATGTGGCATTGGTCTTTTCCTGCTCTGTAACTGTTGCACATCTTTTCTCTCCTCCTCCTCTTCATCTCTCTTTTCCTCATCACACCTCTGTCCCACACATAACCACGGTTTCTTCTACAGAATCACAATCACTAACCAATGAGGACTAACTTTTTCCGGTATGTCAGGGTACTGTCCGTCTTCATCATCATCATCTTCAGCATCAGCTGCATGCTGTTTTTCTTTTTCTTAATTTTCTTTCCTCCTTTCAGATTGCTGCATGAGCAAACACACACCCTACTCAGGGGTCGTGTGTGTTTGCATCAGTGTTAAGTCTTTTGGGGTTAATGCTAATTTTCAGTGAAATAGTATAAGTAAGTGAAATGAACAAGGGTTTTTTCTTATGTTACAGTAGCAAAGGTTCAATCTAAACAACCAAAATCTTGGTATTGTTGTTGTTATGTGAGTGTTGTAAGTAATGTATGAGGGCCATGACAGCTAACCTGGAACAGATGTTGTCTTTTTAAAGGTTCAGTGTGTAGAAAAGGGAATATTTTGTGATATCTTGAAATCGCCCGTTGATCATCCAGTGGCGATGGTGGCCGTCAAAGAAAGGAAGCTGTTTTGATGCATGATTAGTATGTTCCTACATTTGTCAAGATATCAAAATATCAATCAGTACAAGTTCTTTTCTGGATAACAACAACCACTTTCTTCTTCTTCTACTGATTCGTCCTTTACTCAGTGCATTTAAAACAGCAGCTCACTAAATACAAAAACACTGAAGGCAGTTACGAGGCGCCGTGAAAGGGGACTCACTTCTTGTGTATTCTTAAAAGTCTCATAAGTCAACAAAAAAAAACAACATTTGTAGTCAGATAATACATGCTATGACGGAGTATTAGGGCCACATTAAGAAAAAAAATTAGACTTTGAGATTAAAGTCGTTAATTTATAAGAATAAAGTCATTACTAACCAGAATAATAGTAAAGTAATCACTAACAAGAATAAAGGTGTACTGAAAGTATTACTTGCGAGAATAAAGTCGTAATCGAATCATTATGATACTTATGATGATGTGGTGCTGATGTGCCAAAAGATCCTTGTTTGAGAAACTTATATTGAAGTAAATTTTCACAGAATGTTCCATGGCTCTCTTTTTAACAACTGTCATCTTAAATAAGAGGTTAGAATATTAGGACTTTATTTTTACTTTACTCTCGTAAGTGATAACTTAACTACGACTTTATTCTTGTAATGATTTTGTCACAACAATTACGACGTCTTTTTTTTTCTTCTTAATTTGGCCCAAATATTTAGTTGTAACATGCTAATTTAAACATATTTATAAATTATTTTCAATTTATACCAAGTCTCTTTTGTTAAATGCTACTAAATACTTCTCATGGCACCTTTGAGTTATGCTAGATGTAGGAAATGTGCAGGCAGCAGCCAAACTATTTTGACATACCAGAAAACTTAGCTTTACATGCCTCTAAAGATATGAAACAAAGAGTAAAAGGAGAATAAACATTTAAAAACAGGGAGAAAGTTACCCACATAGGTTTTTCTGGCAGGACTATTGTGCTTATTTGAAGAGTTGCATAAATTCATTGATTGTAACTTGATTGTAAAGAAACTATGCAGCTATTGTCAGTTAGTTAGCTTTGGACTGGCTAGTACTATCTCAGGCCTTTTTTTAAAAATCTTGAATGGGGCCTTTAAGGATATTTAAGTTTAAACCCTTAACTGTCATTTAACATTATAACCATTTGACTCCTTATTAAGGTTAGTTTGACAGAGGTTGTATGTCTTATGCGTCCGTTCATACAGCAGAAGAAATCACAAGGATATGGAGGATATGAATATGGAGTAGAGCTGTTAAAATTGGCCTAACAGCAAACATACATTACCTGTATTCTGGACATGTTAATGAAGTGCAACATCTCTGCGATGTTCATTATGTTCTTGCGTGTCCTCCCATGTGTGATCTCATAACAAAGGTGGTTGTCTGTGTGAGTTTGACTTTGTGAATTGTATTGACTCAAGGAGCATTTAGATAAAGTGTAAGTATAAACCTTAACCTGATGTTTAAAAGAAAAATGCAAAAACTGCTCACATCTTCTTTGCGATCTGTTTGTCTTTGTGTGTTTATGGCAGTCGGAGACCCCCACCTTCTCCAACCCACTAGACCTCTGACCTCCTTCCTCTCCCGTCCATTCCTTCGTCTATTTATCCGAGAGGCCACGGACAACAGTGCCACCTTCCCTTCATCCTCTGCCACGCTTATCCTGAGCTGGCTCTCTTCTTCTGCCCCTTTACAACAAGCCATCTCTCTCTCTCTCTCTCTCTCTCTCTCTCTCTCTCTCTCTCTCTCTCTCTCTCTCTCTCTCTTTCCCAGTCCCCTCCCAAACACCACTGTACGCACACACACAAACACGCACCTGTTTCACATAGAGATGCTGCAGAATACTTGAAACACACTTGCATGACTGACATTTGAACATACTGCACCCTCAGATATTTATATACACTCTCTAGAGTGAAATCAAAACAAATATGTGAGTGTATGTGCACATGTGCATGCACACTTGCTATCATAAAAACACACTTATATATATATTTATGGTTTTTATGTATACAAAAACGTACAGAATATATGTCCCTGCTATTTACGCATGACACTTTGCCTATTACAGCCTTTATAGTGGGTTTTATGGCTGCTGACTAAGTTATTTTTCTCCACTTCATTTTCAAAGATATTAGTTACTTTCCTTTTTCTGCACAGAGGTGTGACTTATTATGAGGTGTGAAAAAAGTATCAGAATATGTCTTATTTTTGTTGTTGTTTTGGTGACAATTCAAGTTTTACAACTTATCGAGCAGCTGGATCGACATTAATCTCCTTTTGTAAACTTTTCTGAAGCTCGTACGGGGAAATGCATCTTTTCTGTCATAGCTCTGCAGGCGAAGAGATGATGTATGTGTGTGAGGTATTTCTGTGGGGTCTCCACATCTTTATGTCAGGGGCAGTTTCGCTGTTGATAATGTGAGGTGCTTGTTACTTTACTCTTTTTTTCCCACTCTTGCCTGTTCAGAGCTCCCTGTTCACCCTTTAACTCTTTCTGTTGCCTTCTTGCTTTATAATACTTTTGAATTCCCCGACATAACTATGAACATCAACTATGAATCAGAGCGTCAGGCACTTGGACAGACCAGGACTGCTCCTCTTCATCATTTCTGTCTTGTGTCACTGAATCATTTTTGGGTTGATGCACATATGTCACACAAATTGACCACCTCTGAAAAACGCTGCTGTCTGTGCTTCCACAGAACCTATGCAAAACATACAAATGATTTCCCAACGTTATGTTTGGCTCATTAAAGGGATGCCTCCCACAATACTTTTCCTCCTATCTTCTTTGCAAAAATCAAGTAACTGCGTTTTCTAATTGAGGCGGGATTAAAGTTAAAAGTGCAATATAATGTTTTTTTCTGCTGGCAGCTGAATGACAGCAGCTGCACAAGAAGAAGAGAACTTTGTAAGTTGAGAGAAAGGAAAATGTGGCCTGGGTGGCGCCCTCAGACTGTTAGATTTCTCCTTATGTATCCTTTTTTTAAAATAGGTATTGAGCCCCTTACTTTGAGAGGTTTTAGAAAATTAAAGGTGTGTTTCTACAGGGTTTCTGCTGGGTCTTAAAAAGTCTAAAAAAGTGTAAAATCCAATCATTTGAATTAAAGGGCTTAAAATGTCTAAAATTGTCTTAAAACCTCATAAAATGTCTTAAATACAAATGTTAAAGGTCTTAAAAATGTATTAATAGTACTTACAAATAAAGATTGATTTGGAGTTAGTTAAAAATGTTCCGTTTTCCCCTCATGTCTTTTGTACTTTTATGCCAGTATGGATGTAAAATCGATCTTTAATTGTTTAATTCATTATGGTCTTAAAAAAGTCTTAAATTTGACTTGTTGAAACCTGCAGAAACCCTGTTCTAAGTCAGCTTAAACACATTCATCACCTCAACGTGACCGCTATACTCCTCTGAAAGAACACTCATAGTGTGAGGCTTAAACGCTGTCAGGTTACAAAAGTTTAGTACTGCGGTGAAAAAAGCAAATACTGACTGATTAGCAACTGAGAAGATGCTAGAAATTGAAATTCTGGCGCCACACGAGGAAAAATGTCAACATACAACAACATATTTGATGACCTGTTTAGCACTGGGTGACAAGCAATGTTAGCATTTAGCTCATTCCTTGCTAATGATGCAGTTTGATGATAAATTAGGATTCTCTTATGTCATGTAATATTATCAAATGTAGATGTTAGCGAGCCAAGGACACGACTGTTAGCTAGAAAAGTGAATGTTAGCCAAAAACTTCAACGTTTGCAAGGATCATGAATGTAAGTGTCAGCCTGAACCATGAATGTAAGCTAGCACTATTAATGCTAGCCCTGAATGCTAAGTGTGGCTTTTTGGTTATCATTTACAGAGTTTCAACTTGAACAATGTCCCAGAAAATGTCGATAATTCAGTTGCTAATCAAAAAAAGGACTGACTGATATATGGTGTTTGACGTTTGAACATTGTTAGCAGCATTTTGCTTTCACTCCTTGAGCATAAAATCAGAGGGAAACAGCCGCGGAGTGAATGAACAGAATCTTTTCATACATCCACAGGATATCTCTCAGCTTTTTTTTTGCTCTGCCATTTATTTTGCTTTATTTTCTCTTCCTCTTTTTTTTATTCTTTTCTTTCCTCTCTCAGTGGTCACGGGGGTGAGTGAGATCATGAAAACAGCCACAGTCTATGCATAAAACTATCAATCCCTCCACCTGTCTCCACCTCATGTTGCTGTCTTGAAAGTCTGTGATATGAACTTGACTTTTCACGACCTGTTTTGAACTGAACTCTTCTGTCAGTGTGATGTGTTGTATATCTAACCCTGATAAAAGCGAACAAACCCACCAGCCTCAAAATCCCATGTGTACTGTACCTCAACTGATGTCACTCTAGTCTTTTAAAAACCACCTCCTGAGTGAATCTTAGTACTACACAGCTGCAACACAAACACAACAAAGCATATCCTACTTATTATTTAATAGTAAATAGTTTATTATGAACATATCTAAACGTGTTATTATGTATATGTGTGGTGCATCTTCTTGGACTTGTACTTCCACTGTTTAGAAATTTTAGTCTACAGTGTATGAACTTGCTGAATATTTAAATTATGAATAAATGAGTATGTGTAAAGGGAAAACATAAAAAAAGCATTTAAAAAAGTGTTATGCAGTGAAAACTATGGATGTTGGCAGATTGTTTGATACTTTAGTTTGTAGCAGAGGGCTTTTTGTTTGTTTTTCTTGTCTCTCTCTCTCTCTCTTTCTCTTAGGGAGAGACAGTTTGAATGTGTGAACTCCTGCAGCCAACAGGCCTTGCATCTTGTTCACTTTACTCTGCAGGACTGCCATGCTTTGTCAACACATTAAAAACATTTCAGTGTACTGAATAAAGAATTTTCTCCTGTTTTTTTTGCAAATCACAAGGAAATGTGATTTTTCAAGGAGGTTATTGAGATAGTAGGATTTTTGAAGGGAAAAAAAGTCATTAAAACATGTTAATGCAAAAAGGTCCAGGACCTGTATATTTTCTCTAGAGTTGTCTTTTCTAAAATACAAACTGATAAAGTACTCCCAGGTAGAAGCTTTAGAGTTTACTTTAGTGTCTAAAATTTTTTATGTCCAAATATTCACAAAACTGACAACTTCTAAAATCATTTGAAACTTTCCAGAATTCATTTTAAGAATTTCTGAAACTTTAAGAAAAATGCTATCCCAAAAATTCCCGAATGTTCACAAAAAAAACAAATAAAAAACAAAGGTTGAAAATGGCCTAAGGTGGGCAGTTGTTTTAATGCTTTAAGTTAAAAATATTTTAAAAGGTTCACAGATATTTAACTCCAGAAAGTTTTCATCAAAAAACTTACTTTTGGCAAAAAAATTTATTGGTTTTTTAACCTCTAACCTCATGAAAAAATTCTTCAGATTTCCAAAAGAACTTATTTCATTTTACTTTTTTGGCTGTTTCACACCTCCGTTTAAAATGAGTTTCAGAAAATTCCCAAGAATTTTCAGGTTTTCAAAAAATTTTGTCTGAAAATGTCTCAAAAAAACTAAAACTTGGACAAACATGAGTCATCAGAATAAAAATGGTTTCTAGAAGTAATGGGATAAAAAAATTTTTAGTTTTCATATATAACAGTAAAATATCTGGAATTTTTAAGGTAGAAATGTAGATATGACATTTATTTCCGTTTAATGATTCATCTGTTTTTTTTTTACTTATAAAATAAATTTATGTGTATATCACTTAAGAACATTTTGAGAATCACCATCACAAATAAATAAAATCCCAGTTTGTTTAAGTTGCTCGATCAGCTTTATTCAGGAGAAGGGGAGAAAATATTAAGGAAGAAAAAACAAATCAGTAAGCTTCTGTCAGAAGCAGCCCTCCAACAAATCAGTCCTCTGAAAGATCCTTCATTTCCATCCTACAGTCACTTCTATTTTACATTAAAACTGATTAGTTGAGATACTAACTTATCCAAATAAATAGAATATTTTCTCTTTTTTTAGTCAATCTTTGTAATAAATCACAGCCAGTCTGTAACCGCCAACGCCCTGACTCTGAAGTGACAGACATACACACACTTCTCACTGCCAGAAAACATGGCAGAGCAGCTTTCCCCCCACACACCAGGCATAATGAATATACAATATGTTACACAGTTACAGTATATACACCACCTCCTTTACAGTAAAGACGATGATTTCTCGTTGCTATTTATTAAATCACACATTACATATTTAACAGTGGATTAGAAAGCATGGAAGTAGATTTATCCATATTTGTTAGCCCCAAAACAGCACAATTATATCTTTATTTTGTATTTTTCTCTTTGTTTTACTACTCCTGAAAACAAAATAAAGGAAAAGTCATATCATGGCATGTTTCAAAGATAAACCAATAAGTGTAAGAATGCTTTGAAGCTAGGATTTTTCTCTTTTTTTTAATTAAGGATGGCACCAAAAGCACTTTGGTTTCTATATTAGATTTTTCACACACGCTTCCTGTCCTGTTGCTTTAAGTGACCTCTCTCAAATGTGCAATTAAATAAGTGAAATTAAGTGTCCTCTCCCATAAAGTCAACACAACAGAACTTAAAACTCAAATACATCCAGGTAAGAAGGGGAAATACCTTAAAAAGAAGCAATGAGACCCTTAGATCGAGGCATTTTAAAATCGTGGTGTCTCAGTTTGTATTTTTGAATATAAGCATCTCTCTCTTAAAGCTGCGATGAAGCCTAAGATCAGACCAATCGTGTTTTAATGCCCAAAGAAGATGAACATGAATGTTTTAAAAAATAAACATGAATGAAACAGATGACCAGTTTTATCCTCCAGGTTTTAAGAGTTGCCCACTTTCTCAAATTCTGATTGGTCCCTCACTTTCGGGAATTTACAACTTCATGAAAAGAGAAATCTCATCAAGTCTACTCGTATTTACACGCCTTCCATCTTCATTCTTAAAGTGCGACACTGCACACACACACACACGCACGCGTCAACACAATTCCAATCCATTTGTTTTAATTGGAAACCTCAGCCCGGCACAGCAGCTTCATAGGATTCCTCTTTTCCTCCACAGATGTTAATGAGAGGCTCTGTGGTAGAAAACATCTCTGTCCAACCGGCCTCAGAGGACAGAATAAGAAGCTTTGTACAGTTTTAGTGCAATCATACTCGTTTGATAGAACTCTTAAAAAAATTACAACAGATACAACTTTTGCCTGAAGAGAGGAACGGTTTGGATTTCCGCTCTCACACATCACGGACACATTCACACAGTCCAGTTGTAGAGGATGTGCGCTGATTCGTCTTTGATATGTGGAGCATGTTGCAAACTTAACAGAAATAGACCTGCTTTTATTAATAGTGTTGATTCGTTTGAAAACTTAAAGATCCCGTGAACTAGAAGTTAGAGAACAAGCTTGTGAAGAGGCCACCAGAACACTTAACGTTAAAAAGAGATCAATCATGAGAGGAGGAGATTATAGACGCTGTAACTTCCTCATGTCACTGTGCCACGGTATCTGTAACATTAATGATAAGACGATTAAGTCGAATCATAAAGTTAGCTCTCACCCCTGAACTCTAATACGCATCCATATCACACTCTGAGGAAGACAACGCTTTAATAATCTTGACTTTTAATGTATTTCTTCTTCATGGGATCTTGAAAGTGCATCTTTTCTCTCTAATGACTAATGTAACTGTGTTGACTGTTCTCAGTCTGACAGGTTGATTGAAAACATTACAACACAAAAGTCTCGCATATATTAACATTAACACGGCACTGTACAGTATGACTCATTTTCAGTGTTTGGAGAAAAACTGATAATGCAGACAACAGGCGGTCTGAGAAAAGTACCGACCTGAAACACCCGCCTCCGTCTCCCTAAACCTCGTCATGTAACCTGCGAGCTCTGGACTCACCACCAGAATGGTGTGACATTTCTTTTCTGACTTCCTCGTACATTTCTCTCTTGTATCTCTACCCAGGCTTGCACCTTTTCGACATCATCGCTCCTCCTTGAATTTCACAAAGACGTAAGGTCATTACATTCAAATGTTGCGCTCCTTTTTTTTTTTTTGGCATTTGTACAGTGAGTTGTGTAAAAATGGAGATTAACTATAAATTAAAGTTGCACGCAAACAGGCGGATATTCTTTTACAGCTCTTTACAAGTGCTGTATCAGCGAGGGGACGGCATCTGCGACCCCTTTATTGCACTTCTGTGTAAGATGGGAGACAAAGGAAGAGGGGTGGGTGTTGAGAGTGGTGGGAGGAAGAATAATCAGATCGCCTGAGGAATACTGATTATGTCTTTTCAGGGGAGAGCATCATGGACATAAAAAAAAACAAACAATACCATGAAATACTCGCCTCTGTGTGAGCAGTTTTGAAGAAGGATCGATGTTCTTGCAGTGTTTGTGTCTGAGATAAATAAGCTATAGAAACTGTGATGTTTCATTTTCCCCAAAAGTTCAAACACTCACACTGTCACACACTCACGCACACCTCACACAACCAGGATCTTGACTTCGTCCTGTTCGTCAGGCTTGTAGAAGAAAGGGATGCAGGGGTTCTCCCCGAGGAAGGGGGGTGATCTTTGCGCCCCCTGAGGGTTCTGGATCTCATGGAGCAGCTGCATGATCTGCTGGGCCGTACCATCTTCTTTGGGTGCCAGGGGTTTTGAGTCTGGCTGGGCTGACCCGGTGGAAAGTGCTTGGGAGGAGGAGGAGGGGGCGTCGAGGCCTGTGGTGGGCTCTGACAGGGGGATGACCTCCATGGCTTCTGCAGGCAGAGAAATAGAGAAGGAATTTGCTGAAATATGGAGCTGCAGGGAATAACTTATGATGGAGCCAGTTCACCGCAGCTGTGCCCACCTGCTCCGCTGACAGCATCAAGCTCTGGATGTGTCTGTGCTTTGAGCTCTGCGTGAGTCTGATCCTCCCCAATTGGAAGCAGGTCAGGGTTCGGTGTGCCTGCACCGGCCACAACTCCCGTGTAGCGATTGTACCAGTCGTTCCTTTCAGCCACCAGCCTCATCACCAGATCCTGCAGCTCTGCGAGCTTTGCCTTTTGGGTGGGAGAGAAAACAAAGAGGAGGACTTGAATATGATATAAACACAAGTTAAAGGAGAACAAAAACATATCAGCACAAATGTATAGAGGCAGCAAAAAGGTTACTTAAAGGGGTATTCTGGTGTAAAACTAATTTAGGGTCAAACACACCGAAACACCGAGTTAGACACCCCCTCGAGACATAAATGTTGCCGACCGCTTGCTTCTCTAGTTATACCAACTTTAGTAATGACCACATGAAAGCAATACACGGCGTGCTGACGAGCCATACACAAACCTCAACCAAAAAGCCACTCTATAGCCACAAATAATGCTCAGAACAGCACCTAACTTCATCAACAGTACACAGCCACAGTACTAGCCACCAAACATCTAACTTTGCCTTATTTCTTTCACAAAGAGACTAAACACAACTCACCTACTCTCTTCCAGCAGCCGCTTGTTTGTAGCGAGACCTCAGGCCAGTCCATTACAGACTGCAGCGGGGTGATGCAGCTCGAGGAAGAACATTTATAATCATTTCTTCATGGAAATGCAATCAGACCGAGACGCTGTGGCAGAAGAACCACCGCGTCTGCAGTGCAAAATGATTAATATGGTGACTATTACTTAAAGTAATGATCTTAAATGCTCTTCCTTGAGCTGCATCACCCCGCTGCAGTCAATGATGGACTAGTCCGAGGTCTCCGTACAAACAAGCGGCTGCTGGAAGAGAGTAGGTGAGTTGTGTTTAGTCTCTTTGCTAAAGAAATCAGGCAAAGTTAAAAAGATGTTTGGTGGCTAGTACTATGGCTGGGATCCTATATGTCCTGTTGATGAAGTTAGGTGCTGTTATGAGCATTATTTGTGGCTATAGAGTGGCGTTTTGGTTGAGGTTTGTTTCTATCTCCTCACACTGCTGTGTTTTGCTATCGTGCGGTCGTTACTAAAGTTGGTATAACTAGAGAATCAAGTTGTCGGCAACATTCATCTCTCTCGGGGGTGTCTAACTCGGTGTTATGGTGTGTTTGACCCTAAATTAGTTTTACACCAGAATATCCCTTTAACACTACCTTCATCTCCTCTTTGTCCTGGGCCAGCATGCTGATGTACTGCTCCTTCTCTTGGTGTTTCTGCTTCATGATGGCTCGCTGACTCTGGTACAGAGCGATATACTCTCCTGGAGACACGGAAACACAAATGAGTTTAGCGATAAGGATGTGTAAACAAAGTGACACACACAACAGAACATCCCTCTATCCCACCTATAGTGTCAGTCTCTCCAGACAGCTGGATGCAGCGATGCTCTAGCTCCTCCACCCTCTCTTTCAAGTCAGCTTTCTCCTGCATGAGGGAAGTGAAACGATGCTGAAGCTTCTCCATGGCAGCTTGCAGCGCTTGATGAACCTCTACTGGTACTCCCCCATCTGCAGGAAAGACAGCGAACACTTTGTTTACCAGCAGAAAACATCAGGAAGAAGTTTTGTAGGTTTCTTTACAAACTGACTCAAGAAATCATCTGGTCTCTCTCACCTGAATGTTCATGGCTGTGTTCACAGTGACTGTGTTGGTCCTGAAGGTGGTCGTGCTCATGACTGTGATGATGTTCATGATCAGGTTTGTGGCTCTGGTGTTGGTGCTCATGGCTGAGGGCCATGGCGGCCTGGTGTCGGGCCGCCATGTGCAGCCGGTGCTCCTCCTCCAGTTGTCTCCTGGCCTCATCCCTCTCTGCTTCCAGCTCAGCCAAGGCTCCTCTTATAAACTCCTCCTGAAAAAGGGAGGGTTATCATAATGGCATTGCAGTGGAATAATATTAATGAAATAAAGGTATGAAGCAAACGTAAATAAACTATTACCAATTATTCCTCATGTATTTTTACCAAAGCAGCATTTTGATGATCATAACTCCTCAATCTCCTTACCATCTCCTTCTGGCTCTCAAAGTCCTCGGGGATAACGATGGAGGAAGACCTCTTTGGGCTCTCTTGTAAGGATTGACTTTCCACTCCATCACCTAAGTGCCAAAATGAGAAATGAAATTTGAGAGTAGGATCAAAATATAAGGGTCTCCTTTTGCATCAAACCATTAAAACCATAACTAGATGGAAAATCTACTCACAAATAAGGAATGGAAGAACATACCTTGGTCTCTGGATGAAGGGCTCAGAGCTGAGCTGTTGAGCAGCTCCTTCACCTCGGCCTTCAGCTGCTCATTGTCTCTGACTAACATCTCCAAATGATCCTGTAGAGGGAGACAGAGAGCCCTTTTTAAAGAATGATAAAAAATAGTGTAAGAGTGTTTGTGCTTAGGAGATAAATGAAATGATAGAGTGTAAGGTCACTTTAAGTACCAACAAACGGCCCAGTATACTGACTCTAAAAGCATCTCATCGATCTTGGACACACCTGCGCCTGTTTGAGCTGATTGTGGCTGATCTCCAGTTGCACGCGGCCCTGGCTTTCATCGTGCTGCAGCCGGTCCATGAGCTGGACTTGCTGTAGGTACTGGTGGTGGAGCTGCTCCCGCTCTGAGGCCAGGGTCTGGTAGCCAGCGCAGTACTGCTGCAGGTGGGCCACTACCTGGTCCCTCTGCTCCATCACACCCTGGATCTCCGTGGATTTCAGTTCAAGCTGAGGGAATGGAGAGGGAGAATTAAAACCAAGTGGAAAAGAAAACAGCTATGTGTTCTTCTCTGTCGGGATGTTATTATACTATTATACAGGAGAAAAAATTGCATTTTAAGATCTTGCAGTAAAAAGTTAAAGAATAGAGACTGCATATAAGATCTGCAGCTGACCCCCAGCACAAGACCATACCTGTTCCTTGGCGTTGTGCAGGTTCTCTTGCAGTTCACCCATTCTACGAGCCAGCTCCTTCTTCACATGCTGCTCTGACTGTATGGCAGTGGTCAGCTCCATGTTTTCATTAGTCTACAGAAGAAAGAAAAAACAGGCAATCAAGTTTAAAGAAAACAGCCTCCCATCCCAGAAGATAGCGAGTCAGACTGCCAGATTTCTGCCCTCACCAGTTTGACGAAACCATTCTGGAGCTCAGCCAGCTGGTCCTTCAGCGTACGGTTCTGGGTGAGAGCGCGGCTGATCGTAGCCTTGTCTGACTGAACATCCTCCAGCATGCGCCGGCGGTCTTCTGCCTCCTGCACTTGGCCCTCCACTTGCCGTTCAAGCTCCCCAAGACGTGCTTCCTGCTCCGCGCACAGCCGGCTCAGCTGCTGGTTATCTCGCAGCTGAGGGGAAACATCGCAGGCGCTGGTTACAAACTTACAGGTGAGCTTTACACGATTAAAAATCAAGACAGGAGTGTTCAAAAATGTATACCTGTGCCTGGTACTGTTCAGTGAGAGCCTCTTTCTCCTGTTGTAGAGCACTGAGGGCTTCCTGTAGAGCCACCTCGTTCTCTGAGGGGCCTGATGACAGAGGCGGGGCTTCTTGCTGCACCTGTCTTTCCTGAGACAACAGCGCTGGAGGACAAGAGGTAAGATGACATTAATGTATCAATGTCGCTGACTGTGTCACCAGTATGTGCCACATATCTGGACGTCTATGGATCATTTACTTCAGGCTTTCAGACTAACACAACCACGCCAAAAAAGGGTTTCAAGATCTTTACTTGGGCTGTTCCGATATGATATTGATATGGAATATCTGCTATCTGTCCGATATCGACCAAAAACAAATATCAGATTGTATCGGCCTCCATCAAAAAACTCCGATATCAGCACTCCGATACAAGCAGTCCATTCCAGACTCAGCTCTGGCAGCTCTAGCTAGCAGCGCCCACATGATCACAACAACATTGTGTACTAATGCTGCATTCGAGTTACCTCGGAAGTCAGAAGTCCGAGGTGAAAATGACGTCACACAAGCGTTTCAGTTACCAAGTCGGAAAAAATCAAAATCAGAAGCAGAAACAAGATGGCTACTTCTACGAAAGTTACTTTAGCGCTTGCCTTGTCCGAATATAAGGCAAGTGCTAAAATAACTTTTGTAGATGTAGCCATCTTGTTTCTACTTTTTTCCGACTTGGTAACTGAAATGCTGGGAACTCGGATGTGACGTCATTTTCAGCACCAACATCTGACTTCTGCGGTAACTCCAGCGCAGCATACAGTACAAACAAAGTAGCAAGGAGTAGGGGTGATGTCGACTATGTGGCAGTATTTTTCGTTATAGTCCGAAAAAGACATTGCAGCTGAGTGCAAAACTTGTCATGCACGAGTTTTTGCCAATATCAGATCAATATTGGTATCAGCCAATACTGAAGGCTACGATATCGGCATCGTATCGGAAGTAAAAAAGTTGTACTGGGACACCCCTAATCTTAACAATGTGAATATTTAACATCAAGGTAAAATCTTCTGACAATACACCAATATAGAGAAATAAGAGTAAAACACACGAGAGCTTTCAAGTGTTTGGACAGATATTTAAGAAATATTTAAAACTAGAATTTTTGAACGCTACAGGCCTCTTTCCCCCTGAAGTTTGGTCAGGCAGTCTGACAGCTTCTTAACCAAAGGTGTCCGGCACATTAAAGGAATGAGCGGCAGGAAATCCGGTAAAGGACAATAAATTAGATTACGGCGGCATGAACCTCTTACCAGCAGCGTTTTTGAGTTCTGCAACACTAGCCTCCAGTTCCTGGACTCGGTTGATGTTTCTGTCCCTCTCCTCTGCAACCAGAGACACCTGACACACACACACACACAAAAAAAAAACGGTGGTGAGTTGTTATTAATCTGAGAAGACAACAAAGAACAAAGTACTCTTTGTAAAGTTAGTCTACCTGAGTTAGCAGCTGTTCTGTTTTGTCCTTCCAGACACGGCCCTCTTCCTGGATCTGCTCGGCATAGACGTCCCTCTCTGTCTGCAGCTTGGCGATCGACTCCATCATCTACAACATTAAAAACATGAAAATAGAGGGGGTTTAAAACTCAATTTGATCATTAGAGATTCACATACAGGAGTCCCTTATTTCAATAAACATCAACTAATTTAACGCAGAACGGTATAATAGATTGACAGCATCTCATGAATTATTTGTAGCAACAATTAAGCTAAATTGACTTTTGCTGAGTCATCAGTTTGAGATATTTGTAGTTTAACTGTTCACAATAAAAAAAAAATCATGACAGCATTAGCACGGCTTCTAACTATTCTGACACATGCAGGTAACTTTATTAAAGAGTTCTTTGTAAACAGACCTGGTGACTGTGTGCCTCCAGTTGCTGCTTCTCTTCCAATAATAACTGGACCTGCTGGTTGGCACTGGAAGGATCTGACTGACTGGAGTACTGGGAGGAAAATAAAGGGAATAACACGGTTGATTCATATTTGCAAACAGACCTCCATGCAGCCATGCAAGCGTTTCACCAAGATCGAGGTGAGTGTCCTTACACACCTGTTGTAACATGAGGTCACCTAACTCGAGCCTTTTGCGAAGGTCCTCCAGCTCCAGCCTCATGGCTCCGTTCTCCTCTGTCCTCAGCTTTAACTGCTCTGACAGCTCCGAGCTCTGCTGCTTCGACTCCTCGCCTAAATTGCTGCAAACACACACGGAAGTGTCTCGTTTGTGCCAGTTTGATGGACTCTGAATGCCATTAGCAGTGTCGAAGCAGTGCTGCAGAGGCTTCTGCTGTGGAATTGTTATGAAATACATCAACTTGTGTATGGTAGAGTGAAATAACTTACTTTAGTCTTAACACCTCTAGCCTCAGACTGTCTCTCTCCTTTTCAAACTCTTTGTTGTGCTGGAGAAGAAAGAAAGAAGCAGAATCGGATCATTTTTCATAAACTAATTGAACCAAGACCATAGGTACATACTTCTGTTTATAGCTGTCTTTCTGTAAAACATGCCTGCTGTTTCTTGGTCATCTTATCTGAAGCCTTGTCAGATATGTAGATATTTTTGAAGAGTTCTTTTCTGTTTTTCTTTACAGCCACACCGACAGGGAGTTTTAAAAAAGTTTCCAAAAACACCTTCCAAGGTGGGTATTCATTTTTTAAAAACTCTGTTCTGTCATTTTGAAGCGAGCAGCTTTGGGAAATGTACTTACACAAAGGCAATTGTCGTTTATATGAATTGTGCATAAGCCAAAACGGGGAGCTACTAGTTTGTTTACATCTGCTCTCTGCTGGTTGGTTGAACTGTGTGTTTCCTAGACAACTTAGCTTTACTTCATCATGAAAGCATAGGGAGGGGGCAAATTATACATCAGGGTTATAAGTTTTTAATCTGCTGCTATGACACAGTTTGAAGAACCTGATAACAGACTGACTACACCATGTGTTTTCAATGCTTCCTGGGTTATCCTGAAGAACAGGGAAATATTCAAAACCACCTCAAGTGCAGACAGGATTGACAAAAGCCATTGTATCTGTATTTTTTTACCTTTTCAAACTGTTTCTGCTGCGTTGATACAGAGGAGAGGGTTCTCTCCAGCTCTGACACTCTCTGCTTTGTCGCCTGCAGACGGTTATTCAACTCATCTGCATCAGCTACAAACACACACAAGGAGACAAAGACACAGAAGCCGTCAACAGCTGTTGGGGTGAGGTCGACATCAAGATGAAAAACAACAACAAAAAAATGTTCAAAGCATACACACCTGTTTTTTGCCGTGCAGCATGTTGTGTGTATTGTAGTGCTGTTTGTAGCTCTGATTTTTCTGACACCAGAATACCGATGGTCTGGATGTGCACCTTTAAGAGGGCAGAATCATTGTAAGCACATTTTTTCACGAGGCTAAATAATTCTTACTAATTCAACAGTAAGTCCTCATTCAATCAGGGGAGGCAGATAACACTAAGAACTCTGACACTGATACAATCATGAGGCTTTTAAATCATTTTATCTCACCATTTCAAACTTCAATCACTGTGTTTGTGTCGGGAGAGTTACCTGTAGTTGCTCCCGCATGGCTCCCTGCTCTTTTGAAAATCTCTGTTCAAATTCTTTTCGCTCCTGGAAGAAAAAATACCAGAGATTATAACATGACTGGGTTGGAAGAATTCAGTGGATTGGAGAGAGGAGGCAATAATGAACAGACAGCTGAGCAGATGGAATGAAAAACAAATTTACCTTTTGTAGCTGATCTGTGAGCCCTTGAGATTGCTGCGCCTACCAGACAGAGAAGACAGATTATCAAGTTTTGCAAAGATCAACACTTCCTTCATTATCTCAGCAGCGTAATATAAGTCTATATCTGCACACTAGACAGTGGAAGAGACTAGATTAAGAAGCATGTTCTGTAACCGGATTTGTTACAAACTAGTGTTTCTTTGAGGCTTAAGTTTATGCTGTTAGTGTATTGCTATCTCATTATTACAGCTCTGGAGCAGTTACACACATTGTACCTTATGCATTTATTATAACATGTATGTTACTCGGCTCACATGAAAGATGAATGGCATAAAAGACATGCATGACTTAATTCAGTTGTTATCGAAAATGACATGCAGAACGTAAACAGTGCATGCACTAATATGTGTCACTGGTGTGGTAATTGTGTGGAAAAAGGACATCTCAAAACAAACACACACACACACACACACACACACACACAATAACATAGTTCCGCATACAAACACAGCTTCTTACCAGCTGGTCTAGCTTGGTATTGAGCTGAGAGTTTGTTAGGTTGCTGGACTCCAGGGCAGCTGCCAGCTCCTGGTTCCGACTCTAATACGTGCAACACATGCATCAGGGACAGAACAAATAAAAAAAAAAAGAAAAAGAAGAAGAAGAGAGGGATAAAGTGCAGTGGCAAAAGTTAAACAAAAAAATGTGTTGGAGGAGAAGAAAAAATTCAAATGTGAATCCTTAACATGGAGGCAAATAATAAAACTTTTACAAGTGGCACGAAAATGTGTGAAGCTAATAGTTAAAATACATGACGGATATTAAAGTGATTAATGGGGCTAACTGATGTCCCCAAGAGTTTCTTAGTCGCACTTAATGTTTAAGGAAAAAAAACAGTCTTAAATTGTGGATATGGATCCAATGTAACAATGTGTGAAAACACAACTAGTTATACTGTCAGTAGACAGAAGTGAAGACAATGTGGTTGTCATTGACTGTAAGCAGTTTGGTGTTGAATGACGTCTAACTTTGCGATCAGATTTGGAAACTAATGCTTTCTTTGAATCACCATCTTACCTCCAGTTCTCTCTCACTGACAGAAGGTACACCATCTCCATTCACATACGCAGCAGACGTCTGCAATGACACAGACACACAAACATTAATGCACCTGCTACACAAAAATCTGCACTCATCACAAGTTTGAGGGCAGTCAAAAGCCTTCAGCAGTGAAGACCTTATAACACCATTTAGATTCATATTTCTGTAGACAAGCAGAAATAAAACTAGGACTGAGTTACGATAAAAAAAATAAATTAAAAAAAATCGTTTATGAGCTTGGAATTGAACTCTGCTGGATGCATAGCAGATGGGCAACTTGTTTAGTCAGCATTTGTTACACCTTTCTTCTTTCGTATGTAAATAAGGCAAAACACCTGAAAGTAAGTCTTCAAAAGTTTCATAAAAGTATGCTTACTGCATTTCTATAAGGCCTGCCATCACATTACCCGTATAATACTCATCTAGTTAACCTTCTTAGTAATTCAGAAGACAGTGTAGATTGTGTTTCAGAGAGCACACTTCATAAATTGACTTTTATGTTGATTTTATAAACAGAGTTCAAAGACAATGTATCAGGTGCCTGGTTTGGTGCATCAGTTGATGCTGCCAGCATGCTTGAGGCCACTGGGAACAACTGGCAAATTTGAAAATGCTTCCAGTGCATTCCTGCCAGGAATAGACGCAACACGCCCCCAGTGAGGGTGTACATCAGTGGCAGTGTGTCACTGTAAAAAGCATTACACTGACTGACAAAAAAATGTGTGTGCATGTGTGTGTGTTGAAGTGTGTGCGATTGTGATGAAGAGGGAAAACAGCAAGAGACAGGATGACAGAGGCAGTTTTTAAGTCGTACCTCAGAGACGAGGCCGTTCAGCTGCTGTGAGAGCTGCCGCAGGCTCTCTGTGGAAGACAATGGTCTGCAGGAAAACACACAATAGAAATCAATCTTCACAGTAAATATGTGATTTACTCGGTTGCATTGGTATTCAGATGATTAGATAGAAGGAAATGTGACAGAAAAATGTTGTCTTTTAAACCGACTTTAAGGCACCTGTCATTTTAAGGTTATCTTTGAAGTTGTGCACAAATATTTAAGAGTGTACGGCTGCAGCCAGACGCCTCCCATCTTAAGCCCTCTGGCTTGGTGCCACATGCCATGACCCCCAAGCTCCTGATATTCAAAATGACAGCAGTCTAGACCACTATGTCTATTTCATACCCTGGTGTTTTGGAGCTTAATGGTATCTGCAATCATGCAAATGAATAAAATACTTAAAAATATGTCTGTATGCTTAATACAATACGATACCATACCATACACTATATCGTATCGTATTAATTGTACAAAATCGTAAAAGACTACAGAAATACTAAAAACCTGTTCTGTTTTCATTATTATATTGTATTCTAGCAATCCTCATAGAAAGACCTTTTAATGTTGTATGACTCTACCAACGTAAGCTGTTCAAGCATTTAACTTGATGTTTGTTAGCAAATGTTTGCTAATGTTACCAAGAGCAATTTATGGTTACAGGCAGTGACGGTTTGTTTTAATTATTTTCCTTTAGGTGTACGTCAATGTGTAAAAAAAAAAAAACTGTTACATGCCCCGGGTGACAAGATACAGTGTACTACTCACACTTTTTATCTTTACTGCTATAGATGAGCCTCCTAGCGTAAGGAAAAGATATTGCTATCATACGTAAAAGTAAGATACTGACGCAAGTTTAAATGGTAGAGTCATTGCATGTTTAGAAATAAGCAAACTGTAGATGTGGCTAAAAGTTCAAACCTGTGGCTCCATCTTGAAAATATTGCGCAAATTCATGTTTTTGACTTCTGTTAACTTACTGCTGTGCAAGCCAAGACATAAGACAGAAAGGGATGAGATTGGGGGACTTGAAATGGAGGCTGCAGCCATACCCAACTCCAAATATTGAATGAATCTTTCACTTAAATTAATGTTTCATATTTATAAACACACTGCGAACTTTAGCAGATCCACAGCAGCATTTTCAGTTAGGCAAACATACTGATACCAAGTGAGCAGACATTTATATATCATCTGTATTCTGTGCATTAGGTGTATTTTGATAATAACATAAAACAAAACCTACCTGTTTTCTTCTGTCAAACTCTCACTGCCGTTGGTATCAGGATACTCCTACAGGAAGAGAACACGACCAAAAGAAAAAGACAAAGTTTCTCATTTCTATGATGAAACTTCACATATTCAGCTGAGGAACTGCTGTTTTCAACACAAACACACTTGTTTAAATGTAGCAGGAGACTTTTAAGAGTCATTAACAAATCTAAGACACAAGAAAAGTATGAGCAGAGAGACACACACCTGCAGGTCAGTGTTGTGACCGGCAGACTCAGAGTTAGTAGCAGTGTTAGCGCTAGCAGAGTTAGACACGGGTGAGTCGCGGCTAGGCTCAGCCGATGGGTCCTCCAGCGGCTGGGTATCTGAGGACACCATGACCTCCATGTCGGCAAACGTCTAAGATGACACACACACACAGAAAATGCACACACACTTGTTTAATGCCAAAAAGAAGCGATTACAATGAAAAGCAAACATAAAGAGACCAGAGTGATGTGTTAAACTAAAATAGATTTGTGTCAGAGTGAAGTGAAGGCGATGTTATCATCTGAATATCATAATTTAACTGATAGTACAATGTCTAAATAAAAGAAGGATGGAGGCACTTGTTACTGCCTTTGAGTACAAGCTCTATTACTTATGTTGAGAGCTGATGGAGAGCTCATGGGGCTCTCTGCAACACTTGCAGAATTAAAGCATCAATGTGACTGTGTTGAATAAATGCTTGCATGAATTTGAATGTCTGACAAACAAACCGGCTGTTAACAGGCCTGCGCTTTCTCAGCCTTATCAGTTAATGTGTGTTAGACGTTCAGAAATACTCAATGATGGTTTCAAAACACTTGAAAGAGAGTGCAGGCGGACAAGACAAGAAATTCAACAAGAAAAGTGGTGCTGGGAAACAAGATGAAACACAAACAGTTTGATTTTTTTCTTCCCTTTTTCGAGATGCATGCCCACATGATGCTCATATATCACAGCCATGCAACAATAGACTCGTGCAACTCAAGGCAAACACGCTGCCCTGCAAAACTGAACTTCAACGAATGATGGAGATCAGACAACACTCAGAAAATCACCGTGCAACCTCCATTTATCTCAGCCATCAATGCACTCTAATACAGGGGATTAAAGAGATACACAACACTGATGTGAGAATTTGCACTTAAGCTGGTCCCATGCGATCTTCTCCATGTGACAAACAGGAATATGTGCACCTGACTTAAGAAGAAGGTCAGACCGGGGAAGCGAGTTGAAATATTCAAAAGCACATGAGGAGGAGAGGGATGCAGAGATGGAAAAAAAGGCAGGAAAGAGAGAGAGAGAGAGACTGGCAGAGGCTCACCTGACTGTTGCCATAAAGAGGGAGGACTACTCCATTGCTTTGAGTAAATGCTTTCAAAATATGGTCAAACTACAGGGAGAGGAAACAGGGAGGGAGGTCGAAAGAGAGACGAACAGTTACCACCACAGTGAAAGAGAAGTCGGGAAACAGGCAGAAGCAGGTCTAGAGGTGACTGGGAGAAGAAAAGAGGCTAGCACACCCAGTTCATCTAAGTATAGCCTTTATAAATGTATCCTAAACACTAAACAGTATTATTTTATATAAACAACATAGCCAGAGACGCTGTGTATAATCCTAATTGTGAATGTCTGACTCCTGATCCCAAGCTGCTTCAGCTTCCTCAACAATTAGCTCCACAGATTGACACACTGACCTTGCTCACAGTTCTCCCTGCTAGAGTAACATGTGCCAAGTCAGTGATTATTTGCTGTCTTATTGATCTGTTTAAATAAGGGGAAGTTTGACAGCTTTTCCTGAAGGTCAAAGAATTTATTTGCTAACATGAGACGGGTACCATCATGCTTGGCCGCTCTTTCCAAGGGTTTTTGCTGATTTGTGTCCGAACACTCCGACTGGTTACTGTCAGCACCTCATACAAGAAGAGACGGATTGTTTTTCACTCGCCCTGTTCAGACCATCTGACTCAATCCAGGATTTGAACAATAACTTTATCAGACTCGAATACAAGCTCTCAAACTCGGACAGCTCGGGTTCCTATCAGGCTCAGAAATCCACTGGCCCACACTGCCTGTGGAAAACTGACCTGAGAGTCCGGCCCTCTGTTCGGAGCTGTGAGCCAGAGTCACATGTCTCACTATGTGCCCTCACTGACACTCTCCATTTGCCTGTTCGAGCTTTTAGAAACAGGCCGCATAAGAAGCAGGTGTTTGCTATTCAAATGGTTTAGCAGTGATGACCACATCAGTGTAAGATATGACTCAAACCTGCCTAATCTATACTTGCTACATCTCACAGTGATTCACTTTTTATATGACTATGACTTTGACAATATTACAAGTCAGATGTGGAAATGACTGTCCGATAAGGATCAGATCGTGTGCATCTGTCCAAATTCTGTTCCTTCAACCAGAGGAGCAAAAATGCACAAACAACAGAGATAAAACCACAAAAAAGGCTACTGCTACTGCATTCCACATGTTGTTATGATGTACGCTTTAAAAAGGGCTCAAAGTGTAAGGCTGATTTGACGAGCAAATATGCCCAACAGATTATCAGTTAAAACAGATAATCTGACAAAACATACAAGTTTATAACCAACACTGTTGCAGACTTGACAAACTTTGACTGAACGAACCGCTAAAAAAATTCACTCAACTAAACAAGCTACCTCTCTTTGTCCTGCACTATATCTTTAGGCATAATCGTTGTCACTTTTATAGTCAAAAGGTCAGAACTATCTCAAAAATTAACGAGGCCACTGACTTTCACAAAAAAAGGAGGATAGTGTTTGCAAGCTTTATTATCATTCGGCTGTATTAAATTACCGCCAGCAAATATTTGTGAAAAGTAGCTGAGCTGGCTCACTCCAAAAGGTCAAACGAACAAAATGAAACCTTATATATAAAGCATGTGGATCTCTTTGAACAGGTTTATGCTGCTCTGCCAGCTTCCAATCACAACAAAACTATTCCTGCTGAAAGGAATCTGTTGAACGCAGGGCTGCAGATTGTATTCTTGATGCTTTACATGTACATACACAGACCTGGGAATTTTTGTTTTGACTCAGAAGACAAACAAACAATAGCGCATAAAGCAGGAAGTGTTCAAACTTAATTTACAGGGTCACATTAGGTTTTTTAGAAAGCATAAAGCACAAGAAGAAAGGTTATTAGTTTATAAAACAAGAGTGGCATGACGTGGGTAAAGAAATGTGGGACTGACTTACGTTGACAGGAGAGTTTCTGTCTGTTGACGATGCATCATTTTGATTCGGCCCCTTCACCTTTCTCTTCTTCTTGGCCCCTGCTCCGCCACCTCCTCCTCCCCCTCCCTTTTCTCCTCCCACACTAGCAGGGGAACTCTTCTGCTGAAACTCTTTCAGCTGTGTAGCACATGTAAAAGGGAACAAATGATGTAAGAAAGTACACAGATGATCTTTATCTGACGCCACATTCCTCTCATGTTTCCTTCCCGACAACTCCGTCACAAATTGTACTTTTATGAAGCTAATATTTGTTAACGTAGACAGACAAGTGATAATTGTTGAATTTGTAGTGCTAGACTGCATTACACAGATAAGGGTTCCTATTATTTTGACATTTTTATGTTTTTTTAAACGATAAAGTTAGGGCTAAATGGTGTACTTTTTTTCGTCTCTTCTCTTATAACAAAGGTATCATTTCAGATGCTTCCTCTGGGCTTTTTGTAACTGTCTTTTGCTTGATTGTAATTGTAATTTCAATGGACTAGATCCATTTCGGCAAAAAGAGAGCTTGTGAATTGTTCTAGATTAGGTTTTAAAATGAATCCTGAATGAGGTGCTTCCTGTCTCTGTTGAAACACAAGATTCTTCAAATACAAAAATTCAAATGAAGAAATATGTGGACAACTTGATAAAAAAAAACATGTAAATCACTACAGATGATGAATGTATTCTTATAAAGCTGTTAAATATGAAGGTTCATGAGATGCACAGTTAAATAAGTTGTGTTAAAGGGGTGTCATTTTGTTCCCCTACCTTTCCTGTAAGGATGGGAATTGATAAGATTTTATAAATATCGATGCCAATATCGATTCAATTCTTTAACGATTCCTTTATCAATGCCTTTCTTTGATTCGAAAAAAGTAGACTATAGGTTTTCACCCTTAACTCAAAATTTTATTGAGTCTCTGATAACAGTAAAAGAAGTATGCCACCTTTAGTGAGAGTCTAAAAATAAGCAAACGGCAAACTATTTGTACAGCATTTGCTTTGGTCGGTATTAAGTCAAATCAAGGTGACCATAGTCTTAGACCCCAAAAAGAGGACACAACTACGTGGGGCAGAGTCGCGCACAATATTTTGAGGGGTATTTCAGGGTGGGTTAAGTGTTTTTTATGCGCTTCTAACTCAGTTAGTCCACACTACACAAACTAAAAACTTCCATACAAAACCCACTACACCTCGCTTGTACCATCCGCCATGTTTTTTTCCCTCAAAGACTCTGGCTGTGTCCGAAATGGATCCCTAACCCCTATATAGGCGACTATATGGGGGTTTGCGCCATTTTGAGGGGTGTTTAAAACCTGAGTGATCAATTCCAATGACCCATATAGGTGATACAAAATTTCCCATAGAGCATTGCAAAATGTAGTGACCAGCCAATGGTCACTCACAGGTGGTGGGCATCCCATCATGCATTGCGTCATGCCATGTAGTGTCTGAAACCTCCGGTAATTGAGCTCACTACATAGTCAGCTATATGGTGAAACCCCATATTGGGGATAGGGATTGAATGATTCATTTCAGACACAGCCTCTGTTCTCTTTCGCTTAGACTAGCTCTCGCGAGACCAATTTTCAAGGCACCCGTAAGAAAGGAATCGTTAAGATGAAATGTAAACGATGTCGATGGATTACACCATTTGGAACCTGTTTTCGATTCCCATTCCTACTTTCCTGTCCTTCACAAGTAGTGTAATAAGTTATTCGGCTGTCTGTTTCCAACACTCTGAAATAGTTCAACCCAGCTGAGATTGTTTTTTTAACCTTGTTGTTTGCTTGTATAACCTACCATAGTATGTGCATAATTAATGGATCACTATATCCGCAGCATGTATTGATACAAATTGGCAGATATTGCAATGTCTCATTCCGATGAAGCCTGCTATTGATCAATAATGATTCAATAGTATCAGGCCACCTCTGCGAGTAGTTATTGCAGCTTTGACTTGCTTGTTCAGTGGCTGACACCTCTAAACCAAACAAGATGAAGTTGTTGAGCGTTAGCAGCAAACTATGATTACCTGGGAATATGTGATGTGTTTATTTTGGCTGGGACAACGGAAACCACGGAGGTGCATTTAACAATTTTAACACTTAAAATGAATTGCAGCTTATACACTATGTTAAAATGTCAGACACAAGAATACTGTAGGCAGTTACAACGACATGCTGACGAGACATTTCCCTGAAGCTAACATTTCACAGCTGATAAGGCCATCTTTCAGGCTTACTTGACAACACACCAAGCCAAACCCCACAGCAGGACAGGAACAGAGAAGAGGGGTGTCAGCTGTCAAAACAGTCCCCGTCATTCTGTCAAGCTAACAGAGCTATAATGTTAGCCAAATGACTGCTTTCCTTTATGTCTGCTAGCTTTTTTCTCTCAATTCATTGAAACATCCTGCAGATAAGGAAGAAAGCTGTCGGAGTGGTGTATGGCATTCCTGACATTCACTCACAGACAACTATTCATTAGTTAGCAAGCCCGCTAACGTTAACTTGCCTCAGTTAGCACGTTATGGTTTGCTAATGTGATATTTAACGTCAGTTAGCGAGACAAATAAAACTAAATGGCGAATAAAGAAAGTGAGATTTATTGCTGACTAAGGTATTGTCTTGGGGTGCTGTAAATGCCTCATATGACTAAAAATAGTCCACATAATCTGGGAAAGTTAATGCTATCAATAAAGGCCCAGAAGAAGCACCGGCCTATCCTGCGCACCGAAGCGGCCAAATGAGCGAAGGAGACGGGACAAGCGGTAGCGCAGAGGTCGGACGACGTGTAATGACAACACCCCTGTTCCGTGAACAAATTAAGATGCACTGAAGAAAACACCGGCAACATAAAGCCGCAGATAGGAGAAATGACCAGCACTTCTAATGATCACATGGGCAAGTAGTAAAATACTTTACCTTTTTCTTAGCTGCAGCGAGTTTAATTTGCCTGCTCTGGTCGGCCATACTGCTGCTCTGGTCAACGGACCGAACCACGTCATCAGTTTGCTGTCAGCCGGTGTCTGTGTCGATAGGGGGCGCATTGAGCAGCCTGTGGTCTCTGGTTAAATGGATATCATATTTCAACATTCAATCAATGCACTGCAATCCATCACTAAAGCTCCACGCTAATTCTACTTTTGTTAAGGTGTACACTTTTAAGTTTAAAGGACGTGGTCAGATAGGAGATAATTGTCTTTCTAGGAGGTAAATATCACTTAATTCATTTCATTTTCATACTTTATTTCATTCAGGTAATATCATAGACTGTAAAAAGAATGGACAGCGTCTGCCTCCTCGCTGGACGAAGACACTCCGAGAACAGCACCCTCTGGTGACGGGCTGCAGTATAGGTCATAAATCCCGCCTCCTCCATCAAACTTAATGGAGCTGTGGAAACTTTATAAATTGATTACACAAAATATAAATAATTATAATATAATAATAATTGTGCCCAAGCCCTCTTTTTTCTGTACAGCTCCATTTTTAAAAGTTATTAGGGGGTTCATGTTTTCTATGATTGACACTTGATACAGCCTATGGGAGTACGAAGATTGCGTAGCTCACCCGGGGATACGCTGTCTGAAGTGAGCATCATCACAGCAACTCTCGATGACTCTCCCACCGAATGCGTATAACGCTACTGCACAATGTTGGTTTCAGGAAATTAGGAAAAAATGCAGAATTACCAAGAGCTTTTTCGGCTTCAAATCCGTATACTGGTGTAAGGTGGAATCAAGTTGTCCATAGTTTATACAGTCTATGGTTAATATTTAAAACTTTCAATACAAACAAGGAAAAAATCTCAAACATGTGAATGAAAAGGAGCCGAAAGAAGAAAAATTTTACAGAGTCTGCCCCTCTTTCATAATATATTAATCAACTAAACACATAATAAAAATAAACAAGAGCTGCAGGCCAACATGCCTTTTACAGTTCATTAGTTCTCATTTTCAAAAACAACCCACAAAATGAACAGAAAAGACCACATTGCTTCACATTCTTTTCACAAAACAAACATAAGACTTAGATTAATATATTTCCCTTTACTTAATTTGTTGTCATGGTATCATATAATATCAGATACTAAATGTAATCTCTCATTTTCTCTTTTAATTTGTTCTCTATAAATCAGATTTTATTTCATAGTTTTATTTGTATCGAGCCAAATCATAGGTATCATAGGTAGGTGAGCTATTTAATTACACTTCACATAAAGAACAAATCTGGTCTCTGGGGTTTTTAATTGTTATTTTCTTTTGTCTTGTAATGTCCATAAAAAGAGGAGAGAAAGGAGAGGAGAAAGTTGGGATAAGACAATCAGTTCCAGCTCTTCAGTCAAACATATATATCAACTATTTCAATGTTGTTACCTTCATCAAATTATATAAACACTTTAAAAATTGAAACTGGGCACAGAGAGGAACTGAATAATTTGGATATAAAACAGTCTTCCAAGTACATGAAAAATATTTATTTAAAACGTATTTGTGTCTTAACAGCTGGACAGAGTCAGAGAAACCTGAGCTGCAGTTTTGAAACCTCAAATGAAATCACATTTCTCTACAGTGATCTTCAATGTGAAAGTATGTTTTTTTAAATAAAAATAAAGCCACAGCAAGAAAAAGTATCTTAGTTTGGTGTTGAAGATGCTATGTTTTATTTTTGCACAGGATACAGCTCAAAATTAAATTAAAGGCACTTTTTAATATCTCTTATAATTATGTTTCTTGTTTAACTGTTTCATAACCAGATAAAATTCTTTACAAAATCTTGAACATAATTTCTATTACATTGTTATGCTGATGTTTTTTGTTCTGTGCTTTGCCATTTTTCACCTCTGCCCTTACTGGTGTGTGACATGAATAAATGATCTATGATTTTGAATGATTATGGATATCCTCAAGGGCTCTTTTGCAGCATTTCATCAGCAATATGGTAGGTAAGCAAAGTTAGGAGGACTCCATCTCAAAAGTTTTTATGGATGAATATTCTTGGACCAAACCAAAAATTGCAGAATAGACTGTGGGTAGATTTAAATTTCACCACTCTGCTGAGTTACCTAATAGACAAACATGAGTAATGGAGACAGTGATGGTAATAAATACCACAAATCCCTGTGTATTGGCATATAGACTTCATACCTCCCCTGCTTAAATCAGGGCCCAAATTTGGCCACCTCATCTCAAGAAGTCTGGACACGCCCCCGGAGCAAGGTATAATTAAAAGTATTAGTTAAAGGTAAGAAGTAAATGATTCACTACATAAAACAACCATACACACAAAAACATAAGAAGGAACAGCGAGTTTCATTTTCTATTTAAGGGGGGCAAACATAACATACACCAAAACATAACAGATTGGTTTTAACTAGCTTAAAGAAATTACTAAAATGGCCAGTGGAGGTTGAATAGAATAATACTGTCTAAATGACTCTCATTAATCCATAAAACTGATCCAATGAGCCAGCTCCACAGTGGGCATAGGTGGCAGAGAAAAGAACTCTGGACACTGCTGGCTATAATGGATAATGCTAGGCACCCTCTGCACACTGCCATCACCTCTCAGACACACAGTATATTCAGCAGCAAGCTGCTCTCTTTAAACTTCTCCAGACAGACTGAGGAGATCCTTCCTCCTTAGGGCTATCACACTATACAACACCTCAACGCAGGGAGGGCGGGGGTTAAGAGGAAGGACGTGGACAGCACAAGAAGACAGACACTATAACAGCACACAGATATCTGTTGCCTTTTGTTGCAGGTGTAAATGGAACACCTAAGATTACATTTCCTTCTCTATATGTTTACCTACCTATACCTGCCTGCCTACCAAATTATGTTCTACCTTTTACAGATTTGTTCTTGCAATTTCTAGAATTAAGTCCCATAAAAAGTCCTTTGGTGTTGTTACATGGCAGAGCGCAGTATTTGTGGAATAAATTACATAAAATAAGTCGAAGTTTTAGTGATTTGCTTGAAGTCAGGTATAACAACCTCAAAAAATGTCTTAATAATTAATAAAAAAAGTACAGATAGACAAAACAGAGAAAGATCTAGAAGGAAAGATAGAAAGAAAGAAGTACACCACTGAAATCGCTGTTATTAGACTACAATTTGTGTTTACAACAAAAGAGGACTGTGTGTTCCTCGAAAGTACAAGGAACGCATACAAATTACCCTCTTAATAAACACACAAGACATCATATTCAACATATTTGTAAAAGTAGCTACTTAACAGTTATACTGGCATATGTCAGATACATAATCTTGACCTCACTGGACTTCTGCCATATGAAGGTGTGGCTCATTAAAGAGTGAAGTGCATCCATATACAGTGTATTTGTAGTTAATTATCATGGATATCTATGATAAAGCTTTGAGTTGTAGGGATGATAAGCGATTACTGCAGTTGTGTACATTGTATGATGAAATGTGAGTATAATCTAGTTCACCTGATGTAACAGCAGTTAGTTTTGGTGTAGGCTTGTTAGTCACATAAGTGTTACACAGGGTTAACACGTTTCTTTCTTATTGTAATGAGTCATCCTTAGACTACTAATGATTCCTGAATGCAAATACATTTCGTTTGTAACCAGAATTATAAGAAGGCGTGCCAATCAAATACACGTATGCGCTTATCTTTAAAAGCACAACTAACTTCAAATGTAAGTCTGTCACTTGCATGAAGGCCTACTTCCCAGTATTGAGAATGGCGTTACAGCGATCCAGTAGCGTTCGTGGATGTGTTCGCCTGACAGCCAACCAGCGGCGGAACGGTGGTCAAAAGACGTGACGTCGCCGAGACCTGATGTGTGCAAATCAGCGTCGGCCAGCGTGCCGGGGGACACCAATCAGCGCGTTCCAACGAACAGCTGCCCGGCCAATGGCGAGCCTCCACGACTGGGAAGAAGTGACGGCTTATATATGGAGAGGGCAGAATTCATTCAACATCACTTCAGTGAAGAAAGAGTATAGGAAGACACAGAATAGAGAAAGAGAGGCGATTAAGGCAACGTCAAGGCCGTTCATTCATTGACAACACTACGATTAAGGTACGTATTCGTATTGTTTTGAATATAATAATGCAGCGACGTATTATAGTGTTTTCTGTTGCGTTTGACGTCATTTCAACGCATTTTTGGATGTGATTAAGCTAGTTTAGCTAACTTTTGATCGTAATGATGTGTTGAACTGGTGCTTCAGTTGCTTCTAATGCATACAGACAATCACTAAGATAGCTTAATGCCACACCATTTTGCCACCCAGTTTGACACTGGTCCTTATGGTGAGCTGAGTTACCCTACAATTCCACTGAGCACACCAACGTGGGTAAGCTAGCTACCGGCGGGTGAAAAAAAAATCAGTCAGGGGTGTTAACACTGAAAGAAGCGATCGGGCTCCACCCAGTTTACCCGCTTTCTTTTCAGACGTAGAGATCAGACATTTTTGGATTTCTCTGGCAAAGGCCAAAAGCTTTTCTTACATAATGAATCCAAATCTTCTGTACATGACATCCAGCTGGAGAGCATTAGCTTTAGCACGGTTAACAAGTAGGGCATGGATCACACTTGAGGAACAAGGCCATATTTTTTCTCACCATTTGTTTTCCTTCTACAGAATTTTTTTTATAGATCTGATCAAAAGAGAAGAAAGATGAAGCTCCTGTGGGTTGTAATGCTGGTGGCCGGCACCGTGTTTGCCGATGACGATGACAAGAAGGAGAATGTGGGAACTGTGGTTGGAATCGACCTGGGGACCACCTACTCATGGTAAGAGGAAGAGTAACAGCTGTCAGAGTTCCCATCACAATAATATACCCATTACATGTGTTTTAATGCTGTTTCTTAAATGTATGTTTCTACAGTGTTGGAGTATTCAAGAATGGCCGCGTGGAGATCATCGCCAACGACCAGGGTAACCGCATCACTCCATCTTATGTGGCCTTCACCAGTGAAGGTGAACGTTTGATTGGTGACGCAGCTAAGAACCAGCTGACCTCTAACCCCGAGAACACCGTCTTTGATGCCAAGAGATTGATTGGTCGTAATTGGGGAGACCCCTCTGTGCAGCAGGACATCAAGTACCTGCCGTTTAAGGTAAGCTTCCACGCTTCAAAGAGTTATTATTATTGTAGGACAAAGTTTGAACATTGTCCATAGTGTGTGATATTAACTTATGTTTCTCTTTAGGTCACTGAGAAGAAGAGCAAGCCCCATATTCAGATTGATATTGGTGGTGGCCAAATGAAGACATTTGCTCCTGAGGAGATCTCAGCCATGGTGCTGGTAAAGATGAAGGAGACCGCTGAGGCTTATTTGGGCAAGAAGGTATAAATACACCAAAAGTATTTGTGAGAGATTATCATTCTACCTAAACCATGTACCTGTAGTCTAATTTTCCCATCTTTTCCTCAGGTTACACATGCTGTGGTCACCGTCCCTGCCTACTTCAATGATGCCCAGCGTCAGGCCACTAAGGATGCCGGAACCATTGCTGGGCTCAACGTCATGAGAATCATCAATGAGCCGTAAGTTTTAGACAGAAAATATGTAAATGTTAAATTTTGGAAGTTATATGTAAGTATAACTTTCCTTTTACCTTGAATAACATATTTAACTTTATTTCTCAGAACTGCTGCAGCCATTGCCTACGGTCTGGACAAGAGGGACGGCGAGAAGAACATCCTCGTGTTCGATCTTGGCGGCGGCACCTTCGATGTCTCCCTGCTGACCATCGACAACGGCGTGTTCGAGGTGGTGGCCACCAATGGTGACACTCATCTGGGAGGTGAAGACTTCGACCAGCGTGTCATGGAGCACTTCATCAAGCTGTACAAGAAGAAGACTGGCAAAGATGTGCGCAAAGACAACCGTGCCGTGCAGAAGCTGCGCCGTGAGGTCGAGAAGGCAAAGAGGGCGCTGTCCGCCCAGCACCAGGCCCGCATTGAGATTGAGTCCTTCTTTGAGGGTGAAGACTTCTCCGAGACTCTGACTCGTGCCAAGTTTGAGGAGCTCAACATGGTAAGTTATTCAGCAGTCACCAAAGTCGTGTTGATAAAACAGTAAAGCAACTTAAACTTTTTTTCTTTTTGTAAGCATTTTGGGACAAGAATGTTAATTTCTTTCTTTTGTTTCAGGATCTGTTCCGTTCTACCATGAAGCCTGTCCAGAAAGTGCTGGAAGACTCCGACCTGAAGAAGCCTGACATTGATGAGATTGTCCTGGTTGGTGGCTCCACTCGTATCCCCAAAATCCAGCAGCTTGTCAAGGAGTTCTTCAATGGCAAAGAGCCCTCCAGAGGCATCAACCCTGATGAGGCCGTGGCTTATGGAGCTGCAGTGCAGGCTGGAGTGCTTTCTGGAGAGGAAGACACTGGTGAGTTATCCTTTGGGCTTTTTGTCTGACCCTTTTTTCTTAACAAGCTATTATTTTCTTCACTTAAACTCTTCCTCTCTCTTTTAGGTGATGTGGTTCTTCTGGATGTGTGTCCTTTGACTCTTGGTATTGAGACTGTTGGAGGAGTGATGACCAAACTGATCCCCAGGAACACTGTTGTGCCCACAAAGAAATCCCAGATCTTCTCTACAGCCTCTGACAACCAGCCAACAGTCACCATCAAGGTTTATGAAGGTAAGACTGTTTGACATGATCTGATCAGTCATCTGCATGTTTTTGTAGACAGACGAGGAGGAAAAATTGTGTTGCTCAAGTTTAATTCTTGACTCTTTCTTTAGGTGAGCGTCCTCTGACAAAAGACAACCATCTGCTGGGCACATTTGACCTGACTGGCATCCCTCCTGCCCCTCGTGGTGTACCCCAGATTGAGGTGACTTTTGAGATCGACGTCAACGGTATCCTGCGTGTCACAGCTGAGGACAAAGGCACAGGCAACAAGAACAAGATCACCATCACCAACGACCAGAACCGCCTGACACCTGAGGACATCGAGCGCATGGTCAACGACGCTGAGCGCTTCGCCGATGAGGACAAGAAGCTGAAGGAGAGGATTGACGCCCGCAATGAGCTGGAGAGCTATGCCTACTCTCTGAAGAACCAGATCGGGGACAAGGAAAAGCTCGGCGGCAAGCTGTCAGATGAAGACAAAGAAATCATTGAGAAGGCAGTGGAGGAGAAGATCGAGTGGATGGAGTCTCATCAGGAAGCTGAGCTGGAAGACTTCCAGGCCAAGAAGAAAGAGCTGGAGGAGGTGGTTCAACCAATCATCAGCAAGCTTTACGGTAGTGCGGGAGGACCACCACCAGAGGGAGCTGAAAGCGAGCAAGACGAGAAGGATGAGTTGTAGGCATGTGAACACATCTGCCACCCCTTGCCTCTCTGTTAGTGGCACCTAGATGTACATAATGGACTGATGGGACTCAAATAGTGAGAGGAATGGTTGGTAAGGGGTGGCAATAACAAACAAACTAACTGAATCTTCTGAAAGACTTTAAAAAAAACAAGTTTCAGTGTGAGGCGTTCCCTTCGCTACAAGGCGGAGATATTTGTCAGCCTGGATACAAGGCTTTCTGCTGCTGTTCTCAGGCAGTCCTGATGTGGTTATGTAGTAGGGGGGGGATTTAGTGGGTGGGCTTGGGTTTGGGGTGGGTCAGGTGTTTATGGGTCCAGTGAATTGGGAGTCTGTGGGATCAAGGGCTCATTGTGTCCACAGGCATGGCTCAAAGTTATTTATTGAATCTGGTCGTTGTACTGCTGGAAAGACGTTGAAATAAATATTTGATACAAAAGATCACTTGGTTGTCTGTTATGTTTGTTTATAATTTGATCACATTTTTAAATTTTTGTAGCACAAACATTTTTTTTCTTCGGAGCTCTTGAGAAGAATTAAAAGAATGCCAGGACATCCGGTGCTTACGACAATTTATTACAACTTTGGCAAATCAATATTACATCATGTAATAACGGTGACAACACAGTCATTAAAAAGGACACCCTCCGTATCCATCCCTCCAAATATAAAGGCCAAATTTATAGTTTCTGTGGCAGCTGGGCTGTTGGCTTTTCCCTCATCTTCTTGTTCCTCAACATGCACCTTCCATGGTAATACACACATCGAGTGGTCCAGGCGGTTCGGAGGCAAATCTCCTTCAAACTTCATAAGGACCCAGCTATGTTTGTCTGCAAACAGGAGGGACAAAATCTTAAGACCAATGGGGGAAAAAGCACAAACTGATAGTGACAGCAAATGGCACCATCACATAACTCTGTTAGAACAGTATGCCAGAGTATAAATGTTCAGTTGCAGATTTAAGGGCTTGTGTAAAAACAAAAAAAAAGAGTACCTGTGTTGAACTGATACATGGAATTACTGGCTCCATCTGCCGTCAACCCTCCAAAGATGTAGATGTTCTTGCCCAGTGCCACAACCGAGTGGGCTGCTACCCCTTGTGGGATGTCGCCTTTGGCCTGCACTTTCTTCCATTTCATGATCCCTTTGAAAAGTAGAAATTTGTTTTCTAACTTTTGAAGAAACAAATGCTTCACTCTTAAGTTCCATGTTTAAATTCATCTTTACTTTAATAATCATAAATCAAGCTTACTTGTGTCGAGAGCGAACATATCATTGTGGAGTTTGTCCCCAGCCATGCCTCCATGAATATAGATCTTTGAACCTACTGCTACAATTATGTGGCCATGCCTGGCTGATGGCTGTCTGCCTTGTGTTTCTGGTTGTGTCCATGTGGACGATACTGAGTGAAAAGGGAAAAAAATAAAAGCCACTACATATTTGATTACTGTCATTGTGGCGAATAAACACACCCTGATTTAACTGTATGGTATTTTAGACATAAATATGGTTAGCAAAGGGTCACATACTAATTGTTCACTTGAGCAAGTGGAAAGGCTGAAACAATAATTTTGTTATGGACAAGAACTAGAGGCAGAATATGAAAGCTCTGTAGTTTTTACAAAATAAAAATGAATACTGGTAAAATATATTTTCAAATTAAAATGAAATCAAGATTCTTCATTTACATTCTGAGTGTTGCTGTCCCTTTAAAAAGACTTCTTCACAATTTGATCTATAATTCCATAAAATAAGCAGAAGTTTTACTGATATTGTTCATCATAACTCTAGTAATGGAACCCTCAGCCAGGGTGTACCTAAACACAAGGCTGTTGAAGGATCCTAAAACTGTCTGTCTTGACCATTTGCAATCATTTCTTTATCACGTTATTGATTTGTTCAAAGACAATTAAGCAAATTAAAAGAACTTTCATTTGAACTTTTTTTTTTAATTGTCCAAAAAACAAACAAACAAAAACTTATCGTAATTTTTTCAATAACACCAACATGTCTATTGATCATATGGTTGACTCTCCACTGAATTTGACATCTTTAGATGTTGATGAAACTTAGATGCTACTTCACACAAATGCAAGCACTGCTTAATACACTGAGGTAGTAATTTAATTCAACACAAACCTGAGTCAAAAACATGAAGTGCAGGGTCTGAGACTGGTGCTGCTCCAGCTTCCCCACCACAAAAGACATACAGTTCGTCTCCTAGACAGGCAGAGTTGGTGTGATATGTTCTAGGACTGGGGGGTTTGCCATTCGCTGATACTGTCTTCCACTGAGACACGTTCTCTAAAACACAAACAAATTCACAGATATTGATGGACACACAATCTACTTTCAGTCTGTCTGGTTAGTTAGAGACAAATTCGATCTATCTATTTATAATTCAAGATAATGGACATGAATGAAGATACTGTCATGCATTAATTATGTCAGCACCCCTAGTGCTATACATGTGGTATGAATTAGTGAAAGCATCTGAGTGCTATTTTACAAATCAATTTAAGAGATTACTTGATTAACTTGACTTACCTGTTAGCTGTAAATTCTGGATACAGTTGCGATTACCGCTTTGCTGCGCCCCCCCAAACACCCACAGGCTCTGAGGACAGCTTTTTGGTACGAAGCAGCAGTGTTCATACCGTTGCTCTAAACTCTCCCACTCCGGGATGTCCCATTCATGATTATCTGGTGGAGGATGACAGACCAAAGACTCAGAGAAAGCCTGATGACAGGAATGTGAAGCAGTCATGAGCTCGCCATGTCAGGATATATCACTGATGCATTTAAACGATATGCTGAAAATTATATTCAATAAAAATAAAAAGAATTATTGTACCAGTTGAAAAGTGTATAATAGATAATAATACACATGAATGTGAAGAAGTGACTGTTATTTAGGGAGAGAGAAGGTGAGGGAGGGCTGGGGTGGAGAGTGGGGAGGTGGTAGGGATAAGGCTCAACTTACCCCGCTCCTATGGTCAACTTACCCCATACACTGGTTAAGTTGACCACAGGAGACCACTTTTTTTGGCATGCTATATTATCAAGACAGTTATGTTTACACTCATTCTGTTGGTTTGCAGGGATGCACAACATCTTGAAATATATATGCAGATACACTAGTTAGAGACAAAACTATGATTGCCTTGATGTAGTGATCTGAAATATGAAAAATGGCTCATCTTACCCCACTCTCCCCTATTGAAAAATTATTTTTGAAATTTGCTCATTCTTGTGAATTTTTATGGCACAGTGGCTTACAAGGACACTATCTGTACAGATTTTATGTGCTTGGGAGATTTCAATACAATTTTACCTAGATCAATGACATGTGAACATGAGAAACTTCCACTTGGATTTGCCCCTCCAACAATAAGGACCCTTCCCTTTCCGTTGTCTGCAGACGGCATAAATGTGCAGGTGTGACCCACACTAACACCTGGAGCACTTCCTCCTGGTATCAAAGAATACCTGTTGTGGAAAAAGTTACTTTAAGTACAAAGGTTTGCTTTCTTTTTTAAGTTTTAAAAGAGTTGGTTGAATTTACTTACCATATCCCTCCCTTTGGTTTGTCTAGTGGGTCTAGCACGGGGAGAAACTCCATGGCTGTCAAAGACAAAAGGAGAAACCCTGTGTAATTATGCTCTAATACTTAGCTATCACTATCGATTGTATGAGTACTGGGTATTAACGCGACATTTGCTGGGTAGCAATGTAATGAAGCACGACAACGAGGCGACAAGACTGGATGCTATCAAGCTGCTACTTGCTAACTACAAGCATGAGAGGAGCTTCATCCACACTAACCTGTTCTTCCGGGTGAAAAACAGACTTATTATCCGTAGTAAAGCGTTATTCTGTTATGTCCACATGATGACGAGGGCAATACGCTAAGTAGAGGCATACAGTTTGCATTAAATGACCAATCAAAACATAGCACAGCTCGACTGTCAAAACAGGACGTAAATCGTTACAGTACCACATTTGTTGGCGTACGTTCCAGAGCAGTACATTAAAACAGAGTGGCGACAACTTCAGATCTCGCCGTCGGAGCGGTCACTTGGTTCATGTACCCATGTTTTAATCTACTGCTCTGGTACGTTCCAAACGTAGTTGCTATAGTGACACTTGGCGCATGCGCACTTTGAAGTTAATTTAAAGTGGCCATACTGTCTGGTGTTATGCTGTAGAATGCATCCCGTGCATCCCATCCACTCATTAGTTTTTTTAAAGTGTAAGAAAATGATCTCATATTAAAAAAAAACACAAGTAGTGGATCATGACAACACGTCAAATGAAGCAGCAAACTTTCGTTCTGTTTTTATGTGTCTCAAAAATGCACATATAGAGGTGTACATGGGTATATAAACACTTGGGAAGAGAACATTATATTTTCGGGACAGCAAATATTACGAATCAGAGGGCTCATGTTTTCGGTTTATCTGAATTGCCTGAATGCAAACATTAAAGACACGCGCTTTTGAATCAATTCAACGGTAAGGAAAACTCGCATTGTTACGTACTTCCAACCGCGTTTCCGTCAGAGGATGCATTCTACGACAGGGGTGCATTTTACAGCACAACACCTGTCTTTGACAAAGTCTCTGTATCAGCGCCCAAAAAGTGTTTTTCATTGAGGGCATCGTTGGACGAGCAAAGAAACGTCTGCCTCAATGAAGAAAGCAAAAAAAGTGTGTTTACTTTGAATAACTCCTGTGTTCCACCGCAAGCAAAATGCCAATATTTGCCTTAATTAAACACACGTGTTCCTGTCTCTTTTCATTGAAAAATGGCTGGAGCTTTACCGCTGCACAGTTGTAGATTAGCAATTGTGTCTGTCAACTTTTCTTGTATTTTTTTTTTTTTTAATTTTCAGAACTGAAGTAGTTTTTAACATTGAAGAAATTTCCATCGTCTCTCCTCGACTTACCAACAAAGATGGTGGCAGCAATTGTGGTAAGTTTGACGTGTTCTCGTTGTTATTTACCATACAGTCAATATTTAGATATTTAAATTTGGTGCAATACAGCGTTTGTGTTTCTCTTCGGTAGATGAAGTTATTTGCATTACCCCTGTACTACATTTAGATCCTGCTTTTTGCCACTTAAATACACAAAGTAGGTTTCTACAGTAAGTTATCACAACTAAAATGTTTGAAATGCGGCCCAGCTCAGGTTGAATTGGGTTTATACAGTCTTGTTTGTGGTATGATGCACCAATGTTCAGATACTGTCAACCGAGAAATTGCACTGGATTGTCAATAAATAATCTAAAATACTCGGTTGGGTATGAAGTTTACTCATGTGCAAATGCTGAGAGATTCAGGATAGCCAGACAGTATTCAAGATGAAGCACTGTATTCCACAAAACCTTTGAGCAAATGCATTAAACAAGTAAAACAACATGGCCAAAACGTGGCCAAAACGCTACTGTGGAGGAATGATAAGTGAAATTGTGCTATCTTGTGGTTGTATTTTAGTTGAAGCAGGGACTGAGGATAAAGGACATTACCTTTCACACTATATACTGACATGAAATACACACAGTGCAGTGTCTTGCAACAGGATAGAAAAGTATTAAATGCTTGAATGTTTTTGAATGCATTAAGGCCGTATTTTTTATTCAGTATTTTAAGTTCACAATGTATGGAAACCAATTTCACAGGCGTATTCCCCAAAGTACAATATGAGCATTTTGGATTTTGTAGTCCAAGTAAGAAAAAGAAAGCATTTTATTACATGTCCAAGAGGTGGCACCATTGTGTTATTATTAAAAGAGGCATTTGTAGTTAACTATAGTTTTAAGTTTTATTGTCTGACTGCAATACAGTGGAAGGTCAGAGTTAAAACAAATGTTTAGATTTATGACTCAACAATAGAGTAATTCACTTGACACTGACAACAAAGACACGCAATTGTTTGTACATCAGAAAAGAAAAGAAAAAACAGGGTGTGGAAATGCTTTTCCGTTGAATTAGATACAATGGGTATTATGTAAAGGATATACATGTATTTCCTTTTGCCTTTTAATTTTTATTTCTCAAAGAAAAAAGAGACCGTTGAGGCAGGAAAAGAAAGCTCCATTGAGTGCTACAATGGACCCAGAATCACTAAGTGGACCATTTTGACAATAAAGATGTAATCTCTAATTGGACTATATACATTGACAAAGTCACATAGTGATTCAAATGTGAAGTTCCTGCTCAGTCAGCAGTGCAGGGTATACAATGGGAGCTGAGTGAACAAATCTGCATCACGATAAATTAATAAGTGTATGAACAAAGAATTAATTAATGGTCAGGTAAGATCACATGTGGGGTGTTTCTTCTTTAAATATAGTGTGAAAACAAGAACCTATCTCAGCACTTTTCATCTGTTAAATGACAAATCAGAATCAAATCTGGAAATAACAAAGCAATGACAAGTATTTGGTGTGCCCTCTTTCCTTCAGTGAAGGAGCAGAACAGACATTTTCTGAAAGGGCTGCTTCTGGCAATGACAGAATTGGAGACAGATAAACTGTTCTTTTGAGAGTGTTAATACTTGAGAAATTCTCCCGCTCGCTCTGTCATACAGCAGACACATTTTACAGCCTGCACAAACAAAACCGCAGTTTGAAAAGAGAAGCCTTTCTCTCAGATGCTCTTCATAATCTTAAGCGCTGTCAGAAAACAAATTAGATTTCTGTGTTGTTTGTTGTGATTAGCATTTGTCTCTCACATCAGGACTGCAGTGTTAGAATATTTTGGCCTTTTGAATATTTTTTTCTCTGTTGTTTTTTCAAAAGTTTCTTTCTGTTTGTCTAATGAAGTCAAACATATGAATTTAGTCAGCATTTTAGCCAATTTGTCCAGCACTTAAAATGTAACCTATGTCAATTCATCAGTTAGAATAACCAGCATAGTGTACAAGGGTGAAAACACCCATAATCCAGCATAATGGCTCATTGTCATAACAGTATTTGTAATATTTGTGGATCATAATTATTGGTGATGTTTTAGAAAGTAAAAAGCTTTTACATCACATTCCATTTTGACAGTCAATCTGCATCACAATGCTTGACATTTTCAGAAGAACAAACCAGCCATTTTCCTAAATTATGTGGCATTTTCTAGGGCGTTGTAGGCTTCACTGAAGTACTGCAAGACCTTGAGCAACCCATACTGCCCAGGCTGCACAGTCATGCTGAATTGTTTTTAGCTCACACTGATGCATGAAATAGACAAGACATGTGAATCAGGGGTGCAAAATGCATCAAGCCCAAAAGCAAGATGAGATTTAGCTGTTTAGATCTGAGATTTCCAGTTCTATTGTTCAGTTTTCTTTTAGAATGACCCCCTTTAAGCAGCTCTTGAGCTTCATAAAAGCAATACATCATCCTAAAGAACGGCAGTATAGAGAGGCAGTTTATAGTTTGAAGCCAATCGCAATGAAACTCAAGCCAAAGTGAATTATTTTGCTTCCTGGGAGACCACATAGCATATAATTACAACAGATATTTTGGAAACGTTTAAGAGCTGAAGCCAGTGACTGTTTTAAATGCTGATTATGTTTTTGATCAGTCATTTAGTCTAGTGACGACCACTATGAGATTTATGAGACTGATTTAGAGGCCTCTTTTTGAAGAGAAAAATTCACTCATTACTGATAAGGGCAGCAATTAAGAGGCTTTTTGGTTGGGATAGAAATATTGCAATTGTGCAGCAATTCACATCAATATGGTAATGATAAGCAGCATTCTTTAACAAATAGCTTCATAATGGAATATTTTATATTATAATAAATTGTCAACCAACTTTAGTGAGGACAGTTTTCTTCTCAGCTGAGATGCCCTGTCCATAAACTGCAGAATATCTTTTAGAGTATTGCAAACTCTCAACTCTCATTTTCTGCTACACCAGCTATTTGTTAGAATTAATTAATCTATTAATTAAGTTACCCGGCTGTAAAAAAACAAATAACACCTTATTGGTTGGGAGACAAGCTTGCTAAAGTGCCCCGAAATTAGGCTGACCAATTTTTTAAACATGCAAATAGGGATGCTTTTACTCCACCTCATTTTACCACATGTATGAGCTCATGTTCCAAATGGATTTTTCATCAGTGTTGTCTAATGAACACCTATTCCAGCAAGCTCAAGCCATCAGCATCATTTGCCTTTGTGCTGAACAGTTCCCTCACTGATGCTTTTTGCTTAACTCCTTGTGCGTTCTTGCGACGCACTAGTCATTGTCCGCAAGTTAGCAAAAATGACAACCTCGGCTCAGGGGAAGTATTGTAGCACACAGAAAGGACACATGAGTGGACTAAACTCTGAAGGTCCGGCTGGAAAGGGAGGCAGTGAAGGTTATAATAATTGTAATACTGGCATTGGTATCAATAAAACCTGAACGCTTTTTATCCCTAGTGCTGCAAATGGTTATCAGGGTTCCTACACAAGTATGGAAAGTATGGAAAAGTATGGAAGTAGTTTGATCAATTTCCAGGTATGGTAAATGAAAAATAAAGTATTGATAATTATCTGTGTTTCCAGACTATTACTACAGTTCTTAAATACTGTTTTCTAAAAATAGAAAAGTAGGTATTTCCAAAAACAATTCTTAAAAGTAGGATATGGAAAAGTATGGAAATTCCAACTGTGAGGGAACCCTTTGGTGTTGATTTTGTTCACTTGCTTTAATATGGCTTTTGCATCGGCAATTTCACCTTGGGGAACTGAAAATAGATACATGCAGAGTTTGTAAAATGCAGCATATTTGCTGCCTGGTACTTTTCAAAGGAAGCTGTAACTGTCCCAGCGCTCTCTGAAAAACACTGGCTTCCTTTTTGGCATGACAGCTAGACTACCTGAAGTTATGCAGCGGTTTCCTGTCAGTATGATAAGCAGGGCCAATTAGCAACAGCTGAAAGCCGAGATTGACTGACACATACATGCAGATCAGTATTAAACTTTGACATATGGTGCATTAGGGATGTTCTTTTGTGGGTAAAAACAGCAGTGACATTGATTGATAAACACAAATCAGAGTAGCATGCATTGTTCTGTTATTTAAATTGGTTAAACTGGGACAGGGATTGTTCAAAACCAGGATGTACGGTCACCTTCTATTTA